CCCCGATCGATCGCTCGATCGATTGTATCCCTGTTGTGTTGTGTTGTGGTGCTCGGGTTGCGGGCAGGCATTATAGATCTGGATTGATTTGCCTGTTGTGGTTGTGGTTGTGGTTGTGAGAACAATGTGTTACATTCTCATTGAGATCTATGCAATTTAGAAACAAGGGCATTCGTAATCGATAGGGAACCTAGGGGAATGGAAATGTAACCAACTGGATCGGTTGGATTGGTTGGTGGTGGTGGTGGTGGTGCTTGGCGCTTGTCAGCTGAGTCGAGGTACACTGTGGTATTAAATGCGCTGTGTTGTGTTGTGGAACAGGGATTAGATTGATACGATTAACTGATGTCGAGTCATTGCCAATACATAAGATTCTTCATTGGCTGGCCGCTTGCTTGCATGAATGATTTAGCACCGTAGGAAAAGATCATGTTTATGTATTGGATGTGGTTGCGTTATGTGATGTCCTGAGCATGGCAATCATACTACATACACTCTGGGCATGTATCCGGAGAGAGAGTCGGGTTCTTGACAGTATAAACGATTGTGTAGTAGTAAATATATTTCTAGAATAGTTGAACCAGGGATATATCCTTGTGAGAATACGAAGCGCATCTTCTTTTACTACCCAAGATCCTAAATTGACGAAAACATGGTAGTTTGTAATACTATATAGTAAGTAGTGTCGATACCTTATTGGTTCACTTACTCTAAACGATGCTGGGAGATGTTGTGACCACTACTCTACTTACCTACAAAGGTTTGGTATAGAGCCTCTTCCTGTGTTTTTGATTGCTGAATCCTCTCTTATCACACTGTTTCTACCCACATCAGGGGTCCACCGGACACCCGTACAGCGGCCTTTGATAGGGATCCTTTGATCTCTAGCGCTCGAGGGATAACGATTACATAACATAGCAAAGCACAGCTCAAGCAAGCCCGCAGGAAACAAAAGGAGAATTGAGTTGAGAGAACTAGACCCGAGTGTGAGGCTAGAAGTTATACTGATCCCGACCATGCAAGAGTTCCATTCATGAGAGAGAAAAGAGAAGAAGAAGGCCCTGCGGGCCTTCGCTCTGAGCTATGATGTACATAGGTACGGCTATTGATTCCTGAGGCAACAATGGCCGGTCACATGACAGGCCATCAAGGAGCCTGTCACCGAGGATTCCAAACCGGAATGCATGGAATATGTTCAGTGAAGGATAGCATGTTCAATACTCGAGAATACACATTAGTAACGAGACCAGACAACCATACTTCAAGGCATGGGCCACTTCACATATCCCGGCTCTTGCTCCAGACGACCTTCCCGCACCAGGTTGTCAAACGTCCAGTCGCAATGGCAGCCAAGGAGACTAATATTCTGTAAAGCACGAGCTATGGGTTAGTAACCCTGAATCATAAAAGCACCACACCATTGCCGAAGCTAAAGAGGCAGGAAATCGGTTGGGAGGAATAAAACCTACCTCCAGATTGAACACCACAATCGCTAGAAGATCTGGCACGTACGTTCAGCGAAAGTCCTGCAACGTCCTCTTTGGACCATGTACTCAAAATGTCCCAGAAAGAGACTATGGTCTGGGTGAAGGCCTCATTGTTTTTCTGGCGATCTATTTGGCTTTCCAACCGGGTCCGTGCAGCAATCTCGTAGGCAGGAAGCAGGATGTACAGATCCAGATGACGAATAAAGGAGCGCCGGGGTGAACTGGGGGGGGACAATCCGCTTGAAGTCGGTCAACCGGTCAGGAGTCAGAAGAAGATGGGAGAAGGTCTGCTTCTCGATCAGCGCCTGCCACTTCCTATAGACACTGGTATAAGAAGCCAAAGAGGCTGAGCCTAATTGTGTCAGAATCAAAGAGAGGATTTCGGAGGGCAAAGCACTGATTTCAGTCATGGTTGTTTTGAACCTCCAATTTTGGAAGCATAAGTTGGAGCGAGGACGGGAAACGGATCTATGGTTGAAGGGCAGTCGACTCTACACTGGCAATACATGATAATACAGATAGGTCACGTTATCCGTGAAAAATAAGTATGACAGGCTACCGGGGTACTATTGATTCTTATGTATATACTAACAAGCCACTCCCGCTGTACTAAATGCAGAGCATCATAGACAAGCAGACATGCGCTGTGGTTGTTGAGCGACGAGAATCATATTTTGTGATATTGGGATGTGGTGGTCGAGTGGAGATACTCCGTACATGGCCGGGTTATATAGCCTTATAAATACCGGAGTGGGTGATATGGACATCTAGAACAAGGGATCGATGGGCAAGTTTCATAATCTTATCACCTATTGCGCAGGATCGATATAGATTGTAGTCGATCATCGATTTAACCATGTACTTGCTTTTTATATGATCTAAAATAGACCAAGAAATTTCTGGTCGAGGTCTGGAACCTCGAATCGGACTTCGAATCCTTCAAGATACAGTCCTTGGCACACGGTGACAGCTCCCCACTGCATTAGTCCCTAGGAATATATGGATGCCAAGTACGGAGTACTCCGTACTTACGGGATATCTCCGGGCTATTGGGTTACTGATGCCTAGTCTCGTTGACGGGAACTCACATACACCCAAGCTGAAATCAATTCATGACAGCCTGTGGCTATATTAAGCAGCCGGCGACAAGACTAGACTGGCTGGGCTGAATGGACCTGAGCTGAGTGAGCTCAGCTGAAGCCCAGCCCACGAGAGTGGGTAGTGGCCATATCCACGACGGATTGAATCGGTAGTCGGAAACCAATCACGGGCCACCTACCCCTGCTGTACCCGATTAACTATCCGCTGCAAGCCGTCCGATCCACGAAATGGGGAGCCACTGAGAGCCTCGTGTCGGACTCTACACCATGATTGGATGTATGGCTCAGTCCACGGAGGTGAATGGGAGGCGTTTGTGAACGCCTCCTGGGTTTTTGTTACATGGAGGGATCCTCAAACGCGTGATGGTGGAGTGGGTTAGGTGTGGGTGCAATATTTCAAATCTCTGCTTTAGGAAGTCAGGTAGGAAAGACGAAACAGGCAGGTAAGGTTCAAACGGCACACGAAGTAGGTATTGACCCGTGCTTTCGGCGGCTTATTGGGATGGTCGGGGGGTTTCCTGGTCCCGGATAGGCATATAAGATTTGTCAAGGCGTCCCTTAGCCTCATATCAGACTCAGTAGCGTATGGGGTAGATATGGAGAACTCGAGAGTCAGACAGGATGCCGCATTATCGTTGCACCCACCCATGATCTACCTTGTCAAGCTGGAGATCGCCAGCTGAGTCTTTGTCTGAGTTGGGTCTCTTGTGTGCTGGAATGGTAGACGGTGATGTCAGCGCAACTGCATTGGCTGGCATTTCTGAAAAGCACCTTTTTTCGAGCCTCATTGCGTAATTGCTCCGAGAGCATCACCAATTCTTCAGTCCCAAACCGTGCTGATGCTCGTGGTGTTGGCGGTGGATCGCGGACCGGTGGCCCTGGGCACGGCCATATTCCGTTGACCCAAGGGGGGTGATTGGATTTAATAGTTGGAATCAGAGTTTGACTTGCTATTTTCGGGAAGGATAAGAGATGCCGAAAGTTGGAACGACCAATAGCCGGCTCCGACTATTCTTTGGGTGAAGAGGGGTCCCGAGAATTTCCACCAGGCACCTTGACCGATACTACAGCAATATGCACGAGGCTGCTCAGTGACCTCTTTTGTTCCTGCTTCAGAGAGATCATGATCATGGTGAGAAACGGAGCGGCCGAGCAGCGCAACACGGGTCGGTTAAGCGGTTACAGACCTACAGTAGCGCCCCTTTCCTGCAGTCGGGACGGTTTAGGGTTCGTTTCGAAGGCTGAGTGGGGCGCTTTCGTTAGTTCGGAACTGGAGATCGTCGGTTTCTTGGGGGCTTCGGTGCCTCTTCCTGATTGCTGCTGGGGGCCTGGGACCGTGGGCCGGTGGCTGATGGACAACCATCAGTCTATCAGTCCGTCGGCAGAAAAGGGAAAATGAACCAGGGCTATTACCCAAGAACCCAACTACCCAAGAGGTGCGCCAACACTAGTCGTTGGGGTTCCCATGGTAAAATCACCGCCGCTATGGAAAATTGTAAATAGTTTTCTAGACGGACAGACAGGACCACGTTGTGTTCCTGACTGACAGGGTAACGGCATCGAGGTGGCAACTGGCAACCTCCAATCGCATGTCGATCCCGACCGGCCGCCCGTGCCTGGAGGAGACTTCCGACTCGTGGTGAGCCTAATCTCGTAAACTCAAATTGCAAATCCCCGTCTACTCCGGCTGGTACGGAGTACACGGCAGTGAGTTACCCCCCCCAACTGCTGGTTGGAGTAACTGCAGTGCAGTGACTGGCGGCACGGATAAGACTTTCCAGGGAGTTGCATCTCCTGGATGTCCTCTGATTAGCCTTCACAAAGGCCATCTCCCAGCTCCACCGGCCGTCGACCCTCATTTCTCATTTGCCTCTTGCACCCCTCCAGAAGCCGAAAGGGTGGGTTCCACCTCTCCTGATTTTGCTAGTGACCTTTTTAGCCCGGCCCGCGGGCTGTAATCGTACTGGCCAGGATTCTTCCGTGTTATTATTTTTATTATTATGCTCGGATGGGGATGGGACAGGGACGGTGAAGTAAAGCAGCTCTGTGTCTGTGACTCCTGAATCCTCCCAGCTAATCCCATCGTTGTTCCCTCCGCTCTCTTTCTTTCTTCCTCTCTCCTTCTCCCTCTTCCTTCTTAACTTTGCATCTTCTATCGGTCTTTTTCTACCGGCCAGGTCTTGGTTGATCGTTCGGAATCCTTTCCCCTAGGCCCCTTTCCATCCCTCCGACATGAGTCCGAACTACTGTTAATTGGCTCCTTTCCCGGGTACGTTCTAGCCGATGCACTATCGTGGCCCTGCATCCGCCCCGTTGGTACACTGTACTTTTTCTTTGCTTCTTCGGTTTCGCTTTGTTTTTTTTTTTTTTTTTCGCCTCCCCAATTCTCTCGTTATTGCTTTTGATCGTTTCGAATGGCTTGACGCCATCTTACGGCATCCGTCCAGAAGGCAGACTGCCCAAGGACGAATCAAGAGAAAGGCCCCCAAACCGGGCTGTGCACTGGAGGTCGTATTGTTAGAAAGGCTGACGAAGATATGCTTATGCCTTATGATCTTAGGATGATCTAGCGTGCTACTTCCCTTTTCTTTTTGCCATTCGCTTCTCTCGAGAAATTTCACTCCGAATCGCTCTCTTTACACCCTTCTCTTAATACCACCGGTACGCCTTCGCTGCCTGTATGTGACCCAGTATTTCGACCATGCAGCACAGCAAAGGACTGGAGTCCCCGGAGCTGGGACGGACGGTCTCGCGCTCGCGCAGCACCAGCATGTCCAGCGACTCGCAGCTCTCCCGCACCCACCTGCTGGCTCCCCCACCAGTGATCCCCGCGCCCTCGTATATCGCATCGTCCGCCGCCGCTCAGATCATCACCGCTGACCAAGAGTTCAACGCTGCCGACTTCGTGGCGGATGATGAAGGCCATGGATCAAGTGCAAGTGCCCTTGTAACCCGCGAGGCCCTCTCGGCTCTGAATGCATTCCTCGATAATCTCCTGTTCAACATCCTGGCCGCGGCCAAGTCCACCCAATTAGTCAATATCCGCCCCGCAGTCGCGGAGGTGTTAAAGCCTCGACTCGCCAAGGAGATGGTTTCAGCGGCGGACGATGAGCTGAGCGAATACTTGGGAGGACCGGAAGATGAACAGATTGAATTCCGTGGCGGCCAAACCTCAATCGGAGATTTTGATCTTGTTCGCTCATGGAAACTGACCCGACTGCGATGTATGGTCTACACCCGGCTCGGTGACATGGAGGAAGATGATGAGGAGGACTATATCAACCAGGAAATCCTCGGCGAAGATGAAGGCGGCCTCCGGAGGCTGGCAAGCCATGTTGGATACATTACGCCTGCTGCTTCCATATTTCTCACTTCCATTATTGAGCACATCGGCGAACAAGCTCTGGTTATCGCGGGCGAGACAGCTCGGTCGAGACTATCAGCAAACCTTGGTGATGACAACGAATCGGTAGAGGCCGGTGCGAACCGGGGGAGTATGGACCGGCTGATCGTGGAGGACCATGATATGGAGAGGCTGGCACTGAACCCGACCTTGGGAAGACTGTGGCGGACGTGGAGAAAACGAGTGCGAGGAGCCAACTTGTCACGAGCAGTTTCCAGGGAATCTCTACGACATCGCCACAGCCTGGTTTTCATGAACGGCAGTAGGAAGAACAGTGCTGTCACGATAGGCGAGATCTCACCGCGGTCTGCATCCTCGCGGTCTGCGACCTCGCCGCTCTCAGAGACTCGGCCTGAGTTGGACCCAGCTTCTGTCCCACTGCCAGTGAGTGAGCACGACATCCAGGAAATCGAAACCCCGAACTTCCTTCCGGAGCTCGACACTAGCGATGTTCAAACGATGCAGGCCGTTGTGGCCCACAAGGTCCGACCTCACAGCTTGATGGTACTCACGCTACCCTCACCTAGATCGCCATCGTCCAACGGAAATTCCCCTCTCACGCCCAAAATTCAAACGGTGAAAATCACACGCCACGCTCGATCGAGATCCCTGCCCAATGCTGGTCCAGAGGAAGCATCGGGAGTTGAAGAGCCTGCCGAGCGCTCATCACCCACACCATCGGAGGAGAGAAGACGCTTGGAAACGATGTATGAGCATGATGAGGATGATGAGCCAGACGTCGAACAGAGACACCAGTCGAAGGTGGACGGCACGGCAAATAAACCACGGACTGCCGACGAAAAAGAGCCGGCGGATGCTACTGCCGCAACCCCGTCGACGTCGGGTGCATCGGTCGAGGTAGCCACGAGTGCAGCTAGTAGTACTTCAGTATCGTCGTCTGCTCTGATTGAAGAGCTTGAGGGACACGAGACGGGTGAGAAGCCCGTACTGGCGATTGACGAGTCGACTACCCCTGGGCCTATCGACGCGGCGCCGGGGACGCAAGGGGTCGACTCCACCCCGGCCCAACCCGCCGCCGATCACGACGATGCGTCCCAGGCTCCTGATGCCGACCTGTCGACCACCGAACCCTCAGCCCCTCCTACAGCTCAACCTTCCGCGGACGACGCAGCCGTGGATAAGCTTCCTCGGCCGGTTTCAATTTCTGGAGAGAGTACCCATTCGGACAGTTCGCGGACGCTGCCTTTCAAATCCAGCACACCCCCCCTGGTAACCGGGAGTCATCAGCGATACGGGCGCTCGAGCCCAGGGATATCCTCCGTCAACTCCGGCATCGAACGCGCCGCAGTTCAACGATTATCGGGGCGGTATTCCGCCTCGGTAGCCTCTTCCATCTATTCCAAGCCTCGCCGCTCGGGCAGTTTCAGCAGCAGCCGCGAGAGACGTCCAGTCACAGCGGGCTCTTCCACTTCTCAGGTTTCTAGCAAGTTGAAAGGCCTTATCGGTCGACCTGGAGACTCCGGCTCTATTCGTCTCCGTAGCTCTTCCGAAGTAAGCAGGGTATCAACCAGGGAGTCAACGTACGAGGATACCTCCGGCTTGGACGACTTGATTCGCAGCGAGGAGACGATTCACTTCACCCTCACACCAAAAAGCATGAGGGAAATGGAGGTGAGTGAATGATAGTCCCCTTCTGGCTTGCTATTACTGACCCCTTGACCTAGTTGCCGGATTCACCCAGATGGCGTGCTCAGCAACCAAGTACGGTTGATTTGACCGACTTGGAGAAGAGTACCAGTCCACCCGCGGAGACCATTCCTCGATCGAGAACCTCTACCGCTTCATCGAAAAGTATCGTGGACCTTCCAACAGTACCCAAGTACAGTCAGCCGAAGCCTCGATCCATCGAAATTCCCGCCACGAACCCGCAGCAGAAATCGATGGTTGGACCGGCTCGGGATGCGAAGCAAAGCCTTGAGTCTACCAGTGATTTCTCAAACTTCCTGAAGTCGACTGGGCCAAATACTCCAACCACTCCCGCGACGATCGAAAGCAGCCCTCTGAAGTCGCCACGCTTGCGCCGTTTGTCTGATGCCACAGAAATAGCGAAAAAGCTCACCCGGCCTGCAAGTGGTGCTGTTTCTGTTTCCAGCTCTGCCCGCAGCGGGCCTCGCATGGAAGCCCGCTCCGCCGTGGTTCCAAGAGGAGATCAAACGTCCGACTTGATCGATTTCATTCGGGAAGGCCCACCGACTGCCGGGGCTCATCGTATCCCGCGTACCGTGGCTCCCTTCAGGGATACCATGGACTCGGACGAATTGCAAGCCATTGAACCTGGCCGCACCGGGACAGCAGCCCCCTCGGTGGCCAGTTCGACGGCCGAAAAGTCTATGACATCCATTGGCTCTCGTACAGGGCTTTTGGAATCGACTAGCCGGACGAGCGCCCCGACCGTTCTTGCTAAGGAAACGAGCATGATGTCTTCTGGCGCTGTGAGCGCATCTGATGACTTCCGTCCGCCGCGGACAAGGCGCCGGGTGCCAGACCCATATGCTATTGATTTGGACGACGATGATCTTGATGACTTGCTTGAGGAGCCGAAGCCGAAGCGTGACGAGGAGAGTCTGATAGACTTCCTACGCAATGTACCGCCGCCTGAGGCTGCACCGGCGCCGCAGCCTTTGGCCACAAATACCAATGCCCGGCGAAGTTCATCTGCCGGATTCGGCGGCGCGTCGGTGAAAGCCCGACTTCTTCGCAACACATCTTCCGAAAAGACACCCTTACCGAAAGCCTCCAAGAGCTCGCTGCGCCAGCAGCCAGACAGTTATGTGGGTGGGACCTCGAACTATACCGTCAAGGTTAGCATGGAGCGCAATGCTGGAGGCATGAATGGTGCTTACGGCCTAAAGACCGCCTCAAGTCGACAGACCGAGACTAGCGCATTGGCTGATTTCCTCAAGAACACTGGGCCTCCTGAGCCCCCTGTGACGAGACCTCCTGTTGCTGTCAAGTCAAAGGATTCAGGATTTGCACGACTCTTTGTGCGTCGCAAGAAGGTTGAGGCCTGATGTAACCTCAACACTGAACGCATCTTTTCCGGTCCCCCCGTTCTCTACTCTCTTTTTTTGCCCTGATAATTGCTTTGAGCACGATACTATCAAGTGTTTGGCAAACGACATGTCTTGTCCACCGTTGTGGACACTGATGAACGATACCTTCTTTTCATTTCATTGCCTTCATCTTGTCCATATTGGAGCTCTATTCTTTCGCTCTGACTTTTCTTTCGATTTTCGCTTTTTTTGGATTGCAGTCTGCCCTGCACCTCCTGGACATATCACTCTTTCCAGCGGTATTTTCTTTTTTGACGCTTGATTCCCCCTCTACATTTCTCTTCTATCTTCTAATGTCTGAGCCTCTTTTATATTATGCGCCTCCTCAGGAGGAGACCTTGGGTTATGGCTATGAATTCAATCACCAGACTCCGGAAGGCTTGGATTGTTAATTATGTTTTCCCGAGCGATGTTGCTGAAAACGTAGTGCCTTTACCATAATCAATAAATCACCATCGGTCATTGCTTTGGAATACACGTAGTTAGTATTTGCCTGAGTAGATGCTTGGGCATCTGTATGGATTGTAAGGGCGTAATGCTGTTTCGATACGCGTGGGCCGATAGCCGGAGAAACATTGGGCCGGCCGATCGGGATCCCCTGGAGCGCGGCGTGGCATCAATAGCAGCACAGCAGCTTCCGAACCTCGTTGTCAATCCCTAGACTTCACCGCCGGCCACTGCGACAATTACCATTGACAATGGGGGCGTCCCGTCTCACCATGCGGTCTCTCCTCGGCCTTCTTTTCCTCTTGTTCGTTCAGCTCACCTCCGCCCTGAAATTCGACCTCTCTGCCGTGAGCGGGAAGAATGAGCGATGTATACGCAACTTTGTTTTTAAGGACCAGCTCGTGGTCGTCACGGCTATTGTGAGCGGGAACAAGGGTGATGGACAGGTCGTCAACATGCATGTATGTGGAATCTGCCATCGCTTGCGACCATTATGTGGGCGATCGTTTGAGACAGCTGTCTTGTGCCCTCGATCATCCTACGTCGAGCTTGCTGCTTCAAAGTTATACTCCGCTAACTGGTTTTTCCTGAAATAGATCAAGGATGCATTGGGTAATGACCACGGCCGCCCCAAGGATATTGAGGGCGAGACTCGCCAGGCGTTCACTTCTCCCGCCGATACTGCCTTCGACGTCTGTTTCGATAACCAGCTCACCACTCGTAGTATGTTATTTGGTCCTAATCGGGCTATCTCTCGATACCCTCGAGATATAGGTGGCCACATGATTCTATTGGGTGCTAACCAGATGGCCAACAGAAGCTATTGCCAACCCTTACAAATCCATTGAACTTGATGTCGACATCGGTGCCGATGCCCGTGACTGGTCCAGCATCCAGGTTCAGGAGAAGCTCAAGCCTGTTGAGACTGACCTCCGTCGTATCGAGGAAATGGTGGCCGAGATTGTCAGCGAGATGGAGTACCTGCGGGCTCGCGAGCAGAAGCTGCGCGACACCAACGAGAGCACGAACGAGCGTGTGAAGTGGTTCGCTTTCGGTACTATGGGCATGCTGGTTGGATTGGGCGCTTGGCAGGTAGTTTATCTGAGGGCTTACTTCAGGTATGTTCTCCCTCTTCTCTTGGTCTGGTTTACATGCGGAGGTGCTGACTATTTACCCTTAGATCCAAGCATCTCATCTAGAACTAACCAGATTGGGTTCATAATCATGGGGAGGAGGAGGCTCCAGGTTGATGCTTTCTCTCTTGTCATGACAAAATATGGAGTTTTCCAATGCATTTCATCGAGTCTCTTTGGCCATATGTAGTCTTTCGGATATACTTCACGGTACACTGTTTGAATATTGATGATAACTATGATAATTTGCATGTACTTTGGTGCTGGTGGGCGCTGTGGTTTCCAGAGATCCATCCATTCTCATTGCATACATAAGAAGCCGCCTCCAATTTGCCAACCAACTGTATGCGAGAGCCGATCAAATGGCAATAGTATGGACTGAAGTGTTGCTTCCGGAATCGCGACGACAACTGACCACGTTAGCATGAGTTCTCCATCCAGACAAGAGAACTTGGAGAGCCAATCGAAACCTGCATTCCGTAGCATGCCTGCTGTTCTGCAGTCATGGCAGCATCAGAGGCAAAGATACATCCAGTTGGAAATCGGCCGGCGACGGTTGGCGAATTTCCCTGCAAACAGTGCAAACGAGGTTTCTCCGGATGATGTCAACCCCGTCATTCTTCGGTTACTACTTTATCGTCGACCTCCCCAGGATTTGGCAATTGGTCTTTCCCTCCTTCAGACCCCGGATAGAGTTGTTTCAGCTATCATAGTGATTCACCATGTCTGCTCCCAGACTGATCAACCGCTTTATGCGGCCGGCGACTTCACCAGTCACCCTCACTACCACTTTTGCCCGGCGCTCCTTCGGCAGCTCGGTTGTTCGTCGAAACGAAGTCAACCAAAACGATCGCGCGCCGTCCACGGCCCCAGAGCATCGCAAGAACCAGACGAACAAGCCTCCTAATCCCAATGTGCCTAATACCACTTCCACCATGACCAAGGATTTCCCCAAGGTGGGTGCGAAGTCGGCACCCCCGGAGCTTTTGAACTCGGTCGACCCGAACTACAAGCCGGCGGATCCTTACCCCGGAAAAGTCGAGCACTTTACCGGAGGTAGACAGGAAACTGGGGCCCAGAAGCCGGAACTCGGAGTCGGTGAGATGGAGGGTATCACCTTCAAGGTTGAGCCCCTGCGTCGGACTGGCGAGGATGTGACTACCATGAGGGCTCGGTTGTTGTGTTCGTTCCCCGGTCTTCCCCTTTCCCCCGACAATGGCTAATGTGACGTGGGGTCATACAGACCAGAGCCGCAAGCGCGGTATCCTTGAGTCTGATCTTCTGCTGTCTACGTTCGCCAATGTCTACCTGGCTGAGATGAGCAAGGAGCAGTTGCAGGAGTACGACCGGTTCCTTGACGAGAATGACTGGGACATTTACTACTGGGCCACGCAGGACCCTCCGGCTGAAGGTGCTGAGGGCGCCGCCTCGTCTACCGAATCGGGTGCTCAGGATACGCCCACGGAGACCTGGAAGCGTACTGGAGCCAAGAGCGGCGAGTGGGCGCAGACAGTTGGCGCTTTCAAGGCTGCATACCGGCCCGTTCCGTCACGATGGGCCGACTCGGATGTGCTGCGACTGCTGCGCGAGCATGTGCGGGATAACAGTGCCACCGGATTCCAAGCTGCGAAGAACAAGAGGACGGGGGGCGCTGGACTGGGACGGATGCCGAATGTTCAAGTGTTTGACCACTAGCTGAGTCGGTGACAAAAGAGGTATAGATATAGGGGGACTTGTATTATACGGACGAGATTGTACAGATACTTATATCCAATTGGCTTACAGGGAGGAAGCGGAGGAAGGTACAGTAGTAAAAGCAGTGCCATTTGTTCCTATGCATCGAGTTGGTAGGGGTGATGTCAGATGACAGGCCGGGCGGTGAGCCATCCACGTGACTCGCTTATCCGGGTTAGGGTTGGCGGTACCGCACAACAGCGAGCAGGGCTGGGCGCGCTAGTTAGGGCTCAGACGTGTCTGCACCTCCATCCTCATGCTGTGATTTTTATCTCCAGCCCAGAGTCAACGACAATTGCTCCGCCCGCGTTCATCCTCCTCTCTCCTCTCGCGGCCCCCTACCATCGTCTCCCAGACTCATCATGGCTGAGCAGCTGGTCCTTCGCGGTACCCTTGAGGGTCACAATGGCTGGGTTACCTGCCTGGCTACCTCTCTGGAGAAGTAAGGCAACTACCGATTGATTGATTGAAACCACCTGAAATGCGTTATCAGCGTGATCGAACAAGTATGCATGTGCTACCCACAAAGTGGTATATGGATGCGTTGTTGCAAGAAATGATCGCATTGGTTGAAAAATGGACAAATGGGTTCTGACTTCTATGTTTTTCTTCCTGCATTATAGCCCCAACATGCTGCTCTCCGGCAGTCGCGACAAGACCCTGATCATCTGGAACCTGACCCGCGACGAGCAGGCCTACGGTTACCCCAAGCGCAGCCTTGAGGGTCACTCTCACATCGTCTCTGACTGTGTATGCCTCCGACCCCGACCCCGCGATTCCGATTCCCCCGGCGACGAACTTGGCTGACTGGGTGTTTTGTTGTGTGTGTGCGTATAGGTGATCTCCTCCGACGGTGCCTACGCTCTGTCCTCCTCCTGGGACAAGTCCCTCCGCCTGTGGGAGCTCTCCACTGGTGAGACCACCCGGACCTTCGTCGGCCACACCAACGACGTTCTCTCCGTTTCCTTCTCCGCCGACAACCGCCAGATTGTCTCCGCTTCCCGTGACCGCTCCATCAAGCTCTGGAACACCCTTGGTGACTGCAAGTTCACCATCACCGAGAAGGGCCACACCGAGTGGGTTTCCTGCGTGCGCTTCAGCCCCAACCCTCAGAACCCCGTCATCGTCTCCGCTGGTTGGGACAAGCTTGTGAAGGTACGTCGGACCCATCAACTCTCCCCATTCATTCGAATTATCCGACTCCGACACGTCCAAATGATGTTTGCATATCTACGTATTTGCTACTTCAGAGCCTTTACGGCCATGAGACAAAAATTCACCCAATGCCTGATGGACACTCAATAAACACATCTGTTTATCTTTCTTGTTTCGCTCTGTTTCTCGAGCCTCCGCCCAAAGTCTCGACCCAAACTAACCCGAAACACTAGGTTTGGGAGCTCGCTTCCTGCCGTCTCCAGACCGACCACATCGGTCACACCGGCTACATCAACGCCGTCACCATCTCCCCCGATGGATCCCTCTGCGCCTCCGGTGGCAAGGACGGCACCACCATGCTCTGGGATCTCAACGAGTCCAAGCACCTCTACTCCCTCCACGCCGGTGACGAGATCCACGCCCTCGTCTTCTCCCCCAACCGTTACTGGCTCTGCGCTGCCACCTCCAGCAGCATCACCATCTTCGACCTCGAGAAGAAGAGCAAGGTTGACGAGCTCAAGCCCGAGTACATCGAGAAGGGCAAGAAGAGCCGCGAGCCCGAGTGTGTCAGCTTGGCCTGGAGCGCTGACGGCCAGACCCTGTTCGCCGGTTACACCGATAACAAGATCCGTGCTTGGGGTGTCATGTCGAGGGCATAGACGGGTTCGGAAAAAAACCGCGTTGTGAGAGGAACTTTTTAAACCATACCTTAAACAAGATAACTTACTCATTTCTGTTTTTTATTCCATCATCTTTTTTCCACACACATACACACACACTCAAAAATGGGCTGGCATTGGTTGGGATCTATGAGACCATGAGCAAAATGAAGTAATCCCCGAGGTTATCCGTTCCCCGCCCCCCTGGCCGACAGGTGGGGCGCGGGGGAGGGTGTAGGGACTTGGGGGGTTTTTTCTCCTTGACATGTCTAGCTTACTCGATTCGTCATAAAATTCGAAATGTCTGGGATCTTGTGAACGATGGGCATGCAACATGTTCTAATACCATTTTAAAAAAGACTTTTAAAAAATACCCCTGTCACCATTGGTCGGTCGTAGCTTTAGTCGGTCCTCCGCTTATCTATGTAGACTCCGCTTGCGTGGGGGTCTGTAATGCGGAGGGATCGAGATCGACATCGACTTCCCTTAGTATCGCCCCGTCGGGTTGTTTCGCTTCGTTAGAGTGTGGATTGCATGTTGCACCTGGCCTGGCCTTTCTATCCTGTGTATGCTATACTACACTAATACTATATATACATGTTCCCCTGCGGGTATCATCAGAGGTTCAGCGTCCTGCAATGGTCATCATATTATTTCCTGCTCTTCACCTCGTTAATACAGTCCGTGATCAAACGCGCAAGCTCATGGTCGTTGGTGTTCTGGTACCCGTCCCTGGCCTCGGTATAATGTTTTATAGCTTCTTCCCGCTTGTTCTGAAACGAGGCCAGCTCTCCCAGGATAAGATGGGCACCTGCGGAGCCGGCTTCGCACTGCTCATTCTGGCCGTCGCGGATCTGAGCACATTTAGCAAGGGCCTGGAGGGCCCACTTGCGCGAATTCTCGATGGCCTCTTCCCGTGTGACACCGGGCTCCACGGATGGACGGCCCTTCATGGCTGCTTCGCCGATAGTGGAACTGATGTTGCAGAGGACCGTCACCTGCTTGCAAGACGGCGTGTCTTTTTCATCGGCGATGAGCAAGTCCAATGAGCGCAATAACAAGGGCAGAGCATAGTGTTCTTGACCCGTTTCGTAGTAAAAGCTGCCCATGTCCGTCAGGGCCGCTGCGATCTCAGTCAAAGACATCCAGTGGCCTCCACCGATCGGAAGACCCGCATCGGCACGACGTTGCATTTCCCGGAGAGCATAGTCCACCGCGAACCCCAGCGCTTCCTCCGCCTTGGCATCATCCTGCACGTAATCGCTCCGATACAGCTCCGCCAGCTTCATCGAGATTCCCACAATCTTCGCCTTTGACTTGTCCCGTTGCTGGGCATCATATGCATCCACCTCCTTCATCTGCTCATAGGCATCGAGAATGTCCGGGTCAGCTTCCAGCGGGTACGCGGCCTCCTCGGCAGTCTTCTTCCTATCCTCTGGTTTTTCCACCCCCTCGAGGTTTGGTTCCTTAGAGGAAGACTGCACCCAGAGACACGCATCTGCTCTGATCTTCTCCAACACCTTAATCGCCGCCGGAACAAGCCCCGCCTTCTCGAGCACCGCCGCAATCTGCAACTTGATCCCCATCATTTCGTCCGAGAATGGATGCATTTTCAAATCGCCTCCTAGCTTATACGCCTCTTTATACGCCTTGACTGCCTTGTGCGGGTTCAAGTCCACTTCCGTATAGTACACCGCCGTGCGGAGCCGCTCCGCAACCGGTGCCGGGAATTTGTGGTATTGTGGCGCCACCTGGGTGGCCTCGACGTAGGCGATGTAGGCAAAGATGCCGGAGGCGGTAGCAACGGAGACCAATGCCAGAGGCAGGAGGATGGGGTTCTTGCGCCAGATGCCTTTGGAGGCTTCTTGGAAGCCGCGCTTCATCTTTTGGCCAAACGAGAGGTGTCGGGTTTGGGGGGCAGTGGGGCGGACAATCGAGGGGGTTCGGCTGAGGGGGGTAACTGGACGTGGACGGACAGGTATCGAGCGTGTTGAGAAGGCATGTTGGTGGTTATGTGTGATGGTTCGAGGCAGGGCGCTGGTGCGCCGGGCTGCTGCGCTGAACATAATGTGGGTTTTTCGTTAGAGATACTCAATCAATGAGCAGGATATATAGAGACAGTTGGTAGTACAGCCAGAAATAATTGTACCCTTTATTATGGAAAACGAAGGGAAAAGTGGAAAGATAATTGAACCCCGTGAGTTGAGAAAGAAGAAGAAATGGCCGGCGGAGAAAGATCGAGGCGAGAAGGTGCCGATCCAAAGGCGGTGGTCCAGGCTTCTCCGCCTGCCTGGAATGACGTCGCTCGGTGCCTCTCTTTCCCCGTCGCATCTGCATGCCATCTAATTCTTTCGTCGATCTGAGCTTCTAGCGCGTTTTGATTAAGCTCAAGATGTGTGGACGATATGCCTTAGGCGTGGTACGCAGTTATCTCACATCCATCATGCGTCAACATATATATACACTACCATCAAACGTGGTACTAATTGAACCTACCAGCGCATGAACTTCATCCGCAACCGTCTTCAAGAACAAGGCATGGAGGTTGAGGAAGCACCTGATGACGACGAAGTCCGCGAAACCTACAACTTCGCGCCGGGCAACAACGGCGCCGTCTACCTCGCTGATACACCCACAGAGAACCACCCAGACAACCGACAAAGACAACCCAGTCCAACTGACCAAGTCGCATCCGAAAAGAATGCCGTGCACCCTCACTATAAGCTCCAAAGCATGAGATGGGGTCTCATCCCATCGTGGACGAAGCGCAAACCAGACTACGGATCACTGATGCGGACGATTAATTGCCGGGATGATTCGCTATCAGAAGACCGGGGGATGTGGACGTCCATGAAACGCAAGAAACGGTGCGTGGTGGTATGTCAGGGCTTCTATGAGTGGTTGAAGAAGGGCCCTGGGGGGAAAGAGAAGATCCCGCATTTTGTGAGGAGGAAGGATGGTAACTTGATGTTTTTTGCGGGGCTTTATGATTGTGTCTCTTATGAAGGTGAGATTCATATCTTTCCTGCCTTGATTTTGTTAGGGATTATACTGGGCTGGGCTAACTGGAGATAGATTCCAGTGAACAGCTATACACCTATACGATTATCACGACATCGTCAAACCCTTATTTGAAGTTCCTGCATGATAGGATGCCGGTGATTCTGGACCCAAATAGCGAGATGATGAAGATTTGGCTGGACTCGGGACGGACGACTTGGTCGAAGGAGTTGCAATCGGTTCTCAAACCGTATGAGGGAGAACTGGAGTGTTATCAAGTGCCGAAGGAGGTCGGGAAGGTGGGAAATAATTCCCCAGACTTCATTGTTCCCGTGAGCAGTAAAGAGAATAAGAGCAATATTGCCAATTTCTTTGCGAATGCGAAGAAGGGAGGTGTGAAAGAGGAACCATCACAGGATATGGTGAAAGACGAGAGGGCCACGAAAGATGCGGAATGGAGCGAGGACAATGCTCCCAAGCCGGTTCCCGGAGTCAAGAGGGAGCATTCCTTGGAGGTCGAGACGGGGGAAACCAAGAAGCCGAAGACGGAGTCGAGTGTGGCTTCGAGCCTTGAATCTAGTTCACCGTCTAAGCCAGTGACGCTTGCGGGGAAGACGATGCGCAGTGCCACTCGAAATACGCCGGTGAAGAAGACCCCGGAGAAAAAGTCCACTGCAGGGACCCAGCGTATTACGAACTTTTTCCACAAGTGAAAGGATGGAGGATGGATATGTTCTACCCTCGGGCTGGACCTGAGCTGGTCGACTGTAACCTAGGCATGACCAAATTGCGTCAACTGCCAGCAGTTTGTATGGAAAGCTATTCCACAAAAGCTAGGTTAATAATACATCTGAGCTATTGTACAAGGCTTCTGTTGCAGCCTATTGCGCCTCTTGCTCGCGCAGCTTCTTGACCAACTTTTCCCTCAGGAACGGGCTCAAACCAAAACTGGTGCCGTGTTAGTACCATCCAGACAACAACAATAGAAGATAAAACCTACATTCCATCCCGAGTGACAATCCGATACGTCCCTTGTCAAGTCAGCCATCATCCCGCGCATAGTTCATCAATAGCACACCTACCACTCGGTTGATAATTGCCATTACCTCCCACAAACTGACCATTACCATCAACTTCCAAGCTCCCGAAAATATCCTCCGGCCTATCCACACCATCAGCAATGCTCAACTCCAGACATAGATAAAGCAGGCTATAACATACCAAGCAATCCGACCATACTCGGGCGGCCGTCTACTATCCGAAAGATGAATCCAGCCCCCTCTCCCAGCCGAGCCAGCACCACCTTGACCGCTAGCTCCGCCACTAGAATCACCCACCTCGCCGCGACGTCTCCTTCCACGCGCACCCGTCATCAGCACCCCTCCAGAGGTCAGATTCGCGCCCGCCGTCGAGACCATCACCTGGGCCTGGGAGATCGCGTCGGGATCTTGGTATCCATACTCCGTGACCACGTCCTGGAGGACTTTAATGAACTTGGAGTTCTCTCGGAAGGAGTCGGGCGTGGGAGGGAGTTTGGAGGTGACGCCGAGGGCGAGGTCGGGGTTGGTGGGTTCGGATGGGAGGAGGGAGAGGACGTTGGTTCCGTTTTGGGGGAAGACGTACTATATCATATTAGCTGTGTTCGCAGGAATGGTTTGTAGATTGGGGTTTCCATAGTATCGTGAATGTTCCAGTTTACTTGAGTTGGGGTTCTTACAATGTGAGAGTGGCCCTCCAGCGTCGACACAGCACGGAACTGTGTCCACCTGGGAGTCTGGCGGATGAATGATCTCAGACCCAGCATGGTGAGATACCACTGCAACACACGCCAATTGCGATTGATACTGCAAAGATAGACTATATGCAATGGGAAGAAGAGTGCAAAGGCTATGACGCTGTGCAGACAAACAAGACAAACTCATGTGACTGCGCGTTAAGTCGGCCGCGACCAGCAAAGGCGGGCCCCGGCGCATCCAATCCGTCGAGAAATGCAGTTCGTCAAGTGGGATTGTCTTGTCTTGTCTTTCGCTGGTGGTTTCTGGATTACTACATTGCGGGCCAGACTGCTATGGATGCTTTCTATGTGACACCCTGACAAAAAATAGCAGCGGGTTGCGACAATTCCTTATCATCTTTTTTATCTTGATTTATCCGACTCCCATCTAAGACATGCCGCCTACATGATTATTTATCTTCTATTCTAGGCTGCTTGATTTCATTATCGCATGCGTGATACCCGATTCCTTTAGTTGCCCTTCTTGGCTACTTTGTAATTTCAATTACTATCTCAGCTGGATATACTACATTGGGTTCCTGGTTGGATACTACTGAATAGCTAGGTCATCATGGCGACCCCATCGTCGAAACCGAACCCAGGAGCCACTCCCACGCATCTGACCTCGTCCCCTCGTCCACACATGGCCCGACCAATCGCGCACAAATCGCCCTCCACAAGAACCCCCTCAGCTTCCGGCCCGGGTCACACCCAACCCCCGACCTCGACGCACCAGTACGCTACCCCTCTCGCCGTGACCGCCGGAACGGAGGACCCCGTGACGTTCAGCTCTCCGTCGGCTCTCCTCGCTCTCGGCGGGTATAGCGGAATCAGCCCGTCTCCTGCTGGTCACGATGGCCTCGTCGGCGCAGGTATGAATGACAATGACATTCAGGCGCTGGGCATGCAGGGATTGAAGCTCGGGGGTGCTCGAGATAGCGATGAGGAGCGCAGACGACACATTGAAGACGTGGTTCAGCTGCTCCGGACCCGGGTCTCGGGTCGGGGAGTGTGCAGGGAAGGCATTGAGCGACTGGGTGACCTTGAAGGGTTCGAGTCGATTTGGCAGGAGGATAGCCTCAGCATTGCGGGGAATTTTGTCGACTTGGAGATTGATTTCCATCGGGGGTATAATGTGGTCAAGGATGTCAGTTTGAAGTATGCGACACCTGATGCTGCGGACGAGGAACGGCGGGAGGCTACGGCCGTTCTCAAGCGTCACTTGATACAGTCACCTGAAGAGGGCGAACGGGGCACTTGGAAGCCTTTGAGCGGGTTTCATGAGAATCTACAGTGGCTGGCGAAGCATGATCGACTCAGTCAGGAGGTCAATTGTTTCGAGGCTATCGAGGGGCTTTACGAGAGCTTGAAGCGTGTGTGGGATGCCGAGTGGAAGCATCGCACATTCGCCGGTGTCTATGATCATCTTTGCAGTGGCTGGGTGGGGAGGCCGGGTCTGCATAAGGGACGTCGCATGGGGCTCGGGCTGGACTACTGGATGCAGCAAGCACGCGTTCTGGATGCGAAGCAGAAGAAGAAATCGTCGGATGAAATGGAGGTCGACCTGCCGAATGGGCAATCGGACGAGGAGTCGGATTTGGCCGGAAAATGGAGTGTCGTGATTGAGTGCGAAGAGGGCTATCCTTCCCTCCGCGTGTCGAAGGAGTGGGTTGGGCCGGAGGTTCTGACGGTGGTTAATAACGGCAATGGACCATCGTCGAGTGAGTCCGGGTCTGATGCTGGAGTTGTCAACTGGCTCGACCCCCCGGCGACATTGACTTCCAACCAAGACCATCCGGACGCCATGGCGCTTGACTCGGGCATGCTGGGTTCTGCTCCTAACCGTCGGTTCGTTGCTAAACTGGAGCCACCCTTGGATTTACCGATACTGGCTGCATCGGATATTTACCGACACCTGGGAATGCAGCTGCCGCAGGAGTTCAAGATGGTCACCTACGATGGATTGTTGGCCCCGGGATGGTCGCCTCTGTCTGCGGCCGGCGCCATGGGGTTGGGGCCTGAGGACGCATCTCAGCTTGGTCGGAGAAGCCGGCGGATGCCCGTGCAGACAGTTGACAGCGAAGGCAGATCGTGTACAAAGCACCACAGCTATACATTTCAGCCGTTCGAGTCTGTTGCTGGCCGAACAATGAGAGACTTTCCTTTCTCGCATCCTAGGCAACTTGCCGATATTCTTCCGGTATGAATTTGGTGCTCGAATTGGGTCCGAAATTACTGACATGCCTGTTAGATCCTGCGCCAGTATGCGTTTCTAGCGAACCTAATTCGCAGCATCTTCAGTTCCTCATTCAAACCCGACGATGAGAAATCCGACGACCAGACTACTTCGCAAGTTCTGTCGTTTTCTAAAGGGAAAGCAAAGAAGGACGATGTCATAATCCTGAGCAACGAAGATCCAAACAAGAAGAGGCTTGATCAATTGCTGGGGGGCTTTGGCACAGCTGCTTTCCCGGGTGCTAAGGGCAAAAGTCCTGCGACTGCTGGGGATGGGCACTTGGATGTCGACTCTGCTATTGACGACGTCAAGGTAGAAGTGACGTTGCGCACGCAGCTCGGACAGGCACCGGTGATTATGCTACTGTTTGCTGTGGAAAACGCGGACGGATCGTCGGAACCGGTCAACCTGGAGGCTGCATTGAACAAGGTCTCTATCAGTCTAGAAGTCGGGCTCAACGGCCGCGTCGCAGTGGTGGACATGACGGGTCTGCTAGAAGACGATGGGACAACCACGGACAGCATGGACGGGCAAGTCCAGAGCGAGGCTCTCGAGTTGCAGGCCAAAATCGCGAAAGTGCTGGAATTATCCCAGGACATTGGGATCTTAGTGGAATGGATGTTACGATGGGCGCGGCAGCGAAAGGGCCGCTGAAACTGCGGTGTCCGAGACGGTTCGGGAGCTGGTCAGCTGCATCCGAGTGGGGAGCGATCTCGTACTCGATCCAGCGGTGACGCAAGCTGGGATGTCCATGAGGAAGGCACTAATTCATCCGTGGGGGCTTGCCCAAGATTCGACCGACATTCTAGAAGCCGGCCGGCCCATTTTTCTGCATGGCTGTCATACACAGTCGGTCTGTAACACCCGATTATACCACCCTTCGGTCTGGTGCATGTGATGGAATCTAAGCTTAATCTGGGCAGTTCTGGAACATTACTGCCATGTGCTGGGTGACTGCGGAGAGCGGATAGCGAAATCATCAAAGGACAACCATCTCAAAGAAAGGGCCTAACAAGACGTGAAGAATTGCAGATCAGATAAGCAACGTGTGACTGTCAGGTCGACTGACTCCTCGGAACCGTAGCTGCAGGGGAAAGGAGCCTCCGGAAGATCTAGACCGCACTGATGACTACAACTAGCCACAAGCCAACTAAGTCACTAACCAGCAACGTTCGTATACCGTCCAAATCAAAAATTTAGAATCCACCTTGTGGCAGTCATAAGAATAGCCCAATAAATCAATAGCCCCGGCTGATCTCTGAAACCGGCCAAGTCACAAGACAAAGCGACCGACACATCTCATCAAACAGACATAACCACTGTATGAGGGATTAATCCTGCCTTCCTTCGGGTTCCCCACCCCCAACAACATGCAAGGAGGGCCTTTACATTGCATGTGCTTATTCCCAGCATTCTTCCTTGAAGTCTCAGACAAGACACAACATAAGTTACCCCAATACTGAATACAATGTAGTATACTCGTACAGCAATTACCACCACCCACCACCACCAACAAAAGAAGAAACTCCCCTGATCAACATAGATATCTGCTATATCTCGTGAGCTGTCAAGAATTGAATAAAAGTCAGATAGTGATAGATTTTCATCGGCTACCATGTCCCTCCGATCCCCCCCAAAAACTTTTATTTTTCCTTCAGGAAAAAAGTCAAAGCATGGACCCCCAAACACCAGTACCTGGCGGCTGACCGACCGGCTGGCCCTGATCAACTGCGCGAATTACTCTCCCTGACTGGCTGCCTAACTATGGAGCTATGATCCAGTTCAGGTAGCTTTTTTACTCCCCCGGCCCCTTTTGTGAAATTTTTATACTTTATTGAGGTATTTTTTGCCTTTCTTTCTTAGATGTGTCTATTACTTTGGTTTATGCTACTGTTTATGTGGTATGGTGGTTGTTACGGGTGTGTTTTTGTTTTTCGTTCTGGTTTCGAGGGTGGATTGGAATTGGTTGTCTGTATCAATGTAGTATGTAGCTGGGTGGGTAGCTGGGTAGCAGGTAGCTACCCCATGTTTAGGCATTGCATACGGAGTATCCGTACACTGCAGTATGTATGTATGTATGTGTGTCTGTGGCATGCGGCCGAGATCGCTCATCGCTCATGTCTCATGTCTCATCTCTGTTGTGGTGTGGGTGTGGGTGTGGCTGGTGCTGGTACTGGTACTGGTGCTGGTGACGTCTTTGACGATTCTCTACCACCACACTACTACTCTGTTCGTACTCTATACTGATAGCATTGGATTTCGCTTCACTTGGATATACACTGTACTGTAGTATTTACACCTGGTGAAGGATCATAACTATTTACCCAATTCCCAAATCCTATATAGTAAGTGAATCGGATGAGCTCGCAATAAGGTTTATTCTCATGCAGAATCTGCAAATGGAGGTGGTGGGGTGCGGTATATCATTTGAGCTGTCAGTGTTATTTCCTAGCTATGGGATCTTATTTGGACGTGTTCAAGTGAGTAGATGAGATGACTGACTACTGGGAGATTCAGTAGATACATCTTCTATGCTGGAAAGTTATACGGAGTATGAGGATATGTTTGGCCGCTGGGTGGTTCATAATGACTGGTATAGGTGGCCTTATTCACAGTCGGGGGTCTGCTCGATGGTGATGGGATTCGATGTGTCGAGTGATCGGCTATTTTATGTGAAATGTAACTTCCAGGAACTGTGCTTGTGCAGTGTACGTCGTATGGTTGTTAGACGGGTTGATGATGTTTTCTAAAATGTACTATGTAGTATGATGGTATGTCTAGCATCTGAGTGGAGTATTGCAAGAAGCCACAAGGCAGTTACATACTTGTGATGTTATTATTATGTAGACTGGGAATAGATCATTGCCTCTGATATCACACTGTAGATGGTCGGCCCGAAACCAGTCAGCGGTGTTTGTCATGCCCTCGGCCGATGGACCAATCATCACCCGCCGATAAGCTCGCGCCCTTCGAGTTCGCGATCTACAGGCAGAACCGTGTTCTGATTAGTTTTATCGCCCGTTTCATTGAGGGGTTAACTCCAATGGGGTGATAAATTTCTGTTCTGCTGGGCCGGTGAGGGATATATTGACTCTTTCTGTGCTGAGAGGCTTGCATCGTGGACCGCCAGTCCACTGTTGCGACGCCCGAATCCATCTTGGTCTGCTAGTTTTTCACGAGGTGCAGCAGCTGTTGGTCAGAATAGGTGTGGCAGGAATCTGGTCCACCTCGTACTTGGCATTACCGTCCGAGTATATGCGCCTGGTTTCTTTCATTCATTCTGATGCAACTGGGTCCGAATTGAAACAAGGCATCCAAATCAGATACGGAGGGCCTGCGTGTGTGCCGCTAAGCCCGACTCGGCTAAGAAGGGTGCCGCGCCACTCGGGGCGGTGCGGTCAGAGTCAGACATCCCAGATTCTCTGGGCAGTGACTGACGTACAGAGCAGGTAGTATGAGGCCTTTATACGATGAACCCCGTGCCCGGTGGATTTAAGCTACGCTGCCCAGCGATGACATCGGATACCTCACATTGCCCATATTCAGTAGTGGGTGGAGGCCACTGACCAGGCATGACGTCCGCAGGGCTGATCGGAAGCGCAGCCACTGCCTCCCTCACCATTCCTGAAACTCCCGACTTGGCCGCTCTGTCATTTGCTGCCGCGCCCTCCATCCACCCCCGGCAGACAAAAGACTCCGGAGAAAGGGACACCCAAACCCACGATCGGACACTAACAGACAAATGGGTCACCGCAGAGCCTGCGGAAAGCAAATCCTGGGGTTGAACAAGGATACCTTACTTCATCGTCCCTCCTCAGGAGTTCACCTCAGAACCTGGCCCTCCATTCACCCGCCGCCCCCTTTTGACTTTTTCCCTCTGGAACCGTTTTTCCCTCCACCCTCGGCCCTGGAGGCGGTGCACCTGCGAGTAACACACCGCGCTCACCTGATATTAGTCACAGAACCTAATTATAACTCCATCTAACATGGAAACCGTGGCCGGTCTCGGGGCTCGCAGCGGCTCTCTCGCCTTTTACCCTTGGAATGTTTTGCCACGCCCCACTCCCGGCAAATCCTCCACTCGACTTGCGTTGGGAGGCAAGGCATGGCCCTGCTTGGGTTTACCCGCCAATGTGTATCTGTATTTCCCCGTGTAAAGCTGTCAGACAATGTATCCCGGATGTATGCATTGGGGGGTGGAAATTCATCGGGCCGGTCGCTGGACAGGAGACAATGGATATTGATGCCTTTTACGTGCCGTGCGAAACAGGCAAGGCGCCGCCAAGTTCTATCGTCCATGCGCGATTAAAGCGAAAAAGGACAAAAAAGGGCAGATAAAAAAATCAGTCGGCAGGCGCGCCATGATCCACCCACGCGACTCATGGCGGGGATTTGAGGGGCAGCCACTGATAAGAAATCCTCCCAATTTAGATAACCGCAGGTACAGCGGGAGCCGGACCAGTACGTATCGCCCGAGTGTATTGCCCGTACCCTCAGATCGTGATTTGTTTCCTATCAGCGGTATTCGTCCGGCCTCTCTGGTACCGGTGGTCATTTACTCGAGGACGGCGAGTGCAGCCAAGGCAATATGGAAGTCGGCCACCAGACTCTCGATCAACCCCCCTATGGCAGCAGGAGATAAGCCGGGAAAGATAGAGCCGGAACCTAGACGACTTCTTTCCTATCATTGTTATCCTGAGCTGCATCCATCCTACCAATAAGAACCCATGTCAATGTGATTAGGCGCAGGCAACGTTCGAGCTATTCGGGTCCTGCAGCTGATATGCATCGGCCGACCACTCGTTGATAATTCCTCTTAGCAACCTCTTGGGGTCGCTATCTCTGGAGGACCGGCGGACAGGAAGGCAGAGAGGGAAGGTGAGGGATCAGACAATATCATGATTACTTTTTGGAGGGGGAAACCAGGGTCAGCCGACATGGCTTTGCGATGCGGTGTGCGTAGAGTGCGGGATGGGAGTTTCTTTTGTGCCCTGAGCAGTGGGCACCGGAACCAAGTGGACGTCTCTGATTCAGATCACCATCGCGTGGGGTGGATGATTATCTGGGGAAGGCCAACCGCTGCCCGGGTTCGAATGAGGATGTTGTGATTAATACTCTCAGTCATGGCTGGAGGGGCTGCCTATCAAAGTCTAGGCAGTCCGGATTACTACGCGCTGCTAGGAAATTATCCGACTGCAGTAGTGCCTTCCCAGAAAGCTGTCGCTGTCAGACCTGGAAAGGAGGGGCATCTTCGGTGCCTCCATTTTACCCAAACGGGTAATATTGTGGCTTCACGACGGACGCCCGTCGAGGCTGGACTACTGGCTTCATCATCATTATTACGTGGAATGGGGGCCCCATCCGGTGCTAATGCAATCTCCTGCTAATTTATCATATCAATATATTAGCAATGTCTCTGATTTCTCCGTGGATTCTGCCAGCGTGGGCATGCCCACGCTTAGCATCGACCGGCGTACGTAGTAGACTTGATATCGCAAAGCCAGAGTCGGGTCTAGTCCTTACCGTCGGCGGGCGATGGAAATGGTGGCGTAACGAACCCTGGTCTACCCTGCAGCCTTGCCGCATCTTCTGGTATCGATGCATCCGGCGAGCGCGAGCTGTCTCGAGCAGCTTCACTTCCTGTTCTGATCGGAAAGAGCTTGATTCAGAGGGCCGATTCATGGCACATGGACCGTGTCCTGTGAAGAGCTATGCGATCTGGATCGCCCAGTGACTCCTCACATTGAATGCGATCGGGGAAGCCGGCAATACGGGCGCGGTGGAAAGCGTAATACGGACGCGGATGCCCAGCAACCGAAACGGCGGCGGAGCGTGACGGTAATTTTCAGAGTTATTTTTGAATTTCCAGGTCCATTTTTGTCTGGGACTTTTGCCCCCCCAGGCAAAGGCCGCCTTCCTCATTCTCTTAAATTTAAAGGATATCCCTCCCCACCCACTGAACCGCTGACTTACATCTCCATTCCTCCTCCTCACTCCGCCATCTTTTATCCCACGCTTCTCTCTCTTATATCTCAGGATCCTTCCTCTCTCTCGCTACCACCACTTACTCTCGATCAATCTTTTGTCTCGCGCGTTCGTCGTTCTTGGACTTGATTGACTCATTCTTGAAGTCTCTTGCCAGCTTTGCATCAGCAAGCTCAAATAATCAAAAAAGAATTTATCTTAATTCTTCATCCTCCACACACACTTCACAATGGTACGTTTTCCCTAATCTTCTCTTCGGCACCCCCGTCGGCGTCGCCGTATCAGTTCCTTGGTTGGAACCTGCTCGCTGACTTATACTTCTCTCCTTAGGCCTCTGGTGAAGCAACCGTCATCTCCAACACGGAGAATGTGCGTTCATCTTCTCGTTAATACCTTGCATTATCTTTCTTCAGCCGCATTGCGGATTTGAGGAAAATGCCATACTGACTGGCTGGAAACAGCTCATGAAGTACATGTCCCTCGACCAGCGAGGAACAGTTCAGGCTGAGTACGTCTGGATTGATGCTGTCGGCGGCTGCCGTAGCAAGACCAAGGTAAGCGCACACTCTGCTTGTTTGACGCGTCCGCGCGACAATGGGTCCGGCCGTGTGTCCTGGATAGAGGAGACGAGGGGTCGCCGTTATCTTGTTCCCTCTACACCGATAAGCCCTGCGCACGGTGACCCGATCCTGCACGCGCCGGCTGCACCCACCCATGGCACGTGACCCAGCGCAACTCAGGCTAACGGATTGTCCCTCGTTCTAGACTCTCTCCAAGCCCGTTCAGTCGGTCGATGAACTCCCCGAGTGGAACTTCGACGGCTCCTCGACTGGCCAGGCCCCCGGTGACAACTCCGATGTCTACCTCCGCCCCGTTGCTATCTTCCCCGACCCCCTCCGCCTTGGTGACAACATCCTCGTCCTCTGTGAGACCTGGGACTCCGATGGAACCCCCAACAAGTACAACCACCGCCACGAGGCTAACCGCCTGATGGAGATCCACGCCAAGGAGGAGTGGTGGTTCGGTCTGGAGCAGGAATACACTCTCCTCGGTACTGATGGCTGGCCTTACGGATGGCCCAAGGGCGGTTTCCCCGGTGCCCAGGGTCCTTACTACTGTGGTGTTGGTACCGGCAAGGTCTACTGCCGTGACATCGTTGAGGCTCACTACCGTGCCTGCCTGTACGCCGGCATCAAGATCTCCGGTATTAACGCTGAGGTCATGCCTTCCCAGTGGGAGTACCAGGTCGGCCCCTGCAACGGCATTGAGAGTGAGTTGCCCGTGCTTCTAATTGTCTCTGATTATAAATACTAATAATGCTGCAGTGGGTGACCACCTCTGGATGTCCCGTTTCCTCCTCCACCGTGTTGCCGAAGAGTTCGGTGTCAAGATCTCTTTCGACCCCAAGCCCATCAAGGGTGACTGGAACGGAGCCGGTCTTCACACCAACGTCTCTTCCGCTTCCATGCGTGCTGAGGGTGGTATGAAGGTCATTGAGGCTGCCATGAAGAAGCTCGAGGCCCGCCACGTTGAGCACATCGCCGTTTACGGTGAGGGTAACGAGGAGCGTCTCACTGGCCGTCACGAGACCGGTAGCATCGACAAGTTCAGCTACGGTGTTGCTGACCGCGGTGGCTCCATCCGTATCCCTCGCCAGTGCGCCAAGGATGGCAAGGGTTACTTCGAGGACCGCCGTCCCGCTAGCAACGCCTGCCCCTACCAAATTACCGGTATTATTGTTGAGACTGTAAGTTCTCTTGTGCTGTTCGAAGGTGACGGATGACTGACTGCTCGCAGCTTATGGGTGGCAACTAAATGCGTTACATACCGTTTGAAAATGTGAATACACTTCATATTAGCGCTCGTATACCCTCCGGCGTCGTTAGGGAGGACAATAGCGCGGCCTGGCACCGTTGGAGCAAACATAGAATTTCTTTTTCTTTATGGTAGTTCGGGATGTCTTCTTTCTCTCCTGCCAGAGCTTGCCTTGCGATCCTTAGCTTCTGCTGGTCCTGCGTTTTGTTTCTTTCGTTATTGGGTTATGTGTTACGTACAGCATAGAGGACTTCGGAGGACCGACAGTCACTTGAAAATGAATCGGTGGACGTGCTTATGCACTGGAAGGATCGAGATAGATTAATGGCCATCTGCCAACATAGTGAATAACACTCATTGCCTATAGGCTCGACTCAGCTATATTCATTGCGTGTCATTGCATAGTGCCAGCCAAAGTCTAAATATCTAACAACCTGTATATCAACTACTATTACAGTGTCGTGTATACACCCTGTTATATATAGGATGTGTTGAGGCACCCTCAGTGCGACTTCTTCCAGAACTTCAACATGCCGGGTCCCAACCCATCCAGCCCCCTCTGCCTTGCCTCCCGTCTCGCGGCCCCATCGACAATTTTGTCCGGGTCCTCCTCCCCACCATCCCCACCCGCCTCAACTCCCCTCTCCTTCTTCCTCCCATCCACAACCCTCAACAAAACCTCCATCAACACCGCGGCCAAGATACTGGCACACAGAATCCCCACCATGACCAAATTACTCTTCCGATACTTCGCCCGCCCCGTCGCCTCATAATCACTCTTCCAACCGGAATACAACGCGTACGTCGTTAAGATACTACCCAGATTACCCCATCCAGAGACGACGGCCGACGCGGCAGCGACACCGACTTCGCCGTGGCGCTTTTGGAAGACCTCCGCGGTCCAGGTCATCGTTATGGGGACTGTGGGCCCGAGACCGAAACCGACGATTAGGAGGCCGCCGTAGCGAGGCCAGGAGTTGGTGTCGGTGCCGGCATAGGTGGTCAACAGAAGGCCGAGGATTTGGAGACAGACGGGGATGGAGAAGAAGAGGGCGCGGTGGTGGTGGAAGCGGTCGGAGAAGGGGGTGACGAGAACGATGGCGATGAGGTCCATCTGTTTAGCATTGTTAGTGGTTGGGTTGATGTGGGATAGGAGGAACGGGGATGGGACTCACGATCCAAATTGGGGCGGAGAGGAGACTGAGATCGATGCTGGAGAGGGAGGGGTTGATGGCTTCGATGATTATGGTGGCGTAGCTCTGGACGCCGATTCCCACGCCCACGACACCAAAGTACATGATGAGGAGGGGCCAGAGACGCCAGTCCAGGAACACGTAGAGAAGGTCCTTCCAGGTCCACTGGGCACGGTGGTACACGCGCTTCAGGTCGTAATAGTGGATTTCAGCATCCCGGCCTGTCAGGGCTGGAGGGCTGCGCGGGAACCACCAGAGGTATTTGCGGCGAGGGGGTTCAGCGCCTGGTGCGAGGGGGCGGTCGGGAAGCCACCAGAGGAGGATGATCCCTACGGCGATTGTGATCACACCGTAGACGAGGAACATCCATTGGAAGCCGACGTAACCGCGCTCACCGTCCATTTCTTGGAATCCAGCGGAGACGAGACCGACGACCGCCGCGGAGACCTGGGCGGCTGTATAGTATTGGCCGATGCGTTTGCCAGTTCGGGATGGGGGGTAGAAGAGCGTAAGATAGTAGGTCATGCCGGGCCACATGCCTGCGATGACGATACCGAGGAGGAGACGGAGAAGGCTGAGTATAGCATGTTAGTAGGTTGACATTGTAGTGTGCGCGAGAGGGCATACTATAGACTCCATGCGGCTTTCATTGCAGTCATGCAGGTCCCAATGACACCGACGCTGATGACAATACGGCTCATCCACACATGCGGGCTTAGTCGGGTCATGATCAGGTTGGACGGCAGGTCGAAGACGACATAGCAGACGTAGAATAGGGCCAGACCGGTGGAGATCTGGTGCGGGGTGCAGTGGAGGACCGAGCCCAGATCATGGCCGGCATCAGTGTTCATGGTTTGCGCGAGACTGACATTAGAGCGCACCGCGGCGCAGAGAAAGTAGAGGACCCAGAATGCGGGGATGATGCGGTAGTCCAATTTTCTACAGAAGTCAGAACGAAGACCTGGAGCGGAGGGGAAAACAAAAGAGACCATACTTGTAGATGCGCTCGATTTCCGCGACATCGGGCTCGCTGCCCGTTTCAGCATCCCCATCGTGACTGCTCGAGGATCGCTCGTGGACATCCTCGGTGTCGGGATGCTTTCCCAGCCCATGGATCTGGGCTTGCGGTTCCATCAGGGACATGATGGAGCGACTGAGGGCAGAATATGCGACCAGGGTATTGTTTCCGTGGCGGGCACCGTCAACGCCACAGCCGAAGACTTACAAGGGTGCGTGAGACGGTCGACTCAGTAGATGAAAAAAAGATGTCGGAGGAGACGGAGGGGAAATGGGTGATAAGGATTGCGCTAGATACAGCTGCCAACCCCGCACTGGCAGGACTTCGTGGCAATTCAACGGTGGGAGGGGAAGTATAAAGACGGCAGTGATCAGCCCTGTGGAATTGCAGGCATGTTAGCCTGGTGGATGCGCAAGATTTGTTGGGAGCAGAAGCGGGGAGAGCTTGAGCTCGGAGGAAGCATGAGCTCAGAACTTATCAGAGGTGGGGAGAGCTCTAGGCAACGGGAGGGAGGCATACTTGGACAGAGACGGCCATGATGGATGTTGGAGAAGACAGGAAGAAGCCCGAGTCAATTGGAGCCAGCGATGAGGGGAATAAGCGAAGAAAAGAGGGAACGCAAGGGACGAGCTGCTTGGATGGCGAGGCGTCGGGGGCGATCGCCGAGCGATTGATAAAAATCGCCAAGGCCCAAAAGACTAGCAGAGGCCCTAACAGTCCCAAAGGGTGCCAATAGCGGAGACGCGAGCCGGACCAACGATGGGCCGGGTGGCCCATTTCTCGTCAAAGGACGACGTTTTCGGCGGGTAAACGATGCGATGGAAGGATCACCTTGGGGCCTGCTCGAACCCCCGACGGTCGGAGGAATCCACCTCTTAGGCGGTTGGTCACTCAACATTAATTCAACCTCTGCCGCCAGTCAGCCGTGACTCACTCAACTCCCCAGTAATGGCCATCAACAAAAAGAAAAACTGAGAAGAAGCTTCAATCCGATGCCGGCGGTTTCCATTCGTCCGGGGTGGCCTGCACGGCATCTGCACGCTGTAGCTCGACCTGCAGCCTCCAGTTGGACCGGTGACTGAATCCATGGCCCGGTGAATCGGCGATCCATCCCTTCATAGTGCTTCTCTTTATCTCACCAGGAGTCTAGACAATGCGTCCACCAACTCGTGACGTCGGAACCACGGGGAGACCACTCGAAAAGGCTCCACATTCCAGTAAGAAAGTTGTTGAACCATAATCTGACGGCAGGAGATGAACTGTAATGCCCACCACGGAGAATAAAGGCCAATGGTGTCTGATGGGATCGCAAAAACCGGACTGGTGTCAGTCTAGTATATGACTCACAATAGAAAATCCGAGGCAAGCACTGCATCTAGATTTGGCACATTAGATCAACCGTTCAAATGCACTCAAAGCTTCGAGCGCTACCAAATATTATGTAGGAGCCTCTCTTCATCCTACCTCAATGACCTCTTTTCCAAATATTGACACTTCATCCTCTGCACAGAGCCCAATGAACAGCGGATACGAAATATCTCGAAGGGCAGAGAATGAAACGGATCGGCGCCGCTGGTTGTGCCACAGTATTGTGCTTCATTTATGAATATTATTGAATCTGTCTGTCCTCGAGGACATCTTAGAGCCCGTTGTAAAACTCTGAATCGACTCTGTACGGCTGGGGATCAACGTTGATCTGCAGGTACGAAGACTAACAGACAGAGTCAGTGATAGGAGCCAATGAGTAACTTAACAGCGGCCAAGTATGTATTCATGTTGCCGTGCTATATCACTCTTCTCGATTTGCGCATTCCAGGAGTGAGGGGACTTAACAAGTACCTTGCTTCCGAATCGCCTTGTAGGCCTGCCACCACGCGTTGAAACATAGCGAGAAACTGCTCGATGGATCGAATCCCAGTCGATGCAACTCATATTGACTCGACTCATCATCAATCGAGCTGTCAGATGGACTCGTGGTCATGATGTAGAGCAGGCTACCGCATGGCACAACTCCATCATCGTCACCACCATAGAAATCCCTCTACTATATAAAACACATAGTATGTACGATCGAGTCGAACACCTTGCTGTTATAACACCAGCACTGGATTCGATAACAGCAAGGCATTCTGAGCTGCCTCATACACTGTGTAACGCGATGGGAACTGCCAGCCAGGATATCATTATCAACAATGATCCGTCAGCTCTAGAAGGGTCTGTACAGGACATCTCTCAACTCACTAGCACCTTCGACATGGTTCGTATAGGAATCAGATGACTGATATTCCAGAGTTCTCAGGTTGGATGAGGCAGTAGTACAATGAATGAGTTTCACAGGGAACTGCCACACCCCACCGCAGTTCACCCCCCTCGTCGACTTGATGTCACCTGCTGGTCAGGTGATATCTCCCCCTTTCTTCCCTGCCCTCTTCTACCTCGCATCTTCTCCCGAAATATTTGGCCGATCATTTATCGCAGATCACCGTCACCAGGATCGCTGAGTGCCTATCATTGTTCGGTGTCCTAGTATTTCCATGAGCTGGCAGCTTTATTAGATCATTGCAGAGGACTATATACTCTTCCGAAGTTACTGCCTTGGGTCCTAGAAAGGGTTAGCTGTGAAGATGACCTTTACATTCTTGTTCATCTGTGGTTTAATGAGATTCTAATAGGTCTGAGCAGTTCTAGGATGGTTGGTTTCCAGATACTGGCATCCCATCATGAATACGAACGAACATACGGCACTGGAGCCTGCAACTTCATTGGTTGGTGCGGCACAGGGCTTGATAGGTGCCAGTTCTACGCAAGGGGTCATAAACTATGGCATGTTACACAAATCTGCCCCCTGATACCGGATCTACCGGTGCCCGAATCTGAAGAGTGAAGAGTGAAGTGTGAAGGAAAATGGCATGTTCCAGGTCTAAATACAGAGAGTCGTTGGGGTATATTAAGCTGAGCAGTAGGCTATGCAGCCCGTCAAACAGTCATTAACATCATTTCCGTTCCAGAGATCGGGTCGAAAGGAAAACGCATCCCATAGCCTTATAAGCTTACACAGTGCCGCTATTCGTATTTTCGTCGCTGTCCTTCTCCGTGCCCTTCGCATGATGGCTCAGCACACTGGCCCGACGCACTGCTTCGTCTTCTACATCGTCCAGCGCACGCAGGAGCTCACCCCGCTTGCCGTACATATGAGGCTCCTCATCGGCGATTTTGACCACATTAAAGATGTTAGTCGTCTTGCGGAAAATGCGGTCCATCTCCTCCAGGGATCGGCGGGCGGTTTCTGGGTAGAAGAAGAGGACCACCGGAAAGATGAAGGCGTTGCTGTGAGGGGTCAGCACGAGAAGAACCGAAAGGTCTGGCAACAGGGGTGCGGAAAACTTACATGACTGCAAAGATAATGTAGGTCTGGTAGCCAATGTTGTCAAAGGCGACTGGCGTGATCATAACGACCAAGAAGTTGAAGATCCAGTTCGATGACGTGGCCAGCGCATTGGCTGGAGCACGGATCCTCAGCGGTACAACTTCAGCCGGATACAGCCAGGTCATACCCAGCCAGCCGATGGCGAAGAATGTGTTGAACACAAACAGGAAGACAATGCAAGCGATGTTGGCTCCGTCACTGCCAATGCTGGCAGTCACGGCCAGGATGACCATGGAAATCGACATTCCCGCCGCGCCGAAAAGCATCAAAGTCCGACGGCCGAATCGCTCGATAGTGAACACGGCCACCCACGAGGCAAGGAAGTATTCCGTTCCGTTGCAAGCCGCGATTAAGCGAGACTTTTCGAGGGTCATACCTAGTTGATTTTCGAGAACCACAGGGATATAGTACGTGATCAAATTGATACCCGAGATCTGCTGGAACATCTGGTTGACATAGGCTAAGACCACCCGGTGGAAGTGGCGATCTTCGGTCATGGTAAACATGTCGCGGAATGAGCCCTTGGCCATCTCCAAGACGGTGGCCTTGATGGCTGTAAATTCCGTCTCAATGAAGGTCTCGTCTCCATCGCCCAGGAGAGAGTGGAGTACAGTCCTCGCTTCGTCTTCACGACCCTTGAGAATCAGCCAACGGGGCGATTCGGGAAGAGAAAGGACAAAGAATAGGATGATGAGGGCGAAGAAAATCTGAAAGGCAAGTGGGAACCTCCAGGCGACCTCATTGGGATCGGCAAACAGCAAGCCGAAGTCAATCCAGTAACTGATGGTGATGCCGCAGGTGATCATGGCGCCTTCGATCATGACCAGCTGGCCACGACGGTTGGATTTACAACATTCCGATTGCCATGTGGGCACAGTCGACGTGTTCATGCCGTTTCCTGTTGCCAATGTACATTAGCACCTTCTCCACTTGTTGACCGGTAGCTTTTCTGTGCTCTCGTCCCACGTACCAAAGCCAGTAACCAAACGTCCAACAATGAATTGCGCCAGATCGTACGAGGTACATTGCAGTAGAGCCCCGATGCACATGATGAACGAACCAACAAAGATCGTCTTGCGTCGACCAAGCATATTACCGATCCAGATAGTAGGAATTGATCCAGCAAAGCATCCCAGGTTGTACGCAGCAACGACGACACCTACACAAAATGGTCAGTTTACGACATTGAGCAGGGGACGCGACCAATCGTGGAGGCGCGCACTTACCTTGGCGAGTGGACTGCGTGCTCTGTTCAGCACGCGTCAAGCTGTCGTAGTATGCACCGTTGGTCGCAATGGTTGGAAAGTATTTAATAAACGAGTCGAGGGTCAAGAGACCGCCTGTTACACCTTGGTCATAACCGAAAAGCAAGAAATCCATACCAGCAATAACACTGATAGCGATTTGCAGCTTGCCTCCCGTGAGGCCCAAGTAGCTCCGCGCCATCTTGAAAGAGCAGACCTGTTCTCTTCACGGGTGTTCAGATCGTATTGCAGACTCCAATTGAAGCGGAATTGTGAAGTTGAGACTAGAGTACAACAACACCACACAACGAGAGAAACAGTCAGGGAGGAAGGTTCATTGGACGGGAAATGGCTGCCCTGGGAGGAGGAAAAAGAAATGGGAAGGAAGGAATCGAGAAAAAGAGATCGGCCAAACGGTCGCACGAGGGGGAATAGACGGGGGTTTTAAACAGAGCCGGAGCTTCCTGAGATTGGGCTTGTCGCTGCGGTTCTGATGACTGACTGGACCATGGGGAAGATCCATCTGAGAGCCCGCATGGAATCAGAACTAAGTGTACCATTCGGGCGAGTCAGCCAGTTGAGCGCATGCATGCAGTAACTAGCTGGATTCCGTGAGGTACAGGACTTTGTTACTCTGTCGCTAAGGCCAGCCAAGTACCATCTGAGGTGACTTTGGGAAAGACAAACCCACTTGACGGCCGGGATGAAGAGTTGGGATTGGCTTAGCAGGGATTGGAGACAGTACTACATTTGATCAGGAAGCTATCTCTCGGAGCCTGCAATTGATTGGCCCAGTCGCGGAGTACTGGAGGGGAAGCCATCCCCACAGCTGCCATTCTCCGGATCGAGGGTGAGGGCCTGCGCCTCTCCCACCCCAGCTTTATTGCTCTGGAGTGCATTGGCTGTTTCGACCAACGGAGGAGTGGCCGTTCCCCACATCGTTCCCCCAGGCACACCACCATCTCACACCATCTCAGGCCCTCGCCCACCAACTCAAGCCATGACGAGTGGTGAGTTGCTCGTCCGACTCCACCTCCACAATGAGCCGGTGTCGCGATCGGCGGGGGGCTGAACGGGGGCCGCGAACACTGCACGTATCATCTCACTACTACCTAACAATCAGCCAAATGAATGCCCCTCAGAGCATCCCCGATGCCGTCATTGTGGTTGGGATTCGCAGGTGGCTAGCCGTTTCTGGACAAACCGAGAGCGATGGTCGCTGGATTGTGTTTCGACCCGCGGTTGGACCAGCCCGGAGGAGGGCCAGCCGATAGTATTGATACCCTCCTTCCTGCTTGGTGTTTTTTCCTTCTTGTCAGAGTTATGCAATCGTATGTTATGCTAATTTTCCGATAGGTTACATTCTATCCTCTCCGTGGCTGGCTGGCAAAAAGGCAGACCACAACGGCCAGGGATCTAAGTTTCGCGGTCGGCTTCAGCGATCTGGGAGATGGCAGTCCTTGTCATCGTCATCGGCCGGCTCGCGTGGCCTCCCGCGTGGGCGAAATCAAGGAAGAGGAAACGATCGTAGGTGGGGAGGGTTGGATCGAATCGTCATCCCCTTGCTCATGCTCATTTGACTTGACAGCTAGCCCAGCTACGCTACGGTGCCAGGCCAGGCCGTCCCCCGTGGACCATTCCGCCCGTGACTGATCTGATTATTCAGAATCCGGGGATTTGGAGACTCCGCAAAGGGCCCTACGGAGTACTCCGTACTAGTACTACTGTCCACTTTACCGCTTCCAGTAAAGAAGGGGCACCCTCGGTTCGTTCCGCCTCGTGGGCGTTGCTCAGTGCTCACTTTTCAGATCTATCAGCTCTCCTTGCTTCCAGTATTTGCTACTCTGTCCCCAGTGGCACTTCTCTTCCGTACTTAAGCAGTCTCATCGGAATGACTTCGCTTTATCCCTCCCCCACGGGATTTGGTACTGAACTGAGACTCCTGCGGGCGGCCGTCTTGTCTTGTCCCGTAATATTCTCGTCGATGGGGCGCCTAGTCCTCATCGGTCGGTCTGGCCTCATGCCGACCCATCTTTCCCCTCGCAGCCCGAATTCCGTGGGATGACATGGAAATGAATCTTGACTTTTTGCATGCGGTTACACCCACTAGGAGCCGGCTCCTCCAATCCGGTGCGTTTGCTGTCGAGTTAAGCTCCACTTTGCCCAGCAAGCCGCTTCCCAGAGCGCCCCGGGGAGTACAGGGAGTCGCCTGATGAAGTTATTGTTTGCTAAACCCTCGCGGATCAACCAATCCGAGCGGAGCGACGATGCAGTCATCATGTCGGGTTAAGGACTGGAACTCTGGAAGGCTCCCGGCAAAGCGAGCGCGTTACACCGAGCTCAAGTTTGACACTGGCCGAAGACCTGCCGGTGTTGGCAACCTTAATCGCGGCATACAGAACGTTAGTCCAAGGCCTGGCCGAGGGCCGCCGAAACATCGGCTCAAGGACGGCCGCGGCTTGATGCATACATGCGCGATGCTACAGAAGCCTTCCTACAGCGTTCGAGCGATCTTCTCTAGAAGTCCTGGATTTCGAGGGAGAAGACGTGGGGTGTCAGACGATGCCTTCACGGAGGGTGTTCTCCGTCCTTCCCCCGACGTAGGCTGGACGGGTAGATACGGGGTACCCCAGGGTGCTGGTCCACGGCCATTCAGCCCGGCCGGGTGAGGGAAATACTAAAGCGCGATTCAAGCCGGGCAACCACTAACCGGGCTCGAGCTAGTTGCCAAGCGACCGGGGCGTTCTAGTAGTGTATCCTTCCCCATCCGTGAAACTGCGCTCGGCCTCTCCGCAGTCAGGCTCTTCGGTTGAGGCCGAGCGTGTCTCCAGGTTTCCCTGCGGCTTGCCAGATTTGGGCATCCCGCGTTGCCCATCGGTTGGGCGCGCGACACCATCAGCAGGAATCATCCCTACCCCTACCCCGTGTGCGCCGAGAGTCGTCCGATGGATCGCGTCTTACCACTAGTTTGACATCCTTCCAAAGCTCAGATGTCGCTTACCTTGCCTTGTTCGTCGAGCAGCATCAGCATCCCGCTTTCGGTCGTTTCTAGATCGCCTCGCAGTGCTCTGACGCCAACTTGACTCTTGCGCTGGGACGGGTTGTATTACAAGCTCATCTGACAGACTCGGTCCGCCTAATTGACATATGGCTATCAATTCTACATGGCGAACACCCCGTTGCTATCCATCCTGCGCCAACGCAATTTCTGGCCAGATGGAATGAAAAAACAAGATCAGTCAGCTCGGCCCAGGACAGACCATTGGATAGATGCACAAAATGGTGCATCAGCGCTTTCATCGTATTATTCATCAATCAAAAATAGCAGCATTTCACATCCAATGTGCACAAGTAAGACCGACAATGGGACGGATGGCAGTTTTCATTCGCAATGTGGACTGTAGAATCCCGCACTATTAAGAGATGTGGTGCCTTGTTTGTTAGGCAGGTACAAGACTCGATTGCCATATGTATAACGGGCAAGCGCAGTTGCAAGAGGTTGGGGCACACTCGCTCGCCCTTAAAGAAGGTTTGCACCGTTATTCTAGCTTGGTCAACAACCCAGATGATATCAAGCAATGGTTTTGATAACATATTTAGAATGTTTATCCGCCCATCCCGGAAAGGCGCGACATGAATGCCAATGGTGGGGCTGATGCCACGGATTGAGTCCTGGGTACAGATTCCTTCGGCGCTTGGATCACGCTGGTGGTCTTGGCTGGAGGGAGCGGAATTTTTGCTTCCCTACAGTTAACCCGAGAGTAGGACAAGGTGCGTACTACCTTACGAAACTGGATGTATGACATACGGAGTACAGAGTACTTCTCTCAAACTTCCACAAGTTTTCCTTGTGGAGTTTAGGCGTCTTTGATTTGAAACCCGGAGTATGGCGAACAACCCCGGGGTTACTCCGTATACACAGACAGCGAAATACCAGCTAGCGTGCTCGCCGTGACGTTAACAGAGCTTAGCGTACCAAGTGGTCATGGCAATATCACAGCGCAGGTCGTCACCCGATATCCCTAACTACTTTGGGCAGTAGGTATGGCCGATCGTCGGTGCGCAGACACTCCGCTATGTACAAGGCTGAGCCACTAAAAAAATCAACCAGGTACTCCGTCCTAGGGGTACTTTTGAAGCCGAAAACAGGGGTCAATGCCGAAGCTTAATGTGAGATGATGTCATTTAATTCCGGGTGACATTTTCAACCTCGATTAGGATGATTAAGCCCGGGTCTTCGAAAAACGGAGCTTGAACAATATCTCACGCAGGTGAGCTATCCAGGAGTATACAGATCACTGGCACATAAGTCGGACTTGTAATCCAACAGACTGGAATGATATACTGATCTGGATACACCGCCGGTGAGTTGGTTACCCCGCACAAAGGTGAGTCCACCCGATGATACTTCTCAGTGTCACACTTCCGCCAACGAGACCAGGATATTATTAGACACATTTGAGTGAATAAGATATCACTGCTTCCTCGTTCTCATACTATAGACCAATACCCACACAACCCCCGTCGTCATGATTTGCAATGCGCCCCCGCTTCTCAGGACCAGCGCCCCATACATATTTACTTACTCAAAAGCTCCAAGGCTTATCCAGGCATGTATAAGCACTTAGCCCGACGCCTAGACAGGCATTTACTGGAACCAAGCTCAATAGCCATGCAGGGTACGGCACAGATCACGGCGTTGTGCGCATGACATGCAGATACGACGCCGCTATCAAGTACTAGATGAACCCAGCATGGGCTACTGTGAAGCTAGGCTTTGACTAGGCTGTGGTTCCTGCATATGTGTCTCTTCTAGAAAGCCAAGTATGACGCACGGCTTCATGTGAAAAGCTGGCTACCGCAACAGTCAGGCCCACGATGGCGCGTTTGTCGCAACTATGAATATTTGTTCTGTCGGCTGCTGGTCCTTTCCGTTAAAGGACGAAAAACAATATATACAACTAGCAACCCTACTAACCCCTCAGAGCCCTCAAAATAGCCTGCTTCTGATTCAGCGAGACCCATTTTAGCACCCCCTTGTCACAATTATCATCCCTCACTCCCTCTTCTGAAACCCACACTTAATCCTGATGCTCCTTCGGCTCAAGCTTCACATCCAATCCGGCATCCCCCAACACACTTCCCTCTATTGTCACCAGAAACATGAATATCTTCCACTTCTCTCTCTCCGATACCCCATTTGGCTCAAGAGCACTATCATCCCACTCAAACTTCCCCAGCATTCGCGTTACACCAGAGGCTTGTAGGCCGGTTTCCTCGCGAAGCTCCCGGACCACGCAGTCAAGAATGGTTTCTTGGAAATGAGCAGCACACCGGGGACTTCCCATAAGTTTGGGCAGTCGTCACCGGGGACGCGCTGAATGAGGAGGACTTTGTTCTGGTGGATTCTTACAGCTGCGCCGACGACGCCAACTAGGGGAGAGGAGTGAGTCGATATGTAGGTGGATACGGGGATGGTGTAGGGGCTGAGAGATTGAGGGATGATTAATTGTGAAGAAGTGGAGGATAAAGACATTGTGGTTGACTTGCAGGTGTGTTAATTTAGGAGGTTGAACTGCTGAGCGATCTATTGAGAAAGCTGGGTAAACATTCGACCCATCTTCCAGGGACAGTTTGGATTAATCATTGACCGGCTTCATGGCCAAGAGTTTAGCGCGGGTAGCTTAGTGAATGGGCCAATTATCGGGATTTTAGCTGGTGCCTCTCCACTGGGTGCAATGTAAGGGTCCATGGGGGAGACATCAATTTTGGCTCAAAGTAAAGTAAAGAAAAGACCGAGGATCAACTTGAGAATCAAAACCCAACTACCCCAAAGGTACGTTCCCTTTACAGAGCATTCTCTTTCTAAAACCCTGAAACCACGATTAATCCAGAATGGCTGGAACAGAAGTTACAGAACCCAGTAGTATGACCAAGTCACGTGCAACTCAAGTGACACAGCATGATCTTCACAACCACAACCACAACCACAACCACTTCATCACCACCTCCCACGCAATGAACCCCATTATGACAGGCATCCGCTCTCTTTCCACATCCAACCACCCTCGCAATCTCCTCCTCACATTGGATGCCTTCGGCACACTATTCTACCCCCACCCCCCAGTCCCAGAACAATACGCCACCACCGCCCACGAATTCGGCCTCTCACGCACCGCCATCACCCCCCAAAAGCTCAAAACAGTCTTCAAAGACGTCTATAGCGCACAAGCCAAGCGCTGGCCCAATTACGGCCGTGCTGACGTCCTACGCGGAAAATATGGCGGGCCGCGGCAATGGTGGGAGGAGGTAATCCAGGAGAGTTTCGCGCGTGTTCTGGCTTCCGAAGCTGGACATGCTTTTACTAAGCAGGAGAAATTCGAGCTTCCACCGGGTATGGTGGATGCGCTGGTTAATCGATTTGCTGGGGACGGGGGGTATACGCTTTATGAGGACGTGGTGCCTTTCTTTGCTCAGATGCGGGAGGTGAGGAGCGCTATGTCTGGGCGAGGGCGGTTTGATCGTGTGGTGGTAGGTGTGGTTTCTAATTCTGATGATCGGGTTCCGGCTGTGTTGAAGGCGTTGGGGCTGCGGGTTGGGAGTATGCGTGCGGATCAGGATCGGTCGAGTATGGAGTTGCCGGGGTTTGAGCAGAGGGGTGGGGAAGTGGTTAGTGAGGGCCAGGGGGTGGATGTGGATGTAGACTTGGTGGTTACTAGTTATGAGGCTGGTGAGGAGAAGCCGAACCGGCTCATCTTTGATGTTGCGAAACGGCAGGCGGGGTTGTTAGTGAGGGATCAGGTACTTGGGAATGGTTCGAACCCAGCTGGGGTAGATGAGACGGATGACTGGGTTTGTGTCCATGTGGGAGATGAGTATGAGAAGGACTATCGTGCTGCTCTTAATGCAGGCTGGGATAGTTATTTGATTCCTCGGGGGAATACGCAGGAGTATCCTGCCAAGACTATCGATTCGTTGTTGGATCTGATTGAGGAGCTGGAGATCCAGGCATAAATACTAGGCCCAATAGTATAAAGTTGTACAACCACCATGGGTCTCACTCGGAGATGGCGGGAAAGGATTCCGCTTGAGTCCGAACAGACTGCTCTTGCATGTACTCCGTACACAGAGTTCTGGCCCGACCTGACATCATTGTCATGGTGAAAGCAATGTTTGCTATCTACAACACTCGTGAAAATTCCACCAGGCTGAATGATTTGCTAACAGGACGCGATGCCAGCGATGATCTGACTTCTGATCAACATCACTAGTCGGCGGAGCCAGCCTCGGGACAACCTTGATCCGCAGTTTATCCCGCCGTGCTCGACCAGCTGAACGAACTTCATCAAGATCTCTCTACTTTTTGAGTATATCTTGAGACAAGAAATCCTTCATCATCGACAGCTTATTAGCCTTTAGAATGACTGGAATAATTTCGAAGAGGTTTAACTGCCTCCTCACTGGGATCTACATATCTCTCGGGGCCGGACTAGTTATTCGTCCATCTACGAGGGCCCGAGCAAGCCTTGTAGATCAGTGGGTACGGAGTGTCACATAGCGCCCACCTCTGTGGCCTCACAACACCTTATTTGCTTATTCCTCAAGCCCAAGTCCCGTCTATTGACTGACTTATGCGAGCACAAGCTGAAATAACTCTTGTTGAGTTTACTGACGGACAAGATGGCTCCCCTCTCAAAAACCAGAAGCCGGGGTTTCTTTTCTCCCTGGCTTCTGTCTGTCGAGTGCACTCGAGCTTTCTGACCTTCTGTTTCTTCATTATCCTGGATCGAAACCTTCCATTACTTGATTCTAGAGACCTTCATCATTATCCTCGTCAGTGTCAGACGATGGTCATTCGACTCTAGAATGTCCGACAGACAGGAAACCGGAGCTGATGGCGGAGATGGGAGCAGGAGAGAATCTATCCCATCTCACCTGTGGTCCACATCATCAACTCTCTTTTCCAATTCCGGCACAATAGGTGGCACAGAGATACTCGGAGCCGGCGGCTTTAGGGAGGAGATCGAGAGACATTTTACTTCCACTCATGCGCAGTTGACCTCTGAGTACACGTCTACATCCCAGGTGGTCGAGGGAGGGACCGTCTACGGATCTGGCTCGTTCGGTGATGATGTAGAGAGAAGTGTTCATTTCTCTCATACACAGTCTGCATCCTCCGAATCGTTCGTTACATCCCGGATGACTCGAGAGACTTATGGAACACACAGGTCTGAGATGACAGAGAGAAACTTCGTTTCTTCGAATATGCAGGCTGCGTCGTCAGATGTTATATCTACAAGGACCATTGAAGGGGGAGGGATCTTGGAGAATGGAAGTTTTGATGAGTATACGGGATCGGCATCGATTACTAGTAAGGAGCAGGTTGCATCTTCAGGGTCCCCATTCACATCCCGGGCCACTCAAGAGAGTTCTCAAGAAGGTGGATTTGGAAACATGGGCACTTTTGCTTACAGGACGCCTGCACCTGTGAATTTTTCCTTTACATCCGGGGCCACCGAGGAAGGAGAGCATCATGAAGCGAAGAACCCTGAGAACGGTTATAGCAATAGGTGCATTCGCGTGCACACCACTACACCAGATATACTTCCCACCGCAAGTCACACCAAGGGTGATGAGCTTTCGAGTGACCTTGCTACGCCTCGTGCGCAAAGTCCAACACCAGATCTCGTCCCTCGGGAACTCGAGAACCGCAGAATATCTGAGACAGCCGATATCAGCAGAAGATGTAAAAGAGACTTTCTTATATGTCATGCGGAACCCACGTCATCATCGATTCTTGCAGCCGAGAGCAACGAAGTCAACATGCCAAATGGAGCCGTCGAAACCGAAAAAGCGACAGGGATATATTATCCGGCACCTCCACAGTCCTCATCAGCCTCGCCCGTTAACACCACTGCAAAAGCTGAAATGAATGGGATCAGAGAATCAGGAGCTTCAGGCATTGCAGTCAAGGAAGAACCGAGCCTAACCCACGCTGAGCCCACTGCTTCATCGGTAATTGTTACAACATCCAAAGATCAAAGCATCAGACATGAGGAGAGCAGTCATGAAAGACCCGTCACCGAAAAGGAGGCTCTTGTGTCCAAAGCTCGCTCTTTATCAATTATGAGCTCTCCAGTGGAGAGCGAAAAGGCCGAAAGAACATTTACTTCAGCCGCACGTCGCGCTTCTTTGAACCCGGATGAGGAGTCAAACCTTGCTCATTTTGCCGCCACAGAGGATGCTGCGCGACTCAGCATCCTGGCAAATATCTCGCTGAGTGAGCCGTTGCTTAATCCGGGAGGCAAGGACTTTGATTTGTACAGGTGGCTACGAAAGATCATGTACATGCTAAACCAAGACAGGCTTGAGCAGACCGCCACGTTAAGGTTTCATAATCTCAATGTCTTGGGGACTCGGTTTTCGCTGCGACGCCAACAGACGGTCTTAGATATCCTTTGCTCCTTACTACGACCGCGAAAGACATTCAACTTGGGACCCAAGTCCCCCAAACAGATAATCTGGAATGTTAATGGCGTCCTGAATAGTGGAGAACTGTTGCTCGTTCTAGGACGACCTGGATCCGGATGCAGTACTGTGGCAAGAGCGCTGTGCGGAGAACTACGCGGGTTAAAGCTGGATCCTGAATCAGTCATCCAATACAGTGGCATTTCTCACCATGCAGTACCCAAGGAGTTCCAAGGGGTGATGCTCTACAATGCCGAAGGCGACAGACATTTCCCGCATCTGACGGTGGGCCAGACGCTGGAGTTCGCAGCATCAGTGCGGGCTCCTACCGACACAATTCAGGCGGGGACGCGGACAGAGTATGCGAAATCAATGGCGAAAGTGGCCATGGCCGTATTTGGTTTGAGTCACACCTACAGCACCAAAATGGGAAATGAGTCTGTCCGCGGTGTGTCCGAAGGTGACCGCAAGCGAGCTAGTATCGCCGAGATAGCTCTGTCGGGAGCAGCCTTGGCTGCGTGGGATAGGCCTACCCGTTGCCTGGATTTAGCAGAGGCTACGAAGTTCGTGCATTCTCTGCGACTGGCCGCAGACCTAGGCTCGTCTAGCCATGTTGTGACTGCCTATCAAGCAAACCAGGCCACCTACGATCTCTTCGATAGGACTTTGTTATTATACGAAGGCCGTCAGATCTATTACGGTTCTGCCACCGATGCCAGGGGATTTTTCGAACGTCAAGGGTGGTATTGCCCTCCACAGCTGTGTACTGCCGACTTTTTGACCTCAATCACCAATGCTGCGGAGCGACAGCCGCGTCAAGGAATGGAGAACAAAGTGCCCCGTACGCCGGATGAGTTCGCAGCGTACTGGTTCCAGTCTACAGAGTATCAAGAGCTACAGAGAGAAATGAATGACACTCAGCAGGTTGGAGTGTCAAACGAAGACCGGCCTGAGCAGAAACAGGAAAAGCCGCAGAAGCGGCCCTTCTATGCGCAGTCTAATCGAGCATACCCCAGCATATCAACGCAAGTCACGATAACCACAAAACGCGCTTTCCAAAGGGCTTGGAACGAACGTGCCTCGGTGATTTACAAGCTCGTTGTCAACTTCATCCTGGCTTTGCTAATCGGGTCAATGTTCTACAATACTCCTGCCACGACCGCTGGCTTCTTTTCAAAGGGTTCTGTGCTTTTATACATCGTGTTGCTTAACTCCTTCATGTCTCTGACAGAAATTGGCAGCCAGCTTTTGCAGCGACCCGTTGTAGAAAAGCATGCCTCGTTTGGGTTCTACCATCCCATGGTCGAGTCAGCTGCCGTTCTCTTGAGTGGAATCCCGACCAAGTTTCTCCTGGTATTGATTAACAACATCGTCATCTATTTCATGAGCAATCTTCACCGGGAGCCATCGCAGTTCTTTATATGCTTCATATTCAACTTTGTGCTTATCATTGTGACAAGCGCAGCTTTTCGAGCGACAGCAGCTGTTACGAAGACGCTCGTGCAGGCCATGGCTCTCGCCGGTGGACTGGTGCTCCCGGTCACCATTTATACAGGCTTCATCGTTCCTGTCCCTCGGATCCACAAGTGGTTCGATTTCATTCACGACATTAACCCCGCATACTACGCGTACGAGGCTCTGGTTGCCAACGAATTTCATGGACGCGAGTTTGGCTGTGCTGAACTTGTACCCTCATATCCCATCCTCGAGGGGGATACGTTTATTTGCTCAGCCGTCGGAGCCGTTGCTGGCCGACGCACTGTCAGTGGTGACAAGTATATCTGGGACACCTATAAATATACTTATGATCATGTGTGGAGAAACTTTGGTATCCTCATCGCTTTTCTGGTCGGTTGGATATATGTATATTTTGCTGTGACGCAGTTTATCTCATATTCAAGCGTCGTGATTGAAACACCACTCTTTCGCCAAGGAAACGAACCTGCCATCCTCAAGCATGGAGCGGCTCAGAATGCAGATGAAGAAGCTGGCCAGCCCTCCGCAGGTGCAAACCAGGATACGACTAGCAATGTGAGAGACAATGCCTTCCTCTTCAATACACCCCAGCGAGAGACCCTCACCTGGCGCGATGTGGCGTATGATATTGACAGTAGCGGTGGACATTATCGGATCCTGGATCAGGTGTCTGGCTGGGCTAAGCCCGGCACGATTACTGCGCTGATGAGCGTCAATAACATCGAGAAGACAACCCTCCTGAGGGTATTGGCACAGCGTACTACAGTTGGTACTGTGAGCGGCGAAATCTTTCTCAACAACTGGTCGTTAAGTTCAAATCTCCAGCGGAAGATAGGCTACGTTCAGCAGCAGGATCTTCACCTAGAAACAGCAACTGTTCGTGAGACCTTACAATTCAGTGCAATGCTACGCCAATCTGGCTCAATTTCCAAGGAGGAAAAGTATGCCTACGTCGAGGAGCTCATCAAGGTGCTGGACATGGAAGACTATGCTGAGGCTGTCGTGGGAGTTGTCGGCGAGGGATTGACCATCAAGCAACGCAAGTTATTGAGTATTGGAGTTGAAATGGCAGCGAAGCCTAAGATTTTGCTTCTGGATGAGCCTAGCAGGTAACCCTAGCTGTTCTTATTCTCAATTGATGAAAGGCTGACATCACATATTAGTGGTCTTGACGTGCAGAGCTCCTGCGCCATATACCATGTGCTGCGCAAATTGGCGGACGCCGGACAAACTATTCTCTGCACAGTCCAACACCCCAGTGTGACAATCTTCAAGCAAATAGACCAGGTGCTGTTCTTATCCAACGAGGGCAAGACAGTATACTTCGGACCCGTTGGCGAGAAGGCCCGGAGCCTGCTGGATTACTTCGACTCACATGGGGCTCATCGTACCTGCAAAACTGATGAAGATCCGGCCGATTACCTGCCTGAGACCATTAACGCAACCAACAAACGCAATGAGACCTGGTCCGACGTCTGGACCAGAAGCAGCGCTGCTACCATCCAGGATGAACTCGTCCGCATCCACGCGCACACAGAGACGCAAGATGACCATCCAGACGACCATCGAGAATTCGCCACATCACAGTTCCACCAATTCTTCATCGTCCTACGTCGCATACTCCAGCAATACTGGCGCTCGCCTCTCTACACCGCATCACGTATCGTCCTAAACATCTGCGCAGCCCTCTTTATTGGATTTTCCTTCTACAAACCCGGAAGCTCCATCCGCGGCAATCAAGAAACCATCTTCTCAGCCTTCATGTTCTGCACCCTCTTCGCCCCGGTTGTCCACCAAATCACCCCCCTCCTCACCACCAACCGCACCCTCTACGAGACCCGCGAACGCCCTAGCAAAACCTACTCCGGCTTCGTCCTCCTTCTCGCCACCATTCTCGTCGAGCTCCTCTATCAGATCCCCCTCAGCATCTGTGTCTGGGCAAGCTACTACTACCCCGTGTCTGGCATCCAATCCCCCGCGCGTCAAGGCATAACGCTCCTCTTCATCATCCAATTCTTCATCTCCACGATCTCCTTCGCCCTCCTCACCATCCCGACCTCCACCCTCCTCCCCGCCCTCCTGACCTTCATGTCCCTCACCTTCAACGGTGTCATGCAACCCCCACATGCCCTCCCAGGCTTCTGGATGTTCATGTACCGCGTCTCCCCATTCACCTACTTCGTCAACGGCATAACAGCCACCCAACTCCACAACCGTCCCGTGAATTGCAGCGACATCGAACTATCAATCTTCAATCCTCCTCTCGGTCAATCCTGCGGAGAATATCTGAATGAGTTCCTCAAAACAGCCCCGGGGCAGCTACTCAACCCCACTGCGACATCGGGTTGTGAGTATTGTCCTCTCACGGTCGCGGATCAGTTCCTTGCTCAACGGGAGTATCATTGGGATCAGCGGTGGAGGGATTTTGGGATCGGGTGGGCGTATGTGGGGTTTAATTTGGGTGTTGCGGTGCTGGTTTATTATTTGGCTTGGAGAAGGAGATGGGGGGTTAAAATTTTGGATAAGGTTAGGAGGAGTGTGAATGTGTAGGTGATAGGTTGATATTGGGGAAAAGAGAGGTTGTTGTGATTGATGATCTTCTTCTTTAGTCAGTCAGGGTGGTGTTATGTCACTCTGGAATTTCTTTTCGAAGGATTGAATGAGGTTTTCGATGATTTAGCATTATATGTGTACTAATCCTCTTACTTTGATCAACCTACGTTTGTGCCATTACACTCGGGACGAAACAAAACAAAACAATCACTTTTGTCGATTAACTTGCTAGTCAAACGGCATGACTGATCCTTCTCTTCTCAATCCAAGGAATAAGAAGAAACGGTTTTGTCCACCGAGCGAATACCGCAAGAATAGGGAATCCCGGTCCGGCCGGTCCCATGAAATACATAAAGTCTCAACAAGATCTCAAAGGCAAAGGGCTGTCGGATAGGATGAAAAGTCCATGAACGATCAATGCACACGTGCGGATTGTCAGACATCATCTCAAACGAATAATCCAACGGTTGCGCACCATGCTCCGATCCATTTCACTTTTTGTCCTTTTACCAAGCAGCCGAGGCAGAAGATTCTCCAGTCTTCCACTCGTCGTTGGCGGGTTCGTTGTTATAGCTCGACTCGTTGTTATAGCTCGACCCGTTGTTGTAACTCGACTCGTTGTTGTAACTCGACTCGTTGTTGTAACTCGACTCGTTGTTGTAACTCGACTCGTTGTAACTCGGCTCGTTGTTGTAGTTGGGCTCGTTGAAGTTGTTGTCGCCCTGCGGGGCTTCGTCTTCGGCAGGGGCAGTAGGGCAACGCCTGATGGTATGTCCCACTAAGAGACTCTTGTTAGAATATGCTTGTAGGCTGTCAGTGGGATGGTACTAGCTTACTCTCGCCACAGTTGTTACATTTCACCCGGGAATAGTCTTTCTTCTTGGGACAGTCGCGGCTGAAGTGTCCAACTGTAGTAATGGGGTCAGCTTTTGGACAGTAGCATAGAGACATGTTATTCGGGACTCTACCTTCGTCACAGTTGCGGCAGGTAACGGTGGAGACGTCGCGGGGCTTGTCACAGTCGCGAGCAATGTGATCCTCGGATCTATTTCGTTAGAGACGTAAATCTTGGGAGAGCTTCGACTTACCCGCAGTTGCGGCAGGTCCTGGGAGGGGGAGCCTGCGGACAGTCCTTCGCGAAATGACCCACTGTATCGTGAAGTCAGAAAGTGATCAGAAGGAGAATAACCAGGCTACTTACTCTCATTGCATCGCTTGCATTCAACACCTTCCGCTGAGCGGGGATTGGGACAGTCCGCCGCTTTATGCTCAGTCGACCTTGACGGTCAGTAGAATAACTTAAATAGCGTGAGAGGCGAACCTACCCGCAGTTACGACAGGCAAAGACATTGCGACGTGGCTCAGTACAGTCACGAGCACGATGTCCCTCGGCACTGCAGTTGACGCATTTAACACCGACGCGCTCACGTTCCTCACGCTCTTCCTTGCAGCTGCGCGAGATGTGACCCATCTCTGCAAGCAGTTAGCGAGACGATGATTATCCGGGACAATTTCTAGCTTACGGCCACAGTTGCTGCACTTAGGAACCTGTCGGTCATATGGCAAGCCGGCATCAGCAAGGCGCTCGATGTTCTCCTCGGGCGTAGGTGGCCAGCGGTCGCTCAGGGTCTCGCGCTGCGGCTTGGGGGTGTAGTAGAAGCCAACCACATAGGTGCAGTTCAGCTTCCCCTGAAGATTAATAAGACTGAGGACATCCGATACTTCCTTGTCCTGTAGAATCCAGAATGGTCAATGCTTATCCGGTGCAAATGGAGAATGGATCAAGCTCTTACCAAGGCGATGAGATAAATGTTAAAGTTCTCTTCACGCATCCTATTCTCGATATCGACAAAGGTGGCCTGCGGAAGCGCCTTGGAGTAGACCTTGAGCCCCTGTGTCATGTCAGCATATGGAGAAAAGTGCAGCGGTCGCATTGGAGAAGGGTGGTTGAATATTAGTGCAAGTCGATGCTTCCTACCTCACGAAAATCTTCGAGGTCCCGCTCATCACTGGCCTTCTTCATGATAGCCCAGGCCTCCTCTGGGAGCTTATCCGGAATATGGTTCAAGTCGAAGCGACGATTCTCCGTGCAATCTATGGTTCTATGACCTTCGGATTATTAGCACAGGCATCTTCAACACAAGGCACCATGTTTCACACCTTCCATCTTGCAGTTCTTGCACACTTCGGGAGGTCTCTCAGGACATTCAGCGGCAGGGTGACCTTCCTTCTCGCAGATACGACAAGTGCCCTTGAAGACACGAGGCTTGGTGCACTCTGCTTTGGAATGTCTAGCGTAGTGTCAGTGGACCATTGTTGCTATACCACCATGATATCCTTACCCATCCTCACCGCAATTGAAGCATGCCATCCCCTTACGAGGCTCGGGGCAGTTACGGGCAAAGTGGTCGTCGCTTCCACAGCTGTTCTTGGTTAGTAAGATCGAGGCTGTAATAGAAGTTATGAAATACTCACTTGCGGCAGCGGTTGTCGTCTTCCTTGCCATCACCGGATGGATTGAAGTCATCACCACCGAAGCCACGTTCGGCATCAAACCCACCGGGCCTGGAATTCTCATCATTGCCAAAGCCTATTGATTATGTTAGTGTAACTATAAACCTGAAGCATCGTCGCTGAGCCTCTGGTAACCATGTACCATCCTCCAGATGGATATAGGATCACAGTTTTCATAAAGGGACGCGTACCACGATCGTTGCTCTCGTCCCACCCTGGCTGCTCGTGAGGAACCCAGGCGGACATCTCGGTGTTATGGTGTAGGGTGTAGGGTATCACTGAAGGAAGCTGTGAGTGAACAGTGTTGGTTAGCACCTATAACCACAATGACTGAGTGACCAAGCAAGCCTGCGTCTGATGAAAAAGGTACAAAAGCAAAGCCTACTGCTAGGCTGCCATGGTAGAAACATAACATAACATCCTCATCTCGATGAGCAGAGGAACAACTTACATATCGGGAGATTAGATGGAGTAGATGAACCGTATGCAACGAGAGCTTGTAAGCAGGTTAGACGATAGGAAAGAGGGGAGATGAAGGATGGGAAAGAGAGGGAAAAGATGAGGCAGAGGGGGAAGAGACTGAGGAGAAGAGGAAATGGGCGACAGAAGAAAGAGGCGAGGGATGCAAACGGAGACAACCGAATCAGCCACCAAACGACAGCTCATTCACTCCTCTCCCCTTGTGAAACCTTCACCTTCTGGACTTAACTCTAATTCTCTCACTTAGCTTGGTAACAGTCCGAACATTGTCAGGATACAGTCGTTTAAAAACCCCTGGTAGTACCGCAAGATATTGAATCGCGTCGCGCGCTTATGAGCCAAATAACCACAGGGTTAAATGAGAGTGAACACATCGAACAATGCAACCGCATTAACAACTACCAATCGCGGAGTATACATCTTCTAGGGTTGTGGATAATAGTAATCGAGTTTGGGATAAAAAAGTACTAACGAGATAGTAGATAGTACTATAATACGAAAACTTGATAGATTGAGAAATATGGAAAACGATAGTACGCCGTGGAGCAATACCAGGAATCGAACGCTAATGTTTGGATTTAACATTGTATTTGGGAAATGAAGTCGATCAAGGAAGTCTATGAGCAAAGTTGGTAGTCCAGATGTCCAAGTATCCAGGCCCAAGTGAGACTATGTTTCGGAGCGAATGCACTCGCTTATATTTTCCGCTGCTTCGCCAACGCCGAACTGATCAGCAAACACGCTGCACAGGCAAACAACCACCACCAACCATTCTGCAGACTCTTCGCATACACTTTGATAATAGAATGATACAAGGTACCGGAAAACTCCGTTTTCACCTTTTGCACGTCCGCCAGAGTGACATTAATTTGATCCGACGTCAAGGACAGTTTGCCCAAATTGGCGCGTAGCTCATTCTGATAAACGGCGGCGAAGATGGCAATTCCAAATATATCACCCACGGTTTGCGTGAAAATCACTAGCCCGGTGATCAGACCAATATGCATGGGCTCAACGGAGAATTGTGACCCGACGAGAAGACCTTCCATCACAGCGCCCTGTCCTATACCGATGATGATCAACTCCACAATTGCTTCGGCGCGGCTGGTTCCCGCATTCCAGCGGGTGAGCAGACCGCTGATGAGAACAACCAGGACGGAGCCAACCCATGCGTTAGCCAGACTGAGACCATATTTGCTGGTGACCCAGCCCGCGATTGGGTTTCCGATGGCTAGACCCAACATCATCGGAAGTAGAGCGACACCCGAGATGGTGGCGGAGTCACCGTAGACAAGCTGGAAAAACTCCGGGACGTAGTACATCATACCCAGTAGGTTTGCGCCGTAAAAGAACTCGGCGAAGAAGATGGCAATAATGGCGCGGCTTCGCAAGAACACGGGAGGCAATAAGGGATCCTTGGCCCAGTGTTCCCAGACGACGAAAATCACCAGTAACGCAAACCCACCCACGAAGCAACCGATGACGCGAGGATCGCTCCAGGCAAAGGTATTGCCGCCCCAGGAAATGGCTAGGAGGAGGCAAACAGTACCACCAATAAGGGTGATTGCACCGAGGATGTCAAAGTTCTTGATGCGTTCTTTGTCGACCTTTGGGCTGGGGATGCGGAGAAAGAAAAAGGTGATGAGAAGACTGATTGGCGAGATACACAGGTTGAGATAGAAGCACCAGCGCCAGGTAACATATCTGTAGAAGCTTGTCAGATGTCGCAAGGAACCATTGTGGTGAGATACATACTGCGAGAATGCACCGCCGAGGAGGGGACCGGCAACATCTGCTATCGCCCAGACCAACCCAGCGAATGAGACGTACTTTCCCACATCGCGAAGGGGTACTATATCGGTGACAATGACCTGTTGTAAGATGGTGAGCATCTGGATTTTCAGGTACTTTGAATCGACCTACATTGACCAGTCCATAGATGCCACCACCCCCAATGCCTTGGATAACACGCGACCAGATCAACATGTCCATGCTCTTAGAACCACCGCAAAGGCCACTCCCAAGAATGAAAATAATAGTTCCAACCATGAACATACTTCGCCTCCCGAATATGTCGCCCAGCTTGCTGTAAATAGGCAGGACTAGAGCGAAGGTGACGAGGAACCCTGTTCCGAGCCAGGAGGAATTATTGTATGCGTTGAATTCAGACGAGATGATAGGAACGGCGGTGGCGACAATATTGAAATCCAACGCAGCCAGGAGCATTCCTATATTGAGTCTGGTGGCACGTCTTGGTTAGACTCTTGAGTGGTCTTTGAACAGAGGGACAAGTGATATGAAAAAGGCATACCCAAGCATAACAATCCAGAATTGTTTCAAGGATAGCCCGGCCTTTGCTCCGGGCCGCATGTCTTCCGCTGGAAGTGCATCCGGAGAAGGATCTGCTTTCTCAATATCCGTGGAAGAAGGTGTGGCTTCTCCTGAGCTCTGCCACCCCTCCTTGTTGGTCTCTGTATGCGCCGCCATCATAGAGCTTGCCTTCCGGCGAATGATTCTTCTGATGTAAGAAAATCTGCAAAGATTGAGCAAAAGCAAGCAGGATCTTGAAGCACTGATTATGTAGCTCAGAGGGCATAGGATTATATAGGTAGTCGGTCTTTTTAATATGAAAGGTGAACTGCTGCTAATCTACGGAGTACCATTCTACCCAAGGCACAGACTACTAGATACCTTCTGCCCTGACAAATTAGAGTGGATTTGGCCGCGGCGGAGCGGCGAGACCCACCAATTTCCCCGACATCCCTGTCAGTTACCGTAGCTCCATTGGCTACCCTGGGATGGGGCCGCTCGGTTTACCCAATAGACATGCTTTTGGCGGGGACTAAGATCGCTAGTCCCGTCGGTGCTTAATCACCCTCTTTCCGAAGCGTTGTTGTCAAAGAGTCGAATATCTTTGGACATACCATGCGCTGAGCAAATATCTTCTGCCCACCAACGAGTAATCTAACATCGCTATAGGTCTCTACGAGCCCAGCCCCGTATCAATCAGTTGCCTCCGCCCTTATAGCACCCAAGGTTCTTCCTCTTCTATCCGACTAATAACAAGTGTAGCATCTTGCACGCCAGTTTCAGTTGCCGGGTAATAGCAGCCAGCTGATATTCTGCTAGCTAACATCAACCGAGTCCCGGAAAAGTCTGTTTAACACCTTATTCCCACATCAATATGAAATGATGATCCGTAATGTCGAGCAGCCAACGAATGAGCCATCCGCCCTTTCCCATCCTAGCATTCGAAGATGCCTCCATCGGTCGACAGACACTCATGTGGACGATGACTTTTCCTCTGGTTGCTCATGTGGCACATACTCTTGGGACCGCAGAGTATTACCAGCTGTAATCATCCTTGTCTAGGAATAAACCAATTTGTGTGTCCACTTCATGTACCGAGAAACGAACATCCTTGTCTCTGGAGAGCAGTTTGCATGAAGCAATAGAAGTGGCGGGATAATTTCTGCAGACCCGTGAGGATAGGGACTATCTCTCATGTTCCAGGATACGTGCAATCTCGAGGGCAAATAAATCACCTAGTGACCAGCCTCCAAGTGGACTCACGAACTCATCAGTGTGGTTCGGATAAGATCTGCATAGACTGTTGCCATCTGAGGAAGCCCGGACCAAGCGCGCCTCGTATAGGAAGGGTGTGTCTGCAATTCCGTAAACTGGTCAACCGAGAGATTGCAAGTAATAGTAGGATATCGTCGTGCCTCTGCCATTATAAAAGAGCACTAAGGGTGTCAAATAAATATCATACTTAGAAGGAGGCTGGATCAACCCAAAGTTGGGCTCCATATCTGCAAGATGACTGTCTGAACCTTGATAGAGGATCCTTGCGTCTGGCAGGGGGGCGGAACTACGCTACAAAGGGCGAGAACGGCCCGCCTTGTCATTCAATGGCTCTCGCATCAGCCGGCTGTGGCTCAGTCACCGACCAGAATTTTCCTCGTATCACGAAATCCCGTTGGTGGCCGCATCCCACATGCGGAGATGATGAATCGGCCCCACCCCCGTAATCCCTGTTTCTCCGATCTGAGTCACATCAGATCATAGCTCGCCAATCATCCAAGTGGTCGACTTTGGGGATTTGCAGAGGGTTTCGGGCCATTGAAAATTTGAACGGCCGGCTTAGGATGAAATACAAGCGATATCCACCGAGTATTTTTACCAGACAGTGAGGGGTCTTTCTCCACGAAGTCAACTCTACAGCAGCATCTTTCACATGGAAAAAGAAGAACCATGACCATTCCGGTGAAGCGTACGCTGACCATGGTTGGGCTGATTGCCCTCATGGAGCCCATCTCTGCCACCATGCTCTTCCCTTTCGTATACTTTATGGTCAAGGACTTCGACCCGAGCGACGTCGAGCACATCGGTTTTCGCGCGGGGCTGATTAGTATGTACACATCCAATATTTCTCTGATGGAGGAGATGGAACTGATCTTCGTCAGCATCCGCATTTTTTATCCCAGAAATTATCACCACTATTCCCTACGGGATCATATCAGACCGATATGGTCGCAAGCCGGTACTTTTAGCAGGCCTACTAGGAAGTGCCATTTTTCTGTGCCTCTTTGGACTCTCTCGCTCTCTTACATGGGCGATTGCCAGCCGTGCCATGTGTGGCTTCTTCAACGGTAGGATTCCCCTTCCTCTTACTCTCACCATACAGATTGATCTTACACACACGAATGCTAGGGAATAATCCAATCACCCGAACCGTGGCGGGAGAGGTAGCTGAGCGCGCCCATCTCGATGAGGGGAAAGTGTTCGCCATATTCGGTCTCACAGCAGCCCTCGGCTATGTGATAGGTCCGATGATCGGAGGTGCTCTTGCGCAACCAGCAGAGCTATACGGACTCCAAGGGCCCTGGAATATTTTCGGTACATACCCTTACCTCTTGCCGTGCCTTGTTGGAACCCTGATAACTCTTACTGTTACTATAATGAGTCTGTTTCTTCTCGAAGAAACCAATGACCATGTTCTTTGCAAGAACCTGGAGGGTGGAATGGCGGTTGAAACCCAACCGTTGCTCTCCTCATCTGCCGAGCATGACGGAAAGAGTTCTGAATTATTGAGTCGCCCCATGGTCGCCCTGATGGTCAGTATCTTATTCATGTGTCTACATGCCATTGCCTTCGACGAAGGTCTTCCTGTGTTTCTGGCTTCGCCATACACTACATCGCCGCCCGTCGGTCTTGGATTCACTTCCGCTCAGATTGCAAAAACATTGTCATGTATGAGCCCGGTACTTCTCCTAGCCCAGTTCGTTGGGTATCCGATCTTGAGCCGCTACCTCTCGCCGCTGGGTCTTTGGCGGTGGTCAACGGTCACTTTCATCTTGGTTTATCCTCTGTTTCCCTTTTTGCCCAGACTTACAGCTCCGTCAGTGGACCGCCCGGTGCTCTGGGCGGCCTTGCTGCTCATCCTGGCGGGCCGTTTTGTGGCCATAGTCGTTGCGTACACTAGCATGGCTGTCATGGTATGTGAATTCTCCTTAGAATTCTCATATGCCGATGGGATTGGAGTCACTAAATCCCGTTCTAGCTGAACCAAATGTCTCCCTCGGGAAAAAAGGGCACAACAATGGGGTCAGTCAAATACGTTTATTTACCCGATCCACAGAGATTTTCAGCAACACTGACCCTTTTACAGCATGGCTCAAACTGGGATGTCGTTTGGTCGTGCAGTTGGCCCAGCTCTCGGTGGCATGATCTGGTCCTGGAGTTTAGCCAGCGGCCTTCCATTCCCTTTCGATTCTCATGCCTTGGTAGCTCTTCCCAAGCACTATGCCGTCTATTCCATTGCTAACAGCTGTACCGGGTGCTTTAGTTCTATTTCTTGGCCGTACTAGGATGCTTACAGGGAATCGCATCTTTATGGATCACCAATGTAGCATCTGTTGGTGCGTCAAGTTCAGACTAACAAGGGTGATTTTGAAGATAAATTGTCATACAGCTTCTGGAACATGGTAAAATTATATGTTCAGGGCCTATACTTAGAGTGGGTTAAACATAAAATCTCAATTCTATATCGGCTGGAAGTAGAACCAATGCATGAAATACCGCGTAATGATCACCCTTCTCCTGTGTATGGCTGTCGCGGCTCCAAGGAGGTTTATTGGCGGTTGCCATAGTATAATGGCCGCATGGTTTTCGTCGCCTCCCCTCGCCTCTTCCTCGCCTTCCTGCTGGCGGCGATTCTTCACGGTCACCTGGGCCAGATAGGGAGGAGAAACTCATTGTACCACGTTAGTGCTTATGCCCAGCCTCGACACCGCGTTGACTGTCTGTGGCCACCCCGGAAAGCGTGGGTTTGGCCTCCAGGATTGCCTGTCTCTGCAGAAACTGCCTGTATGTAATCAAACTGTGCACAGTTAGCCCGTACCACCCCAGGCCTCGTGGAGCGGCAGGGGGAGTAGCACCATGTGGCAATCAGTCTGTGGCCCATCAAACGTGATGGACAAGGTACGGTAACATCTGCTGAATCCAACTCGTGCGGCAAAAAGCTGCAATGTCGATAGATCGGCGGATCTGTATACGAGGGTCAGATGAATGGACCAACTATATAGAGGCCTGAAGGGCGGCTAGATTTGGTGAGTCAGTTGCTCCTCGACTTCAGCCTGATCTTGACGGAATCCACTACGGGATGCAGCTCGGCGGCGGAGGCAAGCAAACATTGGGGAGAAACCGTGCCTCAGGCTACCTTTACCCCGCGTATCGCGCGCTCCCAGCCCCATCTCCTCGACCCAGAGCAATTGATCAGCTCGTGAACTGGTGGGTTGGCTGGTATGAAGTAAATTTGGCCTACTCGGCAGTTGTAAGCTGTGGAGCTAGCATTATCAATCTCATTCTGTGCGTGAAGCTGGTCGCCCTACGGCGGACCATAGAGGCATTGACCGCCCTCTTCTCGCCAACCCACTTTCAAATGATCCTTTCAGTCTGACACTCTACGACTTCCTGCCATATTCCCCGTCATTCTCCTTACCTAAATAATGACTCCCAATAGTTTATAGAGATTCTCTTAGGTGAAACCAATTGGACCGAATTCCGTCTTCAGCGTCATAAAGCATTCGCGCAATGGTCTCTTCAATTCACCCCTATTCAGAGCCCACCGCGGCCTGCCTTCAGCCAACCAAGCCAAGGAAACAAGCCTGTTTGGTATATGGCAGAATTCTTTCCACTTGATTCCAACCATAACACTAAGACCTTTTCTAAACAAGGCATGTCGTCGACGGAAAAAACGATGCGATGTACGTCCCCCGAGAAAGACCCACGCCCCGCATTTTTGTCTCCACAAGCTGACTCTGGTCCGTCGCTATGTACAGGGCAACCGGCCCACTTGGTCAGCATGCAGCGCTTGGAACGTTGATTGTGTTTATGCTTCTAGCTCCCAGAACATGTTCGACTATCATTTTGCCTCCAACAGCCCTCTGGGGATAGATCTGGCCGCTTTTGTTCACGATCTGCCACCCACAACTCGGGACTTCTCACCACCACCGTCCTCACTTCCTTTGAATACAAACTAGCTGGTGTCGGCGGATGGCGAGCCAGTCCCAGACAGTCTGACACTGATTGATACCTCTTATCGCTCATCGCGGCATCTTTCAACGGATCCTACAGTCCCGGCACCATCCCCTGAGCAAACGATACAACTAGAAAACGAGTTCATTACCCGGTTTCATCCTCTTCTACCATCTATACACAAACAGAGTTTTCAGTGTCGTCCGCGTGGCCCAGGGGGACCATTATCAGAGCCATTAGAGTGGGCCATCATAGCCACAGCGGCAAGGACCCATCGTGATGTGGCTGTCTCCTCACATGCGAACGCTTTCTTACAGATTGCGGTCGATTCACTCACCCAAAGCCCTCTTCTCCCGGTATAATCATCCGTATTCATCGTCTGGCTTGGCTGACTGACGGAAATATTAGGAAAATGTCCTGAGGAACCTACAAGCTGCAGTGTGGTGTGTGTTTTCGCTTTACAATTCTGGCGTATCGGTAATCTGGCTCTCGCTGACTACATCACGGATCAAGACAAGGGCAGCAACTACCGCGTTACGCACACCGACGACATCGTCCCCAAGCTGCCTCCGGAGCTGCTGGGCTACCACAACTTCAGCCCGGAGTATTGGATCACCAGTGGTAACTATTTTCTCGTTCCTTGTCCTGCCAGCTTCTAATCTCGTAGCACGGGCAAGCTTATCCTGGGTGTGTAGGCCTCTTATACGCTCAAGTAATTTGGGCCCGTCCATACTAGGTTCCGCTGGACCGAGCAATTCTGTCAACTGGCATATATTCATCAAGATCATCTCTAGAATACATCTGTGATCTACAACATCTGAATCCTGCGAAACGCAATGCTGGCTGGGTTTCTACACAGTGCGCCACAAACACAGTATTGGATGGTAGTATGAACAGTCCACGCTGTGCCAGTATCTCGAGCTATATATTGTATTCTCTCTGACAGTCTGCAGCACCAATGCTCAATAGCTACCATCAACCTCGTATCATCTAATCCAAACACGCATACGTCCCTAACTCCAAATCATCCGTCACCAATTCATCCGCCAACCCCAACCCCCCACAAACCACCCCCCTCAAAAACGCCTTCGCCACCACATCCGCCCCCTCCGCACTCGTATGCGTATGATCAACGGGGAAGAACGCATCCACCGTATCCGCCCCCAACGCCTCATACACCTGATCCACATAAGCAAAGTGATCCACGTACGACGTGCCCGCCGTGTCCGCCGCGATTTCCGCATACCCGACAAACCGCGGCGGGTCGTCGACAAAGCTGCCCGTTTCCCAGGGGTTATTGGGCGTCTGGGACGAGATGATGACGGTGGCACCGATCTTTTGGAACGTGTTGGCGGCGTTCTCGAGGTACGCGGGGAAAGTGAGGATGGTTTCGTTGACGCCGTCGTATTCGGAGTAGCAGACTTCGGTGCCCGTGCCGGAACAGTCGGTCCGGCCGTTGTCACTGCTGAGGGAGCCGCCGTCGTTGTGTCCGAATTCGATGATCACGTAGTCGCCGGATTGTAGCGTGCTGGCGATGTCGTCGAAGCGGCCTTCGCGCGTGTAGGACCGTGCGCTGCGTCCGGCGACGGCGTCGTTGGAGACCGTGATTCCTGATGAGGTGCTTAGATATTGGGCGACGTAGTCGCCCCAGCCTATTGGAAGTTAGTGGATGAGAAGGGTGATGGGGTAGAAGGGATGTACCTGCTGTGCTGGAGCCACCACCGCCGGTGGCCATGGTGGAGTCCCCCGCCAGGTAGATGGTTGTGGCGAGGGAGGTAGGGAGGAAGGTTACGATGGAGGAGAGGGTGGTGACCTTCATTGTGGTTGGATGTCTCGGTGGTGATTGAGTTCGTTGGAAGATCACACAGCTTGCAGAGGTAGGTTCATATGAAGCCCAGCTCTTGACAAGCGCTTACATCCATACGTGGAAAAAAGTGCAACATCGGGGTGTAATGGACCGAGGTGCGTCCGATACAACACGTCTGTCTCAGCCTTGGAAATGGAGCTGAGGTGGTATGTCCGTGATCTGCAGGGACGAGATCGACATGAACTGAGGGATTGTGTGCATCTTCAGGAAGCGGAGATGGTGAGGGGAAAGTGGTCAGCTGGGATCTCCCCGCATCTGACATGCAGCAAAATCGCATCACCACTTGTCCACACATATTGCCTGCATCTGTGATTCCGTAGGGAAATTTTCCCAGTTCGGAGAATTCGTCAGAATGCCATGCGATTAGACCGTTGGGCAAATATCCTCGTAAGAGGGTCCTATGCAGGTTGACATCATGCGTTGGCACAGCCATGGGGACAAATCAGTGAGGAAGAAAGATGTTTCTCATTAAGGGATAGAATCACGCAACACCAGAATATGCCATCAACACGCAGCTCCTTGTCTAGCGATGGCAACGGGTTATCCCACTTCACGGCCCCCGCGAACGGCTCTGTAGCAGGGGCGTACTGCAGCACCGGCCATTGCTTTATCCCGCGCGCCCCCAGGTAACCGATCAGCAGTCCTTCCACCCACTGCCACGACATGATGTACCGCGCTGCTAGGTAGTACAACGTATTGGCCCACGCGTGCAGCCGCGTGGTCTGCGCTGACTGCGCCGCATCTGAGCGAACGGGCTTGGCGCGCTCTTTTGTATATTCGTCGAATATCTGTCCGAGCGTGGCGGTGTCTAATGAGTTATCCGCTGCGCTCTGTAGCGCCTTGTGCAATCCATTGCAGAGCACCACCACATCCCTGATGCCGTTATTCAGTCCCAGCCCAGAATTGGGCGTATATTTGTGGCATGCGTCCCCCGCCAGCGCAATCCGTCTCCAACCCCAGTGCTGGAGAATGCCTTCCTCCAGGTTGGCCATGCCCGCGGTGAACCGCTCCGCGTACACGTCCTTCACCCGCAGCGTCTCGGTGATAGGAAAGTCAGCAAACCGTGCCGCCATCGCCTCCATATCCTCCGTCGTATAGTCGACCCGATCGGATGTGGGCTGTGGCAAGCGCTCATAGAGGAAGATCCACCCGCGCTCGCGCCCGGAGAGCTACATGACCGAGTAATCCTTGCTGTGGGTTTCAGTCGCATGCCCGACCTCAGTCCGCCGGGGGAAGCTGCACCACATGCATTTGTACTCGGCTTTGAAGGGACTTTCCGCATCCCAGCTGCGTGTGGGGTCTGCGGCTAAGGCGAGTCGACGCATCAACTGCCGGGTTTTGCTGTGGACGCCGTCTGCGCCAAGGACCATGGACCCTTCGAACGAGGTCCCATCAGTGCAGGTGAGTCGCACCCCGGCGTCGCTTGATTCGATGTCGCTGACCTTCTTATTGAGTAGGTACTGCGTTTTCGCTTTCTCTGGAAGTAAGTCGTATAGGGTCTGAATGAGGTGTGCGCGGTGGAACGCGACAGGGGCCGTTCCGTGGCTATTGATCATCAGCACTCCGCCGACACCATTGAGCAGGTTGCCAGAGGACACGGGGGTGGCAGCACATACTTCCTTTGTAGGATTTGGAAGGGATTGGTATTGCGGAATACGTGTCCCTCTCGCGTATAGGCCTGGACCTGGCGAAGCTCTCCACCAATCGCTAGCAATTGATCGAGCAGACCGAGCTGGTGCATTATGCGCAGCGAAGGAGGTCCCAGAACCAGGCTGGAGCCTTGATCGAGAACCACCGAGTCCCGGCGTTCGAGGACCACAAAGTCGATGCCTGCGCGGGCGAGTGCATGGGCTGCAGTGAGGCCGACCGGGCCACCGCCCACGACGATGACCTTGAAAGGTGTACTGGACATTCTGAGAGCAGAGTAAGGAGTGGATGTTAGTCTTGATTCACGGGAGAAGTTGCCATGAACGTGGGTACTTATGCAATCCTTATATGGGTTATGAGGACATCGGATCGGCTCTCATCTAGTCCGACCACTTTAAGAAACATGGCCACGAAACTACCGTCCGCTTGGCTGAGGAGATCGCAGCTGGCCCGAATAGGCACATGGGGCAGACAACCTCCGAGTGAAGCACGTTTAACATGGCGCCATTTGGTGGGCCTTGGGGGTATAGCGATCGCGATTGGTCAGAGTCTATAGATCATCGCCGACGGGGGCGGGCTTCGGAAAGAATCCATCTGCCTCGGCCATTATTGGTGGAGTGGATACTAGCAGGTTGACCGGCAACTCGGGAGTTGTACATCAAAAGTACCTGTTGCGGTCCTTCATCATCAATTCTCGATCGGAGTCTTTGCGCCTGTTCTGAGGTGATATCCTCGTGTGAGAATCTCACACAAACACGGCAACCCGAATACGGGGTAAGACGGAGCATGCGAAGGGTCGGTTTCTGTCTAGAAATCAAAGTTTGGAATGGGTCCGGGCCGCGAGGACGCTGGATTAGGATACTCTGGTTCGAGTTTTAAGATTTGCTTCCCCAAAGCCCGCTGACTCATAGGAGATAACTGGTCTAGATAATGGGTTTCGTGGGCCCATTTGACTAAGAGGAGGAGGTGGTGGTGGTGAGTGGGGATGGAATAAGAACCCTGAGTCGCCTCTCATCTGAACCGCAATTTTGTGCAAAGAAGATGAAGCATAAAGCAAGCAGCACGGAGTACTTGGTTGGTCCGGGCTGACGGCAACCATTTCTCCATGATGTTACCTTCGATGGTAAGTTGGCGAGCTGGAGTCTATCTGATAGACTCGTTTGGCTGACACAGGAGTACAAATTAGTGGATGGGGGATGGAGCTTGCTAGGATGTTGGATGGATAGGAAAGCTAGTACTCGAATTTGTTCTTAGTGTATCAGTGAGCTCATTTGCTTACCGGAGTGAGCTGCCAGTACCTCTATAGAGACGCGAAGGGAATCAATTCGTCTCTATAATAGTCACAGATTTGTTCAGGGCATGTACATAGTACTCCAGACACTCTTTGGACTGCTCTGACTTACTCAGTCAGTAATAGCTCTAGAACTTTAAAAGAATGATTGGAAAATAATAACTGAGCAGCTCTCACTCGCTCACTTTACTCATCTCTATGACTGAAACAGACCATCTATACTGTGCACTAAATCACGCTCCAGAGGATCTTTGCTATGAACACACGGGAACTGAGGATATTCTTGAAACAAGAACTGCTTGGTTCCTACCTTGAGATGTATTCAATGCTAGTACGATTCAGCATTGCAGGAGTGTGGATAACGTTCACTCGTGTGATTGGTTACGGCCATATATTCAGAGTTCAAAGCACTCAAGGACGAAATACTAGGCAGCGTAGAACTATTTATATAGACTTCAAACAAGCAACTTCGGCCCAAACGGTCCCTTTTCCTTACCCTACTCTTTCAAGGACCCCTGTACCAGACTGTAAGACCTCCTTCAAAATGGCGACGACACCGTCACTGCGGCGTCAAAGGAAGATTTTCGTGAGGTTTCATTTGCTCATATCTGAGGCACCAACCACAGCAACAAAGAGATCGAGCACACTTCATGACCTTGCACCTAGCTAATTGCTATTAGCATCTATAGGTAATTGCCTCTCGACACCTTGATTGAAAACTCACCTACTCGATCCTATTTCGATGTCTGGGACAGACAGTGTATTTTACTGTTGTTGTCGGGGTAATCAGGATGCATTTGTCGCACTCCTCCCACCACGATTTCACAAAAGGTGTTCCACAAGTGGTGTAGGTTCGAATACCGGCGTGATTTCGCGATCCGGTGACGTTGTATATCCTTTCGTTACAGTTGGCCCAGGCAGTAATGTGCATTTTCACATTGCCATTGCAAGTGCCAGATCTGCACATGTTGATTATAGGGAGCGCGGTGAATGGAGTTGGTGAACAGAAGCTGTGGTTTTTGTGCTGGATGAGGTATCTCGATGTTATTCAAAGAATCATGGGATGGGAGAACACTTGCTTCGGAGTGATAATAAGGGTAGTCTATGCTAAGTTGAGCACTTTCCTCGAAGCCCTTTATAGCGTATGTAGACGAGGTTTGTGAATCTGATAGCCTTGTGCCCTTCCACGCCGATACAAGACTGACAAATTGACGTCCAATTGAACACCACCACGTCGCCGCAGTCAGCGTATAGAGTGAACACCACTCACCCATTATCCCTGCTTAATACTAACATTGTGCCTTTTAACCCAAGATATAAACAATTAAATACAACTATTAATTCTACAAGCCGCTGACAAGACTGGTCACAACACTTGCTATTTCCGGCCTAGGTGAGGCTAGAAAGACTAAAATATTACGGACTACTTGTTGGCCCAACCCTGGCGGGTCAGTCATAAGACGTGTGATCATCGCAATGTGGGGTCAAATGATATGCGTGAATAATCTGATTAGACGCTTATATTATGGCAAGTAGTTAAACTTTTATCTATAATTCTAGTTGCCATTCAAAGTGAAACTGAAAACCCTACTTTCGCCGCATTCCAGTCCCGTGCCTTGGTGAGAACCATCGCTCTGCTAATGAGGCTGCAAGAATTCCCCACTGTTTATCATGATTATACTATTGAAGTTTATCTAAATTCCTTGTGTACCAATAGTGTTATCTGCAATACTAGTTACACGTTTATATTTCTCAACTGAGTAGATTTCTACAGAACTTTGCATTACCGCACCCGGGTATCTCTGACATACTCTGAAGCTGCCAGTTAAGGCGTTTGTTGGTCTTCACCACCAGTTTATGCCCCAAGGCTGAGTGAAGTGAAGGCCCCTGCAATCCAGCGTATTGCATCCAAGGATGTGAGATCACGAGCAGTAGTTCATCGGCAATAGTTCCCGCCAGTCCCACAGACAACCTGCGCGGTTTATGCTCACAATAGTCATCAGCCTGCTATCAGCCCATTCGCCATTTGATACGTGACTGTAGAATTATCGCATGGCTTTCGCAGTTCGCAGACCCCGCAGTGGCTGAACGATGCAGGCAGGATCGACCGAGGCTGGGCGCGTGTGCGGTAATTACGCTATTGGTCCGTATTACCGGGATGTACTTTGATATATTCATCGACTAGGTCATGAGGAACCACAAACAAAATCCATCTAGATATCTCCGCGGCATGGGGCACAGCCATAACCATACGGAGGGGGTTGGGTTGATGGACACGAATTAAACGATTTAGCCGCGGTCTATATCATATCATGGACAAACAGGCAGTGTAAGCTGGGTGTCAGTCGAGCGGCATCTGCGGTAAAATGAAAGGGCCAGTGCGTTAGGCTACATGCCAAGGCGCAATTGTCGGTGGGTAGAGTAAAAGAAAGCGAGTGGTGATGAGTGTAGAATACAGGAGTGCAGGGTAGGAGAAGAAGAAAAGAGGCTGAAAGAGGCAGGTCGGTTTTTCATGTCAATCAATGTGCACCTCTGCTGACAGACCCTTGGCAGTTGATCATTCGCATTGTGTTCTTGCTACAGTCTTAGCCAAAGCTAAGCGTGCTGCGTTGGACAAATCTATCAACTCGAAATATTGCCAGCAGGCGACGAGCTTAAATAGGCCCTGAGTCCCACCAGATTGTTCTCCAGATAAGTGCTCCATCCTCTTCCAATATCAAAACACACTTCAAATTCAACTATTCTTCAAGGGATCAAAGCTAAGGCAAAGCTAAGGCCCGACTACCACGATGCCACACTGCTTTAGAGATGCCCATGGCCAGTGGTGGGTCACCGAGTCCGTATGGCTGACATCCGCCAACGACATCCTCGCTGCTTCTCAAGCACTTCAATCAGGAGAGCATGGGGCGTACGGATGCCAAAACCAAAACGGCGTGCTATATTATTTCAAAAACCAGACACGACGCGCAACGGACTACGATGTCGATCAAGCCCTCAGTACGAGGACTCGCGAACAACGAATTCAGATGCTCTTTGGAAGCGACGACAAGTCAAGTACCTCGACTACCACTTTTGATGATATTCTGTCGAGACGAAGCCGCTAGTTTACTATGTCATTGACGAAGACGGATATCTGCTTATGAGGACGAATCTCATGCTATCAGTTGCAGAAGGTCGAGGAGTCTGAGGGAGTCTTCATCGTCAGTGCAACATTTGGGGATGGCTTTGACTCATTGGGTCGCATGGATTTTCACTTGGTATTTCCCTCCATTTGGAAACACAATCCGATCGTTTTCGATATAATTGCTGGAGAGTTCTTTACGTCTAGATTAAAGTGTGTTCGCAATGCGTATTCCACCACATTGAGGATCACTATAGAATGTTAGATCGTAGATGTGACCTGGGGATATAACTTACACTCTGGGATATAGATGGTGGCTCTTGTTGGCCTTTAATCCAAATGGCACTGCCCCGAAATTCTCCACCGGAGAGTCAGGTGAGAGTACCCTAGCGCTACTGAGTGCCCACAAAAGCACCAGTGAGATGAAAAGCCTCGCCTTTGAATAATGTAGCATGACGTTTGACTGTCCCCGGACTGACCAGTGCTGTAATTGGAACAGTGGAGGGGAAAGGAAGGAGAGGGGGGAGGGGAAGGGGGCTAAATAAGAATGGTTCAACACTGCAAACAACCAACAACGAGCAATGATGTCCGGGGAGACTGACGACCTCTCAAAAGTTCTTGACCTTATCGTGGGAAAAAGGGGCTTATGCAGGACTGGTCTTCGAATTTGAGGTTACATGGGCTAATTTAGCTAAAACTACGAGCTCATGCAGAATGGGGAATAGCATGTGCTGCCTTCAGAAGCCTAGCCCTACTTGCTCTGGCGCCTAATTGATGGTTTCTTTTATAATATTTTACCCTCTCTAGTTATACTAAAGTTGAATTTTTTTTCAATATTTGTGAGTTATATCATTGCTCACTCGTCTCTTTAATATATCTCACTCTGTGTCTTCGATTGTAAAATAGGAACTATGCTCTCCTACGAAGTCCTGCCAGTGACTAGCCTCCTGGCATCGGCCCCTCGTCGTATGACACCAGGTGGAGGGCGGCTTCTTTCTATCCAAAGATTCTCCAGGGGTTCATCGGGGAAGTGAACGGTTCCGGATAAGCTACCAAGACCCCGAAGACGCAGAAAATCCAAATAAGGCATAGTAGTAGACAAAAGATTGAACAGGCCGTCAAAACCCTCTCCTTCATAGAGGTCAAGTCCATCTATGGACAAATGCACCAACCCAGGAACTTTGCGAAAAAACGTCAGGAGCGCGGTCTCGGACATCCTAAGATCCTTCAATGTACACTTTTTCAAATTCGAAAATTCGCAGAATACCGCCATCTTATTGAAGAACTTCAATTCCTCCATAGTCGCGGCTGTCTCTAGGAAATCATCATACTCCCACACAAGATGTAGTTCCTCGAGTGCAGGACAAAGGTTCAAAAAACAACAGAGCGATTTAGTATTTTGTTGGGCCATGTCATGGGTCAACGGTAGCTGAAGGTCCCAGTCAGGATTATCGAAATTCACTGCATGTATACAGTGCCCCAGGCTCAGGCATAATTTCTTGCACAGCTGAAATGAGGTCGATAGGTCCGCTGTGCCGCGGGACAAAGCTGTCGTGAGCTCACTAAAGCCTAAGCTACACCAGCTGCCCCATGTGTGCTGATAGGCATCTGCGAACACATCGAACGAATGAACGGGTAATTTACTGCTCCCAAGTGCCGACGTGACCATCTGGAACACCTTGGCTGAGGGCTTCCTCTTAAAATTGCGCCCGTGGATCTGGAGAGAGATAGATAACCGGCCACCGTGGGGCGATCGATCCCGTATGTTTTCCATTGCTTGCGTTAGCAATTGGGCTGCCTTGATTGTAGTATCCGAGTCCTCGGCTTTTGCATCTTCAGTATCTGGGTCCAGAATGTCGTACATAGTAAGCCGTTGGAGCCAGAGGCCGAGCTGCCCTGGTTGGGTGACGTGAACAAACCTTTTCAGCGAGGTTTCGGTGATCTGCAATTTCTTGGAAGAGAAATAGGTCCGAAAAGTAGCATTGGATGATTTGAATGAGACCGTGCGTCCGGCCAGACGGAGAGCGCAGATGTCTTGAAAGTCTAGCAAGCCCACGATGGCCTCGATCAACTCGACCGGCAGACCTTCCAGAGTCAGGGACACCATGACAGTAGAGAGATAAAAACGGGGCTATCCTTTATTAGCGGAGGAGGAAGAAAAGAGGAAAGAGAACGAACCCTAGTTCATGGGGTGGGAGGGATTAATTAAATATGACTAGTGAATCTAGGCGTTCTTGGTGGTTACATCAGGCGGTTTGCAAATTGCTCCGGCGGGGTCACTATCGCTCAGACCGGCGATATCAAGCCTTTGCCAACGTGCATTGGCCAGATTCTGAGACATGCGCCAATATTGGTGATCAGGGTTTTATTACGTCAATTGACATGTGCAACAGGCATTGAAAAGAAAGAAAGAACAAATAATGGATATAACAAGCATCAACGTGAATCATCGAACAAACAACCTGCTATCACCTAACCAGCCCTGGACAGAGACGGCGAAATTAACTCACTAACCCGCTCACACGTCTCACACTTGCGATCACTCCGCGCAATCACCAACTTCTGTTCTAGAACCGCATTCTGACTTGACAGCAGCTGGTTTGCAGACTTTTGCCGATCAATCTCATCTTTATATCTGTTTTCAGCCTGTACCAAACTGCGGATAGTTTGAAGGTGCTTTCGAACTTCGTCTTGCAAGCGGGCTATCTTGTCTTCTTTGCCGGTGTTGAGCTTTTTCAGGGTGTTGACTTCTTCTTGAAGGGCACCGGTTATTCGTTCCTGATCGCGGTTCTTCCACATCGTCATTTTGTATTGCAGAAGGGTGGACTCCATCATTTGCATGTATGGTGGGAGAGAAAGGGGGTCTTGGTTGGAGTCTTTGGTGGGATTGTTGTGGCTGGCGACCACGTTGGTTTTCTCCTCTGGCGTTGATTTGCTAGAAGGTTTTTCTTTGTCAATGGGTCCTGTAGGAAGTTTTGGAGTGGATGTGTCCGTCTAGATGGGTCAGTAAGTTCTGGTAATTGCTACGAATCATACTTCGCGAGGCGTAACAATCTACTTACCGAAGAGGAGTCATGCTTGCTTGTGTCCTGGATGATAGTTACTTCCTCCGGGCGCGTCTCACTACCTGCCACCTCTTTCCCAGGCGACGTATCCGACTCTTTAGTGCTGTTCTGAGAATTGGCTTTAGGTCCCTGAACTGTCTCTTCCTCCGATTTCGAACCACTATCGGAGTCGGAGTCAGAACCAGAACCCGATGCTTCATCATTCGTCGATCCACTGTCATCCGTCTCTTCAACGAGACCTCCCTCAAAAGGAATATCCTTGGTGATCTTAGCTTGCTTCGCCAGACGAGGCTTTTGCTCCCGTTGATCAGGCAATGGACGCTTCACCACTCTACCCTGGATCTTGGGAGTTTGGGCATTCTAAAATCTAACATCAGTATAAAACCATCAACGCAGATAAAGCCATTGGCACATACCACAATGTCCGACCGTTTCCTTTCCACACTCATGATCTTTACAACTGTTAGCTAATTTCCCCGACTAACGCAAAACTAAACCATACAGAATAAGCCTTCTGAAGCGCGTTCAGGCTGCGATGTGCAAAGAATTGCTACTGAAGTTAGTATAATTTAACCAACAATGGGAAAAGCAAATACCTGGCGAAATTTGGCCCAAGAAAGCGACAAGTGCTCAGACCGCAGCCGCCATAGATGTTGTCTTTCGTCTTCAGTCCACCGGCCGCCGGTCTTGAGACCTCGTCTGTGTCTGCGTGGACGAGCGAGCGGCATGAAGGCGGTAGAAACAAATTGGTGGAGTGGTATGCAGGCGACAGTACTTATAGGTGGATACGACAGAAAGGAAGATTGAGGCAATGCCAGTTTCAGTTCCAGGGAAAAGGCTGGGTGTAGTTCAGGGGTTCGAGATGTTTGAGTGCTGAATCGAGAAAGGCTGGCGGTGGAGTTGTTAAATTGCAACAAGGCTGAATCAACACAATGGCGGGTCCAAGCGTCCGTATTTGTGACTAGTGTAAGTCGATCAGGGGTGGAGTAACACAGCCCGGAGTAAAGATAGTACAAAAGTACTGTGCTGTGATAATTTAATGTGATAACCAGGGTGATTCGTATTGAATGTTGTTTACCCCCCTTTCACATGGCGGGTACTCTGTACCAGCAAACAAAATACAAAACAAACAGCCAGCCTTGTTTCTTATCGCGAAGTTCCCGTGATACTAATCACCACAACCAGGACTGAATCAGGTAGGATCCAGCTGATTTTGTATCTAGCTTTCCCAACACCGTGCCTGTTTTCCACAATAAAACCTGCTCAAGTTGCATTGTGGCGCAGTGAGATGCAGCAAAGCGTCGTCAGCCTCGTATCGGACTGTCACTGGATGGGTTCTAATCCCTGTTCTAGTAAAATGACACAAAGACTAGACTGCATAAGCGCTGTGAATAGAGTTTGTGCGTGCAGTAGCCTGATAACATGAGTCGGATTCCGCTAATCTCAATCGGAACCATTGTTGGTGTTCTTTTAGGCTAGAGCTCTGGAAAATTTGCGTCGCACCGACTGGCAAAATCTACCAATATTTCCCTTATCTACCCCGTACCCAGAAGTCTATTGCTCATCATAAACAAATGGCGACCGAAACAAATAATACTTGAATTCCTTGATTTTCAAGATAAGATGAATACAAGTTGAGGCTTGACGATTGTTTCTGGTGTATTGATTTTGCGGCCTTGAGCGTCCAAGATCCGAACACGCAGCGCTAAATACACACTGGGTGACCCATAGCTAGAGATACAGTCAAGTAGCTGTCATCTAATTATACCACGGTCAACCGGATTTGGGGGCGCAGCCGGACTAGTGCCTTAGGCATCAACTTGGTATTTGCGGGGCCTGGTGTCTATCTTTCACCTCCATGTATTGTCAAGTTTGCTTGAAATGCTTAGCTTTCACCTTCTTTCTCGAGATCAAATAGATGTCAAATATATTACATACCTGATTGTGTCCTTGAGTACTCTCCAATGCGCCAAAGGAGACTCCTCAACAGGGAGTCGGTTGACATTACTTCAAACTACTGGAACACCTTCGAAGACATGCAATCTAGATAAGTCGAAGATAGAATAAATCACAAGCCTAGCGTACATTCAAAGCAAAGAGACCTTATTGAGCTGAAGTTGAAAAGTGGCCAGCAGAAGAATCGATATGCGATTCAGGAATCAGGCAGTGTCACCTGATCCCTTGTTTCTTGCTTATTCCCGACTCCGGGCTTATTCCTCCGATCATCTCGACAGTACAGAGTACACATCACCCTTATATGATGTATCCGCTCTGACAGTTCACGTGTTTCTCAAGGTGCACGGGTCTGGTATGATGTATCTGTGGAATGCATGGATACTGCTGCCTGACTGCTGCCTATATCTACTGTGCCTTCCCGAGCCTCAGCGGCAAGGAATGCCCGAGTTCTTTGAACATTTCACCTAGTGCCAGGGAGCCTCCTGAATCTCCCTACATTCGGTAACAGACGCAGAACCTGATTTCTCTATGACAAGGATGGTAACATGTGAGACATCAGTAAGAATACCATTCGACACACTAAATGTGATTTGTTTGGATTACGAGCACAGATTCACCTCACAAGCCTCGGTTGCTGATTGTCACACGGGTGCCTCACGCATCTCCAAACTTGCGACCTGAATGATGAGATTTGTTTCGATTTCAATAAAGAACGGGGGATGCACTTAGCGGAGATTACGACAGCCATGTGGTCAGCCTTTTTGAGACAGAAGGGTCTCCTGGGAAGCTCAACTTATGCAGCGGTCGAGTTTATGGTATGGATGCAGTATGCAGGTGCAATGCATGGTATGCAGGGGTCTAGCCGACAACCTAATAGTATGTGGCCTATATCTGCGATGATTCCCACCAGGCCCTAGGAAGGGACTCGTCGACCTTTCAATATCTTTACGCGTATCTAAGAGATTCGCAAACCCTGACATTGAATGCGCACTTCTGACTTGGAAACGCCAACACTCAACTGTTCCAAGACATACATGAGTCCTGCTTTTAGAGCTCGCTCAGATGCATTTCGCGACCGACCGATGAAAGATACGAGCACCTGAATTCAGCCTAACTAGCGCATGGTATTCAGACGACCGTCAATCGGATGATATACACTGGTCAAAAGCTTAGAGCGAACAACTAGCACTCTCTACTTCTGTCATGGCAAACAAACGTCGAGTTAGATGGGACGACCCTATCATCCATGGCCCTACATTGTCAGACCCCAGTCGTTCCACGTGCGCCTCGAAGGGAATTATTGGTCACCCTACTAACATGGCGCTTGGCAAAGATGACCTTGACTGGATAGACGAGCGACTGAGGGTATTTAGAATTTTCGAGCAACTCTGCAGAGAGGCTCACCCCCCAAGCCCGTCGAGTGAGGTCATCTCACCCAGCGAGATGCTTCTTGGCGAGGACGATCTTCTGCAGATGAACGATAAACTGGAGACATACGAACGACAGGAGCATGATGAATTACTCCGTATCTGTGAAGAGGCATTTAACGATCGATCGATAGTCACGGGATGCACTAGCACTACCTGCGTAGGTACATGCCCTGCATTGTTGCGCACGTGTCAGTCATGGGACTCGCACCAAGCTCCTCACTATATGGACCAACTTTGCGAAGAAGCGTTCAATAGTCGGGCCTTGATCGCCTGCACTAGTGCATTCAGTTGGGGAAGAACCTGCCTTGTATGTTATACTCACTGTACGGAGTCACCGATCGGTTCCGAGAGAGCCTCAGACGGGATCAGCACAGAGGAAAACACCAATTATCGCATAATTTTGACCAACTTTGCGAACAATTCTACGGTCGGGCCTTGGTGATACCTTGCTCGATGGGTTTCAATTGGGAAACATGCCTTTCAAGGTATACTAGCAGCACCGACACACCTTCCACAGATCAAGCGCCTAATGCTACCGAAACAGAGAGCATATACTATACGGCCCCCGGCATGTCAGAACCCACTGAATCAACACCCGGTACCCTTTTAGGCAACATCATTTTACAGCTCGAATCACGGGACTTGGAGCTGCGGACAGTCCAAGCCCTGATCCGGACCAGAACGAAAAGAAAACAGGTATCCAGGAGCGGACAGCAGATGAGCTGAAACGAACAACCGAGTAAGAAGGACGGAATGAAGACGAAGACAATATCGAAGAGTGATTTCCACTATCATGAGTGGACCGTGAGAAGCAAGTCAGATTTTGCAGTGAGGATATACCGTTGAGCAAAGTTGTTCCTATGTAATAATTTGGCAGTGGATGTACACTATTGACAAAGTCTATCACATTGACATAAATCTGTCATGTGGCTACATTCTAAGCTTTTGGGTACAGCATGTACATATTGAGGTGTCATTTCATTATGTTCATTAATCCCTTCATAAATAATACAATAATACAGTCCCATATTCTCGATGAAACTGGCTATTCATCTTCATGCAGATTCCATGCTACCAATTCACTAAGGAAAGCATCCAGTGCGAATTGAATCCACTCCTTATATATTCTGAGTCTTCATCCTGGAGAGCCCCCCGGGACTCACTGTTTTTAACGATCTCCTATACTCCATAGAGAGTTCCTTCAACCCTAATCGCTTCCTCCAGCATAGCCACAGACCCAGACAGACCAGAACATGCTGCAGCTGGCTGACTAGGTCTAGCCCTCCCCATTCACCACCTTTCTATACCACCCACACACCCAGCCCATTCATACCCATCCAGAGCCGTGAATCGTACGAGACACAGACCTGACTCGGCTTTATCGTCAACAAACCCATTTGTTTCCCTAGCCATTCCAAGCCGTGAATCGTACGATGCATACATCCGCCAGCGAGCTCATTTGTCTTAGTACAGGGTTCCCACCATCAACCTAGCCTGGAAACATTCAACCTCCGCTCTATACCAGCAAGACATTCAATGGGAGCGAAACGACAACACTGATCCCATCGCCGCGAGACAATGGATTCGAATGAGCTTTTCGTAAGGGTCTGTCCATTTTGGACAAAAGCCAGGCAATTTGCTGTGACCTTGTTCCCAGTTGGGTCTCGTACTGTGAGGGAAATGGTTCCTCCCCCTTCGGTTTCCAGTGTGAGGCCAGTGTTCGCTACGTTGGTTTGTCTCTTCTTCAGCGTTGTAGGATCCGATGCCGGCTGTTTAGTACTGAAGGCGGGGCCAGATTAGAATTCATGCATATGTCATGAGACCCATGGTCAAGACTGGGCTCGTTGATAACAGAGCACAGCTGGAGCAGCGCATCGTAGGGTTTGTGACTGAAGGTTATGTGAATGGGACGAGATAACGTGGTGTCTAGGTCGGCATGCTATACTCCGTAGTGCTGAACTTTTCACTCGGGGATATCTGCCACTTTAGATAGAATGAATTGTGCCAGTGGGAGCAGGAACATCCTAGCTAGCCAACATCCAGCCAGGATCGTGGATAGGATCCGAGCGCCACGTGCGTCGTGCCACATCACGCACAGTGCAGAGTTCATTTTCAGGGTGTCGATGCGCCAACATGCGTTGGCTGAACTGCTGGTATTCGAGTAATGCGAGCCAACACCATCAATCTCACTTTGAGGGCAGTTACCCACTTGACCGCTTCAAGCTCTTTGAAGACGCGTGAAACACGTTGATGTATCCCATACATCCATAATCCTAGCATACAATCCCTGCCATCGCCAGCCCATCAATCTCTCTCTGAGGGTAGTTTCCTGGCTTGGCCTCTTCCAGCTTCTCCCAAGATCCGTGAACTGCGTTCCCAATATACCACCATATATTCCTTGAACTCCCGACACCCAAGAATGCGCTCGCTAACGCCACCAATTCCATTTCGAGGATGGTTTCCCGTGCTGAGCGTCTCTTACACCCATGGCACACGTTAGTGCAATACAGTTTCCTTTCCTCACTCCATATTGAACCCAATTGCTGGGGATAATCCGTGGTGAAGGACATGTCTCCGAGGACATGTAATATATATTTCCTATGTTTGCTCGTTGCATAAGCTCGAATGACCAGAGGAAGCAACCTAGCCCAGTCTTGGAGATGTAGTGACGGAGGAGAATATTCGAAGGGGTTAGGTGGCATGGCTTTGTTGATTTTCTCGTTACTGTGGATGTTGTAAGGTCTGGGTATAGAATTTGCATTGTACCCCGTCGTCGTGGGTTTCTATTATCATGAGGTAGATGGTTGTTGGGTTTGTATATTGTATATTGTATAGTGTGGAGTCCGATCCTTGAGCTTGATGACCTTGGTAGTTGCAAGTAGCTGGGGGAGTAAGGCATTTATATAGGCGTGGGCGTGGTCTAGATTATGGGTTGTTGTGGGGTGTTTCCTATGTAGATGATGGGAGATCCGACGCGGTGTAGACATGCTCCGAATGGGGGCATCTTCCTAAGTATTACGTACTGCGGTTAGGATAGATCCTAAGAGTGCTTGGAGTGATACGGAAGATGCAATCTACCGATTCAGGAGGAAATATCCTACAATAATGAAATAGATGACTAGTATGGACATCTTGGTTCTATATTCTCGACCGAGCCATAGTCACCTGTTTGTTAGACGACAACTTTCACCCATTACTCAGTATCTAGACTACTATAGTCATGACACATTCAACCAGGCTTCTTAGGAGACAGCGAGGATATATATCAACTGCAATATAAGCTAACCTACGCATCACTTGCTCCAGTTCAAAGTTACGAGATTTACAAACTGAAGCGGTTTGAATACGCAGCTTGTTTCTATGGGCTCCTGGCATTAATGTACTAATACAAAAATTTAGAAACAGGTGCCTTGACAAGAACGTAATCAATGTATGATCAGCCGCCAGTTCGACTTGACTACAGTCTGCTATTGTCTTCATCGAAGCTGATGGGTAGATTCTTTATCCTGATCAAATGTATTGTGCGGCTTGATGATCGTCCTATATTTGATGATACCCTATGCTCCAAATTGTGTTACAGCCCATCCCTGCGACTCATGCACGACTAGCATGGTGAGATCCAAGTTGCCTGCTCCTTAAAAGTCCCTGTATCGCGTATTATAGACGGGTGACTTGTGCTTTAGCTGTTCATTCCTCCTGATAACCGCAAATGCTCAATAAGCCATACCTGCATAGACATGGGTTGTGAATCGCTTCGTGCCGTGTCCGCTTTGGGCCTAGATTTATTTAGTTGAGTGAACAAGGTCCCTTGCGGTCAATTTGATGGTATTAATCCCGGTTCACGCGTAAGACAACTCAACCCTCAGTCTATTATCTGTCGGGAGTGTATTTTCGCGAGTCGAAATAACAGAACTTGAGGCAGGTCCACCTTCCAGGGGCTGAACACATGGTCCTCCTCAACCTGGTGGCCAACAGAGACAAGCACGCAATCACGAATTTTCCAAAGATCTGTGCGGGGGTGTCACCTTGCTGCTGGGTAATCAGCGCAGGGCTGAGCCTTGGCAATCAAAGACAGTGTGGCCCCAGAAGGCCACAGTGGCAGATGCGCGCCTTTCGGACAGGTTCCATCTTCTTTAAATCACCAGTTCCAGAGTGGCCTTGGTATCTTACTCTTGCAAGTCTGTATAATGAGGATGGCCAACGTCATGGTCTCCCTCACCTCTGCCACCATTTCTTGGTCGACATGGTTGGCCAGGGCGTAAATCGATGCGTCTATGATATCCCTTCACTTTGCGAGAGCTTGATTATTGCTGCCAGGCTGTGTCTTTAACCTAGAGGGGTATCCAATCGTCTTGGCCTATGACTATGTATTATCTGTAGGAGAATACTGTTCGAGCATGGTTGCATCCTGTCCATATTTCATATAGCGGTGTTGTCCATGATCCCAAACTGTCCAGCCCAAAACAGTGAGAATCATACGTCATAACAAACATCGAGACTCCATATTTCCTCATCCTTCCCATTGATAGATCTGGAGACATCCTCCCACCTTTGCAGGGGGGGGAGCAGGGCCGTATTGGCGGCAGCACGGGGCAGGGAATAAGCAGGGTGAGCTATTATTGGCTTTGCCAGATAAATTCATAGCGAATGTTAACATTACACACCCAGTCACAACCCCATGCATTCTAAAACTAAAGAAGGCAAGCCAAAGCCTGAAAGATGTGGCAATGAGGCTAGCTTTCAGGCCAACAACACAAAATAATCACTTGCCGCATCAAGGCAGTTCGGTCAGTACCGACAGTTTCCTTTTCTGCTTGTTTACCATGTAATGCATTATTCCGATACCACTTTTCTCTGTATTTGGGTCGTAGAAGGATCGGTATCAGGAAAAATTCCTCTCAAAGGTAATCTGTGCTTCGTAGTTTGACGGATGCAGGACGCATTCAGCGATCGCAGATGCGACCAAATCCGTAATTATTAGCCTTGACTATACCATGAATGATGAATGAGATGATATCTCCTGGGTGGCCATTCCGATCATTACATAATCTCATTCCGGTCCTCTTAATCATTAAAAGCATCAACTGTGTCAGTATGAAGATTTGCGATATATATTCTGCCGATCAAATAATATTAACAGCTCCTCTGCCATTAATTTGCGAATTACCACCCGCCGGAGCCGATTGGAGTGGTTGGCTAGGAAGACGGTTTCACTTCCCTTCGAATAGAGCCAAAGTTTTCCATTTTCCCGTGGGCTGGATACATGTGATGCAAATCTTCTAATGGCGTAAAGGCCAACCAGAAGGCGTGGCGGTGCCTGTTGGAGTATATACCTCGCGCATAGTGTCAAAGCTTTGGAAAATTGGCCCGGCATAACAAATGTATTTATTCTCGATGACTGAAGAATAAACGATACTCTTAAAGCTAGTCTGGGTGTCAATGAACAGGCAAGAAGCTGCATTGAATACCGCCAAAGCGCACGTTGGTAGAAACCCTACATCGTACGATCAAATCGGCAACCCGTTAGGTGACGATGGTTCGGACTCGACCCATTCGGCTTCAGATATGGCTTCGAGCTGTATGTTAATCTTATTGAAGGCATACACGGATGGTATGGAGAATTTCCTCTGGAACTTGTTGAGGGTGTATGGCTGAACAAATGGTAATTTTTAAAATGGACATCCGGAGTGGATCTGATGGACATGCAACTGGGAAAGGGTTACAGGCGTGGCGCTTTTTGGCTGTTGGTAGCCCTAGTTGGATCGATGTGATCTAGGTAGTCAGCGACTAGACCACTGCACCCGCTTAGCAGAGATGGTCAGTCCTTGTAAGTCGATATAATCAAAGTAGTTGTGGATGATTAGAGAGAAGCTAGAGAGAGGAGAGAGAAGGTTTTTATGATGCTCGGAGATGATACAATGTTGAATTATATTGAGTTTCTGCTTCACTATTGGTCGACTGGACAGGAATGCTCATTTAGATTCACTGGCCTTCTTACATAGCTTCACACAGACCCTAACATGTATTTACTACCATCCTGATCGTTCTACTTGAAATCGACTATTCACCCAAACTATAATTCTGAATGGTTGGGTCCGCAGCGGGCGAGTAGACCTAATTCCTGTCAAGGATGAAGACTATTGTATTTCTCTAATATGTACTACTACTTTATTGAAACGATTATTAATATTAGGAATATCTCTGAGAATAGTATACGTGAGGAAGACCTTCTAATTTATCGACAGAAAAGATTCTGCATAGTGAACAAAGTATAAAAGCCTCTCATACTGTACAATAATATCCACTCAGTAGAGGTCAATTGATGTATTACGCGATTGACAGAACACCAACTTGTTAGGGTTTCTGTACATGAAGAACAACGATAAATACCAGATCGGCACCCCTCGCATTGTAAAAACACCCACTTGAATCATATTCTTTCATCTTAGTGTATTCCGTCCAGCTCCTCCCCGCAATAACCCTCGGTAACCTCTCCCCCGATACCCGAGAGACCCTCCCCACTCGGACTTTATCCGCGTCTCGGGTACTTTTCCGACCCCTCCAACCCAAGCACCGTTAAGTACCCCGCCACCCCTTCTCATCACAATATCCCCACCAGTCGGAAAAGCAAAATGACCATCACCACGCCCATCCGTTCGAGCCTTCAGGCAGCCACCGCTTCCTCGTCGCCATCCTCAGCCGCATTCGGCTTCTGGCTGACGTAGGTCCCTGCGATCCGAACCCAAATTGAAGTGCAACAGGAATATAACACATTGTAGACTCCCCAGCTCCGCCGTCGCCAAAACCATCCTCCACGGTGCCTCCGGTACATCGACACAGTTCAGCTGGGTGTTGGTGGATGCCGAGCATGGGTTGATTTCGGATTATCATTACTATGATGTGAGCCCCCCCCCCTCACCCTATTCTATACTTTCATTCATAGGGAATGTATGCATGCTAATGGGAGGGTATATAGTTAAACAACGCCATCAGCTCCACCGACACCAGCCCCATCATCCGCGTCCCCTACGCCGAAGAATGGATGATTAAGCGGGCCCTAGATGCCGGCGCGCACGGTATCATGACGCCGATGTGTCATACCGCGGTACCCTATCCCCTCCCCCAATTGAAAGTATCCCTTACTAAGGAATGAAACAGGAAGACGCAGCAAACATCGTAAAATACACCAAATACCCCCCCCAAGGCACCCGCGGCTACGGCCCCATGTTCGCCCCGCACTCGCTCCCCGGCGTGAACCCGGGCCCGGACTACGACGATCAGATTAATGATGGGGTGACGGTGTGTGTGCAGATTGAGTCGCGGGCGGGAGTGGAGAATGTGGAGGCCATTGCGGCGGTCGAGGGGCTGGATGTGTTGTTTATTGGGCCGTTTGATTTGGCCAAGCAGATGGGGGTGCGAAGGGGGAGTGACGAGCATGAGAGGGCTATTCAGCGGGTGCTGGATGCGGCGAGGAGGTTTGGGAAGACGGCGGCGATTTTTTGTAGGTTCTCCTTTCTTTTCTTTCGTCTGTTGTTTTGGAGTAGGGGTGGGTGCTAATGGGATTCAGGTACCGATGGTGTGGATGCGCGGAGGCGGGCGGAGCAGGGCTTTCATATGATCTCCGTGACCACGGATGTGAATGTCATTCGGGGGGGAATGTTGGGGGAGTTGAGGGTGGCAGTTGGGGATGGAGCGGGCTCGAAGAGTTCGGGGGGGTATTAAATGGCTGCCAGGGGTAGATGGTAAGATATGGTGGCATCAGGATATATTAGGTTGTCACGATGGATGTGTTTGTAAATGACATGTTGGTATACATAGCACCACTCACGGTCAGTTATTCTAGACGACATGCAAGGCATACTATTGCAGTATATGCAGTGTCATAGTTGTATCTTGCATCTCCTTCCTTCAAACTCAGCAGAGAAAGTAAGTTCCTGGCAAGTGAACCATGCCACGAGTGGACACTAAATGTCTCCGACGGGAGAAAATTCCCCGAGTCGGCGGGATAAGTCTCCGTGCTCACTGCTGCCAGTCTTTAAGTCATTGTAAGTGGTTAGAGATGAGTCTGGGTAATAGTCTTCGAGGTTAGGTGTACTGACCAGTTGGTAGTTCTGACTGACATGGTGGATGAACAGGGCTATGCATTAGGGTTATCCTATCTAAGTCCGTCCAGACTTTGCGCGCTATCCCACCCTTCAGCCACGCCTTCAGACGTCTTACAACAGTGGCAACGAGGGATGGATGAGGGGATGCTGATGATTTCGATGCGAGTCTTATATAAGCTTCAGATGTAGCAGTATTGAGTGGTATCAAGAAGCATCTATATACCCTGCGATTGTCATACGCTGCCGTCCTCGTCGTCGGGATATTACACCACAACCGATTCAATCAATGCTGAACGGATACTGGAGTAAAACAAATGATTGTGGTCAAGCGCGGTCATGCAGCTGCGTTGGCTGATCCGCTGCACCACCGCAATGCAACCCCCGGAACGCAGACAACCACTCCGGATTATCCGCCACCGTCTGATTCCACGTATCCTCCGAGTCATACAGCAACCGGCGCGACTCCTGCTGAAACATCTCATCGCTCGGGATCACCCCCTGCCTCATCTGTTCCTGCGCAAACCGACTCAGGTGCAGCGTGAGCACCTGCGTGAAGGAGCTGAGCTGCTCTGGCGCCACGCCTGGTACCATCGTCTGCAAGGGCCGTGGCACGCCCGGCGCCTCGATGGTATTCGCCTCGTGGTGGTCAGTCGAGTTCCAGTGGGCTCGGGAGGAAATAGCCGGTTGTCCGATTCTCCAGCTATCCATATCTGGCGGAGCCGCGACGTTATGGACGAGTCGCAGATGTTGGACGAGGTGGTCTTTGCGGCGAAAAGAACGACGCGTGCCGGACTCGCGTTCACGCCTAATGGATTGGAAGCCGACGAGCCAGAGCGCGCGGAGTGCTGCGAGTCCCGGGACGATGCACTGGATTCACCGCTGGTGGTCGAAGCAGCTCGATAGTGACGGAATGAGCTGTTTCGGAGTGACCCGTGAATGACTTGCTGGGGCGCAACCTTGAGAGCATCCAGGATGTCCGGGATTAAAGCCGGCTCCTCTTCCGGGGGAGAATTGCGCCATCATTCCATGGGATTGAGGGTGGCATTGGGGATGACAACTGGATCCGTCGGCTCTCGATTTCGAGTGAGGTACCGACTTCTCCGTCGCGGTAGCTGGCGAGGCGGATTCAGCGTAGCGATGCCACTAGGAACGTTTTCAATGCCGTTGGGATAGTGTTGAACCTCAGGGCGGACAACTGGCGGTGGGAGATTATCATTCAGTAGCTAGTCTGATACGAGTGGGGTATCGGATGCCCCGCTGGGCATAGACTGGAAACCTTCGTAACCCAAATCGTATGTAGGAAGCGCCATATTAGAATACAATAGCTGAGAGTCCAATGATTCGGTCAAGGTCGACCGGCGTCTAAGTAGAGACGGATCGATCGATTCCGAGCCATCGGGGGTACCTGTAGTCATCAGCATGATCTCCTGATTCCAACATCCAACTGACCGTTTGCCCCCATGGAGTCATAGCTCGCTAGATCTTGGTGATTATCACTCATGATGGCAGTCTCGGACCCTATCTGCCCTTATAGAGCTCAGTTACAGGAACAGTTGGAGGGGACCAGAAGACGAACCGAGGTCTTTGGTGGCGCACGAAACGATTACATAATAGCTCTGTTTTCTTGACTGCAGCGTACCTGTAAACCTAAAGATATATCTGTAAACCTAGATATACTCTGGAAGCTTAAAGTCTATTGAATGCTGACCAAACCCTATCGACTACTACTTAAAACACCGAATCAAGCTCACCAGGCTGCTTGAGTAGAAAAGACAATGAACGACGCCATTGCTATCGCTTCATATTGACAAAGTGTATACATCACAGAGAAACTAAACTTGATAAAGAAGGTAAAAATCACCACACCAACCCCCACGCATCCACATATTTCTTGATCAACCCATTCCCAATCAAATCCACCCCTCCGTTCAACGATGGACTCGCAGACTCCGTCTTCTCCATCGCAAACGACAGTCCCGCGCGACCCGGCGCATCGTTGTCATATTTCTCCGCAAAAAAGTCCAGCAACTTGACCGAGGGATTCTTCACCGGGTCCGGATCTGACTCGCGCAGACGCTGCACCCATTGTCTGCGAGGCAGGATCTCGAACTGTAATCCCGCCTGTCGCAGAGCTGGTAGTAGATCCTCCGTCCATCGGAAGGTTCGTGGATTTTGCACATTGTACACCACAGCGGGGTCTTGAGCCAGCGACTTGGCGGTCGGACTGGAGAGGATGTCACTGAGCTCTAGCACGGCACTCGCCACCACGTCCACCGGGAGCCAGGACGGCGTCTCATCTAACGCAGGCAACACCCCCAGCGTCTTGGCAGTCTGCAGCAGCAGCGGAATCGCTTCCGTGGGATTCCATTTCCCCGTCACCGTGTCTCCCACGATCTGCCCCAGTCGCAGAACCTTGGCGACCATCCCGGTGGTTCTGGCGGCGGCGTGGATGATTCGCTCGGCAACCAGCTTGGACCGCGCATAGCCCATGTTCTGTGCGTGGGCAAGCTCCGGGATGGGTCCCTCGCGGATCGTGGCGGGGAGAGGCGTGCCGGCGGCGGCGGAGATGGAGGAGCAAAAGTAGAATTCGGCCGGAGACGGTCGCTCACTCGAGAGACACAGGTTGATGAGATTTTGGATGCCTCTGATGTGTTGCTCGAAGCTGCGCACACCGACGGTGAAATTGACAGCCCAGGCCGCATGGATCACATGCGTCAGGGAACTATGCAGCTCACTGATGGTGGCTGACGGCAGACCGAGATCTTCATTCCCCAGCGCCGAAGGAAAGGCGGCAATCTTGTACGCGTTGACGATGGGTAGCGACCTCGATGATAGACTCGACAGCACGCGATCGAGCGCGTTAGGTATTGAGCTTGCACGTACCAAGCAGAACACCTTCTTGACGGAGGCCTGCTGCAGAAGCTGTGACAGGATGTATACTCCCAAAGTGCCAGTGATGCCCGTCAGAAGCTTAGTATGTTAGCAAAATCCGATCGTGAGTAGGAGAACTTACGACAACTTTCTCGCTCGCTGGCCGGTTGACAAACGTCGAGTATTGGGTGATCAGTCGGGACATGGCTTCGAGCTCACCCTCCGAGTCCAAGCCCTCTCCGGTGCGTGCGGCATACAAATGCGCGGCGAGCTTTTTAATCGTCCCACAGTCGAAAACGACATTGTGCGCGAGGGTGGCTGATCCAATGTCAATTTGTGCTTGCAGAATACCGCGTGCCTTGATGGCCTGCAAACTGTCGACACCGGCCTCGAACAGGTCGCTGTCGCTCTGAATATCGGGAAATCCCAGAGTCGTCCGAAACAGATCCAGCAGGAACTCTTCCAATTCGGGCAGCTCCAAGACGCGGCAATCTCCACTGCCAGCCCCAGTTTCCAGGCGCGCATACGCGGCTTCAATCAGGTCACTGAACTCCATGTAGCAGCGGTTTCGAATCATCGTGCCCTTGTCGGTCATGGGATACGACTGGTTGGGGTCGAGAATGACGACCATGTCGCGCGAGATCTGACTAAATGCCTCCGCATTTTCGTTGGCTGCAGCAATATCGGGCCAGATGCGATCCAGGATCTCCTCGGATGATAGGCCCTGGCAGGCCGGACTGGGCACCACGAGCAACCCCGGAATGGGCTTGGAGACACCAAAGACGAGGTTGTCTTGGACGTAGACACTCTGGCGGACACGATGCTCGATCGGCACCGGAAGGACTTTCTCTCCATTAATTAAAGTGACTCGGTCGTCGATGCGGCCTAGATATTTCCAGGCATTGGGAATCGTGGGGTGCTTGAGAAATGTGTCCCGCGTGTGGAACGAGTTCGGAGGGTCGTCCGAATTGGAACTGACTTTGGATGGAAGACCATCCAGCACGATGCATTCATAGGATCCGTCTTCCAGGGGCTTCCATTGCAGGAATCGCTCGACCGACGCCAAGGGCCGAAGATAGTTCCAGGCCTTGTCTTCCTGGGGTCGCGCCGAGGTCATCAATTGACCCAGCTCGGTGGCTCCGTAGTGGCTGATCAACCGGACCCCGGCATTTACGAGCTCATCACCCAGCTCATCCGGACAGCTACTCCCTCCAAAAAGGACCTGCTGGCACTTTGCTAGCTCATCGGTCCCACCTTCGGTCTCACACAATAACTTCAAGACGTACGGCACCCCATGGAAGCTTTCCGGGGCCGTCGCTTTCATCGCTTCCAGCACATTGTTGCCTGTGAGGGGAAGATTCGCATTATAGATGGATATGGGCTTTCGCTTGAACAGTGAGCGGAAAAAGGTCGATAGGCCATGGTTATGATAGAGTGGCAATGTCAATAGCGCTCGGTAGCCCTTGCTTGTACTGTAGTTGGAGATGCATGCCCCGTGGGTCTGGAAGATGGGCTTGGGGAGGCCAGTGGAGCCCGACGAGTGGATGATAAAAGCCCACTTGAGACTCTCTTGCGGTGTCCCAGCATTTGGACTGGCTTGCTGCCACTCCTCCGAGTAGTTGGCAAACTCGGGGATTGCAAAGGTAGCCACCGACGATGTCTCCGCCACTTGCCTGACGGCTTTGGCGCTGGACGGGGCGTAGACGAGATTGGTACAGTTGGTCTTTGCAAGAAGGTTGGTGTAGGCCTCGGTGCTGAGGCGGGTTGACAGCAACAGAACCGCATAGCCCATGCGAGACAATGCAAAGAGGGACACGATGTAATCCAGGTTGGAGGGGCCGAGGATGGAGACGACGCGATTCTCAGTCGGATGGGCGAACTAAACTGTTAGCACATTGATTGGTCGATGGCTGTCAGAATTACCTCTGCCAGGCCTGCCTGCTTGTATTGCTTGACCGCGCCATTGGCGAATCGGTCCAGATCGCGCGGGGTGTAATAGACATAATCTGCGACGCCATGCGTTTTCTGTGGGTAGCCCACGAGCGGCTCATCGGGAGCATCCCGCACAAGGTTTCTCAAGACATCGTCGATGGTGTAGTTGATCTGGTACTCCTCTGCCGGGGGACTCGGGGGCAGTCGGTGGAGGGTTTCCGTTTTGCTGTCTCCATGGAGACGCGCGGGCTCAAAGGTACCGGAATTTAACATGATGAAAAGGTACTACAGCCACGGCGGTTCCGATTAGACCGAAATTGCATGAGGACACATTCAAGATGTGATAAAGACATGAATCCGGGACATCACTACGATGCAAGTGCACGGTGTCGTCTTATGATGAGATCATCTCGGATATAGCCTCGGCTCACTGCACTTATCCGATCTTCTTTTCCGGACTCTCGGATGGAACTGAACCCATCCGGAAAACCGTGTCAGCCCGAGGTGACCCGGAATAGCTACCGAGGCAGATCGGAATTGAAGATGAAGGGTTGACAGTAGGTCAGAGACGGCAAGGAGGTGTCCTGATGTAGGAAATGTCGGTGCCAACTCTGGTATCTCTATAAGATGGCTTGTTGCAGAACGATGACTCTAGACGAATCACCAGCCTTCGACAGATATGGCTACCAGACATTTCATTCATGACGGGGCAACCCTCGTTCAGGACGCTCTGCATGGACTGGCCCTGTCCAACCCGTCCATACGTTACGACGATGATATCAAAGGTATTAGCGTTCTGCCAATTACCCACAGCTGTGCTAACGAATCAGCGATCATCAATCCCCGCCATGACGGGGACAAACAGGTTACCCTCATTTCAGGCGGCGGAGCCGGCCATGAGCCCTCCTTTGTAGGACTCGTGGGCGACGGCCTTCTCAGTGCGGCCGTCTCCGGGTTCATTTTTGCCTCGCCGAGTGTCCACCAGATTCAGAATACCATTGCCCGCGTGGGTGGCTCGGCGGGAACACTCCTCGTCATCATGAACTACACCGGGGACGTGCTCCACTTTCATCTGGCAGCGGAAAAGGCCCGGCTGGCTGGATTCAACACAGCCGTCCTGGTCGTGGGCGATGACGTGTCGGTCGGTCGGCAGAAGAGTGGCAAGGTCGGCAGACGAGGCCTGGCAGGGACCGTCCTGGTGGAAAAGATTCTCGGAGCCCTCGCGCAGCAAGGCATGGCGCTGGAGGAGCTCCGCCAGGCCGGTGAGGAGGTCGTGAACAGCCTCGCGACGGTTGGTGCAGCGTTGGATCATGTCCATCTGGTCGGAAAGCCGGCCGACCCGACAGATCGCACGGATCAGGTCGAAGTGGGCATGGGAATCCATAATGAGCCTGGGTGCTATGTGGTGAAACCGCAACCGTCCATCTCGGACTTGGTGGACCAGATGTTGGATAAGCTCTTGGATCCCGATGACGCCGATCGGGCGTATGTCTCGTTCACAGACACGAATTTATGCTTACTGGTCAACAACTTGGGAGGCGTATCCAACATCGAATTTTCCGCGGTGACGAAGACGGTGGTCGATCGCCTCGGTAAGTGATGCAGCATCGCTAGAATCGCGTGCTGACGGAAACTAGACCGACGGGGTCTAAAGCCTATCCGGATATACTCGGGGAGTTTCATGACCAGTTTGGACGGAAAAGGGTTCAGTATCACGCTTCTGAAGGCTAGTCCTCAAATGCTAGAGGCGCTGGATGCCCCCGCGATCACACCCGGATGGTCAACCAGACCAAGGCCCGATGGTATTCAAAGACAGCAGAGGACATCCTTGAAAGAGAGCCACCAAACCATCGCGGCGACCACGTCTCAACTGAAAGGTTCTGATCTCCTGGCTTTACACGAGAGCTGGTACTGATCTTCTATGACAGTTGACGAACACGACCTGAAAACCTCCATTGAGCGTGCTTGCTATAAACTCATCGCAGCCGAGGCCGAACTCGATCGATACGACTCGGTGGTGGGTGATGGGGACTGCGGATCGACTCTGGCGCGCTTTATGCCATCTTCCTGAATGCTCTGGCTGCCTCCCTACGCGCGATTGGCATTGAATTACCAGTGGCACGGAATGTCCAAAGGGCAGACTGGGTCCAGGCTGCTGGGGAGGCACTGCAAGCCCTACGGCAAGCGACCTCAGCCCGCGCAGGAGACCGCACGATTATGGATGCCCTGGAGCCTTTCATAACAGCGCTGCAAGCGGGTGCGTCAGCGGCCGGGGCGGTGGATGCAGCTCGGGCAGGCCGCAATAGCACGCAAGGCATGACCGCTTCGTTTGAGCGCGCTGTGTATGTGCCGGAAGAAGGATGGAGTCGGGTCCCTGATCCTGGGGCGGCAGGACTGGTCTGCCTGCTAGAGGGGCTATTAAGCCCGTAGCAATTTCATAGATGTGCAATATAGCAATACCAGTGATGTTCTCGATCGTCAACTTCCCCCGTGGCTAAACAGGTAGTCCAACTCTCCCAGTCCTGCAATAGCCAGAGAGTCGAGTCCTTCCCAATCTGCAAGTCCGGATGACGCCGGCACCGGAAAGTTATCCTCGGCCCCGCCTTCTGTCCATCCGGGAATATCAGACTCCATCACAGCAGGCATCAAGTTGCTACCCTGCAGTCTCTCGGCTACTTCCATGCGATTTACCTCGATCTCATCTGGCCGGAATGCCTGGGGGCCCAATTGCCCAATGCCTTGGTTCCCGCCATAAGAAAATGTCTGATCCCTCGTGGCATCTGGTGGATGGTCAGTTTGGTTTGCTGCAATCCGAGCCTCTTGGCGAAGCTCTTCGAGCACAACGACGTAGCGCTGCACAAAGGAAGATTGAGAGCAACAACCGGCGAGATCTCGTTGGGCGCGCTCCCCGGTGTGTAGGTATTTGGAAACTTCCCCGCCATCGCCCTTCTGCGCAGCTAGCTGAATGACGCGCAAATATAGAATCATAATGGCCGAGAATGCATAATAATGTGTAAACTGGTCCTGTTAGCCTAACCGCCAGCAGTGGATGTCTACTGCATACCCAAAATGTGCTATACATTCGCCGTTTCTCACAAAGCTCGCGAATGATTGCTGCAATCTTCATGGCCGCTACAAGACAGACTTTGATGTATTGGTCAACAGCTCTGCTGGAAGAATCATTGCGTGATCTCTCGCGATTGTTGGTTCCAAAGTGCCGCAGGATGAAAGGTCGGTAAAGCAGGATCTGTGCATGGTAAAAGGCCAGATTGAGCACCGTGTATTGGCGTTGGTATGTCAGCATCAACAGGTCCACATTCGAGGAGTCAAGAAATCCGGACAGTTCTTGACGCCAGCGGGTAAGATGAGCACCATGTTGAGCGGCGGCTGCGACTTCAGCTTGGGAGCTACCCCTGTGAATGCCGTACATGTCATGCAGGATGCGACCAATTATGACAGACAACTTGGCATGGTATAGAGGGGCGAGCATGATACTTTGTGTCGTTGACTCGGAGGCAAGGATTTGGTCTCGCAGAATCCGCGAGTCATCAGCAACGGTAGGAAAGTCTTGATCAATATCGTCATCGTGAAAGATCCGTGGGCGACCAAGGGCCGCACTCAGATAGTTATCCAGGCTGTATGCACACCAAAACACGCGTTTTCGAAGTTCAGACTCAATATGGTCAACGGCACCATTCTCACGTCTTCTCGCGCGGTGCATACCGAGGGTCATTGCGAGTCGAGCGGTGGTGCCGAATAAGCTCCAACAGTGGTTGATACGAGATTGAGACAGAAGATAAAAGCATTGAGCCAATCGTGCCTGGACACTGGTTATTCGCACAGGTCCCGTCTCAGCTGAGAGCTGTTGTTCCGAGGCTGCAAAGTAGGCCGCACTATAGTCAATGAGCTACCCTCCACATCTTGGAAGAGATATGACTACCGCACCTACTGACCAAAGACCGGGCTGACGACTGATCCGAGTCAAGTTGGCTTTGCTTGGCTTGAGCGAAAACCATCAGAACTACAGCCCGCTTTCCCCGCGTGCCGGGAGTGACGCCCTCGGAGCGTTGCACGGCGCCGTAGAATTCCTCCACCCAGCTTTCAACCTGTGGCTGATGAAGAAAGCGATGGGTGGGGAAAGCAAAATCAAAGTACCGTGTGAGAAGCGCGTTGGCCTCATTTCGTGGCGGTAAGAGCATGAAGGTCGACTCTGCCTCGGGCAACGGGGAGTCTCCAAACGTGAAGATGGGTGTATTGATGGGCAGCGCTACATACTTGTGGAGTTTACGTTGCGCTCGAAGTAGGAAGGAGACCCCAGACGAAGGACCAACATAGTGGCCTTCCAAGTCCGTTTGATGAGGCTCAGGTGAGGCACGAGAGGGTGGGTTCTCAACAGCGTGGTTCTCGGGCATAGTGCAATTTTCACCTACTAGGGAATATTGCAAAGACGGCGATCTATCCCCCTCAACCGCTGAAGCCTGCTTCTGCTGCTGTTCAGTCCCTGGCGCAGGCTGGGCGATACGAACCTGAGGCAGCTTGCCCCTGTTGTACTCGGCCGTGTACTCGCAGGGTTTTCCGGTTCGAAGGCAACTGGCACAGGGCAAAGTCCCCGTACAGCGTAGCTTCTTCCTGGTTGAACCTGTGAATTAAACCTTTCGTGGTGAACGCGACATGGACTCACTTCTTGCAGGCATCGCAGGCACGCGTCACTCGGACGCGTTCTTTGTGGCATCGGCGTTTGCTGGCCGGTTCATCTGGCATATCCATTGAATTCTTTGATTGACAGCTGCTCAGGAACTGCCTGGCAGCACATTTCCGGGGGTAGGGCGACCTTGCTCATCTCCGACTGACGGGGGTTGAGTGGCAAGTGAGACGGAGCGGAAAAAGGGGGCGGGGTAGCCCCGGAATTTCCCCAGAATCAAGCCCCGGCTTATCGACATCCGGACATCCCAGACGGCTCCGGGTCCATTGCCGCCGGGAGTACTCGTGTAGGGTAGCGGTATGGTAGAACCAGTGGACTCAAGACAGGCCATGAGCCAAGACTAGATGGCTTCTGAAAAGAATGTCTTAGACGTGATATGTACAAGACACGATGGTCCCTACTAGCGATTTCAAGTCATATAATTTAGAATGGTTTGCATCTACTACTTCTTGAATAAGGACATGGCTTAGAGTCAACACATGGCCTTGTTCCACGTTACCACTCTCTCCACTCTCCTCCAGGCCCTTCGAAACAAGGACTCCGCCAGGCTTTGGCATTAACAGTGGCGGCTCGAATCTTGTCTTCGTCCAGTTCAATCCCTAAGCCCGGGCCTCGCGGGAGGTCCAACATACCATCTTTGACGGTCCAGACATCACCGTTCTTTATATACGTCTCAAGATCCGCTGAACCATGGTTGTAATGGATACCTAGGCTCATCTCTTGGATGGCAAAGTTAGCCGACACCGCGTCAACCTGAATATTCGCCGCCAGGGCGATCGGACCCAGAGGGCAGTGAGGCGCCAAAGCCACGTCGTAAGCCTCTGCCATGACCGCAATCCGGCGCAGCTCCGAAATTCCACCCACATGACTAATATCCGGCTGGAGGATGCTGACGGATGCCGATTCCAGGAAGGGTTTGACATCCCACCGGGAGTGCAGACGCTCTCCGAGAGCGATGGGAATAGGGACGAGTTTGGACAGAGCGGTCACCGACTCGGGGTGCTCGGAAAGCAGGGGCTCCTCGATGAACAATGGCTCATGCGGAGCCAGCTTGTGTGCCAGCTGGATTGCCATAGCTTTGTGCACCCGTCCGTGAAAGTCGACTCCAGCATCAAGTCCAAGAGACTTGACGGTCTTGAGTCGCTCCACTGACGCATTGAGCGCCCCGGGCGAGTCCAGCCAGCCAATATCTTCGGTTGCGTTCATTTTGACCGCCTTGAATCCCTGGGAGATACGGCCGCGACTAGAGATAACATGTTATCAGCAACAGCAATGGCCAAGCGAACAGAGTAGTGAGGGGCTGTACGCCTGTATCTCCACATCCCCAGGACGATCTCCGCCGATCCAAGCATAAACCCGCAATCGATCACGAACCTTGCCCCCAAGGAGCTCGTAGATGGGCACACCGAACCGTCGGGCTAGTAGTCGGTCCACCAAACATCAGCATTGCCTTCCAAGTATGATCCCCGGATTAGCCCACCTTTCAGGTCCCATAAAGCAATGTCAATACCGGACAGGGCACTCATCAAGATTGGCCCGCCCCGGTAGAAGCCCATGCGATAGCCATTTTGCCAGATATGCTCAATGTCACTGGAACGCCAAGTGAGCACATACCCCATGCTATGAAGGGCGGTGAGGGTCATACTTAGCCTCTAAGCCAATGAATCGCTCGATAAATGCATTGAGGCAGCCCTCGACTGCCTCAGTATGGCCCTCCAAGGACGCTTCACCCCAGCCAGTATTCCCTTGAGAATCCGTGACCTTGACAAACAGCCACCGCGGAGGAACTCGAAAGTATTCAATTTGCGTGATTGGCGCCATTGCTATGTTGCCCAGTCGGGGCCAACGAGGGCATTTGACAATCTGTTCGGATTTCAATTCACAGTCATAGTGGGCAATCGGCCACATTGCTCTTGAAGAACAAGTAGATCCGGGCCTGTTCGCAACGTCTCGGAAAACCTCCACGCCTCCCGTCGGATAAGTCGCTCGGTAATGCTTTCGGAAACTTATCCGAGGCCAGCTGCTTCCCACGATACAAGTCGCAGTTGACATCTAGCATCTAGTGCCCCTTGGCTGGAACTTGTTCTTGGGAAAACCATTGCCAACCATACTCGTACACGCCTTGATCACGGACAATGGCTTCAGGTCGATCCATCAAATTGAACAGTGGTTACAGCATGCCAGCCGTTGGGCTGGGCACCTGGGTACGTTCAGTCTCTGCTATCATACGGCATACCTGGGAACAAGTCATATTCCCGCAGCAATCGCAAAAAGATCAAGTTCGCGAAGCAGTTATAACGGCGCTGCAGGCGGGGTACCGACACATCGATGCGGCCGCTGTTTACGGCAACGAGAAGGAGGTCGGAGATGGAATCAAGGCGTCCGTAGTTCCTCGCGAGGAGATCTTTGTCCGTTTATCTTGGCATACCAGTATGGTCATAGACTGCGCACTAATCGCTGGATATTGATAGTTGACGAGCAAGTTATGGAACACCCACCACGAGCCCGAGCACGTTGAAGAGGCTGTGGACCAGTCCCTCGCCGCTCTCCAGACTAACTATCTGGATCTTTACCTGGTGAGTTGTGCAAACGTCCAAACCCACCGCAATGTTATGTTAAATTGTATTCATTGATGAATAGATCCACTGGCCTGTGTCGTTCCGGTATTCCAACACCACTATCCCACCTGTCGACGAGAAAACGGGGCTTATTGACGTGATTGATGTGCCGGTTAAGGATACCTGGGCAGCGATGGAGCGCCTTGTGGAAAAAGGAAAGATTCGCAGTATTGGTGTGAGCAACTTTACTCGGGACAAGATTGAAGAATTATTCAAGACGTACGTTCTTTCATTCGCGTCTGAGGGCCCTTTGTACTGACCCCGGTCCAAGTGCAAAGATCCGTCCTGCGGTGAATCAGATCGAAGCCCATCCGTACCTCCAGCAACGGGATCTATTGCGGTGGAGTCAAGACAATGTAGGTTGGATAACGACACTGTCTCGATGTATATATGAAAACTGATCTCTGTGCAGAACATCGTCATCACGGCTTATTCACCGCTGGGAAACAATATCTACAACATTCCTCGGTATGTCTGGAAATCCCGAACGATCCCAGGGGGCGTTCACTCACATCCTTCATAGTGCGGTTGATGATGGCCTGGTAATTGAAACTGCCCGCAAGTTGGGCAAATCGCCTGCGCAAGTGTTGATCAGCTGGGCTGTTCAGCGGGGAACCGCTGTTCTTCCCAAGTCAGTGACGGCGGAAAGGATTCGCAGCAACTTTGAAGGTAAGCATCCATCGACATTGGCTTGAAACTGAACGGTTCTGATATATGGTTACACCATCTACATCAGACTTTGTACTTCCCAACGACGCATTCGAAGAAATACAATTATTAGAGAGGCACCAACGCATGAACTTCCCCGCCAGACTTGGAGTTGATATCTTTGGCGAGGTGGGAGAGGCTAAGGCGAAGCAGAGTGCCCTGGCGTGGGCAGCAGAGCAGAAGAGACTTCGGACTTGAGCTTCCAGCGTCGCAGCGGGATATATAGGGTTGTCTGACACTAGCCTATACCCTCTGTAGTATCTCTCAATCGTATGAAATGATTTATCCTTGTATGTCAAAACAAATCATCTCAGTAGGCATTACCGGTGGGGTTTAGTTGAAGAAATGTTACCTTGGTCTATGGTCATTCCACTTTTCCGAGTTACACTTATCGGATATGGGCTGACAGAGTTTACCCCGTGTCATTCTTCCCTGGCATGGTTGGCTCAGGCCGCCAAGATTGTCAACCCCGCGTCAGATATCCGAAGAGGGTCGCATCCTTGAAGCCGACTGGTCGTCACCAGCACCCCATGGGGAATGCTCTTCAGACTATCGAGAGTGGGGACCCCTGGGAGGCCCGGCATTTAAGAGCCAAGAACCTTATCACGACCGCTGTTTTGCTCCCATCACTTTCGTCCAACAGTCAGTCACGACTCCGATATCTCATAAGCTCTCTCTTTCAAATCACTGCTGTCCCCTTTATCAACTGTATTCCATGGATAATGCCAAGGTCTCCGGGAGCGAACATGTTGAGTTCCACAATATGGGGGACAACCCGAAAGATCTTGGTTCTGGCACAGTACCAGCATCTTTGTCGGACTTGACGCCGGAGGAATTACTGCAACGGGAGAAGAAGCTGGTCAGGAAGATCGATATCAGACTGCTTATTATGATGTTGGTCATGTATATCCTGAACTACTTGGATCGCAACAACATTGCAGCAGCAAAGTTAGCCGGTCTGCAAAAGGATTTGAACCTCACAGGCGACGAGTACCAGGTATGAGGATGCATTGTTATGTGACTGGGACAGGAAGCAATGGGATGCCTGACAGCCTGCAGGTGTGTGTCAGTATCCTGTTTGTCGGGTATCTTCTCATGCAAGGTTAGTATCTTCTTTCTAGTCAATTTGATACTCGGGAAGGCTAAATGGCACAGTTCCGTCAAACATGATTCTCAACAAGCTCGGTAAACCTTCAATCTATCTGCCGGGGTGTATGGTAGTGTGGGGTGTCATCTCGTGTTGCACTGCTGCCACGAAAGATTTTGCCGGCTTGGTCGTGGTTCGATTCTTTCTCGGATTCGTCGAGGCGGCATACTTTGTAAGAACACCCTGTAATGCTCAAAGTCACTTGCTTACCCTTCAGCCCGGCTGTCTTTATCTTCTGTCGGCATGGTATACCCGGAAAGAATTGGTCAAACGGACGGCATTGCTATACGCAGGCTCACTGATTTCGGGTGCATTCTCTGGCTTGATCTCTGCTGGGATCACGAGTGGCTTAAACGGCGCACGGGGTATCGCAGCCTGGAGATGGCTTTTTATTATTGAGGGATCGCTAACGGTATAATCACTGTTTTGTGTTTTCGAGCCGTCAATCTAACATCTTTAGATCTTCGCGGCTCTGATCGCATTTTTTATTGTTCCTGATCTGCCCAGAACGACTTCGTGGCTGACCACCGACGAGAAAGTTCTCGCGGCATGGAGACTTGAAAAGGACATTGGTGAAGATGATTGGGTAGATAACGAACATCAAAGCATGTTCAACGGTGCAAAGCTTGCCTTCAAGTAAGACCGCAATCCTGAGGCTTGTTCACTGAACTGACGAATCTGCGCAATAGGGACCCAAAGACTTGGCTGTTGCTTGGTGTCATATACGGTTGCACTTCCGCTGGATCAGTAACAACCTTCTTTCCCAGGTATGGTTACGCTGTCAGGCTTGTAGAGCCCGTGAGATTGATGTCTTTAGTGTGATGGCTGGACTTGGCCGGAACAACATTGATACCTTGCTTCTTACCACACCTCCATATCTCATCGGCACACTCGTCGTGTTGGTCCATGCCTGGCATGCGGACCGAACAGGCGAACGATACCTCCATATTTGTCTTCCGCCTATCATTGCGATTGTATCGTTCATCCTGGCGATGGCTGGGAATAACTTCGCCGCTCGATATGTGTAAGTCTGGACAACACGCACTGTAGAACTGTCGGTCTAACAGAGCACCCAGCGCGATGTGCATCATGCTTGGTAGCATTTATTCGGGCTACGTCGTGGCCCTAGGGTACATCTCAAACAGTAAGTATATATCGTCCAACCTCGGGGAATACTCACTGACGGACACAGTCCTGCCACGCCCGGCAGCAAAACGAGCCGCTGCCTTGGCTCTTATCAACTGCCTTAGTAACGTGTGTCAGATTTATACACCTTACCTTTACCCCGGTACGCATATTGCACTAATGCCTAGCAAATGCAACTGCTGATGTGATTCAGACTCTGCGTCACCGCGTTATATCATCGCATTCAGTATTAACATCGGCATGCTTTCCATGACAATTATAGTTTCCACCATCCTTCGCATATATCTGGGTAGATTGAACAAGAAACTCGATGAATTAGATGGTGTCGACCTTGCCACACAGGCGCGTGATAATGAAGAACATGGTCTGCCTGGCGTGGCAGTGAGAGAGGGGTTCCGGTTCTTGCTCTAAAGTGAATCCTGGCATGGTTGTTCAAGCTTATTAGCAAGTTGCACCTCTGTTCCGATCTGTCCTGGTACATGTCTTCCAAGGAGAGTCAGAGACTTCGTACACATACACCTCGCTCTTTACTTGGGACTTCTCTTTGATCATAAGTGTCGAGCCTGCCTATATTTGGTTTTGAGCACTGTGTGGCCAGGTTGAAAAAGGATCTTTTCTGTGTGACAACCTATAGTCGGGGTCATCTTTAGTAACGAGACAAACAATGTGAAGGATTAGAGCTCTCAGAACGCACTTTGACAACGTGGTAATGTTTCCTTCCCTATAATAAGCAGATCAAGTGCACTCACCCAATACTTTCATGGAATACGTTGGATATTGGCCATCTGTTTGGTCCGAGGGGTTTAACGTGACTGAAATGGCTTTAGGCTAGCTGGGGGACGACGAATATTGCGATGAAGCTGGTCAGAAGGATAGAGGATACCAAAGACGAAGCAGCGCGAGGATCAGGTGATTGGCACGCAGTCACCACCGTCACTTGCACCAGCCTTCTAATAGATGCCCGTGACAATTCTCCTCATATGTGTCCCATTCCTCCATTGTTTTTGACAGTATCATGTTATATTGTGGACTTCCAGCCCCCCGACCTGGTAAGCTGCGGGGACCCCCGCACTAAATTCTCACATCATCAGGCTCGACGATCCTTCGTACAATCTGTTTCTGACCTCCCAGAGATTCAGGGATGGACCGAACCCATTTCTCGTCCATGTTCCTCAACCAAGACCACACGTCGTGATTTGACATTCTATTTGTAGGTATCCTCCAAAGACATTGACACAACATTCCCTATGGTTTCTTGATTGTGAATGTGCTTGAGGCTTTCTTCAACTAATTATTGACTCAACCTAGCAGTTCCCATCTGATCCAAGCACTCAGTATATTGGGTTCTACAAAGTCCTTGGCCTCAAGCACTTCGTACACCTGCATATACCTTCCACCATTTCCGCCAATCATCCAAAAATGGACACGATCCAAGGTCAAAAGGAGGCTGTTGTAACCTTCCGCAAAGGCTTCAAAAGTGCGCCTTGGGTCCCTATCTCCACGATGCAAGCTCAGTCATTCCGTGAGAGGCCACTGAAAGGGCCAGTCCTAGTCAGCAAGATCGAGATTCCTCGTCCTGATCAGGGAGAGGAGGCATTGCGCACCCAGCTATGGGATCTCTACAAGGCAAAGAGCAAAGGAGGGGAGAAGCTTGATCCTCCAGCACCATGCGCCAGCTACAAGGGGGAATGGATTGGGGTGATGAAGGATGGAAATGCTCCGCTGCCAGATATGAGCGAGCACGAAAGGTTCAAGGCAATCGAGCAAAATAGCACAAGCGACGTCACCCTGTTCTATCTGTCGGGAGGTGCCTGGTTGTAAGTGAATATATGATCCCGCCATGCTCTCGTCTGAGTGTCTTGCTAATGTGTTTGGATGCAGTCGCGCCGGTCCACCTGGTGCACGTCCGTTGATCAAACAACTCTGCGACCGGAGCGGGTCGCGCGTCTTCACCTTCCAGTATCGTCTGGTTCCGCAGTATACCCTGCCGACACTCTTGCTCGATGTCATCGTTGCTTATCTTTACCTTCTCTCCCCTCTTCCGGGGTCCTTCCACGAACCCATAGACCCTGCGAACTTGATTCTAGTCGGAGAATCCGGCGGCGCAAGCCTGCATCTCTTCCTCCTCCAATTCCTCCAATTCCTTCTCCGCTCTGGGAACCCAACGATCCGCCTCAATAATCGCGACATCCGAGTTGCGATGCCAAAAGGCTGTGCATTCATCAGTCCAGGCTGCGACATCGCTTTATCCTTACCCTCCGTGAAAAGGTTCGAACCACGCGAGTGGTTATCCGAGGGCGCGCCTTGGCTCCAACCCAACTTTCCTGTGGATCGTATCTGGCCCTCCAAACCACCAAGAGGCGACCTGCACTGCGATAACTCCGCTCTTTGTCACCCGCTTGTTGATCCGTCTACCTGGACCGATTGGACCGGCATGCCGCCGATGTGGATTGCTGCTGGGGAGGAGACGTATGCCGATGGCATCAAATTCTTGGTGCAGAATATTGAAGCATCGGGGGTTCCGGTGACGTTTGTGCAATATGAGCATATGCCGCATGTTTGGAATGTGGTGATGCCCTTCTTGCCGCAAAGCAAACATGTGATGAGGCTGTGGGGGGAGACTTGCAAGGGATTTGCGGAGGGTAGGGCATCGAATCCGGGCGCTTACTTTGTTAAGCTTGGCAAGCTGGAGATGGTCCCGATTGGTATCCAGGGTCTTCTGGACATTCCCAAGGATGAGGTTTTAGAGAGAATGAACGTGGCTAAGGATGAGCTGGCGAAGTTCGTGTGGAATGGACCGGAGACTGGGTGTCCGAAGCTGTGAAAGGTTTCATCATACATGGCCGACAAAATCAATGCCATATGGGCACCCGATTCAATCAATTCGACTAAATTTACTAGCCTGATCATCCCGCTACCAAAAATCCAAAACCAAAAAGAAATGCTCCCACGCGGATTTGAACCGCGGACCTCATGATTACTAGTCATGCGCTCTACCAACTGAGCCATAGGAGCTGCTGATATATTTTGTTGAGGCTAGTATAGTAAACAAGCCTCAATAACGCTCTGCCGATCTCCAGGCGCTGATCAAACCTCCACAATCTTCAACGGGGGCTCCACCTTGGCCAACAGTTCCGTCCATTGCGTCTTGGTACGCTCCATGCCATTGCACAGGAGCAACATCAACATATCCATGTCGGTCCTGATCAGTGCCTCATTCGTATCGGCAAGGACAATTTCATTGATCAAGAGTCGCGAGTGCGGTTTCATTGTTTTGGCGGTATTCGACAAGATCTTCTGCGAGGAGACATCGTCCCAGTCATGAAGCACGGACTTAAGATAATATATATCAGCTCCTGCAACTCACAGTCAGCCTCACCCAGATAGTTCATCCAACTCCACAACATACCGTGAACCTTCTGCTCCTTGAAAAAATCATACGCGATAGGCTTGACCTTCGAATCCAGCGGACCGGGAATCCTCTCCAACGTCTCCGGCAAATCCTGCAAAATCAATTCACACTCCAGATCCGGGAAATGCTGAACAAATCGTTCCAGGTCGACCCCCTGGCTGCCTCCAATGTCCACAATGACGGGCGGTGTAGTCAACTGTCTCTCCGCAAGTCGCTCCTGGACCGGGAATTTGACATGCCACGGGATCGACAAGGTTTTGTTACGAGCGGTCATACTGTCGTCGAAACCTTTTTTCCACACAGGGTTCTTGGTTAATGTTTCCCAGACGGTCTCGCCCATAGCGAAGTCGTAGGGCGGGGGAGTCTGGGTCATGTCGCATGGTTTGTTTTGGCGGAGGTATTCCCGGATTTTGCTTGCTAGGGGGTAGGTCATTTCGTTTCTGCCTTAGTATTAATAATCTGTTAGGATGTGTGATGGGAGATACACACGATAGAATCATGCCTCCTATTGATCCCGGCTCGCTCTGACAGATGGTCACCGGGTTAGCGGTATACGTCTGGTATCCGGTCTCGTCGGCGAATCCGATGGCGGTCATCAATCGCATGATGCGGGCTTGAAGTCGCAAGTCAATCGTCCTCCTGATAAAATTTGAGAATTGGTCACCCACCGATCAGAACTTCGTCATACCCTGACGCCTGGGCCAGATCGGAAGCCGTCACATTCTCGCCTTTTCTGGCTGCTAGCGTTTGGAGAAGGCCCATTTCGAGTGCGGCGACGAGGCAAATATTCTGGACGGTCTTTGTCGAGCGGTTAGTTATTTCCCAGTCGCGAAGAAATGGCACGTGTACGTGGAACCGTTGCTTCATAACGAAAATCGCCGGTGGCTCGGTGGCCCGACGCAGTTTCTCCATTGCATCCTGGATGGGCATCCAACTGGAGGGATTACTCGGGTCGTAGGAGACGACTGCTTGCTGGATAGATTCAGCGAGGTGTTCGAGATGTGCCTTGTCCGCCATCGTTGCTGGATAGGCTACTCGGGTAAAAGGACGCTTAGTGGGGAAGGCTGGCTGTGGGGGCGGGATGTACAAGTGGAGGCGGCCGGACTTGATAGAACGTACGAATATGATCACACTGCGGATGGGAATGTACATAAAGTAAAGTCAAAACGAGCAAGAGGGACCGACGACTCTATTATATGTCTAATATGTGACACAGGATGGAACACTGCCCTATCTAGGTGGAAGAACAAGGCTGCACTAGTCTGTCCGCCAAGCAACATCAAGCATGGCCAACCGCGGGGTCCCATAACGACTAGTGTCCACCAATTCCATTAGCCATGTTATAAGATCGACACGCCCACCACTAAAGCCGAATCACTTTCTTTTCTGATAATTCTTCCAATCAGCCCTAACCACCAACCTGCCAACCAATGTGGCCCTTCAACGAAGCCAACTATCCCGCCTTCTTTCTCGCCGTCTACGACGCATGGGTGTTACATACCGTCACGCCATCGGTCTGGCGCTGTTCAACCAAAGAAACACTAGTCCCGTTGTACCAACGCAACGTGGGCCGTCATCACTGTGACATCGGCTGCGGTATGCCCCCACCTACCGTGCAGAAATCTACGAGCACCTCGACGCCTGCCCTTCTGGTTCTAGTAGGTGAGCAGTGCCGCCCTGAGCTCGCGCGACGGGGTGATGGGGCGGGTGATGGGGCGGGTGATGGGGGTGAGGGTCGCGCGATGGTCGCGCGACTAGACGCCTAGTGCTGACACTCCTCAAAATTGCGTAGGATGGATTAGGTAAAGTTGGCTAGAGTTCATTCACCCTTACTGCTTTAATGCTGATCACGTGGCATTTGTTGCCTCAAGTGCGGGGTTTATGAGATTCGAAGGTGGTCATCATCTGTGTTCAAAACTACGTCCACTCGAGGGAGCTACATTATGGGGAACAACAACAGCTTGGTAGGCTCAGTAACATGTCTACTTTTAGATATATGCTTACATTATGAAAATAGGTCCATTCCGAGGTGCCATTAAAACTCAAGGAGTTATCTGAAGTTGTGCTGTCAGCAGGTGACCATGTGAGATAAAGTCGCTGAGTTTATGTCAATTAGCTTGCTAATACAACAGAGGATACCGCTCGCATCCTAGAGCAGATTTCCTCATCGCAGGAATTGATCAAATCCTGGCACACCAAGTTAATATCCAATGATTGTGCTAAGGGCAACTCACTTGCTGGCTCAGAGATGGGCAAATGGTTTCAAGTTTGGAAGAATGACAAAGGCAGAGAGCTCTCAGATGATCAGGTCTGTCGCCTGGCAGCACTGACGAAAAACAGGAGACGACGAAGCCAACAGGATATCCCGAAACGCTTGTTTGACTGGATTAGAGATCCAGTCCTAAAGTTCTGGGGCCAGAAAGCACTACCTCAGAGTACCCAACTTATTGACTGTTGCCTTCATGACGTTGATGAAACTGAAAATTCTTCTCTCATGAGTCCTATACGCCGAAGAGTTATCCTTGTGATTCTTCATGATCTGATTCAGCGAGAGAAAAAGCATTTGCAAGACCTAGCCAGCCAGCGTAAAACCAGGTCCCATGGCCATCCTAATTCAGGGCAAGGCAAAAAGTTTCTTACTGAAGCAATCAGTAACATTATCAACAGAACATACTATCATCTCAACTTGTCACAGGACGTTCTGGACCAGAAGCGCAAGCGATGTACTGAACTTCAACGCTATGGTGGAAAATGGTCTCTATTTGGTCGTAGAGAGGCCATCTTAGAGTTCCCTATGCCATATGCTGCGAACAAGTACGTGAGACTGGGAGCGAGAACAGTAAACATACTAACAAGGTCTCCATTTAGTTTCGAGCGCGCCAAGCTAGAGGTTATTGAAATCGAAGCCTTGAATGCATATGAAGAAAGTATGTATGATCAAGGTTATCGATCGAAACTACGAGACGCATACAATGCTATATACGACGCCTACATGTCTCGTCGTTGCAACTTTCCCGTTTGGCCTTACCATCCTGATAATACCAAATCACTCACGACCGTTCCTGATGATGCACACCAAAAAAGGCTTCGCAATAACCCTGAGTACACAGATGAGCGGGCCAGAAAGAGACCAGCCCTGATCACATCCAGACACCAGGAAGGGGATGTGCAAAACACCACGCCCCCGCTTCGAAGCATCAATATTGGTAGGTGATGATATTCTATGTTGACTAGAGAAAATCTAATTAGTCCTAACTTTCGACAGGAGATCCCACGATTCGGGTCCAGTCTGGTTGTGGAAATGAAGCCGATAACCGGGTGCCTTCTGCGCCTATACTCATTGAAAGAAACAGCCCGCAGCTTACCCAATTATCACAAACAAATGGCTCTGGGCCTATCTGCCAGCAACAAACCCACCAGCGACTTGTCAACAAGTCACAATCTGGTCGTATTCCGACTCAGCTTCCAAGATACGATGTTCAGGAGCAGCCTCATAGGATTTCGGTAGCTGAGATCGCAGAGACTTGTTCCGCTGCAAACAGAGAGACGCCTGGCTTTCCATCTTGCAGACAGGCCGACATTCCACACCCAGAGCCCGCAGATGCTCGGGCGACTACCACGATGATGGCAAGCAGTGAGGAGATCTCTCATCAACAACCCAGTGATGTCCCTCAACCTGATGCGACAGACGCATGGGCGACAGCCACGTTTCTGGCAAGTAGTGGGGGCTTCTCTCATCAACAGTCAAGCGATGTCCCTCAACCTAGTGAAACAGACGCATGGGCGGCTACTGAGATAATGAGTCATGTTGGAGGTTTCTCCCATTCGCCAACTACTATACCTCAGCCTGATGCGTCAGATGCATGGGCGGCTACTGAGATGATGAGACACCTTGGAGGCTTCCCCCATCCATCAAGTACTATCCCTCAACCTGATGCGACAGACGCATGGGCGACAGCCACAGTTCTGGCAAGTAGTGGGGACTTCTCTCACCAACCATCTACACCTGGTCGCGGAGCCAAGGCGGTGAGAGCCGCGACGCAACTTGCCACTTTCCTCTGGTCTGGACATCATAATTCGATGAAGTCCCCGATGATCGGGTGACCCATCTGTGTTTTGGTAGCCCCATTGGTTTATTCCCATCTGGTTTTGACCTTACGTACGCAGAGTATAGGCTATGCTTCTACTATTGTCTCAATGTATAGAACGAGGTGAAGTAACTGGCCTAGGTTTAAGTGGGCTAACCCTGTGCGTTAGGTCCATTCAAATCTACGAGAAAATAAATTCAACAGTTATTAATTCGATCGGTTTATGTATGTATGTTAGAAAATTTGTTCATTTCAGTCGTAGAAAAGGATGCTGCGCCAATTCGGATGCCGTTTTCCTGTCCTCTGGACGCCAGGTAAGCATCATCCTTACCAGAGAGAGAAAACCGTCCCTTTCATTCTGATCTAGAGAATGAAGTGTATCTGCAAGTCCTCTGTCAGGTATCAGATTTTCAAATAAGAAGTTCCCTAAATTAGACAATCAGCTATGTAGCATCAAAGCCGAGCGTAATTCGCATACCGTCATCATCGAAAAAGGGGCCGCCGTAGTATTCATTTGCATTGGTGCATATCATGCCTCCCTCTCCTTTAACGGGATCAGGCCATGGATTCAATAGGCTTGAGTTGGCCTTCGCAACCAACTCCCGAGGAGGAGAGCCAAGAAGACCGATCATTTCAGCAAGATGAGCCCTAGCGACATAGTGGCCCTTTGCATCATGAACTTTCTGGAAAAGCTCTTTACCTTCAATTAAATCCCAAAGCTGTTGAGAAGTTACCACATGATCAAAGATACTGGCATAAAAGGAGATGCTTACTAGAACACCCAAATTCCATATGTCTGCGCTTGTATTCCAGCCACATCCAAGAATTACCTCGGGTGCGCGATAGTGATCTGGTTGGATAGGGTAGATACCATAGTCACTATCCAAACACAGCTTTGCAGCCAACCCGAAATCAACGATTTTTGGTATGTTTCGCACTTTTCGAAGGGGACCGAAATCATTGTGGCAACGATAGACGTGGCGGCCAAACAGGTCCACCTTATATTGCATATGTTCACTCATTTGCGTATCCATAAACTGGTCAAACACAGATGGGTCTTCAAAATTTACCATCACATTGTCAAGTTTCAAATCTAAATTTGATCAGAGTTTTCTCTAGTACGCCATTAAGCAAGGTTCGCCGGAGTGTACCTACCTGTATGAACAACACCACAAGATGTATGGAGATAGTCCAGACCCGTCAGAAGAAAACGGATATATGTCTTAACAATGGGAAGAGGGATAATCCCACCATTAAAACGTCTCTGAAATATCCACAAGGGTTCTCTCATGGGCTCGTATGCTAAGCACAGATGTCGCCTTTCTTGACTCCAAACTTCGAATGACTCCAAATGTGTTCGGAAGAGTGGATAACCACGGTGAGAGGAATCTGTTACCGCAATGTGCTCCTCAATCTTGCGTTCGTTCGCAACCGTTTGAGACTCAGCATTGATGATTTTCAGTGCCACGACTTTTTCTGGTTCCCATCGGTAACTGCCAATCTTGTTAGACAATAAGAAATTGGAACATCAGAAAATAACCTACCCTCGTATATCCCGTGCAAACCATGTGGTAGACGAAGACCCCCAGCCTACTTTGACCAGAATTTGATACCGATTATCGAGTACTTGTCCAGGCTCTGCGGGGTAATATTTTTTCAACCCGTAACTAGGGCATATTTCCTCATCAACAAGTTCATCTTGCTGGGAAAGACGCTGCGAAAGGGGAGTTTGGATAGGAGTTTTATGTAGCATGACAGAAGGGTGCCTCATCGCACGCCTGATTGATCTCATTTCGTAGCCTCGATAGTGTGTCAAGAAGCCAGGATAGAACTTCCATGCGTGGTCCAAAATGAAATTAGAGAGAAAAGAAGAAGAAGAAGAAGGAAAAGGGGGAATGTAGGAGACTGGCGCGGGCCAGATAGATATATGATAGGATTCTAGATACCTAAGCTGATCCAGGGGGGGGGTGAATATGACCTAATACCACGTGCTGCATCACGTGATATTAATTAATGTCAAGAACCACGTAGGCCAAAAGGAATATATCCCTTCCTAGTCTCAGGCGTAGAAGGTAGAAATATGGCATGTCTCAACAATTAATAATTATCCCTACCTTACTTCTAGAGGTAGCGCGAAGGGTGATCTATGATGACGCCGAAAATATTACCACAACTAGTGGGCTTAATAGCATTAAACTTTTGGTCCATGGGTTGTTATGTTTGACGTTACGCAGTTAATAAGAAAGTTAGGACAAAGATCTACGAATCATATATATGGATAAACTTCACATAAAATCAAACATCTCCATGAACTCGACAGGTACTCTGATACAACACACACCGCAGTGAGATAATGATCCGACTAAGGGCATACAAATTACCCCGTCTCTCAAACGCGAACTTCCCAAGAGCAACTCAGCTGGGGATACAGTCCTTTATTCGTGGTCATTCGCGTATTGGTCAATTCCCAGACTTTGCGGTGCCAGCAGGGTCAGATATAGGGAGAACGGGGGCCTTAGGATGCGGTGTTCCTTTGTAAGGTGGGTATTTGGCTTCCTTCGAGAACTTCACGTATCCGTTTGGATAAACATGCGCTGATGTTATGCGCTGCCCGGCGCTGTTAAAGAGCTCCACAGACCCATGATAAGGATCATTTTTCGAGGGAGTCGAGTGAGGGTTGCCACTATCTTACATTAGTATAGCCAAAAGATAGGGCATGTCTTTTTTTCTTAAATAACCTTGCCATTCTCGACAGCATCAAGACCAGGGACATGGTCAACAGTGTCATCCATCGATTCGGTCAACCAAGTGACGTCTTGCGTTGTGCCTTGACGTGTCCACTTGAGCTTCTTCAAGTGCCTCACACTGGTTGAAAATGCTCTAGATGCCATGGAGAGAACTGTAATTATAGTATGGCCAAAGGATATTATTGATTATGAAACGATAGAAACCGCCGCAGCAAAGGCTGTCGCGTTGGCCCTTATATATCTCTGTCAAGAGAACTTCTAGATTTCAGTCCCGGTAGAACATGGCTGGCATCATGAATTATGTGCATCTGCTTTTTTTTGGTAGAATTGGTAAAGATAGAATAGTAAAAGCGCAATATGCATTAGGCATGCGCCAGTAGCTTTGATCTTTCTTTACCTCTGTTTCTTAACAAAAACACTATATACGTTTTTAGATATTCATCATGACAAAGTTAGCGCTGGCTCACTTGCTCATTGGAGGCCTAAGGCAGTCCCGCTAATGGTAAAAGATTATCATGCGTTCGAAATGTGGGGATGAAAACATGAAACAACATCCGCCAATCAGATAGAACAGAAGCCTCGCAAAACTTTCACAGTGTAAGTTTTAGACGATTAGACCCAAGCGATAAAGGCACGTTCACGAACACCTCAGTTGGGCTAGCATGGGGCGGGGATGTCCAAAATGATAATACTTCGCTCAAAAGTACAGATTGCGCCCTATCTCCACAAATAGGATGTCAAACTTGGGTAGAGCTAGAGCGGCCAGGCTAATCCCACCCTGTGCACCAATGACCCAAAGTACGTGTAGTTACTTGTTAGTTACTGCGGCTCCGGAGTATCTAGACTAGATCACTTACAGCTTGATTAGGCAATACCGGCTCTTTGTTATCAATCGGAGTCTGGGAGCGTATGTATCATGCAAGAATGGCATTTACTTGGCCGAGTACCTCCATCGCGACTGCCCCAAGTCGACCGCGGGCAATTTTCATTTCTTTATACGGCCTGTCCACAGCGTTCAACTCCATCACTACCCATATGACCACATTCTGCGTAGCTGTACACTATAGGGAAGCACATCGCGCTTGAAACTTGTTAATAGAGGTAGTGGTAGTACCCAAACAACGAATAAAGTCGATACATACAATAGTGGCCAAGGGGTGCAAGTGGAAAGAGAAAGATATATAGTGCCAGGATCAAAGTAGGTACTCCAAGAATGTCTCTGTAGGATTTATTGGATAGGATAAGGAAGAGAGGGTGATGAGATTAAGAGTATCCTTTTATTTCTTGGAAGTCTTTCGATTTGATTCCGATGCCAGTCCCTTTGAGCCGCCAAATATTAGTCATGTAGTAGGTGGGAGGGGATGTTACTATTTCTGGGAGATACCAGGATGTGCAAAGAGTAGAGATCATTCGTTTAAAATCAAGTGTTTGCGATCATGCCGAGCCTTATTGCGTGATCGTGTTGCAGTAGTTTCCATGCCACGCAGCCTCATTGAGTGATAGTGCTACAGTAGTTTCTATACTTCGCAGCCTCGTTATCAACGTCACGATGCCTACTACAGTCCCATCACAATCTACTCGAGCAGCTTCCGGTTAAATGCGGGGATCTGAGCCCAAAGTTGTGATAGCTCGATTTCATGATGTCGTAGAATTCAACCTGTATATTCTTTTTCCGGTGGCATTACGAGGTAGGGAAATCCATGGAACATTTGCGCGAAGCAAACTCTCAGCTTGTTAGGGATGTAATATATTTGTAGTCCTCTTGCATCCACTATACTTACCAGAAGGACAGGGGGCTGGTGGTTTATACGTTGCGTTGAATAAACCTTGCTGACAGCTAAGGCTGCTTACTCTCCGGAAACTCGAATACAGTAAGGCTGGCTACTTTAAGCTTAGCCTGGTAATCTTACAAGTTATATGGTCATCATCACCCACTCGTCCAAGATCAACCCCTTGTTACTCGAGATGAATTAGATATAGCCTTCAACCACCATTGCCATTTTCTCTGCAATTGATGACCCGCTTCGAATCTTCTTGGAAGATCTTATGGACGAGACACTTCCAGATGACAGGGCCATTACCGTCCCAGTCCCTGCGGTCAACCTAACTGTCGAGGACCGGTTTCAGAATTTTGAGGTATCCGAAATCAGCCACGTTGTCGTACAGTAAGTCGTCATTGTGTTGGCGTATATTATTGTCTCCAGTGTGCCTTTCCTAGATTTCGAAATCACGATTTAACGGATGCTCTTTCTCAGACTTTCTGATAAAAGACTGGATTCAATAATGCAGTCCTGCGCAAGTCTTACCTACAATTTCGACAAACCTTGGCCCTTCTGGTTCTTCATTGGTAAAACCTTATCGAAAGTCTTCTTTGGTGACGAGTAACAGCTTCAGTGGCTGAATTCCGTTCGAGTCAAAAATCGGGAGTTCATCGCATTCACCAACGTTTAAAAAGAGAATATTCTGGACCCGACTAAACCAAACCACATTGAAGAGGAGCTTCGGGTGGTCGAAGTAGATTTCTCAAAACCTATTCGAGGAGAAGATCTGAAGGCATTTTGGAAGTCTGGTCGAGAGATCACATGTCAAAGAGTTCGTGAGTGTGAGTATTTGGTAAAAATATTTTATCATTATATTTTCTGACTGTTTTAATGGGCAGGGCTCGAATACTTAAGGAGGAATACACCGAAGTAAGAGATAGTATCTCTTACTTCGGGGCCACGATTCTCGGTCGTGGAAGCTGGCATACGTTCCTGGGACGGGTGTTTCTGCGATGGCTGAATTGGCGGTGGTTGGACAATTATGAGGATCGGCCGGAGGTGTTTGTGGATGCGTTGAAGGAGAATTTTCGCGAGGTGAGGTGGGAGATTGTTGGGGCGGTGTTGGCTTTTGAGGCGAGGGGGGTGATTGTATAGATCTCGTATTTATATGGCCGTGAGTAGATGTGCTTGGTGGTTTGATTGGGTTATACATTGGTTTTGATCCGGATATGGGTTGCTGGATTGGATACATCCTCTAAAACTTATATAGCTAAGATCTCAAGTCACTGATGATGATGATGATAAACGGAGATACCCTGCAAACCTTATACCAAGTACATAAGAATATAACCCAGTGATTATGCACATCTGAGACTTTTTATACAGTTGAAGTACGTGCTAAACGCAGGACTATTATTCTAACATACATGAAAATCAGATATAGCCGCGAACAAACCTTCCTTTGCAAGGTTGAAAGTGCGACGCAGAACGCCTCGGCTGATGGACATGCGGTACTGTGCTATCCAGATCAGCAAAAATTCTTAGAAGATGATCACGGCTGTCACTGGAATTGTCAAGGTATCAGGGCAATGTGTTGTTCTGGATATACCATATACCATCTCAGGAAATGTGAAACATGGTCAAGGGTTCGCCGTCGGCTCGGGCCGACCGGGGGTCAGACCCATGGAATGCGAGATCCGGGACGATGCCAGTTACTGTGGCTGGTAGCCAGCAAGATCAAGTACCTAGTGCGGATTATCGATTATGGTCATGAGATACATTGTAGGTGTCAGAGCGGGAATTTGGCTGACGGTAGTGTAGGTGGTGAGAAACCGGCAGGAGCTCGTGGTTAGTATCTGAAGAGTGGGTGATGCCACCCTGATAACCGTATTCTTACAGTTCAGCTAAAATCTGTTACAGGGAAAAGGGTATTATTGGTTATAATGTCGAATGTTCTTTCCAACTATCAAGACTACTGCAAGCCCTTCTTGGCGATTTGTTTCAACGACCAGCGAGTCAGGTCACCCGTTGAGTTTATAAAGCATGAATTTTCTCAGTAGGCAAGAATCTTTCTTCACAATAGAGCATCAAAAATGGAATGAAAAAGCACACACAACCACAGGGTGCGGGAAATGGGCTTCCCGTCTGCTCGGCCGTACTCGAGCCAACGATTGAGGTGGCTAACTGAACGTTGGGTCTCTTCAAATGCCTAACCGAAATTATTTGGTCCTATTCAACGGAATCGTAAGAATAGCGGCTTTTCTAAGCTAGTGCTGAGCTAATCCCCACATTAATAAGAGATGGAGGAGAGGAGCTCAACAATTTAATGCCAGAAGAGTGGTTACAATGTCTGGGTGGCAGCATGACGCACTAAACCTAATAAGGTAGGTGAGATGTTCGGCTATGAAAGTGGGGCCTCCAGGTCTGATGGGGTTAATGGGGATGGTGATCTCCTTCCTGCGCCTTCATCAGCCGCAGCTCTCGGTGGAGCCCATTGGGAACCATGACAGCATCTCCGCCTGAACAGGAAATTGAGATGTACACGATGCTCCGCCTTTGGGGGCTAAGTCAGCTTCGTCCAGCAAAAGAACTCCGACCGATCTCATTTGTCAATGGGAGATGACAGTGTATGAAAGAGGCTTCGATTGACACAGCACTGCCGTGCAAGCCGATGCTGTAGGTGTACGTAAATTCTATATAAAGGGCAGAGGACCTGCTTTTTAGCTGACGCTGTCTGCAAGCCATTCTTCTTTGCCTTCTATTCCCCTTGCGCCAACATGAGACCGCCGACTCTCACTTCCAAGCTGCTGTCTGTAGCTTCACTGGCTGCACTCACGCACGCCGAGCTCGGCAAAATCCATTGGAGAGGACCTTGCAACTTAACCAATGAGACATATATGAGCGAGAGCGGACCGTTGATCTGTGGAACACTAGAAGTGCCGTTGGACTACACCGACTCGAGCTCCAACAAGACACTGACCCTCGATCTGGCCAAGTGGCCAGCGACCAAGCAACCGGTCGCCGAGCCGATTATCTTCAACTTTGGCGGGCCGGGTGAGAATTCGTTCGAGGGTCTTGGGTTATATGGCGAGGAATTCCAAGCGTCGGTTGCCGTCCAGGTTCTGCAATTCATATGCTGACAGGAATTTTCTAGTATCCTCGGGGGACATAATGACTTGATAGCCTTTAACCCTCGGTTGGTGTTAACCCTGTGAGCCACGGACCAGTACTAATGCCATCCAGCGGCGTTGGAAACACCCTTCCGTTTTCGTGCTATAGCGATTCTACCTCCCGGGAGCTTGTCTCGCTGCAAGCTCCCGGGGACGGCAGAGCGTCCAACACAGCTTTAGGAGAAATCTGGGCTCAGAGCGCGAATATCGCGCAAGCATGCTATGCCCTCAACAACCAGACTGGAAGTCTCATCGGAACCAGCTTTGCGGCGCGGGACACGATGCAGGTCGTTGATGCGCTCAAGGGAAAGGATGCACTGCTGAACTTCTGGGGTAAATACCAATGCAGCCAAGATGGGATCATGTTAACCCGGCTTAGGATTCTCATACGGCACGACGGTTGGCGCTGTAATTGCAGCCATGTTCCCGGAGCGAATGGGATTTGTCGCACTTGACGGAGTCGATAATCCGGCCGAGGTTCTCAATGGATAGTAAGTGCCTGATATCTCAAGTCTCGATTCATTATCCCGATCGACCTTGTGAACAGGAATTTAACCTTCCATCGCAGCAACGCGCAGAAAGTCGTGGATGTCGACAAGGTCCTGGAGGGCTTCTGCACAGGCTGCATGGCCGCCCCCGACCTCTGCCCTCTCGCAAACTACTACAGCAACGCCGCCAATCTCGAAGCCGCGATCTACATGATGCTTGAAACGCTCAAAGCCAACCCGATCGCCATTCCCGAAATCGGTGGAGTCGTGACGTACAGCGACATCAAATCCACCATCTACAACGCGCTCTACCTCCCCAGCTCCTGGCCCGAGACCTCCGAGCTCATTCTCTACGTCCAAGCCCGGAACACCACAATCCTCGGCAATGCCGAGGTATACGCGACGCTCAAGTCCTACGGCGAGTCCGCGTCGTTAGTCTCATCCGCCAAGGAGGCCGGCACCGGGGTCACCTGTTCCGACAGGGCCCGCAGCGCCAGCATGGAGGACCTACTCCCGTACATCCGCGCCAGTGAAACCCTGAGCCAGATCGCCAGCGATAATGCCAATGGTGACATGACCTGCGCCCAGTGGAACAAGAACATGTATGCCAAGGAGCGCTACACCGGCGACTTCGATGTCAAGACCGCGCACCCGGTGTTGATTCTCAGCAACACCTTCGATCCGATTACTCCACTTGCCGCCGCGAAGAACCTAACCGCGACTTTTGAGGGCAGTGTTTTGCTCGAGCAGAATGGATACGGGGTGAGTTTACCCTTTCCACTTATCTCAAGTAACGTAACTGGGTTATATATTGACGGTAACAGCATACAACATTGTCCATGCCATCTCTGTGTACAGCCAAGGCCGTCCGGGCTTACTTTGCCAATGGCACCCTGCCCGCCGAGGGAACGATCTGTCAAACGGACGTGCCGCTGTTCACGAACCTGACGTATGCGGATGTGTGGCCGAAGAGTTTCCAACGGAGTGTTGAGTCCAGGGATGATGCGAGTATCCTGAGGGCGTTGATGTCGGTGCGCGAGAAGATGTCTCGACGCCGTCGGTGATAATGCTGTATATTGCTTTGTGAGCTTGGGGTTGTATCAGATGTGTTGGTAGAGCGGACAATAGGGTACAAGGTTAGCCTACACAGATATTACATTTAATTTTAGTCAACTTCAAGTATGGTCCGACCGGACTGATCTTTTCACTAGTTTATCTAGTTGAAAAGACTCTTCCTTCCTAGATAATTAGTATAATAAATGGAAAAAAAATATAATATTACTAATTAACCACACGATAGTTCTTACTGTATGCGTGGAGTATTTTGTCTGACTCTAATCATGTAATAGAATTTTAGGCAGTAGAAATATATCATTGTACGTATATACATACCTGAATTAGGTTCCATCTATCTCTATTTCAACATTGTTTTTCTACCCCATTTACCTAGTCAGCCCTCATATTCTATCTCCATTACCACCAAGATCAACCACCTCATACAATACCCCAGTGGTGAAGTAACAATAATAATACACACACACACACCAACCCCCTCCCACAACCCGACGCAGCCACTCTTCCAGCCCAACACCTACAAGCTAAATGCCACTCATCCTTGGCATCTTCATACCCCGCACGAACGACCATCTTGGCATATCGGGGTAGATAAGGCTGGACCCTGATCTGCAGGGTGAGTCATACGACCCAGCAGGTCCATACCATTTACTAGGCGTGTACTCCTCCGAAGAGACGGCACCATGCTGTGATTGGTTCGATAGCTGCAAGGTCGTATCGCAGCCAAGCCAAGACTTTCTCAGGCCCCCCGCCGCCTCAGGGTCCATGTCAAGAAACACCAACTTGGCGGGTTTACGGTTTACTGGACCTGGAAGTGTGAGTAGTGGTGAGGATCAGGAGATTGATTGGTGGGGATGTAGTGAGGAAATCAAGCTAGCCTGATGAATGGGATCGGATGACCTTGATGCAGGGGATGAGGGTGATCATGGTTCCTTGGTAGGTACCTAGGCAGGTGGAAGTGTGAGATGGATACAGTTGGTGCAATTAGATGCAGTCCGGGACTTCCGGGTCGTCCGAGGCGTCCCGGGGCGGGCCGTGACCTTGACATCTGTACCCAGCATACAGCTTCCAGAGTGCTTGCAAAGTCAAGTCAATCCTTTCTTGTTCTGATCGGCTTCAGCCTCATACCCCGCTTCTCCAAGCCATTTGATGTCCGAGTGCTCCGCTTGCATTGGATTGCGCCTGGATGTTTTCGTTGTTGCTTCTGATGCAAAGGGGACCTCTCGCGGATGATTCGGGACAGGGTTTGGTTCCCTCAATGTGTCGATGATAGGTAACTGAGTCCGTAAGCTGACTTGAAGTGGGTGAATTAAGCGAGTATCATCTACCTAGATCACACGCTACATACTGAGAGCCTCACTGATTGCCAGGATACCGCTACGTACTTGCCCAAACAGGAAGGAGATCCAAGTACATTGATCGCCTAAGGCAACGAATCAATGTCAACCATCCGAGTTTTGCATGAGCGTGTTATATGCTGCACATATAAAGTTGGATGTTTCTATTGGCGAATCATGCAGCAAACCCCAGGCATGTGATGATTTTCCCACGTTGATAGAGGGAATTCTCCATCGTACAGCGGTAATCCCTCACAATGAAGGCATTGATCTCGCATACTCACGGAAGTCCGTTTCTCATACTGATTGGTTTAGATATACGTAGACTGGTTTCTTCAGGCTCCCTCTCAATGATAACCTCCATGACTTTTCAAGGTACAAATTGACTGACTTAGGACACATAGACCATTCGCAGCACAGTAACTGGCCTAGATAGTTGAACAAGAGTAAAATACGTCCCGCAGCCAAGAGGTTCCGGCCCATCATATATCCATACAAAGAAAAGCTTCCAGGAGCTAATTCGGGATGAAGTTTCCTGATCGATAGAAGTTCTGATGACATGCAGCGCACACTTCGTAGGCTGACTTTGCAGGAATATCCACTGAGCATCACTGCCGAGATCATACTATATGCTGACCGCTTCGGACCCCTCATCGCAGTGGTCAGACTGATTAGATCCTCGTTCTTAGGTGATGATCTTGGGATGTCTGGGCCTAGTCGACCAATTACCATGACTGTGATTCCGCGACTCTAGCCTGGGTGAGATTCACCAAGTCTGGAAATCATAACCCGATCCCTGTGATCAAGTAGACACCATCACATGGTATACATCCAGATATCACTCCCCTTCCAACCAGTGACCTAGTCATACTCCCTCCCCAGCAGAAGCCCAAAATCTATAAATCCACCCTCCGTCCAGCCCAGCTCTCAAGCATCACAACCATTCCATCAATCAAACCATCACTACAATCTATCTCTCTGAGAACATTCCAAAATGCGCTTCACACCTCTCCTCTTCACCCTCCTCGCCGCTAGCCCTCTAGCTACTCTGGCTGCCCCCGCCCCCTCCGAAAATAACGAGAACGCGGCACTTTCGTGCCCGAGTGGTGCTAAGATTCATTGTGGAGTACGCTCTACACCCTCTTCCAGGAATATTATTACTCTATACTTATGGTAATTGATCAGGGCTGTAACGGCACGAGTTGCATGATCGGGTTTACTAATTAGTAAGTCCATCCCTCAAAAAGATACTACATATAACACAAACTAACGGAAATGGTGCGCCTACAGTCCCTGTGATGAGGGCAAGGTGGGACCCTAGATTTCCCACTCTCTGTACATCATTCTCCATACTGATGTTTTCTGCTTCTAGTGCACCGCTCAAAGCGGCGGCGGCGATGGCGCCTCCTGCTGGGACAATAACCTCGGTGGAAAGAGGCACATTGTTTGTCCCGGACGGGGTTAGGGGTGGCGGTGGATGGTTTGTGGTTGATTATAGTGTCTAGCAGATGATCAAATTGCGTGTGGTCAGATTGGGGAGGGAAGGTCTTGGACGTTGGTATTGGTAATGGTCTGATGTGTGAACGGGGGGGGGCAAGATGAGATGTTAAGGCCGGCTCTTGTCTGTAACGCTCGTTGGGGATCATGGGTATGTGGGTGGATTATGGATTTATGTTTATGTGGATAAGTTGGACCTGTGTTATTCAACAAGCAGCAGGGACGGCAATGAACTGTTAATTATGATTATGATTGTTTGGTTGTTGTTTTTGGTTGAGTAGACTTGTATTGTAGAGTAGAACTGCACTGTCTGCTTCAACGGGTGAGCTAGCGTAGGCTGCTCTGGTTACTGTCGTGCGATTGGTATGCGTTACTTACTGAGTGAGTGAGTGCGCTTTTTAAAGCCTTATGACAGACCTACCTCGGGTGGCGTTAGCGGCCCTTGGAAAGACGCCTGCAGCATCAAATGGAGTGTCAGAGTGGGGATTCTATGTTTAGATGGTATCTATTATACATTTGCCGTCTTCTGCTCCTGCTGCAGCTGACGAATTTCCTCCAATAAGGCTTGTCCGCCGTTCTCCAGCAAGCGCTGAGCGACCGTCGCACCCAGCGCTTCGGCTTCCTCGTCGGTCCTGAATTCCGACGTCGCCGATTCCCAGAGCAGCGTGGTGCCATGGGGATGAATGATGGTGCCGTCGAGGCGTAATTGAGCGGGGGAGGAGGGTGATGATTGCTCGACGGTACAGTGGACCGCGACGGGCGAGGAGCAGCCACCCTGGAGAGTGCGGAGGAGGGAGCGCTCGGCCAGACAGATTCGTCGGGTGGGCAGGTCTTCGATTTGGCGGATCATGGTCTCGGTTTGGGTGTCCTCTTTGCGGATTTCAATGCCCAGGGCGCCTTGGCCGACGGCATAAGGGAACTCGGATGGCGGCAGGCGTTTCGTGATGCGATCATGCAGGTTGATGCGGACCATACCGGCCGTGGCGAGGATGATGGCGGAGAAGGGGCCTTCTGGGTCGTCTAGCTTGCGGAGACGGGTATCACTAATACCAAATTTAGTGGGATTGGACTAATGAGGCAATGAACAATCAGCAAAGCTTACAGATTCCCCCGGCATTCCTCAATCTTCAAGTGAGGATAGCGGTACCGCAAGAGGGCCTTCCGGCGAGTGGAACTGGTCCCCACCACCGATCCGCGGGGCAATTGCGCCAGATCCGTATACTGCGACCGCAGCCCCTCCTTGATCACCAATGCATCTGTGGGATCTTCCCGATGCACAATGGCGCCGAGCGTACAGGTGTCGGGGAGGCGCGTGGGCATATCCTTGAGGCAATGCACAAGGAGATCCAATTCCCCGGCGCAAAGCTTGGCTTCCATCTCCTCGGTCCAGATGTTCTTTGCGGCGTCGGATGGCCCCGCAAACTTCAGAAACGGGCTGGTCTTGTCCGCATCGCCACGGACCACCACGGTTTGCCAGGGGAATTGGAAGGCCGGATGGGCATGGGCTAGTTCTTTGGAGACGCGCTCCGCTTGGACGAGTGCCAGTCGGGAGTTGCGGGTTCCCAGGCGCAGTTCTTGCCCGGTAGCTGCTGTGCCTGACATTTTTGAAAATTATCGCGCAGAAAGAATCGGGTGCAGAATGAAGAGATCAACTGGAAACTTGCGAGCAGAAGTGGCGGGTTTGATAGAGACGAAATTGGTCAATTCCGAGATTAATGACTAAGACATCAGCGCTTGCATCTTTCGAGACTAGCGGGTCGGATTAGGCTCAGAACAGAGGCATCACGCCACTCTTATCGCTTCGAGCATTCGCATGTTCGACTGCAGGAGCCCAATCCTGAGCAAAATTGAAGGGTGAAAAGCACTTACCCTCGGATGCTATATTCAAAGCCTGTGATATGCCATGGATATTGTTTTCTTAAAGACAGAACTCATTGGCGGAGCTTCAGTCTGATTGAGACTTTCGCCTGGGTACATTGACAGATGTGTCTGTAGCCTTGAGCCGCCTGTAGGATCTCCATGCTGCCGTTAAGGTTTTATGTAACCGAAATCAGATTAATAGGAGATGCTGGATTGAATTTCTGGTCCGATTGTGCTGTTATTGATCTGTATGCCGAGGTTGGTTACTTTACACCCAGGGTAGAGTTATCATAGGGGCTCTTTAATGTCGGCATTGAATATCAAACATACTTCACCACATACAGGAACTCTTTTCAGCATCTGCCTCTCACAGAAGGCTGTATACATCCTCGTAAGCGAGGGTATCTTCAATGTCTGTGACTCGTCCAGGCTCCTTGTTTGGTAGCAATGCACATAGTTCGTGGATATATGAGGATGCCATGTGGGCTCCTTTAGAGTATTTTCCTTTGCACACAGATACGAGCTATTCCGAACTTATTGTCTAGCTCGACAGCAGCCGGCCATAAATCAGGCTCAATCATTCAGACTATAACAGCAACCCTTTTGCATCCTTTTCTATACTGACAGCAGTATAGCCTCGTGTTGCTCTCGGGCCATGCTATCCAATTACTTCTGATATTTCCTCTTCAGACCAGGTGGGTCCGATGGATGGTGATCTCTTCCCTCATCTATTTACTCAACTCTCATCATAAGATATTCGGGTATATTCGAGTGAAAGATCATCCTCTTCTATTCGCAAAGCCGTCCATCGGGAGTTCACAAATGGCTCCATTGCTAAAATGTAGCAAGAACATGCCACCAGCACGCCATTCAACTTAATCTCTCCTGCGATCACACAATCGAGCATTCCAAGATGGTGGGTCCTGCAGCAGTATCACTGGTACCGATAAACTCAAAAGGGCCTAGGGACGACACGAGTTAATCGCCATCACTCGTGATCGCGAACCCAACCTCATCAACGTCATCACTTTTCACGGAATTATAAACTCGATACCCACCATTTCCCTTTACCTTTCTAAACTACTTTTCTAACAAACACCAAAATGTCTCAACCACGGAGAGCCCTGATTGCCATCACTTCTGCCCATGCTCCCCTCTACCCCGAGGGAAAAGAGACCGGTACCTCCCCCGCCCCACTCCACCTCGGGCTCTCTCAATGTCTAGAACCTATGTTGATCTAAAACAGGCCTCTTCATCACCGAAGCTCTACACCCATTCAACGTCTTTCAAGAAGCCGGTTTCGAAGTCGACCTGGTATCCGAAACAGGCACCTACCAACCTGACTGGCTATCCCAGCAAAAGGAATGGCTTCCCGACGAGGATCGCAAGGTCTGGGAGGACCATTCGAGCGAATTCCGATCAAAATTGGACAAGTTGTTAAAACCCAGTGATATCCAGGCAGACCGTGTAGGTTGACAATCTCTCCGTGGGACCAAGTGCTTACATGAGTACTGTTAGTATGGATTGTTTTTCGCCTCAGCCGGCCATGCATCCTTGATCGACTACCCGGATGCCAAGGGCTTGCAATCTATTGCTTCTCAGATTTATGTTGATGGAGGGATTGTTTCCGCTGTGTATGGCCCGGTTTCTCGTCTTGTGGAAAGTCGGCAGCTAATGACTAGCAGCTGCCACGGAGGCGCGATTTTCCCAGGCATCCTTGATCCAAGCACCGGAAAGTCGATTATTGATGGTCGCAAGGTCACCGGCTTTACTACTCGAGGTGAAGAGGAGGAAGGCGTCCTCGCGACCATTCAGAAGTGGAATAGGCCTACAATTGAGGCATCTGCAGCTTCGTCCGGAGCGACTTGTATGTTGGATGAATCTTTGTTTTTACACGCTGACAGCTTCTAGATGTATCGCCAGCTGGTCCGTGGGATGCCTTCACGGTGACTGATGGGAGAATTGTAACAGGGGCAAACCCGGCGAGTGCTCATGTGACAGCTGAAGCTGCCGTGAAGGCTTTCGATGGCCTATGATGTGCTTATTGAGGAACTTGCCACCAATTGAACGTCCAATGCCGAGATTGAAATGCATTGAATGAATACCTACTTAACCAAGAATTAAAACAGTTTCGGTTTCATCACCTTGTAGTGCGAGTTGGCAGCATTGCTTGATGCCGTGGATTGTCGAAGACTAAATCATTATCTCTGGGTGACGCCACCAATCCAAAATATCGAACGGGGTCTCACAGGACGATTGTGATGGCTGCAGGCTCGTCTGCGCTGGTGTCTCCTCCAGTACCAGCTCCTTGCGATGGCGAATGCCATAAAATACAAAGTCTTCGGGAACATCTGGGGGCGGGAGTTCAGGCGCGAAGACCACTTTCCGGCTGAGTCTAAAGATCAAATGATCATCGCTGAGAAACCGGATTGCCATAGCATTTTTCCTATCGTGGGAGCTTCTTTGTCGAATCAGTTCCTTGCTCGCATAGCGGGGAACGACAAACGGCTTGAAGGTTGGCTCTGCAGCGGTATCGAGAAATACCTTTCCATTGACGCGCCGCCGACCTGCGGGTGGAAGCCCATCCTTGCGATTCCCGGGCTGGTGCTCAAACCTGACATACTTGATGAGTGGATCATGCTGACAATCGGTATTATAGATATCATCAAAGTATTCCAGGCAATACAGTGAGAAAAGTGAGTCGGCCAGGGAAATGCGCGGGCCTCGTTGGCCCTCCAGAGACTCGTAGGTGCGTTTCACCTCGTCCACTCTGCGTGCTTCCAGTCTGCGCGCCTCGGCTATGCTCATCTCCTCGTCATACCTCATCTTCTCTTCTCGTTCCCACTCCGAGTCCATGGTCTCTTCCGATGAGCCTCTATCCTGGGATGATTCATGAATCTGCTGTAATGGCATCTGTTTCGCTTGGTTTTCGCACTCCTGTCGTTTTCGCTCCCTCCGTCTTTCTTTGTGCCTCTGTCTCTTCAACCTCTTATTATCTCTGATCAACCGATCCTTGGCTTCTAGTTCCCGCTGGGCTTGCTCTTGCTTCCATCATGTCTTCTCCTTCTGCCTCTGCCTGGTCGCTGTCGACTCAGCTTTTTGTGTAGCTGCGTCGTTGGTCCGTCGAGAGTAATTGGTTGCTTTTCTTCGGGGTTTGGTACTTGGATGCGTTTGCCATTTTGCAGCCTATTGAGAGTGCGAATGTGTCGAGAATACAAGGATAGACTGGACTGGTGCTGCTAAAGGGCTGTCTCGAACACGACGCGTCAATCCGGCTCTGATCGGCGTTGACCGGTCCCCCTTGCTTGTTTCTTTTTTAGGGCTAGTTTAGTACCCTGTTATCTCCTCCAATCTGGGATTCACTTTGAATGAGTCAGTCTGGGAACATTCATCAGTCTCTACTCCGTATGCCACAGGCGTCAGGCCATACGACGTGAGCCCAAAAGATGATCTTGCCATTTATCATGATCAATACGAGACTACTTGAAGGGTCCAGCCCGTAGAGTCGTCGATGGTTGATGCATTCACAAGTGCAACAAATCCAGTCAGTACAATATCACAATGGGATATTGTACGACAAAATAAGCCCAGATCTCGGTAGAATGCTATCCAAGACGCGAACCCCCCGTAAACCCATCAACGGAGTCTACTCACAACAATAGGAAGTAAGAAATATTCTCTGACTATATATATAACACCACCACAAACCCACCCCATCCACAATAGTCCCTCACTCCTATAACAGCATGCATCTCTCCAAAAATAAATTCCCAACCATCGCTCAATTCCTATGTCTTATAAAACCAAATAAGTTACCCCCACCATCCACCTCAGCATGTTAGCTCAGGGGAAGAGCGCCGGGCTCATAACCCGGAGGTCCCTGGATCGAAACCAGGACATGCTATGTCTATTTTTTTCCCCACCTGTATTTTACTTTTGTTGGAGGGTTTGTTGCGTCGGGGTGTACTCCACTATACATTTATGACAAGTGTAAGAAGAAGCTGGTTTAGGTATGTTCACGGACATGGTGCGTTAGTATGCACCGGAGGATAGATCATAGAGTTCAACACTCAACCTTTATTTTGAGGAGTTTCATAGAGTATCACCCTCGACAGATGCAGGTAATAGGATGTCTTTTTCGTTGTCATCGTGTATCGATCTTCTGAACACGCAGAGGAGAAGACACCGGGAATATACCTTCCCTTTTCTTTTTTGGCAAGTGGTTGGCTCGATGGGGATCTGTTCTGGTTGGGCTTGGGTTGATTCTCTTCTATTGGTTTCGTTTGATGTGGAAAGGATAAGGAGGAGCTGGAAGAGTAGGTCAGGAGCTACTTAGGAATTCGGGGCGATGAGGAGGGTTTCTCTAGTTTGGTATCTCAGGACAGAGTACATAACAGAAAATAGGGTTTGGTGGTAGGGGGTTGTGTTATAATTATAGACTATTATATTAAATTTTTCCAAATATATATTACTTATAATTAAAGATTATGGTTTATAAGTTTTATATTATAATTTAAAAGTTTATTATAAAAATAATAAAGTAACATACCAGTGTTAGTTTTATTATAATATTAAAATTCTCGCTGCCTAATGCGGGCCATCTCTTTGTACCGGTACATCACAGTGAAGGAACAACGATGTCAAGCTCTTATTACATAGAGCGGTCGTCTTGACACAGTTCAAGTATCGTCAATCGCAAGCACGTCCTTGGCCATCGCGCTAATAAGCCACCCAAACTTGGCTGCCCCTACCCTGAGATCGCGAGGGTGACAAAACTCGATCTCCAGCGATTTTAGCTGAAGGGATAAATTAGACGGTACACTTACTCGAGCCAAACAAAACAAGATGTATTAAAAGAAAGCTTGAGAGGGATTCTAAAGACTAGCAGAGCTGGAATTAACATGAGGTGCTTAGGACCATGACATGCCTAGGACTTAAGCATTGTCGGAAAGCCTTCGTGGCCACCCATAGAGCCTGGGGCATCATAATGATGGGTCTTAGCTTTAGCCGCTTCCTTCGATTGAAGTGGTAGGTCGCTATAGGCTATATGGTTGGAATCATGCAGCCAAGGAGCGGACCAAGAATGCCAAATGGCTGAGTAGATTTATAACTACTGCCGCAACGACATTACTAAGTCTAAATTCTTCCGGACATCTCTGACGGGAGATTGACATAGCGCGCCGTTAGGTACAGCAATTAATTTCTAGTTATCTGGCATTCACCAACGCCCAGAGCAGTCATTCGCAAGGTAACGAGCTGTTGAAGAGAGTGCAGGTTACGACGTGGCCGATCGTTGGTTGGTATTTTATGGTACTAGCAGCCCTTTGCTTGGTGTTATGGAAATACACACTTTCACCAGCTCAGTCGCCAACCCAAGTTGCAAGGATGCAATGATGTCACTTTGCTATACATCAGGTGAATTGTTACCTCATTGGTTCGTCCTCTTAGTTCTAAGAAAAAAAAAAAAAAAACAGCGTTCTGGGTGAACGAATGTAGGAATTTTCGATGTGAGAGAGCTAGAAAGCCACTGGTATTTCTCCGCCGTCAGCCCATGCTTTCGAAGCTTCTGCTGGTTATAAAAACATCGCGTCTACGCCACTAACTACTAATGGTAATGAATCTCCGGTCTCAGGCTTCACCAAAATAAGCTTCCATAGTATGGTCGAACACCCGTATTGTGTCCTTCAGATCTGGTCTTATGGTGATTGCCAGGTTTTTGACAGCACAAAGTCCAGAATAATTTGAAGACTTGACCTGAAAGTTGACTTCAGAGCCTATTGGCAACTAGAATGCTCTCTTGCATGGGTGATGATCGGGCCCGAAACCTATACTTTTCTCTGTCGAATAAGGAACACAACTGATCGCTGGATTGGCAAGCAAACTTTTCATCTCATATCGCGAATGTCCACATGAAGAGCTCTGACGCGATTTACAACGGGCACAACCTCTTGCGAATTTATACTACCATCGATTTCGTCAGAATCTGACCATAAGATTCCAAAACTTTACCAACTAATTTCACCACCTCCTAGACGGCATCCCCATTCAGAAGTTTCGCCCAGATTTTGATGACCTCGGTACTTAGATTAGGCCGGTGGGCACCGAACTCGCCCTCAGGGTCTGCCTCCGCAACCATGTCTCTTAAGTAGCCGAATAGCCTATCTTCATCTTCATCAGAAGTAGTTTCAAAAACCGCGAGACTCCACCGCAATCAACCATTTGCTGATCACTAATGCACACTCCAAATCGCAAAGAGAGCGCTGGAGGGACCAAGCAAAGGCTTGATTATGTGTAAAGATGTTAACCCCAATTCTGACGGGGATGCTTAAAGCATGAGCGGAGTATAGCATTGTATGCGTGAGTTTAGGACTTGGAGTTAAATGCGGGCTTTGGTGTGTCGAAACTGTAATTTTATGAGGGTTGTGCGTGGTTAGAGCGCGGCAGGAGCCCAGGTCTATGTTAAGTTGTATATAGGCTATTTGGAGCAAGGTAGAAGAGTTGAAGAAAATCGGACATTGTGGAGATCCCGGTCCTAAATATGATTTTGGATCTAGATACTATCAGCTCTGCCAGTTCTTTAACACTTGTTCGACGTTGGCTACGTCGGTCGGACTTAGCCTCTGATCTGAGCTGGGGCCACGTCTTCCGGTTTCGCGTAGGAAATAGATATGTTGAATTAAAGTTATAATCATGATATATCCTTCTAGCGAAGAATATCCCTGACGACTTTCTTTAACTTGGTTTGCAAAAAGAAGGGAGAAAGAGGTTTGGAAAGGCATTTCAAGCCCAGGATTTCTCCGTGCCCTTTGCCACTCGATCTCGCTCCGAACCTCCCAAGCAGCCATCCGTGAAAGTAAGTCAAATTTTACTTCGGAATTCAGGATAGATGAAGGGGTATCGTAAACGATGGTGTGGAATATAAAAAAGCAGAAGATAATCGCAACCGTCCTTTTGAAATCTTCTGCCCGAATCCACGACGTTCACTCTGCATCTTGCGGTAGCTGCGGGTTCAGAAGCTTTTCGTCTCGCACGTAATTGGCGAGAGTGTTCTGAAGTTCGACGGCCTCGTTGAAAATAGCCATGGAATTTCCCCAGCTCGCCATGGCCATAAGTACAAGCAATGTCTGTGCGAGAGGAAGAGGGTCAAAGTTGTCATCGGGGATTTGGCTGGGAGAATCATATTGCTGTCTCGCAAAAGCACAGGCTGCTTCTCCTGAATGTTGATAGTTGTGCTACGATCAACAGCCCACGCTCCGTGGGAAATAACCTCTCTCGTCACTCGGATTTGCGACAATGAAGGCGTGCCTGAGCTATGGCCAAAGACATCCTGAAGAACACAATTGCATTGTCATGATCAAAGGCGGACTGCGCTCCAATTGCAGCCATTGCTAAAATCAACTCAATCGAGCACTTTGTAGGTGAAAAGGTTGGAACGTGTAAAAACGGTAAATGGCTGTGGAATGCCGAAAAATAAGTGGCAATATAACGAGTCATAGTATGACGTGTGGTAAAAAGAAATTCCAAGATAATACTGATTCGAAGATATGTATCTCGGCCAGAAGATGTTTCCAGTCTCGCTGGGTAAATTTCCAGGGCTCACTCTTCGAGTTAAATGAGAGTGATGGTTCGAATGATGGAAAAGGCAAGGCAAATTCGTCAATAAATGCGGCGTCGACCCTATGATCGAAAACATCAGTCTGCCCTGGACATTTCGTATCCTTGCCATCATTTCCTTCGTCATCAACACCGGAAGCTCCCTACTACTTCGTGATCACAATACGCAGACTAGAAATCGGCCCGCCATGCTTAAGATTAGTCTCTTGAAGAACTATAATTTTCTTTTAGTTCTTCTCTGGGCTGCTTTCAGCTTGACAGCTTATACAATTGTGCTGTTTTCAATTCCCGATTATGGGGAGAGTGAAGGTCTTTCAGCAGACCAAGGGGCGCTGCTAGGGGCATTGGTCAGCCTTGGGCAGGTAATGGGGCGGCCGCGAGTTGGCTTTTTAAGTGATCGATTTGGCCGTCTGAATGTGTCCTCAGTGATGACCTTTCTCTCAGGCCTTCTTTGTTTCATCTTCTGGATATTTGCCAGGGAGTATGTGTCTACCTTAGCCTTTTCGCTGGTCATTGGTTTTGTTCATCGGGACCTTCTGGGCCTCTTTGTCTCCCATTGTTGCTGAGGTGCTAGGACTGCATCAAATAATCAACGGGCTGAACATTTGCTGGATTATTCTAGTAAGTCCGGTTACTGGTAAGTTCTGATTTCTTCCTTGATATGATGACCTCTTACTTCTTCTAGTATGCCCTAATCATGGAACCAGTTTGCGAGATCATTGGCCTAGTTCTGCGAGAGCCCGGCGGGGATAAATATTTACATGTCCAGATTTTCACTGGCGCACTGTATGTCGCTGCCTCGCTTTGTTTGCTCGTCCTGCGTAGGCAGATGGTGCGAATCCGTGACCTAAGCAAACCCGGCACCGCTGAACTTATATTTGGATTCACTAAACGGTGAGACAAATGCATGGCTTTCTGCGTTTAATTGGCTGTTCGCACGTATACCAAATAACGCTCTTCATCGGGTTGGAGAAACATAAAATGGAGGAAAGGGAAGCGAAGATTTTGAAGCCGGGCGCCATAGGGTACGCGCAAAAAGTTTTGAGCCACTTAGGCCAGTACAGGCACTAAGTTTGTCCGGATGTTTAGTGGATATAGCAGCAGATAGATATTTTCAATATGGTGGGTTTTCTCCGCATATTTTCTAGGATAAAGAAGCTTCATGCAAATAAGAGACTAGTTAATTAACTTAATTAGGGTAAGAGAACTAGAGAAATTAAGAAATAAAAAATTACTTAATATAGCTAATTTTTATTCTTATACTGAGTATGGTAGATACATGCAGGTAAATACCAATATATAAAGTAGACTAGATTCTAGAAAAACATTTCTTTAATTTAACTTAGTTATATCAACTATAGATAATTTTTATTTAAGTAAAGATTAAGTATAGGCTTTCTATAGATAAAGCACTGCTAAAAAGATATAAGTCCGTGGAGATCTTATCTACTAGCTCTAATTAAGGATAATCTCTATCTTGCTTTAACACGGAGAACTTATAAAACTTTAAAAATAATAAGTAGACCCATATAAATACGCTCTATTTATATTATATATATTCCTGAATTTTGACTCACATGTAATAATGATATAAAAATATAAAAATTCATTAATAATTTTAAAAGCCGTAATATATAATATTTATCATATCTCCCCACCCGCGGGTAAGTATATAAGATACTATCTAATCCCACTACTAGTCCAATTAGCTGTCACTCATTTAAATTACAGCATACAATTACTACTCATCAATAAAACAAGCTATAACAATCTGCACGCGTCACTTGCACAAGTTCCATCATGTCTTCCCCCGTCGACGCCGCGTACTTGCTACCCTCCGTAAGTCGTGCCACTATTGAATATATTCAATAGGTGACTGACAGTTTTGATGTATAGAGAGCTTACTCCTGAGACGATCAAGAAGCTGAAGGATCTGAGTGATGAGGTTGTTGTTAATGAGATAGAAGGTTGAGTGGCAGTGTTGACTTATTGTTGGGGCTCTTAGTGGTAAGGCTGAGGAGCGTTCTGAGCTGCTTAGGTAGCTATCTTGAAAGCCAATGTATGTGGTATTTGAGCTATGATAAGGGGCCACCCATCGCTTGCAGGAAAGTATGGTTTTAATATGAGCAGTCTCCTGAACAACCCTAACAACAAGATTGATTTACCACTCCCAACCCTCCGTAGATCTGTCCCAAGTGGGTAGATAGTAGTGGCAGTTGTCGGGGGCTCTAGCAAGGCCCCAAGCAGCCCATTTTCCTGGAGACCAGACCGGCCTTGTGTTAAACTTGCCGGCCAAAAAGAATCCGACAAAATAGCTATAGTTTTGTTTAGATTAGTAATTGAACTTGAGGATAGGATTGCTTGGCTTACAGAGTGGATGTTTCAGCGTCCCACACGAGGTTTCGACCATTGCCATGAAGAGGGTAGTACCCCCACCGGTAGAGTTTCCTACGAGTGTTGGTTTAGAAAAGCTTTGAAAGATCGGGGAAACGGAGTCGCATACATAATGCCTTCTCTGAAAGCCTCACGGATAGCATCTCGCTCGCTAATATCCAGGGCCCAGAATGCTGCGGCGCCGCAAGGATTGCCGAGGCGAATCCCTGGTACCACTTCCCAGACAAGCCAGGTAATAAATCCGCCGGGAACAAAGCCAGTGTCGTCTTGCTTGTCTTCTTTAGTGTCCAGTAGGCGTGGGGTAATAGGCAACTGTTTCTGCTTCCGTGTCAAAACACGGAGTGCCTCTAGCTCGAGCGGGCAACAGGATCCTGCTTGTTGGGCTCGTGTACTGACGGGCTCAGCTTCAGTCCCCGCGATGGGAATCTGTTTGTAGATTCGCATATAGCCCTGGACTGGATGATCTGGCCCAACTCTCTCGCAACGCAGGAGAGTGCAGGTCACAGATGACTCAGGACTGCCCCGCAAATCCTCTGGGAGGGTCTGGAATTCGTGTTCGTTTAGCGTCTGGAGAATAACCCATTGGTGTCTTTTCAGCTGTATGATGGTTCCGGGTTCGATCTCACTGCGAGCAAACCAACGCGAAGGCATGATGATGTTGGAAAGGTGTAGAGGCAAATGGCTAAGAAATGTGGACTGTAGAACATGATGGAGTGGGACGAGAAAGGGTTGATTTGAACGAAGAGAAATGACACCGAATGACGGATGAGGAGTGCGGAGTATAAGAGTGTTACTGCCGAAAGCACGTGACAACAGCGGGGGTAAAAGGGGGGATGTATATTTGGTACATGGGTACTGGGTAGAGGTTTTACTTCTAGTCCACCTATGTGAGAGCAGAAGCCCCCAAGCCAATCAATAGAGGATATCTTCAGATAACGGCGTAGCCAATTTCGTAGTCTTCCTCAATATACGGAATTAGGGCACCGGGCGCACTGTCGTTCATTCCGTTGCCGAAGTTCATGAGGCACGCACTGGCTAGTCGCCAGATGGTGTTCCTGCGTGAGAGTGTTGGGTTTGTTATTTCATCTGTGCCTTGAGCTCCGCTGTCCTCTGCTGCTGCTGCTGCTGCTGCTGCTGACGGCGCGACGTTGAACGTCGTGCCAAGTTCGGATGGTTGTTTCGACCTAACATGTCTTGAGCGCCTATCTTGCTGTATTCGGCTTCCGACTGGTTCCATGGCATTCAACTCCAGACTTGACCATGTTGATGGGGCATGGTCTTGCGGGACTAGGGCGGCACGCGGAATATGTGGTGTTGGTTCTGCTGCGGAGGGCCTCGCACTCGTGCTGGTCATGGTCAGTTGGGCAAGCAAGGATATGCTCTTCTGAAAAGATACACAAGGCGGATGTCTGGTGGATTACGCTGATGCAAAGAGGACTGCCCGACGCGATATCGAGGGAAACCAGGGTTATGTTCTGGGAGGGTATAACCGCGGAAATCCATCGGAGGATTACAAATCAACCGGCTCGTCCAGCAAATCCGCTGGATGTAGTCCGGGAAGTGTGAACTAGAGGCACGAATACGTTTGTGGGGCGCTAGTAAGAGGGCCATTGGTACATTACAGAGATCCTACCGTGAGGGCCCAGTGGGGAAGCTGCGGGATGAGGAGGATTAAGCCCTTAGATTTATCTGCTTGGTTCAGATAAAGAGTCTAGGGCAAACCTGGTTAGCATCGCTCTTGTTCACCGCATTCGGTGTATATTTCTCAATCTCCTACTAGTCTAAAATAAAGGGAATGCTAACGTAGTTTCCTTGCAGGTAAATTCTTGACCTGAAACACACAAGGGTATGTGAAGAATTTACCTTACATGTAATGTAATTATTGCTTAACATAGTATTGATGCCGAGGCAATGTACGTGCTCTACAGGATTTTATTAATTTAATTACCACTCTTAAATGATTTGTGAACCAAAATGGATCGAGTAATGCGTGCGATGCGTAAACAGAGAACGTATGTAAAGCTCATGGTTGCTGTTAATGACAGTGGGATAACTTGACCGCGGTACATGCAAAAGAAGATCCCTATAATATTCCAGACTTTAGGACATGGATGAGCTGCATCATCCGTCCTTGCCTGAGGACCAACAGGGCGAACCCAATTTGACTTGCCTGCCTTGAAAAAGGATCACCCGGTCATCTATCTCGTTTCCAAAAGAGACTCGGTAATGGTCCAGGTGCTTGATTGCCGTCTCGCCGGCAAGTCGCGCACCAGTTCAAGATGCTGCGAACAGTCAAAAAGGTATGCTCAGGAAGTGGCAGGTACTGGGTGAAGAACCTCACCTTGAATCTAAGGCCCCTTTGATCTTTGTGTTTGTCCTCTGGGATGAAGGCACTAATTCTTGCTCCCGTGAAGAGGAAGACCTGCAGGACAAACAGCATGAAAACTTTGAGAAGCCCATGTATGAAGACAGGGCAATTATATATCCACATCGAAGCTACAAGGTCTTCGTAGTTGTTCATTATAAAGTCAAAATTCTACTTCTTTATGTTCTCAACCTCTTCCTCTTCCATCAAGCCTTTTTTAATCCACTTCAAATCGGTCAGCACAGACTATCGTTTATAGACTGGGATATAACTGGAATATACATGCCGAGTATACTTTACCACAATCATCTTTCTCAATAGTGCTGCCGGTTGCTTCCTTAAACCAGCCAAAAAAATCTTTCGGTAAATGCTAAAGTATATCTAACAGTTACTAGTTTCTTATCACTGAGCCGGCCCCTGCCTGGAATAAAACGGGCATAAAAACAAATAAAGTCTTCGATAATTACAAGATCTGGAGTCAAATAGCCATGTTTTAAATTTATAACCAATCTGCTCATAGTCATAGTACACTAAAAATCTGGTATTTAAGGTTCAGTATGCTTCAGAGAAAGATATCATCCAAGATAACTTACATCTCATATAGTTTCACATATTGCTTGTACAGTTATTTAACTTCTTCAATATGGCTATGCCTTTTCCGCACAACATTTTCCTTAAGATGAACTCTTGGAACATAGTTGTTGAACTACCCGCACAGAATAGATGGGGTGAGCGGCTCAATGAGTACACGTGACTGCTCAGGAGCAAGGGCTGAGTGCTCAGTGAGCGGTGATCCGTGATGTTGAAATACTCACTGAGTAGAACCCCGAGCGCCCTCGCTAAAGCGGCGGTGTCCCGAAGAGGAAATCTATGGTTGTCCTAGAAATTCAAGTACGTATAAGTGCATATAATTCATTTGTTGGTGCAGGATAGATCTAGTCCCTGTATTGTCTCCAATTTTATATAATATTTAATAAATTTAATATATATTTTTATTAATATGATTACTATAATCATTACTAGTATCTAGATAATTAAGAATAATTAATTATTGTCGGCTGGAGTCCTACCTGAGTTTGCTGGTACTTAGTCTACTGTACGGACTACGAAGAGCCTGCAGGTACCTTTTAGCCGAGCGGTCAGATTTTCTGTCATTAGGATACTAGATGGATCTATAGAGTCAACTTCATTAGTATGTGTTTGTATGACACTGACATCCCGATGGAATATATTGAATATACTAGTACTATGTACTGATCAAAACAACCACCCCCCCTGCCGAAACATGAACCGATCCGGATCATACATCTTCGCAATACTCTCCAACCGGGCTCGATTCGTACTCCCGTAACTCGCATACACGTCTTGGTAATCGGCGGCGTCGTTCATGAAGAGTGGGTTCACACTATTTATCCATTCTGTTAGTATTGTATTCTCCATGACGGCAAACCTGGGATGAAAAGAGAATTTGGAGAATTAGGGGCAAGGGGGTGGGGGGGGACTTACGAAACCCAGTCAACGTCGCCACTCTTCCAATTCGTCGGTTTTGTGCCCTTTAGGGTCTGCTCGAATGATGCCAGTGCTGTGTCTGCCACTTCACGTAGATACTCTGGGCAGGCATCGTTACACACCGGGTTCATCCAGATAAGATCATTCTCGAACCAGAATCGGTCTCCGTTGTTGGGATCCAGACCGAGGGTGTTTCCGCCACGCTCGGTCGAGGCACGTGCAATCCGTACAGACAGGGGCTGAGGTGTGAATGTCCCGATCTGGATATCCAGATTCCGGGAGGAATCGTTCTTGATCATGCTTTGGTAGGTCGTCCAGTGGGTTTCGAGGAGTTGGGACATTTGGGCGGGGGGCATGTTGGGAAAGGTATTCACGCGGGCCGCGGCGTTGATGCCGTAGATTTTAGCCCCGCCGGCTTCGTTGGTGAGTTCGGTGTAGGACTGGGCTTTGGTGGTGGAGAAGAGGGAGTCGATTTTGTCGAGACCGACAAAGGCGTTGGCTGGGGGGGTGGAGCCGTCGTAGAAGAAGAACAGGGTGGGGTTGGAGACGAGGGCGCCGGGGAGGCCAAAGTCGAAGGTGGGGATGACGGCGGCTTTGGCGTCGGGGTAGTCGCGGGTGAAGTTGGCGAGGGCTTCGAAGATTTCTTGTCGTTTGTCGGCGTTGTAGAATCGCATCCCGCCCCAGATTTGGCCGTTCGTGCCGAGGGGGTGTCCTTGGATGGTGAATTTGGTCACGATCCCGTATCGGTTGCCGCCGCCGCGGAGGGCCCAGAAGAGGTCTGGGTGAGAGGTGCTGTTGGCGTTGACGATGGTGCCGTTTGCGAGCACGACTTCGAAGTTGAGGACATTGTCGCAGGCCAGACCCTGGAGTGGTTAGTTAGGGTTGCCAGGGGGGGGGGAGGGGAGGGAGGGGTGGTACATATTGGGCGGAGTAGTAGGAGAGACCACCGCCGAGAGTGTAGCCAGCGACTCCGATGTTGGCGAGTCGACCACCCACGACGACTTGGTTGGTCTTCTCGGTCACGGCGTAGACGTCGCCCCAGCGGGCACCAGGGCCGACGTCAAAGGTCTGGCCGTCGGGGTTACGGGTGGTGGAGGACAGGTTCTCGTTGAAGGAGAGAAGCACGCCACCGCTGGTGCTGGAGAAGCCGGCGTTGAAATTGTGGCCGCCGGACTTGAGGGCAAATGGTGCCGTGGGATATTTGTTCAACTGCTGGACGGCAACCGACACCTGCTCTGCATTGGCCGGGAAAAAGGCGCAGGCGGGGCGGTTATTGGCGTTGACGCCATTCCAATATTCCTTGACCGTGTGGGTGTAGTAGGACTGGTTCCAGAAGGTCTCACTGGCGTAGGTACCAGTGGGGTCCCAGACGGTGTACTGAGGGTAGACAGCGTGCAGATGCTGGCACACAGACACAGCATCGGTGTTGGGGCCCGCCAGGACGGGAACCGCCACGGCCAGGAGAAGTGCGGCCGCTATCATGGTGAGAGCGTTGCTGAAGGAAAGATCGAGAGGGCATGGGCATTGTGGCAGTTAAATGCTGTCTGTATAGGAGTGACCTCAAAAATGGGCAGATCGGGTCGTATTCCGTATTGCATTGGGGATCGACACGGAACATTTAGGGTTGAAACCGGTGTCAGATGAGGATCTGCAGGGCCTTGAAACGACTCAACTTTGGATCCCGAGGATGCACGTGGATTGCAGTCATCGCAATTATTGTCTTCCTTCTGTGGCAAGTCTCAACGGATTGCAGCAACACATTGGTCGCAACGGGTGCTCAGTGAGAGGTATCTAGGCAAATAGCTAGATACAAATGAACTCGGGTTCTTCAACATCCAGGCTATCTCGGATGATTGAATCGATTGCACGTGGCCTCGGCTCCACGAGGCTCGCGGGCATGTTGAAGATGCAAGGGCGCAGGCACCAATCAATGGTGATGCTCCTTGCTTCTAGGCAGACGGCTTGGCTGTCTGGATAAAGTGGCCCGCATGTCACCGAACACCGCCACAACAACACTCCCGGTCAGAGAATAAATCCACCATGTCCAGGTCGTCGTGCCCTCGTGAACCCTTGCTGATGAAGAGGCAAATCATCCCGGATCACAACTCCCCCAGCGCGAAGAAAGCCTGCACCGGAAGCACATTCCACGCGAGCCCGGTCCCTTGCCGCCAGCAGGGGTCACTCTTGACACTGCCACAAGAAGTGCTTGAGCTGATCATCACCTTCGCCGCCCACGATTATTCTGATACCTGTGGTGGTCGGGAATACTATTTCAGCTACCGGACAGTGGCAGACCTGGCCATCGTGTGTCGTCGCCTGTACGGAATTGCGACCCCAATTCTCTATCGGAGCATTTCGCTGGGAGATATACAACCGAGCGAACTCCATCGCACCCTCCAGACCAACCCACGTCTCCGCCAGTATTGCCGGATCCTGTTTCTTGATGCTAGCACAATCCCGACATCCTCTTGGACCGATTTCGATGTGGTGGGGGACATCGTGAGTTGGTTGACCCGCGTCAAGAAATTGAACATCTTTTGTCCCTACCACTGCACAAGAGACGGCAAGGTTGACTATGTCGGCAGCCTATGGGACACGGTTGTAAAGGCCACCCAGCACATGCACGAGCTGGAAAGCCTCGAATGCATCGGGCTCGGATTCATGTGGGTTCTGGGATCCGTCCAATCGCGGTCGGTGAGCATGTTGACCATCCGGAATGGGGGAGGGGACCGTAGAAACGTGAAGATGCCAGTGAATACAAGCCAAGAGTCCTCGGTCACGGAAATCTCGCTGTATGGGTGTCGTGAAACTCCGGAAGACATGGCCCAGCTACTCCAATGGCCGAAAGCACTGTCGTCCTTTCACATGGGCTGTTTCAACGTCGACCTCGACGGGGTGAAATATAGCTACTCCATGTTCGAAACCTGGCTTCGAAAACACCAGACCACTCTGCGGTCCCTGACGATGTGTGGTCTTCCGGGTGATAACGTGGACGAACGCGCGTTCAATGCCTCGGCGTTTCCCCATCTGGAGAGTCTGAGGCTGTCCCGATGGAACATGGGCACCAAGCTGTGGCTGTCAGACACGGATGCCGACGAGCTGCTCGGGCCCAGTCTCAAAACGTTCACGTGGGACTTTAGGAAGTTGGCGGATCAGAAGGGATCCTGGATGGATTTTGGCGAGGAAGAGGAAAATTGGATTAGGGCATTTGCTCGAGCTGCGGTGGAAAGAAAGGCCGCGCTGAAATCGATCAGAATCGCATTTAGTTCGTTTGACCGTGGACAAGGCACGATAGGGTATCCTTGGGGCCGCATGGCTAGGGTTCGGGATGAGTTTGAGCCAGATGGCTTGATTGTGACCTGGGATACCCCGGTGCTGATTGGGGAGGACTGGCCAGATGCCTCGCCGCAGTGTGTATACGCAGTGGAGTCCCTATACGAGGTGGTGACTCATGATGACTGTCCCAGCCCTGGGGAGATGGAAATATTGATGCGAGAAGCACACCTGCCGGGGATGATGGCTTAGACATAGTTGATGAGGAATATTGGTCTCAATAGAAGCATCGGCTGAGGATTGCAGTGGTCATACGCTGACGGTGTTAGCTATTCTTGCCAGTATGTCAAAAGTATTCAACTTACGTACAATCTACACATCCTACGCGACACCCCAATAAGAGTACAATACAATCAATTGAGCAATCTAAGCCATACACGCTATAACCCGCAAGACAAAACCCCCACCATTACTTTCCTCCATCAGTAACTTCCCCAGTCAAACAGCCACCACAATCCACAATCCCAGAACAAAACGACTAAACAGAAAGAACCCCGAATCCACATCCAGCATGAATCCGATCCGACTCCCAATAGTTATATTTCAATTCAATTTTCCAGTAACATCTTACTTGAAGAGTCTGCCCAGCAGACCCCCCGCAAGGTTACTCACAATGCCCCCGGAAAGCGCACTGTTCGCGAATGTCGACGCCTGACTGAACCGATCGCAGCGGGAGAATGCCACCGTGTTGGTGATGGTCAATGCGAGGGCAATTGCTGTTCTTGTTAGATTCTCTACCAAACCATAGCAAGGACTGAGGGATCGAACTCACCAACAAGACTCAACCAGATCACACTGCTCAACCGGATGATAGCCAAAACGGCCAGGCCGATCCACAGCGCCGGGGCCACGTACAGACTCAACCAGAAGAAACGTTTATCAGTGGCGGCGATGGCCCGGGTGGTGGGATCGGAGGACTCAAAGACCCAGTGTGAGTCGCCGGTGGAGGTGTTGACTTCGTTCCACCAGCGGAGACCGACGAGGCGACGACCGGCGATGTTTTTGAGGTAGTAGAAGTCGGCGGAGAGGAGAAGGAGGGTGAGAATGAAGACGAGGACGCTGGTGCCGTTAGTGAGTTTCAACTCCCTTACACAATAGGCCTGGTGTACCCGGAGCCATCATAGATTGCAGTGGATAGGGACATACAAATTCTTGATAAAGAGCACGCCAAACAGGTACATCAGCAGGGCGCTGATGCGGAAGCCCAGAAAGAACATGAGGGTAATGGGATGAGCACTGAGACGCCAGTTCAGGTCGCCCTGCTGCGGTTGAAGCGGTTGTTGTTCCATAGCGAGAGTATAATCAGCTCCCTGACAAATGTCAAATGCGCAAGATGGACGGCGTCAAGCAGCCTCCTGGAGATGGTGACATTGGCGGGATGGCGTTGATGCTGCGTGTCGACAGGCGCGGCGGTGGGGGCCGGCAGAATGACTCCACTCCGGGTATTTGACACTCCGCAGCATCTCCGACACGCGCCGTTTCACGCGGTGCAGAGTGCAGACAGCTGGGTTATGCTACAAGTGATCTTGTCCTAGAGCAATGTGCATATCATGCATCTTACTGCAAGGGATTGTGGGAGGTCCAATGGCCGGACTGAATGACTCCGAGCCTCGATGAGGTCATCGGTTGGTTCCTGACGGCTGGAGAAGCCTTTATGCGCAAACCGAGGATCTCTTAAAGTTGCGGGTCAATCCGCTGCATGCATCAGTTCCCTCGACTGCGCATAATCCTAACCAACATCCTCTACCACACTGTCTAATTGATACGTCCCTAAGCGACAATGGCATCTAGAAACACTCTCCGTCGAGCTCTGCTCTACAGTACGTCTCCCAGCTCTCAATTCTCTCTGCCCGCAGCTCTCCCCGCATTTCCCCGTCCGCATCCACATCCATACTAACTATAACCAGTCCCCGGCTCCTCCCAACGCTTCATCGACAAATCCCGCACCCTAACCGCCGACTGCGTAGCCTACGACCTCGAAGACAGCGTCACTCCGCACAAGAAAGCCGAAGCGCGGTCCCTGGTGCGACAGGCCCTCGACCAGCCCGCACCGCCGGGGATCCGCGAACGGGCAGTCCGCATCAACTCGGTAGACAGCGGTCTGGCCCTGAGTGATCTGACCGAAGTGGTACCCTCCCCACACCCCCCCCCTTTCACACTACAACAATACTAACAATCTCAGCTCAAATCCCCCAACCTCACCACCCTCGTCATCCCGAAAGTCAACTCCCCCTCCGACCTAACCTTCATCACCGACGTAATCACCCACACCCTCTCCACCAACCCACAACACGAACGCAAAACCCCCATCTCCCTCCTCGCGCTCATCGAATCCGCCAAATCCCTCACCAATCTCACGCAAATCACCTCCAGTACGCCCCTCCTCCAGGGCTTGATCTTCGCGGCCGAGGACTTCGCCCTGGACTTGAGCATCACTCGGACCCCGTCGCTACGGGAGTTTCTCTTCGCGAGATCAATGATCGCGACGGCGGCGAGGGCGGCGAATTTGCCGTCGACGATTGATCTCGTGTGTACGGAGTATAAGGGGAAGGATGGGGGAGTGCCGAAGGTGTTGGAGGAGGAGTGTCGGGATGGGAGACGGTTGGGGTTTAATGGGAAGCAGTGTATTCATCCGTCGCAGGTGGAGACGGCGCAGCGGATCTTTGGGCCTGATGCGAAGGAGGTGGAGTGGGCGGTGAGGGTGTGTGTGGCGGATGAGAAGGCGGCGCGGTTGGGGAGGGGGGCGTGGACGCTTGATGGGAAGATGATTGATGTGCCGGTTGCGGAGAAGGCGAGGGCTATTGTGAAGAAGGCGGAGGAGTGTGGGGTGGATGTCGGGGAGGTGAGGGAGAAGTGGAAGGGGCAGGAACCGGAGTAGATAAGGGGGGGGGCGGAGATGGAGCTAGGGCTATGTACAGGCTCGGGTGACACGGCAGGATGATGACGGCGGAAGAGTACATTAGATCCTGCAAGAATTAAAGTAGATGGTCTATGTATCATGGCTTCTACGTCCCGTCACGGTAGCTTCCCCACAACTGCGTGCCTGTCGGCAGTATCATTACAGCGTCACAGCATCGAGCCCGTTGAAGGAACGGTACGCAAGTCGAGGTGTTGAAGGGAATGCACTAGGAGAAAGAAGGTTGAATGTGGTTGAGTTTGGTTGATTATGGCTTCGACTCCAGGTCTTCGCGCTTCAGCAGCTGAATCTTTCCCATCGTCAGCACCGGCGTTTCCGTGTCCGCCTTGCCGTTGGCATCTTCCTCCAGACTCTTGGCCAAGGTCTTGTCGTAGCTGGTGGGGTCAATCCCCAGGATGCCGCCAACATAGCCGCCCCGCTCGCCCGGCACGCTGAACTCGCGGAACAGGTACTTCCACTCATTCAGCCACGCCTTGACGGCCTTGCCGATCTTATCCTTGCCGTTCTTTGAATGGTGGCCTGTGCCCGTGATGGCGTACACCACCCGCCGGCCTTCCCGCGCATGTTTCAGCAGGATCTTCTCCAGATATTCAATTGCCTCCTCCGGGTGAAGGCCATGCAGGTCCACGTAGAGTTCCTCTACTGAGTCATCCAAGCCGGCATCCACGATATGCTTGTTACGCTCTTCGTACAGCTGCCGTGCGGCTTCACGGTGGCACTTGCGCATCGCTTCGTTCTCAGCCTGGCCTCGAAGAGACAAAGCCTTGGCCGCTCTGGCATCATTCCGATTCCAAGCTTGGGCCGCACTAGCAAGACAATCAGTTCCGATCATCCCAGCACCAGAAGACAACTTACCTTTGGAGGAACTTGTTCCTCACGGTGCCATGGCGGATGGCCTCCGTGCGGTACTTGATGTATTGTTGATTAGCTCGAGAGCCGGTTTCGAGCCACGGGATATTCTGCGGGGGTGGAATCGCCAGAGCCGCGGCGCTGTGTTCGCGCCCTTTGGTCCCGTCTCGGTTGAGCTTAGAAGACGACTTGCCCTTTCCGGGGGCAGGAGAAGGGGACATCCGAACAACATCCGCCAATGACGTGGGGAGATTCTCTCGGCTCGGATTGTTGTCGCGATTGTGTGCCCCCCGTTTGCCATGATGCTTCTTGCTCGAGCTTTTCGCGCTGACCGCGGCAAGGGTGGGGAAGGCGTCGGGGTCATCGACGGACGGGGCAGCCGGGTTCAACTCACGATGCTGGTGTCGACTCCCGGGCCGAGAGTGAGGACGGGACAGACTAGTCATGCTACCATTCCGCTTGCCGACAATATACTGCATCGCCTGAGGACCGTTCTTGTTGCCGGCATATGCCGACAAATGGCCGGGATTTTTGCTGATATACTGGCCACCCCATTGGTCGCCAACCCCGGCAGTCGATTGCAGTGGAGGGAACGCCTCAGAGGCACTGTCCATGTGGAACGACGTGCCAGCCGCCCCGGGGTTGCCGTCTGCCACACTCAGGTTCGCCACGAGTGCGGAAGGATCATGTGAAAACGGGCAGCCGTCACCGGCCAGACAATTCCCCATAACCCAATACCTGAGACACAAGGTTGACATTAGCGTGCTGCTCTGGCTCGGGTCCCATCGGAACGCTCGGATATGTACTCACTTGCAAAGATGATTGGTTAGATCGTGGCTAAACCGGCAATCGGCACGGAGACACTGGCCTGTAGATAGCCAATATTTGCACACAACGGGACTGCGACTGTGGCCCGGGGCGACGGTGATCTTCGGCTGCTCCATCGACATGGACTTGCCGACCACAACGTGGCTATCTTCCACATGTTGCGATATGAGATCTCCATCCTGCGGCTGCGACAGCGATGCAATAGTCGCGCCCAGGTCGTAGCTATTGGCTTCCAAAGCCGTCTCGATTTCCTCGTTGGTTCGTTTGTCTCCCAAGACCGTCCGTAGGATGTCGTGCGGACTCATGTCCGGGACAAACTCCGGTGCCGTAGCGCTCAGCGCCCCCGAAAGACTCGCGGTCCCAATAGACGACGTCACGCTATTCGCGTCGTCCGCAACCAGCCAGTCCACGTTGCTATCGCTGCCTAGGTCACCATAGAAATCTGACACCTGGCTTTGGTCGGAGAATTCGTACGCGTTGAGGTTTGGAGAGTGAGGAATGGGCTGCGCAAGAGCGAGTCGGGGCGATGGACGAGGCGACGTAAAGGGTGACACCGTGGAGGACAGCGGTGGCCGCGGAAAGCCCGTTCGCGAGCTCTGCAGCCAGGAGGTACTTCCGGGGCTCGTCCCTAAGTTGGAATGAGGGGATAGCGGGGTCGCAGAGCGAGCCATCTGCCAGGGAGCCGGGGACGAGCGGCGAATAACCGTGTGACGGGGCGGCGGAGGGGAGGAGTCGGGCAAGGTGCGATTGCGATGGCGCCAAAGGATGTCGAGGACGGCATTTTCCAAGGACGGGCCTGATAAGGAGGTCTTTTCGCGTACAAAGTCTTCGATTTTTTCGACCTGCTCTTCTTCGTCCAGAGCTTGGTCCTGGAGGATGTGGAGGCACTCCTCAAGGAGGTCGTCTGGAACCATGCTGGAGCGTTGGGGAGGGGAAAGAAGGAGAGCGACGGATACACGGCGTGCAGACAGATGTGGGGTAATCGAAGGGTGACAGCGATCAAATCGAAGAGACAACAGCAAACAAGTCAAATCTAATGATCAAGGGCCATGATTTTCCAAGGACGGGAGGATTCATGGAACGGAGGGAGAGCTTGAAAGAGGGATGTTAGCAGGGTTGACGGGCGACAGGGGACAAGCTTGCAGTCCACGGGTGATTACATCGCATCTGCCGTCTTGCAATGATCGAGGACGGAGGGATCGAATGAAGGAGTGGAGCAAGAAACGACGGCGAGGAAAGCAGGGAGAGAATAAGAGGAAAAACAAAAAGGGAAGAAGGGAAGAAGGAGAAGACGAAGAAGGGGAAGAGGAGTGCAACGAGGGAAAAGAGAGAAAGACGACGGAGAGAGAGAGAGGGGTAAGAAGAGGACAGTCGGAGCGGAGGGAACTGGAGAGTACTTACGGAGTACGGAGTACCAGCAGGAAGTATTCAGGTTCCAGGAGGTTGTCTCTGGCTCTCTCCCCCGACCAGGTCAACCAACCAACCAATCGACCAACCAACGAACGCCCGCGAAGCAGCTCGGGCGTTCTTTATTGACAGCAATCAACCAGTGCTCCCAAACCGGGTCGCGGTTTGACTCTGGACCAAAGAACGGCGGCGCTGTCACCCCCCTTTTTCCCACCCTGGTCCGTCCGTTCCATCCAGCCAGCGCCGGTGGATGTGGGGGATCTAGACTGCCTGCCACTCTTCCTCAGGGCGATCTGCCGATATTACTGATGTCCTTCATCGTCCCTGTGGACCACCTCCCTCCAGCCAGAGTCCGCATTACACCCGTTCTGGATCCGGCTCGTCCTCACCAATGCCCTTCTCCTCCATTCTCATCTGAAAGCAAAAGCAGCTCCAAGCCAATAATACCAACCGGCTCCGTACTGTGTAACACCCGGACGGTAAGAATGGCTGACTAAGATCCTCCTCGACTTCCGCCTTCAGGCAGGCAGCCGCCATCGGATCCTCCTGCAAGCTTCAATTATTAGCTGCTACTGCTGCGGTCCCCTTCGCTTCTTGGATTATCCTCAATTCTCAACCTGGTCTTCCTGGGACTCGCAGGGAATGGCAGCTTAGTTCATCCCACCTATCCAATTCATCCCTTCCTCCAGATCATCTTCATCCTCCACGACCTCCGCCGGTCAGCTGGCAGAAGCTCATTGACCAATTGCCGGCCCGCTCCCATTTCATCATCGCCTAGCTACCCGTCGTGGACGTCCCTTCCGCCATCCGCTCATGCCTCGTTTTTAGACGGGGGCTTAGCGACGCCCTCCTTGATTAGTTCAGCCTCGTCCTCTCTAGCACCCATTGGGTATTCATTGCGCCGTGTATATACATTGCTGGATACCGGAGATCCAACCCTGCGTACTGGTTTGCGCCCGGCCATTTTCTCTGCACAAGCACCCACTTCGCATCGCCGATCCTGCTTCGGGCCGTGTCGTCGCTCAGGGTCGATATTGGATAACACGATAAACACGTACTGCCCTACTCCTCCCTTCATCTCAACATGCCCGCGGATTATTCATCCACCGCCCGGGCGCTTTCGGTCTCAACCTCGTCCCCCGAGCCGTTGTCCCCGTCGGAGGACGATGCCTATCCGCCATGGAGCCGGAGAGCACCTGGCAGGCGGAACTCCGCCAGTCTCTCCGGCGGACGAGCCGCTTCTCTCCGGGATCAACTCATAGACCGAGCCACCCAGATGTTGCACCGGATTCGGGAAGCATGGCGCAAGATGAACTTTTGGCAAAGAGTCGGGGCGGTGGCCGCCGTCCTATTGGCCAATTTTCTGGGAATTGGCTTTCTGGTCTTCACCGGCAAGGTATTCATCTGGATTCAGCCTGTGGCTGCACAATGGGAGAAATCCTCTCTAGCGTACTTTGTTCTGTGGTTGTGTGTGTTCTTTGTCTCTTTCCCGCCGTTGGTTGGATGGTCCACATTTGGAACTGTAGCAGGATACCTCTTTGGAATCTGGAAGGGGTGAGTTGCGTGTCTTTTATTGATGGGCCAGGACTAATACTTTTATAGGTGGCTTCTTTATGCTTCGGCGACCGTCCTCGGGTCGACTTGTTCTTTCATTGTGTCTCGGACGATTCTGTCCAAATTCGTCCAACGTCTGACGGAACGCGACAAACGATTCGCGGCTCTGTCATTGACACTCAAATATGACGGGCTCAAGCTACTGTGCATGATCCGCCTCTGCCCACTGCCCTACTCTGTCTGCAATGGGGCGGTCTCCACTTTCCCCACGGTGAATCCGTTGATGTATGGTCTGGCGACGGCACTGATCTCTCCCAAGCTGCTCGTCCCGGCCTTCATCGGCAATCGGTTGCGAGTGCTGTCGGAAAACAATGAGGAGATGAGTGCGGGCTCGAAGGCAGTCAACATTTGCAGCATCATTGTCTCGGTTTCGATTGGAATTTTCACTGGTCTATATATCTATAGAAGGTAGGCAGCCGAGAGTGCCCCCTCAGTATCGCCCTACAGACTAACCTGTGGGATCAGAACGTTGGCCCGGGCCAAAGAGTTGGAAGCCAAAGAGAGGGAGGACATCCGGCGCTCGCTCCACGCGGACCACGCGGCCCATCGCCCCCATGGAGCTTTTTCCGAGGACCTGGACGTGGACAGGGCCGCCACGACCCTTGCGCGCGATGAAGAGGAACAGATTGGATTTGCCGATCTCGATGACGACCACGTAGACCTCGCGATTGACGACGAGAGCGGCAGTGAGACCTCCCCCCACCGTACCAAAGCCACCCCCTATCGTGACGAGTTTACCGACAACGATTCAGATATCTTCCGGGACGGAGACGGGGCCAGTGAGGAGATGTATACCCTACATACACATGTGCGGAAGCCTTAGGGTCCCTGGGTCTAGCTGGCCAGTTGACGGGCCAGGGTGCTTACGTGATGAAGAATCGGCTCTTACGAGTGATGACAGCGACCCTGCTGGATGGGCATGACGGTTTATGGATAACCTCTGGTGTTTCGTAAATAATTATACTTGATTCTGGGCGACCGGGGCCTCTGCAATCTCGCCTGATGGCCTCCTAGACGGTTCCGCCCCCGGCGGTGTTGCTCTGTCGTAGCTGTAGGGTATATAGCAAGATTTTGGGCAATCGAGGCGTCGAATCGCCATAGCACAGTTGGTTATGCCACTATCAGTCTCCCTGGCATGGCATGAATGTCGTGGTGCCAGTTGCAACTAGAGAACGGTCCACCTTGGCGCGCTGGCGTCACGGGAGGGTCCGGGGGCCGTGAGCAAGGGGGAAATAGGAATAGTCCGATCGCGAAGCCTGGCACTATCTCTCTGTTCCGAGCCGATGGGGTTCATTGGACACTTGTCAACCCAGATCGGACGGATCGAAGCGATCAAGGAACGAAGAAGGGGGATGGGATGAAGAATCATGCAATGGCGAGAATGTGATGGCCGGGCGGACTGAAAATTACGCGGGGGTGCCGGCCGAATGTGGCGCCGAGTGAGTGGCCTGGACTGGGTTGGTTTCTGGCTCTCGGCCTCAGCCTCTTGTCTGCATCGCGGCTTTCCTTCGTCGCCCCTTGATTCGCCGTCGGGCTGCTTTCCCCTCGCCGGTCTCTTCCCGGTAAGTTGGTCGCTACCTGCATCGCTGCAGTCTCCTCCTCGTCCGAGGTTGCGTCGGTGCCAAATGTCCGCAAGCGCGATGAGTTCGCTGATCCGTACCTTCTCTCGACCTTCTTCAGCCTAAGTCCATCCTCCAGGTAAGTCAACTGGTTATCTCCTAGGTCGGATCCCATTGGACCGCTGGCCTTTCCGAGGACTCTTTTGACATATGTCAACTTTCCGCATGGTTGCTGACATGGTTCGAAGGTATCTATTGCATCCTGGTCCAGGCCTTTTCCTTCCCATCAAAAGGACGTATCGTGATAGAGTCCGCCATGGATGATTAAAATGAGACCTGGTATCTACATAACTTAGTGAAATGGGTGGTGTATGGTGTCAATCAGTCGCTATATCGTCCGTGTAGTTGCCCCGTGGGTTCGTCGAGACAAGTCTCAGTGATAGAATATATCCTCTGAGGAGCTGTTTCACCTTGCAGCGATCATGAAAACTGCCGCTCCCATGGGGACCCAGGGCCCAGATGGCTATGCCTACGAGCGCTGTCAGCTGGACCAATACTTGCCATCCAGTCTGAATGCTGCTGCCAGCTTGCTGGCTCCCGGTCAAGCCGTCTTTGGGTCGCAGTTGCCGCCAAAGCAGCCTCCTGGGGGGCCACCTCTGAACGGGCTCTTCTATGCCAATGGAACAGCCAATGCCAGTCCCGCTGCTAACGGTAGCGTGGTGAGGGGTCCTTCAGGAAGCAGTAGCATCCTCGAGACAGCCCAGAATCGCTTCCAGGGAGCAGACCATTCCGCACACGGCCGTGAGATAAACACAAACCGTGGACCTTCCAATGGCCTCGAGAAAGCTCATTTCATTCCTTTCGGCTCCAATAACACGTCAATCTCTCCAACAACGTCTGTCAGAATCCTACCGTCGTCATCATCGGGGACCTCCGATCCCAAAGGTGCTGACAGTACTAGAGCGATAAGTGTGAAGTACCGCCCCCGTTCTTCCATACCTTCGAGAATGCCCACTGCTGTCTACGCTCAACAATGTGTGGCAGCAGCATATGCATCCCGGCTGAACCCATACGCGCTACACAAAAAGGAGCAGGAACTTCTTCAGGATCATTTGTGTCACCTCCATGTCACCGTCTACTTGAACATCCGAAATGGTATCCTGCGTCTATGGACTCGAAACCCCATGTTGAGCGTCTCGAAGGAAGAAGCTATGGGGTGTGCGAAGGACTATCGCTGGATGAACCTCGCGGCATTCGCATATGAATGGCTTGTCCGTAACGGCTATATCAATTTTGGCTGTGTGGAAATTCCAGTCGCTCCAGAGCCCGTGAAGAAAGGTCGGCGAAAGGATGGCCCTGTGATTGTCGTGGTGGGAGCTGGAACGGCGGGCTTAGGTTGTGCTCGACATCTGGAAGGTCTATTCAGTCATTACCACAATGCGTTTACATCACCACGGGTGATCGTACTGGAAGGACGGCGCAGGATTGGGGGTCGTATCTACTCGCATCCTTTGCGAAGCCTGGAGTCATCCACTCTGGCTCCTGGGTTAGTCCCCAAGGCCGAAATGGGCGCCCAGATCATCGTTGGGTTCGATCACGGCAATCCACTAGATCAGATTATCCGAGGCCAGCTCGCTCTTCCATATCACTTATTGCGCGATATATCGACGATCTATGACATCGATGGGTCACCGGTGGATGAAGCTCGAGACGCAACAGACGAGATGCTTTATAACGACATATTGGATCGGTCGGGGCTGTATCGGCACAAGTCGGTTATAGTGCCCACTGCAGAGGGTGACCGGGATTTAATCAATTCCGGGCGTGATCTGTCGATCAGCGACGGCCTTACAGTGAGACAATACGAAGAAGCCAGGGCTGCCGGGACCATCGGGCTCCTGTTCCCTGCGAAACGGGTCCGACGCGGTGTTGGCCACAAAACCGCTGACATTAAGCCTACCAGTGCCCCGTTGGCAGACCCTACCAACGTTGAAGAAAACCCCGCCCAGCTTGCGTGTCAGACGATGGGTTGGACCTTGAAAGACGGGACTTCCGTTAACGACACCATCAATCTGGACCCGGTGGCCAAAGCCTCGCCGTGTCAGACCTTGGGCGCCGTGATGGATGACGGTGTCCGGCAGTACCAGCGTATGCTCCCATTGACTCCGAAAGACATGCGCCTGCTCAACTGGCATATGGCCAATCTGGAGTATGCGAATGCTTCAAATATCGGCAAGCTTAGCCTTTCCGGGTGGGACCAGGATATGGGAAATGAATTCGAGGGAGAACACTCACAGGTGGTGGGTGGCTATCAGCAACTGCCGTACGGACTATGGTCGCTGCCTACGAAGCTAGATGTCCGAACAAACAAGATTGTCTCCAAGATATCCTACGACCATACGGGCCTAGGTAAGAACAAGACGGTGGTTCAGTGTGAAGATGGGGAGTCATTTGTTGCCGATAAGGTGGTCTTTACGGGCTCTTTGGGCATCCTGAAGCATCGCTCCATCCAGTTCTCGCCTCCCCTCCCGGAGTGGAAAACGAGCGCGATTGATCGCCTTGGCTTTGGCATCATGAACAAGGTGATCCTGGTCTTTGACAAGCCTTTCTGGGACACGGAGCGTGACATGTTTGGGCTGCTGCGGGAACCCAACAATCGCAATAGTATGATGCAGGAGGACTATGCGGCAAACAGGGGCCGGTTCTACTTGTTCTGGAACTGTATGAAGACCACGGGTCTCCCCGTCCTCATTGCTCTCATGGCCGGCGATGCCGCACATCAAGCCGAATGCACGCCGGATGCCGAACTCATTGCGGAAGTGACCAGCCAGCTTCGTAATGTCTTCAAACGGGCGGTCGTTCCGGATCCCTTGGAGACCATCATCACCCGCTGGGGCACGGACAAATTCACCCGCGGAAGCTACTCCTATGTGGCCGCACAGTCACTTCCAGGAGACTATGACCTGATGGCCAAACCAATTGGTAACTTACACTTCGCGGGAGAAGCCACCTGCGGCACCCACCCAGCCACGGTCCATGGAGCGTACTTATCCGGGCTTCGAGCTGCATCAGAAGTCATCGAGTCCGTCCTCGGACCCATTGAAGTGCCTCATCCGCTAGTCCCAGAGAAGGGCAAGACCCTCGACGTCAGCACCGCCACGGCAGCGCCTCAGAAGCGAAAGGAGCCGTCTGTGAGCAATGGCACCGCCGCCAGTGCAGCACCCAACAATACATCGCCCGAGGCCGCTCGTCGGGAGGCATACGACAAAGCCGTCATGGAGGCCATCTGTAACGAACTGGGCCCGCCACCCCAGCGACCAGCCAGAACGGCGCTGAACCCGTTCCTTTTGTACCAAAAGGATTACTGGGGGAAGTGCCGCATGCAGTGTGACGAAGCCCGCCGCACCACCACCAAGGACCCCAACGCCAAGGCGGCGCGCGACGAGATCCGCCAAGCCCTGGGCCTCATGTGGCGACAGGCCAGCGAAGAGGAGAAACGGCCGTACATGGAGCAAACGGAGGTCAACCGACAGACCAATTCGGAGATTTGGAATCGCTGGCGCAGCGACATGGCGGAATGGGAGAAGAAATCGAACGAAGTCAAGGAGCGATGGTGCGCAGCCAATCCCCTGGCCACCTGGGAGCAGCATCCGTTAGAAAGACCAACTCTTGCCTCTACTCAAAACATACCCGTGAATGCGCAGCCCGCTGCCTCGTTAGCGTCGACAACTCTAACCAACGGTGAACATGCAACATCTAGGCCAGATCCGCGAATGAATGGCCCACCTCAACCAGAATCTCCACCTCAACCTCCCCTACTACCTACAACACTAAGCAATGGCGAACACTCAGCATCCAAACCAAATCCGAAGAACAATGGCACGACACCTCACCCTCAAACTCAACCTCCCCTGCTAGCTACAGCAATAACCAACGGTGACCAACATGCAACACCAAGGCCAATTTCACAAATGAATGGCACGACGCCTCACCCTCACCCTCAATCTCATCCTCATCCTCATCCTCACTTCATCTACTAGCTCCAAATGATCTTTGATGCATTCGACTGCTCTAACATGATATATTATTCATTTCCCGTTCTTTGTACACTACTCCTCCCTCCTCGACTCACACAACAGTGGCAATGGATTCTCAATTGTTATATTATCTTAACCTTTTCTAATCATCTACCAACCGACCTCCCTCCAAAGACCAGGAAAGGGAAAGAAAGGTCCAAACTATTGAAAAGAGACAAAGGAAAACATCTTCGGCAAACAGTACTCTATAAATGTATTTTGTTTATTATTTTCATTGCTTTGCTTCTTCTCCTCTACTCTATATATGTGTATTCGCATTCGCATTCATGCAATCGATCGAACCCCATCAGGATTCCGTGTATCACCAACAGAGAGAAAAGAAAACAAAATCAACATGAACAGAATCGCTAGAAGTCTAGTAAGAGATATAAGCAGCCGTAAGGTGAGCATTCCGCAAATAAGAGGGAAATATAGAAATGAGAAAGAGGAAGAGGGAATGAAAATGAAAATGCAAGACCCATAAGCCGGTTGTCTAAATGGGGAAAACCTGAACCTGATCTAAATAGGAGGAGAAACGGGATCGAGATTGGGATTGGAGGAGTGTGAGGAGATGATGAGCGGAATAGATGGTTATGGTGGGAGAATGAACTGCTTAGAGCAGAGGGTTGGACTTGTATTCGGCGCCGGTGCCCTCGGTGTCCTTCTTGGTACCGACGACGGGGGCCTCCTCCTCGCCGGATTCGCGCTCGGCGATGTACTTTTCGGCTTCGAGAGCGGCAATGCAGCCGGATCCTGGAGTCTGTTAGCAAAATGGTCTGATTGTGGATGTGGGAAACATGAGGCATACCGGCACTGGTGATGGCCTGGCGGTAGCGCTTGTCCTGGACGTCACCGCAGGCAAAGACACCCTCGACGCTAGTGAAGCTGGTGCCGGGCTTGGTGACAATGTATCCGTCCTCGTCGAGCTGGATCTGGCCCTTGACGAGGGCGGTGGCGGGGTCGTGGCCGACGGCGTAGAAGAGACCGTTGGCGTCGACGGTCTCCTCCTCGCCGGAGACGACGTTCTTGACCTTGAGGTGGGTCATCAGGCCGTTAGGCTTGTCCTCGCCGAGCACCTCGGTGGCGACGGAGTTGAAGCGGACGGTGACCTTGGGGTGGGCCAGGAGGCGGTTGGCCATGGCCTTGCTGGCACGGAGCTTGTCGCGACGGACCAGGACGGTGACGCTGCTGCCGTACTTGGCCAGGAACATGGCCTCCTCGGCGGCGGAGTCACCACCGCCGATGACGAAGAGGGGCTTGTTGCGGAAGATGGGCACGGCACCGTCGCAGACGGCGCAAGCGCTGATGCCGTTCTGCCAGTACTTCTGCTCGCCGGGGAGGTCGAGACGACGGGCGTTGGCACCGGTGGCGATGATGACGGCGTCGGCGGTGTGGGCGGGCTCGTCGGTAGGACCGTCACTCCATTCGGTCCACAGCTTGAAGGGGCGCTGGGAGAAGTCGACCTTGGTGATGGTCTCGGTGATGACCTCGGTGCCGAAGCGGACGGACTGCTTGCGCATGTTCTCCATCAGCTCGCCACCACCGATGCCGTCGGGGAAACCGGGGAAGTTCTCGATGTCGGTGGTGGTGGTGAGCTGGCCGCCGGCGGCGGTGCCGTTGGCCAGCATACCCTCATAGAGGACGGGCTTGAGTTCGGCGCGCGAGAGGTAGATGGCCGCGGTGTGGGCGGCGGGGCCGGAGCCGATAACTATGGTTCGCGGGCGGTTAGAATTCTGCGTCGAACCCCTGACCCGCCGATGGTCGGAGGCAACTAAAAAACTTACTAACAACGTTGGTGTGCACCATTCTGGCGGAGGAGGTGGAATTGACGCGCAGGGGCGTCGTGAGGGTCGAAGGGGAGGAGTTTTGCTGAAAGGACGACGCGGCGGCGGCGGTCAGTCCCAGGGAGGAGCGAAGGGTGGAGAAGGGAAAACGACGAAAGGCGGAGGAAAACAGATTGGCGGTGTTTCCGGGGGGGGAGAGAGGAAGGAATTGAACTGGAGAGAAGAAGAGAAGAAGGAGGAGGAGGAGGAGGCAGAGGGGGGGAAATATGAAGGGCCGCAGAGGCAGAGGCGAAGAGGGGTGGGGAACCACAAGGGCTGGCCGGGTGCGATTAGCTAAGAAGGCCCAGCAGCAACCACCAACTATTAACTACTGTGTAGTGTACTCACTCACCAAGCAAGTATCGTCGGAGTCTAGTCGAGTGGAGCACGAGCCGGCTTATCGAAGACGCAATGGCTGGACTGTGGACTGATTGATAAGGCAGAGGCAGAGGAAAGACACCGAACCGGGATGGAAGCATGGCTGCGAGGCTCACAAATCATCCCCGGCGAGACCCTCGCACGTGACTCTTGCTTACCAACCGCGCGTGGGTCGAGACCCTCTTACCTTACCTTTCCCTTACACAGGAGAAGAGTCCGGAGTATCCTTCTACCACGCAACCTCCCAGCATCCGGAAGAGCAATCAACGCTGGCATTATTATCATCGGTATCGTCATCAATCATCAATCATCACGCATCTAGAACGCCGCCTCATTTCGACCGCCCAAACCACTTCTTCCGCTTCGGAACCTCCTTCACCTCCTCCTCCTCGCCCTCGCCCTCGCCGTCCGCTGGGCTCACCGGTACCAGTGTCTCGGGCAGCACTCCGCCGTCGCCCACCGCATACGGCTCCGGCTCATCCCCATCCTCATCATCAAACTCATCATCGTATTCCTCATCTGTCAGACCATTCTCCGCGTCCGTCTCTTCTCCGGCCCCAGCCGTCTGGTCCCTCTTCTTGCTGCGCACCCCCAGCCATTTCCGCCACCCCTTGGCCACTGACGCCGCGGGCGGGTCGAATTCCATGTCCTCGTAGTGTAGCGCGGGCACCAGGAACTTGTAGGGCGTCGTGATCCCCGCTGGGTCCTTCGGGTTCAGCTCCAGGTTCAGCGTGATGGCGAGACCCCCCTCCAGGTTGATCAACGCCCCCGGCCCGGCACCTCCGCGCTTGGATGCTTTCCGGGTGAGGGTGGTCGATCGGCGCAGGAACGGACCGGGCTGGGCGTCTCCCGCTGGAGGGAACGCCGCATCGCCTGTTCCCCCGGGGAAAGCTCCGTCCATGCTCATCCGGCGCGCCGGGGGAGCCTCGCCGAGGTGGAAGTCCTTCGTCGGCGGCGGGCCCCGGAGGGACAGACGTCGCAGCAGACCGGCGCGGGGGGCTTTGTCGCCGCGCGTCAGCGACAACGTCCGCTTCAGCTTGGCCGGACGCGGGTCTTCCTCCGCCGGTCCGATTTGCGGTGTCGCGGGGGGTGTCGAGCCTAGAAACCGGTCAGATTTTCAACGGTCTCGGGAGGAGAAGAGCACCCAAGGGCTAGACTTACCAGGCTGGTACTCCCGGATCGAACACCAATTGCGTCGCGGAAGCAACCGCTTGTTGTTCCGGGGCTTGTTGTTCACGTCATGGGTGAAGATGGGCAGCATGTCCTCGTCGGTGTTGGTGTCGATGTGGTGCACGTGATTGCGCTTGTTGAGGGTGTCGGAAATCATCTCCGTCTCGGGCTGATCGGCAATGGCGGACGAGATGATGTTCGGCATGTATCGGTAGTCCCGGTCCTTGGGCACGTTCAACTTGGGGTTCGAGTAGAACTGCCCGATGGCCGCCAGGTGCACATCACCACTGTAGCCAGTAAAGGTCAGATCCGTCTCACAACGCAGCGGCGGGCCACCTCTTACCTCAGAATCGTCACCCGGACGGATTTCTCGGCCGCGAGATCTTGAAGATCTTCGATCAGATACGTCCGCTCCGCCTTGTGACGCTTGGCCGTCCAATGATCGTCGAAGATCTCGACCTTGGCGCCGGTCTTGTTCACCAGGCCGCCAAACAGCCCCGCCTTGCCGAGGGACTTGCGGCTGTTGAGGATGTTTTTCACCACGGCCTGCGGGGATATTAGAGCACGCGCTGCAATGGTATTGAGATCTGTGACCTACCACGCGGGGGTACGCAAGGGGGATGCCCAGCGACACAATTAGGTGTCGGGTTTCCCCCCGCACAATCTCCTGATGGCATCGATCCCAGATCAGTTCGCCCGTTTCTTCGCAGATGATCTCATCGGTCTAGGGTCGCTGTCAGCATGAATCCATTCCCAAAGGCTCATCGTGTCTCACCATGCGTTCCGTCCGACAATCCAACCCCAGGAACGCCACCCCGTCGCCCAGCGACATAAACACGTGCCGGCTGCGCTGGTTGATATAAGGTCCTGGTTTGGCGCCAAGGATCCAGCTGGGCTCCTCGGCTTCGGTTTCCTCGGGAACGCTGTGATGCTGGAACAGCAGGTAGTACTTGAACGCAATGCTGCCAAGGCCCGAGATGACCGGCGAGTTCATAAACTCCTCCGGGTAGGAGCCGAAGCCCTCGATGATCTCATGGTCGTTCCACATGTTGACCATGGGAATTTGGGAGTTGGCGAGCGAGAAGAGCCCTTGAGAGAACCACGCCGAGTAATTCGCCAAGTAGAAGTCCTCCAGTTCGGCCTTGAACTCGGCACTGAAAGGCGAGTCGTACTTTTCACTCAGGTTCTTGATCCTCACCCACTCCTGGAAATGGGCGGTTTCCGCGATCACCTTGTCGTTAAAGATCTGGTCACCCCCCCCAATCATCACATGGAACGGGCGCGTCTGGTGCTCGTTCAAGACATCGCGCCAGAGGGGGTCGGGACCACTGAGCTTGTTGGAATCCACCGCCGGGCTAAAGCCGTTGCCGGTATGGAACATGACGTTCATGGACTGTCCTCGGGCCGGCACCCAGAAGCCGAGAGCTGGCCCCTGGTTCAAACGGTAGGCGACCCGCTGCTGAGTCGGGCCCAGTTCGATCTCGAGATTGAACTTCCAGAATGTGACATCCCGGCCCGGGTCGGCATAGAGGCGCGCTCCGGCGATCTCTTTGTAGCTGCCGGCTCCCTCTCCATCCACGGGATGGATACGATTGGCCGGGACGGGCTGCTTGACCCCTTCGCTACTGTAGTCCATGATGCTGGGGGACATTTCATAGATTCCATCATCGTTCTCCACAAACGACAGATCCTCCCCTTCCACGGTATGCTCCACCGGTTTAACGTAGAGAGGCCGTCCATCCCGTCCCAACTTCATCAACCCCGCAGCCGGGTCAATATACTCGGGGGCGAGTTGAGCATCCTCACCGTCGACCTGGACCGGCGGAGGAGCGAGGAGATCCATCGGCTGGGCGAACAACCTCAGGGTTGGGCGTGGCTCATAGCAGGAGAGCGAATCTTGGGTCACGATCAAAACACTGCCTCGCCAGGTCTCCTTGTTGAACGGACCATTGGGTCCATCGATTCGAACCCGTTTCAGACCGGCGTAGCGGAGCAGGGGTCCACTCTGTAGGAAGATCGATGGCTGGAAGCGCTTGTTACCTGCATACATCATCTGGTCAGTGACTGGGTTCTCTCGTGACGGACCGTGTCTCTTCGACGGCTTACCGGTTGGCTTTTGAGCGGACAGCTTTTGGACAAAGCTATTCGGCAGGGCCCGACTGGTTCTGCGGTTGTTGCTGTCCCCGGTTTCCCACCATGTCTTGCTCCGATCCGCATCAAATCGTTGGAAATCAAAATCAGAGGCTCCCAGTCTAGCCACAGATGCAGTTCTCCACTCAAATAGGGGAGGGGGGGTCGGCGGTGGCACATTGAAGGAGACCTTGGGCTTAGATGGTGCACTTGTCTCCACTCCAGCACCCGGGGGGGCCGTGGGGTTGAATTCGCCCATCCCACGTTCGATACTAGTGTTGGCGGGTCCAGGAAAGCCAGGCGCAGCGCCAGTAGGGCTCTTCATAATTCCCTGCTGGACCGACCCTCTCTCCGGGGCCAGTTGTGGAGGTGATGTGTTTGGATGGGTCAGGTCGGGATATGGTAGTGCCCGGCTATTGGGTTGGTTCGGAACTGCCTTCCTGCTTGGGACTGCCATCCTAGGCTGCTCCGGCACCGCTGGATCTTGAACAGCAGCAGCAGCAGCAGCAGCAGCAGCCGGGTAAGGTTGTGCATCCCGTTGTTTGCCCTGGTTCATCGCCCGCGGGCCCATCGGGGGTCCTTGGGGCGGGTGGTTCACGGAAACCGTCCGCCTGGGAGCACTACCTCTCTTCACCGACACATCTGGTAGACCATCGTCGTACGGAGACTCTTCAAACGGACGATCTGCCGCGCTCTGGGGCGGTGGTGCTTTGCTCCGAGGAGGTCTGGCTCTTTCCGAGGGATTTTGTCCCGGGGGGCTGTATCCCGCCTGCCCTTCAGAAGCAGCCTGCCGGTGATGCGATCGCTTTGCGCCTGGCGCAGGCTGGCTCGGTGCCGCAGTTCGTCCCGGGAGGACGCGCTGATCTGCATGTTCTGGCATGTCAGAAGGGTGCGCTGGTGCTGTCGCGCGACTTTCGGCTTCCCGTTTCATCCGTTCTCGCAGTTTCATTTCAGCCTCGAGAGCCCGCGCCCGTTTCTCTTCCTTGCTAGCCCCGGTGTAGGTCACCTCGAGCTTTTGGAGAGGCGAGCGGTCGGCCGCCCAGTCCCGCCGCTGCTCGGTTGTCGAGCGGACCGTATTCGACCGACTGATCGGCGAGGGCTGGCTATTTGAGGATGCAGAGGCCTTGAGCGCATCGTCTCCATGCTTCTCCCCTCTCGTAGATGATTTCGCACTTTTGTCGGGCCCGGCCGGGTAGTCCGATGCCGGGGGGTTTTCTTTCCACTCCATACTGTCTTCGGGATACACGTCTCTCCGGTAGCTTTTGCTTCTGGCGGAGTACGAACGAGACCGATGGTGGCTGTGCACTCGCCCCGAATTTGCTGTGTAGGGTGCTGGCGGTGGTCGTGAATTGGTGGGGTTGGTATAGAAGTCGTTATCCTCGTAGTAGTCTGGAGCCACCGACTTGACGACATGGGATGGCTGCCTTCTGTGCGACGGAGCCGTCTGGGCCCCATTGGTGAGGTCGCTGGCCATGCTTGCAGGGTAACACGCTGTTGCTGCTCCGCTTTGCCAGGCTCCGCAGGTGTGCTGGTAGTCACTGTGGTCGCATTCAACCACTCAGGCGTGTGCTGGTAGGACGGGACCAGCACTGCAATCAATCAGGAGCGAGAGGATCGCTCTGTTAGTATTATATAGCGAATTGGCGGTATAACAATGCTAGTAGATGAGAGTAGCAGCTGTGGCCGTATGCAATGCAGATAAGACTAGTACTGGTGGTCCTTCGCGTTCGGGGTATACAAGGTGGAGAGCATAAATATAGATCGTTCTACAGATGACGTGGGGAAATCAACCCTCAACAACGGCTCCAGAACGGGCGGAAAGTAACCAGGAAACCCCCCGTGCAAGAATGTGAAGAATGTTTGAAGACAGCAGACAGAAGAGGGGAAAGTGACGAAGAGGAGGGAAAAAAACTGGAGCCCGGGGGCAGAGCAGGCCATGCCCAACGCCAGGTCCTATTATAACGGGGGGAATTGATGGATCGATCGTGCATGTCAATCTAAACCGGTGGCTGGCAAAATCCCAGCCCTCTTTTCTTTTCTCGTCCCCTCCTTCGGCTTTGCTGGCGGGGCGCGCCCCTCACGAGTGCTGCCAGGTACTCGCCGTTTTCTCCTTGGTTCCTTTTTCCCTATTCTTGTTTATTTTAAATTGAGTTATCGTCAGCTTTTTCGTTCGGATGATCGCTGCCATTTTTCTCTGCTCTGGCCAAATCATGCCCGTCAACGTCACCCGTCCGCCACCTCCAGTTGGCCTCCCCGGCTTGTTGGACGGTCGGTCGCTTGTCAGTGAGGCCAGCCTTGAAGGAAATTTATTGTCAATTAATGGCCGCTGTCATACCATCGGTCTCTGAGTTTATAATCACAGATCATCCGAGGGAGAGGCAGTGCGCAGCCCGAGGACGTAATGCAACCACTTAGACCGCGCGGGAGCATCCACCAGAACCGCCCGGCCGTTGAACGGCGACCACCACAACGGGTGATTGAGGCCAATGCGCATCTTGAGCTGTCCTCAGTCTCAGCGCATTGCACCTGCTCCTCGTTGTGTGTCATCCATGACCGCGGTACTCTTTACGGCCTAGCGCTGGTCACCTGACCTACGATACAGCCCTTACCGCATGGAGGCAAGTCGGTCGGTGCGGTATTGAATTTACCGCGTATTTCAACCTGGCTGGCTGGTCCATGGCAAGGTACACACTCCGATCCCTGACATGTATGGAGATCCATCACTGCTTGGGAAAGTGTAGTAGAATCAAAGCCGGCATGGTGGTCTAGGGTAGGAAAGATCAAGACACCGTACAGGGGCGAAGAGAGGTAGTCAAGGTTGTGAACATGATACCCGGGGCGTATAGTTGCCAAATGCCCATAAACTCAAGCAACCGGTGAGCTTGTTGCGAGGTTTCCTTCAGCCGATAATGTTCCTCCCCTTTATCCGAGTCGTGATATGCAATCGAAGGTCAGCAAACCCCGACTCAAACGTTGGAGTGGCATGTTCGCCAGAGGCATCGCTTCGAAGGCCTTGGGGATGGTGGCTAGAAGGGAGATGATGTTCATCTGTTGAGCCAAACTACATGATTCAAAGTCATTATGATAGCAGGACCATAGAAAACCTCTTTGGAAGTAAGGGCACTTCCCACGTCAGGCGGTTTGAGGGCGACATCTGTATGTGTCTCCATGAGGGTGTGTCCCCTTCGTGGGTTGATTCCCTATGTTCTCCGGGATTCCCACACGTCTCGCGCTCAAATGAAGCTGCTTTAGCACGGAAGGTCCAGCCAGATTGATGCCAGGGCATAGCTAGGTATATAAGGCGCCGACCCACGCGGCTCCAGTTGCTCAAGGTGAGACTCCTCTGCGGCAGGAATAATCTCACCCATACACATGGGCTATTGAATCCATCGGAATCTGTACGACCATCATTCGTCTCACGAATCAGCCCCTGAGTTAATGAACGAGATCAGTGGTCCTATTACTCTCGCCCCCTTATTAGTGTATGGGTTGAAGTAATAACCATGATCCAGGTGTAGGATGTGTACACTATGCTGTGATGTGAGACTGAATGCATTTAATAAGCCGGTGAGGAGACTAGGGATTACGAAGTCCGCTCTCACTTTAAAGATTTAAGAGGTCTTGGTGCGGAAAGGGTAGTTGGGAGGTCACATCCACTAAAGGTGAAGATCGCCTCCGTGAGATTCAAGAGAACAGAAATCCCACTCCTACTTACCACCTCGATGTGAATTGAAGGGATGTACTCCGTACGGAAGTTGAAAATTAACCCCCAAAGGCCACGTCAGCCTTCGCATGTAGACCCAGGATTGGACATGGGAAATGTTTCCAGCGTTGATTCAGAGTCAACCGGATGTCAATGATTCCGGGCACCGATGATGAATTTGTCAGGCCAGGGCCTTTTCCGCTAGTTAGACTGCTCACTAATGGCCGCTGCTGGCCCACGGAATGCCGGCCGCGGTGGATCCCAGATTGCTTATCGCTGATAACCCTAATGCAACTCCGTCGGGGATCCAGGGACTGCCCCATTCACATCTGCAGAGCGGAACAGAACCGGCCTGATGACAAAAGGCGCCAGAAAATCCTATGTCAGCACAATAATTAGATCGTAGGTAGATCTATAGGGCACTGCACCTACCGTGGACTAGGCTCTGAAATGCCTGGCTTACTAACCTTTTCAACAAAACTGGCTGACAAGGACACTCGGGGCTATCTCTCGTGGCCTCGCTGGTGAACAGTCCACCTGGCTCTGGCTCTGGCTCTTTACCTGAAACACAACGTTGAAGGCGACCCTGGGAAGACACAGAATGCAACCGGAAGAAGAAAAGCATCCCTACAGCCCTCCAACGCCTGATAGCGATACAGTTTCGTCGGAGAGCGCCCGCCACGATGGAACCGCATCCGCGCCAGCGCCAGCCCCGGCGCCATTCAGCAACACCCGCGCAAATTCCACCATTGTCGTCCTCACGGGAGTCAGCTTTCTCAACACGATGGGATCGGGCATCCTGACCGTGGCACTTCCGAACATGTCGGCCGATCTCCACCTGAGCGAAGATATTATGCTATGGCCCGCATCGGTGTACGCGCTCGCGGCGGGCTGCACCCTGTTACTTTTCGGCTCCATCGCTGATGCGGTGGGCGACAAAATCATCTGGCTGACTGGCAGTGTTCTGTATGCGATCTTCACATTGGCTTGCGGGTTTGCTCAGACGGGAAATCAACTCATTGCCTTCCGGACATTGTTGGGTCTCTGGATCGCCATGTGTTTGCCCTCGGCGGTCAGCTTGATGACGCGCAGTTGTCCGTCAGGCACACGGCGGAACATCGGATTCGCGTCGATGGGGATGGGACAACCGCTGGGCTACTCGGTAGGGCTGATCCTGGGGGGTGTCTTCGTCGACACTATCGGGTGGCGCTATGGGTATTATATTAGTGCGATCATCAATGCCATCCTGTCCGCCACAGCCTTCTGGGCGCTGCCCGCCGTGAAGCATCGCGACGGGGATCCATGGTACAAGAGAATGGCAAAGATTGACTGGTTTGGGGCAGTAATCATCAGTGTTTCCCTGGCACTGCTGTGTTTTGTGATGGCGTAGGTGATCTCTCAACGGCCCTATTCCGGATTCCGAGTAACTGATTCAACGCAATCCACAGTGAGCTCTCCGGCAGTTATCGTAATATCCGCACCGGCTATGTTATTGCACTTTTGGTCATTTCCATAGTGCTGATTCCCACCTTTGTCGCATGGATGGGGTGGCGACAGCGACAGGGGCTACCAGCCCTCATTCCCAACACTATCTGGCAGAACTCCACGTTCACCTCCACATGCATCATTGTGTTCTTCACCTGGGCGGTTTTCAATGCCTTTCAGTACTTTTCATCTCTCTAGTAAGCTTGAATACCCTGCCGCTGAGATTCGGGGAGCTGACCACGATGGGCAGTTTCCAAAATATTCAACTTCACTCCGCTCTCATCTCAGCCGTCATGTTCTTGCCACTGGTGATTGTCGGGGCGATCACCAACCTCTTCACTGGGTACGTGGTCGACAAAGTCGAAGTCCGCACTTTGGTCTTTGTCTCCGCGTGCGTCAGCACTATCTCCCCAATCCTGATGGCATTGGTCAAGCCGAGCTGGGGGTACTGGCGGGGGCCATTCGTCGGGATGCTCCTGAGTCCGCTTCACCCGGATGGTAAGTTACCCAATAGTGGTGGCTGAATGGATTGGGGCCAAGACGATCCTGATCGACTAATCTGATAATGCAGTGCTATTTACCGTGTCGAACCTGATCATCTCGCAGGCCTATCCGGGAGAGAATCAAGGGCTTGCCGGGGCGGTGTTCAACGCCGTCTCACAGATCGGCAACTCCGTGGGCTTAGCAATCAGCGCAGTGATTGCCGCCTCGGTCACGGCACACTCGGATGGGGATCTCTTGAAGGGCTATCAAGCGGCCTATTGGCTCATGTTTGCGGCCATGATAGTAGTATGTGTGGTCAGTTTTGTGGGCCTCCGCTCCGGCGGAAAAGTGGGTAGTAAGAAAGATGAGTAGGATCTGCTGTAAACCAATAGAACACACCCGATAACACGAGCTCCAAATCCATAGCTGAATCGTCAGTGGACTGAGGATGAAACAATGGCCTTGTTCGTAGCCATTTCCGGCAAGGAGGAGGCGGATCGAAGCGTCCCCAAGCGGCAAAGTCGCGATATTGCCCCGGCCTAGACCGGCAGGTTGATCGCTCTCCTAATTAGGCCGACGGAGGTGCGTAGGTGTGAGTGTGAAGCGGAATTGCATCATGGAATCCTTCAGTCATCTGGCAACTCTTCAGTAACGAGCTGCAGAGTCCATCTACTCGATTGGAATACTCAGCCCTCACGTCAGATTTTGGCGTTCCAGTGGACCCAATCCCACATGTACTTACTGCCAATCGAGATTTAAGCTCAAACGAGCAGAAGCGTTGTTCCACCCCCTGTCAGTTGCTTCTGCAGGTCCTTGGCGTGTTTGCTACCGGGGTCCGGTACTAGAACCCGACGGATATTAACGTTTCCATCGGCTTCCGTCTTCACTTTCGACTGTCAAGAGTCATTCTTTTGGCAGGATGTTGCCTATTGGGTCTTCTATGCTGAGCTCCTAGGTGGTTAGGTCTGCCGCATGATGAGTTGAATGGCGGTGATCCCGCTCCGATCAGGGTACCCAACATAACAACAATTTTATGAGCCGTCCAGAATTAATCTTTCTAGGCAACAATCTCACATGGATCTACTACAAGTAAGCCGCACAGACACTAGGTTAGGTCTGTGCTGAATGGTCATCACTAGCCCCGATGAGAGAAAAAGCATAAGCAACGAACGGAAGTCCTATACTCCGTCAAAATCCGACCTTGTCCGGGATGTTGAGCCTTTTGTCCCAGGTTACGCGGTGAATCCACAAAGTTCTGGTATAAAAGTCTGTAATCCTGGTCTTTTACCTCGAAGGATGCCAGCGAATTTGCAAGGCTCAGTTGAGGAGACCAATGAAATCCGAGATCCTCTGCTGAGATTTCCAATCTACCACCAGTCCACTACACGGAGTACTTTGGCACGGGCTTGTGGGAATATAGTCACATCCACATGCTGATGCGCATTCGTCGGCAGTGTATTCGTTCCGAGGACTGCATGACATGCCGAAGAGTAAGAAGCGGTCTATGTTGAAGAGTTAGTAGCATCCTTTGATATAAAAGGGGCCCAAGATTCCCCTGCTCAGCGCCTGCTCATACCAGTGTCTCACTCGGGAATCAGCTCTTTCAATTAACTAGCAAGTCTCTTTATGCATTACCATGTCTTCTTTCAAGGTTTTTATTGTCGGGGGCGGCCCAGTTGGCGCGTTGGCCGGACTATACGCTGCTCAACGGGGGTTTGAAGTCGAGATCTATGAGATGCGAGACGGTGCGTTTCCCTTGCGTTCCGTCCAAAGTTGCTCAAGGGCAAGCCCTAACGAATAGAGGGGAATGTAGAGTATAATCAGCCTCATACCGCGACCGCCTTCTCCACCAAGAGCATCAGTCTAACTTTGTCCGAACGAGGCATCAAGTCCTTGCGCCACAGCAAATGCCAAAATTTGGCGGAGAGAATCCTGTCCAAAACTGTTCCGGTGTACGGTCAAAAGGTTCACGGCAGGACCAAATCAGGGTTAACCACGAGGCGGATTCCATATGATGTTCATGGACAGGTATGGTTGTGCTTGTTTCCCCTGCTGTTGTTTTCTTCTAGACTGACATTTTTCATTCCCATGCAGGCTCTTTATGCCATCAGCCGCTCAGAAATCAATTACAGCCTGCTTCAAGAGCTGTCCAAGTTTCCCAATGTCCGTGTCTTCTATAAGCATAAACTTAGCGGTTTGGATATGAAGCAGAAGTCCGCCACGTTCCAGAACATCAGCAGGCCCCGTGAGCCGGACCACGAGGCCAAATTTGATCTACTGATTGGTGCTGATGGAGCCCATTCGACGACTCGTTTTTATCTTTCCCGCTATGCTAAGATCAACATCAGCCAAAAATGGGAGGATATCTTTGGTGTGAACTCACCATCCCCGCGGGACATTCCCTTCCTCTGGACTGTCTGCATATGTGGCCCCAACATGATTTCATGCTGTTTGCCTGCCCAGATAAGGTATGTCTGTTTCTGAATTTTCCCAGGGCCGAATATATTGCTGACCCTCTTCAGGAAGGAACACTTACCTGTAATCTGTTTGCCCCCGAAAGCGTCTTCGTGGAGTTCTTTGAGAAGCACTTCCCCTGATATTACACCAGACCTCATTCCCACCGACAGCCTTCAAAAGCAGTTCAAGTCGAACCTTCACCATCCCATGATCGATATCCGGTGCTCTCCATATCATTACCAGGACTCCTGTGTACTGATTGGCGATGCGGCGCATGCCATGGTCCCCTTCTACGGGCAAGGCATGAACACGGGCTTTGAAGATGTCCGGATTCTCTTCGAAGATTTCCTCGATCAGAGGAGGACTCTCCCTTCCACGCCATATGATCTCTCTTTGACACATTCGGTGCAACAAAAGGAGCCGCTCGACACTCCTGCAGCCATTATTGGAGACTATCTCGAACAGTACACCAAATTCCGCCAGCCTGACGTCCATATCATCAATGAGCTTGCCCTGCAAAACTACAAGGAACTGAGACAAGGCGTTCTTAAAGTATCCTACCGGGTCCGCAAGCAGATCGAGGAGTTCCTGTGCTTCTATGCGCCGCAGCTCGGCTGGGCCACCCAATACCGGATGGTAGCCTTTGAGACCATGCGATACACCGAGGTCTTGCGACGGGTCCGAAAGCAGGGGCTCATCTTAAGTAGTGTGGCTTGGAGCTGTCTGGTGGTTCTTTCTATTGACTTTCTGTTTTCTCTTCGGCTATCAAAAGTTGCGGATGTTTTGGTTTGAACATGATGTATGAGTTATGAGTAACAAAAGCGAATTCTGGACATACTGACAAATTTTTAATGTTGCTTGGTTTGATTAAAAGGTTCACTAAGATATCACTCATCTCTTCAATGTCCTACTCTTGTCCTTCATCAAGTCTCTTTGTCAGTGAGTTTTCTGGCTTTCAGTATTATTTTAGGATGTAGGCACCTTCAAATCTGGTGAATGTCCCTTCCAGCCAGCGCATGATCATGATCATCATCATCAGTAGAACGTGTTTCAACTGCTTCACGAAGAATTTCTTGCTCTCCCTCGGTATGTGAGCATTCTATCACAGGAAGCCTTCTCCTATGGAGTAGTGAAGATCACTTCACATCATTCCAACTTTAGGAGTGTGGAGTGAACTATATAAACCGGAGCGTCTGAAGATCAGTCAGGAGACCTGAGTTTCTGTTATTGTGCAAGGATTGTAGCAGTAAGGGATTTATATCGTCACTTTTGCTTCTATTTGCTTATATGGACAAGCAATCAAGTCAATAATCAGACCAAATAGTGAGTTGTGCCCGGTCTCTCAGTCTCTCGTATGGCAAGTCTGTAACCCAGTTGTATCTGACAATACCTGTTGTGACTGTACTGGAATAACTTACTCCCGAGAGGCCAAGCTACAGGGGGCAGCCAAGAGACACCGTACCCTATGAGACTAGCGGGGGCCAAGTCTACGGGCCTGCGTTTGAGTTGTTTGAGCGGGTCGGGAAACTCTCCCAGCGACTGGTTCCTCGGAACGACGTTGCTGGTCGGTCTCCAGCCCCGGGGCCGCGTAGGTGTATTCATTCTTGCCAGCTACTCAACTCCGACTTTGTTTCTGAATTAGATTTCGCGGGGTCTTATCCTTCCTACCCCCTAATACCACCGTCTATTGTTTTTTTCTTATTGACCAAGTGTCCTCCTTCCTTGACTCCTACTTTCTACAGACTTACCGTACGGTGACCTCTGCCGTGAACGGGACCCGCCTCCTGTGTGGTTCATGGCAATCATCTTTGTTGGCCTTATCTCATCTTACTGAGGGAGAGCCAGTTCGCTGCGCGCTCCCACCATGCGTATTCCTGGCGGTGTCGCAGCGGCCCTGGGCCTCTGCGCTGCTGCCTCCGCTTCCCTCCATCCTCGTCGCTCCTACGAGACCCACGATTACTTCGCTCTGCACCTCGATGAAACCGCATCGCCGGCTGACGTCGCCCAACGCCTAGGTGCTCGCCATGAAGGCCCCGTCGGGGAACTGCCTCAACACCACACCTTTTCCATACCCAGAGAGAACAGTGACGATCTCGATGCGCTACTAGATCAATTGCGGGATAGGAGGAGGTTACGGCGGCGCTCCGGAGACGCCACCGCTAGTCTCCCCTCTTTGGCCGGGAGAGATGAAGGTCTGGATGTGATTCTTTGGTCCCAGAAACTGGCCCCTCAAAGGAAACTACACAAGCGGATTCCCCCGTCGGTCGATGTGGCTAGGTCGCCTGCGAACGCCAAGGAGGATCCCGAAGCAAGTCTGGCACTGAAACGGGTCGCATCGGAGCTAGGCATCGCGGACCCCATCTTTAATGAGCAATGGCATCTGTATAATACTGTGCAGCTGGGTCACGATCTTAATGTTACGGGAATTTGGTTGGAAGGCATCACAGGAAAGGGCGTGGTTACGGCGATTGTTGATGACGGATTGGACATGTACAGCAATGACCTCAAGCCCAACTACTTTGCAGCGGGATCCTACGACTATAACGACAAGTCGCCAGAGCCGAGGCCGCGTCTCAGCGATGATCGACACGGTACCAGATGCGCGGGCGAAATCGGTGCGGCGAAGAACGACGTGTGCGGGGTGGGCGTTGCGTATGACAGTCGCATTTCTGGAATTCGAATTCTCTCCGCACCGATAGACGACACGGATGAGGCGGCGGCCATCAACTACGCCTACCAAGATAACGACATCTACTCGTGTTCCTGGGGCCCCTATGATGATGGCGCCACAATGGAAGCACCGGGAACCCTAATCAAGCGAGCTATGGTGAACGGAATTCAAAATGGGCGGGGTGGAAAAGGCTCAGTCTTTGTGTTCGCGGCTGGAAACGGTGCTAGTCATGATGACAATTGTAACTTCGATGGTTACACCAACAGTATTTACAGCATCACCGTGGGCGCCATTGATCGGGAGGGTCAACACCCCGCCTATTCGGAATCCTGCTCGGCCCAGTTGGTGGTCGCATACAGCAGCGGCTCGAACGATGCAATCCATACCACCGATGTGGGTACCGACAAGTGCTCGACTACCCATGGTGGAACCTCGGCTGCCGGTCCATTAGCTGCGGGAACCGTGGCCTTGGCCCTCAGTGTGCGGCCTGAACTAACCTGGCGTGATGTTCAGTACTTGATGATTGAGGCAGCGGTGCCGGTTCACGAAGACGATGGGAGCTGGCAAGCCACCAAGAACGGGAAGATGTTCAGCCATGACTGGGGCTATGGCAAGGTGGATACATACACCTTGGTGCAACAGGCAAAGACCTGGGAACTGGTGAAGCCCCAAGCATGGTTTCACTCCCCGTGGCAGCGGGTGGAGCATGACATTCCGCAGGGCGACCAGGGGCTGGCCAGTTCGTACGAGGTGACCGAAGAGATGATGAAGGAAGCCAATCTGGAAAGATTGGAGCATGTCACGGTGACTATGAATGTCAACCACTCGCGCCGTGGAGATCTCAGTGTGGAGTTGCGGAGCCCCGAGGGTCGGGTCAGTCACCTCAGCACCACCAGACGGCCGGATAATCAGAAAGTGGGCTATGTCGACTGGACCTTCATGAGCGTTGCTCACTGGTAAGTCTCTCCCTTTGCCCCCAGTCATAGATCAGTCTTGCTGATAATTGCTTAGGGGCGAGTCCGGAGTCGGAACCTGGACGGTGATTGTCAAGGATACCAATGTCAACGACAACACGGGGCAGTTCGTCGATTGGCGACTGAACCTATGGGGTGAGGCGCTTGACGGGACCAACCAGCCCCTTCACCCCATGCCCACGGAACACGACGATGACCACACGTATGAGGATGCGGTGGTGGCGACAACGAGCGTCAGCGCTGCTCCCACGAAAACGGAGCCCCCTGGCAAACCCACCGACGGCGTGGATCGCCCGGTGAATGTTAAGCCTACGGCATCCGCACAACCAACGGGGACGATCGATGAGCCCCTCGAGGATGAACTCAAGGAGACGCCTGCTACGGAGACGAGCTCAACTGCGACCCCGTCCCCGACTACCGCGTCAGACAGCTTCCTGCCTTCGTTCTTCCCCACCTTTGGGGCGTCGAAGCGGACGCAAGCCTGGATCTACGCAGCGATCGGATCCATCATCGTGTTCTGCATGGGGCTTGGGGTTTACTTCCACGTGCAGCGGAGGAAGCGCATCCGCAACGACAGTCGGGATGACTACGACTTTGAGATGATCGAGGATGAGGATGAGCTGCAGGCGATGAACGGACGGTCAAACCGTACCCGTCGCCGCGGCGGGGAGCTTTATAATGCGTTTGCCGGCGAGAGCGATGAGGAACCGTTGTTTAGCGACGAAGATGAGGAACCGTACCGGGATCGGGGGATCAGCACCGAGCAGGAACGGGATGGCGCCGATGGGGAGCATCCTCGGCGGTGAACGGAGGGCGCGGGCGAGTATGCGGTTGCTGTGATTTACTCCTTGGATGACTGCTTCTAACTATCATATGTGTAAACTGCATAAAGAGTGCGTGTATATAGCCGGCATTTGCGAGGTGTAGTAGTAGTATTTATTAACGTGTGAGCGGAAAGAAAGAAGACGGGGTCATCCTGCAACCCTTATACTAAGTACTGATTAAGTACAGATAACTATCTTCTCCTCCCCTAGGACCTCCTAAGAGATATATATAGACCCGTACGACGCACAGTGATTATTTCAATCTATGACAACCTATGAAGACAAATCAAGTGCGAACGCAGGTACTAGAGCCCAGTCAAGCTATCTGTCCCCGACCCGAGGATAACAGTTGTTGACCTCTAGTGCAGCCTAGAAGCATTAGAAGGATGACTCTTCGGAGTCATGGGTAGATGGGTAGAATTGTGAGAGTGGTGGGACGGAAAAAAAAAAAAAAAAGAGAAGAGGAAATTGGTGCCTTGAAAGGTCAACTTCCCAAATGAACAACCCCCGGCGGGGCTCGAACCCGCAACCCTCAGATTAGAAGTCTGATATGCTACCATTGCACCACGAGGGCGTTGTTGGATGCCAGGTCCAAGCGACTTTGTAATAAGTATAGGTTAACTCAGAGAGCATGGGGCTTGGCGATGACGCCGGTCTGTTCTTCCCCTTCGCCGGGGTTGCCTTCCGTTGCAGCTCAGTCCCTCGTCCGTCGTTCGCTTCTCCGCATTGCTCCCTTACCGCCCGCCACCTCCTCCATCGACTCCCACCTTCCTGTCCAGCCCAAGCTTACGTATGAACCGACGCGTCTAGCTTCTGCTGCCCTACGTACATCATATCCGCTCGTCCCAAGTCTGGTCTGCCGGCTCTAGGCAGCAACCCCTCGATGGATCAGCACGACGACTTCGACAGCGTCTCATGGAGGCATGAGCCGGACAGTGATGTCTCGCGGCCCACCACCTCAGGAACCGATGCGGAGGAATCGCCCGCATACACTCACGATGTCAATGGCAAACGAAGGATGAGCTCCGCTCAAGAGAACCCCCAGGCCGGTTCACTGGCCGATGCCGTGGACCTGGCAGGTATCGGCGACGGCGTGCTGGAATGTCTGGTAGACTCGCCTTTGAAAGAGAACGATGGCACGAAAGACGCATACATTTCGTATCTTGTTACTACTACGGTGGGTCTTCCCCGTTCACGTTATGGTGATCTTGGAAGGAAGCTGGCCGAGGCTGGAATCAGCCGGGTCGCCCAGCGCAGCTTGCATGATGATAACGTCTTATTTCTGCTTTCCATGTATTGACCAAATGGCCACCACAGACCGATTTCAAGTCCTTCCAGAAGCCCGAATTTACCGTGCGACGCAGATTCACAGACTTTTATTTCTTATACAAGACGCTCTACCGGGAGTATCCCGCCTGCGCCGTCCCGCCGCTGCCGGATAAGCATAAGATGGAGTATGTACGAGGCGATCGGTTCGGTCCCGAATTCACCACCCGCCGGGCATGGTCACTACATCGCTTTCTGAAGCGTCTCACCCTACATCCGGTGCTTCGCCGGGCTCCGTTGCTTGCGATCTTCCTGGAGTCCCCCGACTGGAATGCACACATGCGATTGAGAACAACTCGCAATTCGAACAGCACCTCGGACGGCAGCGGAGTCCCCGGGATCTTCGATAACTTCACAGATACCTTTGTGAATGCGTTCACGAAGGTGCACAAGCCGGACCGTCGGTTCATCGAGGTGCGGGAGAAGGCGGACAAGTTGGATGAGGATCTCAACCACGTGGAGAAGATTGTGGCTCGGGTGGCCCGACGGGAATCGGACCTGGAGGCAGACTACAATGACCTCGCGACACAATTCCGCAAACTCGTGCCCCTGGAGCCAGGGGTGGAAGTCCCGTTACAGGTCTTCTCCGCCTCGGTGGAAGAGACGGGACGAGGGCTCAAGACACTCAAGGATCACACTGACCAGAACTACCTGGGGTCCCTCCGGGATATGGAGGCGTACATCATCTCCCTCAAGTCGCTCCTGAAGACGCGCGAGCAAAAACAGCTCGACTTCGAAGCGCTGGTCGACTATCGGAATAAGGCGGTGGCGGAGCGGGACTCGCTGGCGTCCAACCCATCATCCTACTATGCGTCCAACCCACTGACCTCCTCGCCGGCCTCGTTCATCCGGTCCAAGATGGAAGACATGCGCGGCGTGGACCATGAGCAGTCGCGGCGCGAGCGGGTGCGGAAGCTGGAGCTCCGGATCGACGAGCTCACGCGCGAGGTCGAGTCGGCCAAGACGACGTCGGAGATGTTTGACGAGGAGGTGGTGCGGGAGGTGGCGGATTTTGAGCGGATCAAGGCGGTTGAGTTCCGGGATACGCTCGGGGCCCTGTCGGAGAAGCACATTGAGTTCTACCAAGGGGTGCTGAACACGTGGGAGCGGTTCGTGGCCGAGATGGAGGGGGATTTGGAAGAGGACCATGGGGACTTGGGCCCGGCGGAGAGCCGGTAGGTTGGCATGGGGCGGGTCTATTGTTTACGATTGCTTGAGTGATGTCTCACTAGCCTCTTCTCACGAGAGTTCCCTTTTTCTTCCCGGCGGGAGACTGTTGATTCCATGAATGTTACGACGTCTGTATTCATTCTGCCCATACAAGAATCGGAGACTCCAGTAGCGAAACCGGGTCTGGTGTCCATGTCAACCCCCAACGAGGCGATCTCTGGCCCTCTGGCTCTCCGCCCACTCCAGATCTAAGGGACTGGGATCCCGCTGGCCCCGAGGATCCACCACGGCCGGATCTAGTGCGCGAGTTGTGTGTCGTCGAACGAGATTCTAGATGCGCTCACTCTCACATCAGACCAGACCCTCACGCGCAGCACAAGTAGAAGAGAGAACCACGGCACCCACCTCCCGATAGACCTGATTCGGTGTCTTGGTCTTGTTCTTCTCATCCCCACCCGCCATTAAATGGAGGTAGACCTCATGGTCGTAGTCGATTTGGTGGGACTGGGGATGGGCGAAGTTGGCGCTTAGATGCGGCTTCTGCTGTTGTTGCTGCTGGGCATCTTTGGAGCCGGCTGACTTGGATGACATTGTCTAGTCTTGAACCCTGTGATTTTGGGGAATGAAGTGAAGGATTAATCTCAATTGAGTGGGTTAGGGCTGAGCTCGGGTATAAAATGACCCCTTTTCATTTTCCCCCTCTCCTCAGGAGGAGGACAGAATTCGGAGGTGGGAATGTCTGTGTCTTGGAGATTGTGGCGGAGTGAGTGCATGGGGGGCAGTGGCAGTGAGGGTGAGATCGGATGCTGGAGGGTCCGGCATGTTGCATGAGCAATGGATGTTTACTTTTAGAAGGAAGTGGCATGTCGTGTGGTCATACATGGGCCATTTTTCGCCCCTGATTGTCTACGAGTATCTATGTATGGAGTATGTGCATTCATAGTAGGGAAATGCATCGTGGATGATGTGGTGGCGATCTTCACGGAATCCTTCCATACCAAAATTACCCCCGCCGTATTCGGATTACGGGGGTAACGGGCCCGGCCCCGATGTTTGCCCTGTTTGCGCGCTGCTGGCCTGATGGCCTGACGGCGGATTGAGCTTCACTTTCCGCCGCGATTTGATCTGCTCGTCGCCGGTTTTCTGCTTCGCTCGCCCCTCATCGCCATCATGCGTCCCCTGTCTCGGACGGCCCTCCGGCCCTACGTCTGCCCTTCCTGCCAATTAGGCCGCCTCCCCGCCCGCAGGAGATATGCCTCGCACTCGTCCTCCAACGGCCCTGCTCCCGAGATCTACGATGTCGTCTGCGTCGGAGGTGGTCCTGCCGGGCTGGGCCTGTTGGCTGCTCTCCGTATGTTTGTCTCATGACCGCTCAATTGGATCCAATGTCTCATGATTGACGCTCTGTAGGCGCTTCCCCCGTCACTTCCAAGCTGAAGGTCGCCTTGATTGAGACCCAGGACCTGCAGAAAGCCCGCTCGTGGTCCCTCGATGCGCAGCATTACTCCAACCGCGTCAGCAGCCTTACGCCCTCCTCCGTGTCGTTCCTGAAGAAGATCGGCGCCTGGGACCATCTCGATACCTCCCGCGCACAGCCCTACCAGGAGATGCAAGTGTGGGATGGCGAAACCGGCTCGCGCATCTCTTTCGACTGGTCCATGGAGACCTCCGCGTTCGAGGACCTCCGCACTGTCGCAACTATGACCGAGAACGCCAACCTCGTCCGCGCCCTGCTGTCCCGCATCGCCGCCTCGGGAGACGAGAACCTCTCCCTCTTCTCCAACAGCACCGTCTCCTCCATCACCAATGGCTCCGATACCCCCGACGGCCCTAACCTCTCGGCCTGGCCCGTCCTCTCCATCACGCCAACCGGCTCCGCACCCTCCCAACCACCCACTCGCATCGCCGCGCGCCTTCTCGTCGGCGCCGACGGCATCAACAGCCCTGTCCGTCGCTTCGCCGACATCGCCACTGATGGCTGGGACTACAATCGACACGGCATCGTCGCGAGCCTGTCCCTCGCCGATCTAGACCCCGCCCCGTTCCCCGTCGGCATGAGAACCGCCTACCAGCGGTTCCTGCCGTCGTTGGGCGGACCAATCGCTCTGCTTCCGCTCCCCAACAATAACGCGACCCTCGTCTGGTCCACCACCGTCGAAAACGCCGCCTACCTCAAATCCCTCTCACCCAAGGCCTTCCTCGCCATGGTCAACGCCGCCTTCCGCCTCTCCATGACCGACCTCCAATACATGCTGCGCATGGAACGCCCCGCCACAGCCGTCTCCGACCTCGAAGACCCGCACGAGAACGAACTCACCTGGCGTCTCGAACACACCCCTCAACCCTCCCACATCCCACCCATGGTCACCGGCGTCCAGGAAGGCAGTGTCGCATCCTTCCCGCTCCGCTTCCGCCACGCCGCAACCTACGTCTCCCCTCGCGTGGCCCTCGTCGGCGACGCCGCCCACGTCATCCACCCGCTCGCCGGCCAGGGTCTGAACCTCGGTCTCGGCGACGTGGCTTCCCTCGCCCAGACGATCGAATACGCCGTCCACCACGGCATGGACGTCGGAGACCTACTCACCCTGGAACGCTACGCGGGTGATCGCTACGCCACGAACGCCAAGATCGGCGGCGCCTGCGACGTCCTGCACAAGCTCTACAATGTGCCCGGAAACGGGCCTGTCGCATGGGCTCGCAGTCTGGGATTGGATCTCGTGGATCGCGTCCCCTTTGTCAAGGGATTGTTGATGAAGGGTGCGGAGGGTTGGTAGATGCATGCAGCAGCAGTATCACTACCCTCTTGTTCTCATTTCTATCCAATCACAATCCTCCCATCCCGACTTTGGAAAGATGTATGGATAAGTAGGGTTAATTCAATATGTATATTATATCACTTTTTTCTTGATTATGTATGAATGAACGGGTATTACACAACAACCTTTTAGATCAAGCAACCCAACCCAACCAAACCCAGTCCCTTACTATCCAATCCATGCCATGTAGTCCAATACCACCACTATCCAAACAACCGAGAGCTACATACATACATACATACATAATACACATTGGTTCTCAGAAACACTGACTGACTGACCTACCTCGATCACAATGTGCGCGTGGGTGAGTAGTAGTAGTAGTAGTATTCTAGATCCGTTTTAATTTTGTTTTGGGGCGAGGGGAGGGGATTTCAAGCACGTACCAGTAGTCAGAGGTTGCTTGCTGTCTTATACGATGTATAGAATATGGGCCATGTTCTAGTGAGTATATATGTAATGTATACTATGCTAGATGGAATATACAGTTACTGTATAGAATGGAGACGCTATCATTCAATTCGATCGACTGCAATCTATACATTTAATCAAGGAAAGAAAGAAAAACAAAAACAAAGAAAAAAAGAATTTGGGTATTGTATTTTGATATCATCCATTTTTGTTCTTTTGGGCGGCCACCCATTTGAATCCGTCGCAGGTATGCGTGCGTGCATGTATGCAAAAATTGTATGTGTACTTTTAGCAGAGATGAAAATGTAGAAAGCCCCCCACCCGGTCTAAGCCTCCCCCTCTATGCATCTACCTTCAGGTCATCCAGCTGCTGCGTAACGTCGGAGACACTCTCGCCCTGTTTCTTGGCCACCCGGGCCTTGACTTCGGCCGGGAGGGCAGCCAGATCAACTAGCACGCCCTCCTTCTCCGGGTGTCCGTCTTCCAGACCCATCTCCTTGACACGGACCTTGCCGGCGGCGAGCTCGTCCTCGCCGAGGATGATGGCGAAGGGCACGCCGGCTTGTTCGGCCGCCTTGAATTGTTGAGGAAGCTTGGGCTTGACCTTGTAGGAGAATTCGGCCTGGGATGATTGTTAGTATGGTTCATGATTAGGGAGTAAGTGGAAGGTGGTGTAGGGAAGGCGGGGTTGTACCTTTACGCCGGCGTTCCACAGAGTTTGGCACACGCTCATCCGCTCCTTGAGCATGCCGGTGAATCCCTTACCACCGAATGCCATGACGTAGGCATCGACCTCGCTGCTACGAAGAGCCTCCGCACTCTTCTCCCGCTCAATGCGGGCCTTGGTGATGGAGAAAATACGGTCCACACCGAAGGACACACCCACGCAGGGAATCTGCGCCTTGGGCAGGAACATGCCCACCAGGTTGTCGTAGCGACCTCCAGCAGCGACACTGCCCACACCCAGGGTCGGGTCGTTGGAACGGTCGTCATCTTCCAGGTTGCCACCCTTGGACTTGCTCTTCTTGCCGGACTTCTGCACGACCTGAGCCTCCGGTGCGGACGACGACACGGCGGGTGCGGAACCCTCAGTGACAACCTCGTAGATAACACCGGTGTAGTAATCAAGACCACGAGCCAGACTCATATCGAAGGACATCTTGTCCAGGACACCGAATGCCTCCAGGTAGTCCATGAGCAGACTCATATCCTCCAGACCGGCCTTGGCGGACTCATTGGCCATCAGGGCCTCGTCCTTGAGGAGGATATCAAGCAGATCGCGGCCACCCTTCTTCACGACGTACGTCTCAATCTTGTCAGCCACGGCACCATCCAGACCCTTCTCATCGACCATTTCCTTCCGCACATCGGCCCATGGCATCTTATCCAGCTTGTCGACGGCGCTGGAGATGGGACGGATCTTCTCCTCCGGCACGCCGCACACCTGGAACACACCATCCAAGATCTTCCGGTGGTTGATCTTGATGTTATACCGGCCATTCCAGCCCAGCTCCTCGAAGACCTCGGTGACGATACGCAGAATCTCGGCATCGGGGACCATGGGGTCGAAGGTACCGGCGATATCGAAATCGCACTGGTAGAACTCGCGCATGCGACCCTTGCTGACGGCGGGCTGGTCGCGACGGTAGACCTTGGCGATGTGGTAGCGCTTCATGCTGCGGACGTCGGGGTTCATGGCGAGCCAGCGGGCGAAGGGGACGGTAAGATCGTAGCGGAGGGAGCAGATCTCACCACCCTGGTCCTGCAGGTCGTAGATGAGCTTGGAGTCTTCACCATACTTGCCGGCAAGGATCTCGCGCAACTCGAAAACGGGGGTGTCGAGGGCGGTACCGCCGTGACGCTTGAAGACATCGGCGATGGTGGTGAAGATGCGGTCGCGGAGGAGGGCGTCGGACCCGGACCAGTCCTTGGTGCCCTTGGGGGTCTTGAGGTTGAAGGAGACCTTGGATTCCTTTTCTTTAGGCATGGTGGAGAGCGGGCGGGAGGAGTGGTGAGGGGGAATGGACGAGGGGGAAGAAGATGGAAAAGTCGAGGAGGAAAGTAGAGAGTGGGAGAGGTAGTGGCGGTGGTGGGGGATGGTGGGGGCTTCGACCGTCTGCCGGATGTTTGGCCGGACGCTGGTTTGGTGGTGCTGCTGGCTGGTGCTGCTGCTGCGTGCTGGACCCCGATGGCACTCCCCAAGCGCTCGTCGGGCGGAGCGGAGAAGGCCTGGTTGGAGTGGGAGCCTCATTCAAGGAATTGGCTCTGACTCACACGTGTAACTGGACCTGGCAGGACAGCAGCGCTGGGTTGGGAGCTGGTGTTTGGAGCAAGTCGAAGTCGGCGAATCGGTGGAAGAGCCTGTGACTCAAAAGTCATCGGCGTGGTTTACTCGAGCTGTGCTGATAGGCCATGTTATCCTCTAGATCAAAAAGAAAAGTTAGACACTTTGGCCGAGTGGTTTAAGGCGCAGGCCTGCTACTACCTTATCGTATTAGCTGTCTAGCCTGTGGGTTCGCCCGCCTGGGTTCGAGTCCCAGAGGTGTCGCATATATACATGTCTTTTTGCACTTTATTTACCTTAATATTTTGGTTAATATATATATATTGTTACATGCTATTTACAAAGACCGTTACTTTGACTAATTAGCCATTTTAAAGTGTTTAATCTGCGCTGGCTGATAACACCCGGACTTTCTTAAGGACTTAAAGTTAAAATAAGCCTAATCATCTACCAATCAGACACTTTGGCCGAGTGGTTTAAGGCGCAGGCCTGCTACGACCTTATCGTACTAGCTGATTAGCCTGTGGGTTCGCCCGCCTGGGTTCGAGTCCCAGAGGTGTCGCATATTCTTTTTCTCAAATCTTTTTATATCCCCAGCTCTACATACCACTGCCCCTTGCATGATTACTCTGATTGTGGCGTGCGCCTTCGATTTCTTTTTATAGACTTATCTGTACGGAAACATGGGGTGTCTTGATCATTTTAACTTATTCTAGATCACAGCGGATAGTTTCTCCGCATCAAGCTCAACACGGCAATAGGGCTCGAGGACAGGGCAAGTCACATGCCGGTAGATAGTGTAGATGCCATCACTATCAATCTCTGGAGTCGGGGTAGACCTCTATGACTTAAGTCATGTAAAATGAGTGCTACAATCTACAAGAGGCGCCTGGATGCAGTGCTGCCGCGGGCTTGAGGCTTTCGTCGAAGATCCAAAACGATTCAAGTGATATGAACCTGGCAATGTATTCTACAATTTTCAATATGATGGACGGTCAACAAAGGATTCGTACTAAGCTGTCGCTGGCCTGTGTCGTCAAGTCTTCATGCCAAGTATGTGTTAAAGTTACATCTACCAGCTGTTGTCCCTGGCGATAGAGGAATGTATAGCCGGCTCGGGACACGGCCGAATCGGCCATGCGAGGTCGTACGGATTACGAGGTAGACTGTCATTGTATTGAGTTACTGAGGTGAAATACATTTCCGCGCTCCGTGTGAGGATCGCAAGTTACCTACTCCGTACGCTAAGCACACCAGCAGGCTTTGGTCGCTCCAATGACCAGGGCAGAACTGGTTTGCTATGCGGAAGTCCAGCCAGCATCCCTGACGCCCGTTATAGTCCTACCTACCTATTCTGCGATCTGCCCCCGTGTATATTCGAGCACATGGATGTCAACCCACATGGGCAGAACGCTTATTGGCGGAAGGCGGTGGCTGAATGTGAGGGCGGCACATGGTGTGATGTTACACTGACACCTTACGCCTGTAATTTTCCCTTCCGCTTGACCAGGCACCTACACTCCGGCGTAGACCGATGGAAGATTCCATTGAGACGCCCGCAGTGTTAGTGCTGGCCCAAGTGGGCTGCCACCCAATGACGTTATCTCCTGCTCTCATCGGCTTCCGGGAAAGACCGCCGATTTGTTGAAAGCACGCTACTCAGGTCCATGGTGCTTATCAGTAGCAAGGAAGAGGGATGTTACATACCTGGCTGGAGTATCAGCCGCTACTGGGCTGACAGGCAGCGTCACACAGGCGAGATTCATGGTGGATGCAAGGGTTATTGTGAAACCTGCCATTCCATCCTGGTCAGCCAGCCTCAGCGGTTGCCTACTCCGCACAAAGTACGGAGTATGCTTTGTGCATCAGAGGGGTAAGTCGGTTCAAACTTTACCATGGATACAGTTGTTCCTTGACAGAATCGGAAACTGACACGAGCCCGGAAGCAAAATGCACGGGGTTTGCTAACTCTAAGGCACAATTACATCGACCCTTACAAACGCCTCCGGTCTGTATGACGCTAGTATCTCGAATGCTGGGGGGATGGGGTAAGCGGGGCAAAGCAAATTATACGATTGGTTACAAGCCGGCCTTCTGATCCTTGAGTTTCCACGTGGTTCTGGTGTAGCGTCATACGGTATGTATGACATCGTACCTATGTACCGCTTATGTACTCTAGGGTGGTATTGATCTTATCTAATAAAGCATGACCCCGACCGTACCCCAGAAAGAGGGGAGGACGCGAGAACGCCGATGACGATTGCATGGCTTACGACTGGTATAGCGATGTCAAACAGAAGATCTGGGCCAGAATCCGCGTTGGTCTCCTGACTTCGCCCAGTGCCCCTGGTACCCCACGCCTTCGAAAAAGAATACCCCGGACAGATACGCTGCCGCAACGACTTGCCAGCACGAAGCCGCTGCCAAGAACGCCGCCAGCCTGGACAGGCTACTAAAATCACGCATTTTATCCCGCTTCCATGACCGCTAGATAGCGGTGGTAGAATCACGTCTCCTCCCTGCCTTCATCATTCGTCGTTATTGTTCCGATCATCCTCCTTGCGCCCGCAGGCGATAACCTACCTAGTTGGGTTGCCATACCTGCGGTGAACGGAAGCATAGCCCCAAGCCTCGCGACGCAACAGATGCGTTTCAGGTCGTACGGTCCGCACAAGGCTCATGGGAAGGTTAAGTCATGCCAATGGACTGGCAACAAATCAGAGCCCTAGTTCTGGATCTCGATGCAACCGCACCTCACTCCTTGTGTCTATATTATCCGACGTCCACTTGTTCTGTGCAGGCTTTTGGTCTCTTCTTACACATCGATTCTGCACGCATCCCGATCCTCCGTACTGCACTTTTGGGGGAGGCGCTGGTTACACAGAATCAACTATGAATAGACATGTGTAGCCTGCTGACTTGACCTAAGAGCAGGTGAGATGCTCCATGACATTTGACCGGGCCTCCGGGGTTAAGAGATTAACTGGCGGAGTTTACACCGGAAGAGGAGAGCCACCGGCTATATTCCAGACCAGTGGATCAAGCCCGACCCCCTCTTCTGGTTTTGTTGCATTGCACGGCGTCAAGAAATGCGCTGTGGAGGAACTCTAATATATGGAACAAGTGACGTAGCGCTAAAGCCGGAGACGGCTATAGGGGGGAAACAACAAAGCCCTCCACTCGACTTGCTAGGATCATAAAGAAAAGCGTGAGGGGGAACACAGAACGGGGCTTGTCGCGGATATTCCCCTTGGACACACCACGTTCCGATGCGTGGGAGGAGTTAAAATCTCAAACCCACTGTAAAATACTCCGTACGGGCGGATGCGCCCGTAAAGAACCGTGTCAGGTCAGATGAAGACTGGCTGATTTGGGAGGGCTCACTCCTCGAAGGGAGCAGTGTCTCAACGGTAGATCGAGCTTAGTGTCTGCTTGTGTTCAATCGACTCTTTTGACTGGGCCTCGTTGAAAGTCTGTGATCTAACATCTCTTCCCCATTTTAAGTCGCTCAAATCGAGTTGCTCCAAAACCGCTCGGGCCCGCGCACCCGCCCGTCATGATTACGGGCCCCATCGGATACGGTGGTAATAATACCCAGGCAGATGTGTATCTATACTTCCTTTCCTGTCCGGGCTAGAGGTTCCTGGCTGGACTTGGGGCAGTAATCCGCCTACCACGACGTAGTTCCCCTTCCTCCACTGCTGCTCCTCCTCCCTCTTCCACACACTCGCTCTCTTCTCTTGCTCGTCCTTTTCCTCTCCTTCTCTGGCCTTCCCTCCTGCCTGCGCCATATTCTTACCATCCATTCCTCCCCCAGCGGGTTCCAATTCGGCTGCGCCTCTTACCCTCCGACCGCAGCGTTCTCCACCTTCGATTCCGCCGCCCGTTCACGTTCCGCCCCATTCCTCGCTCACTCATCCACATCTCCAAGCCTTCCACGACCTCGTCGGATCCGCGGACCTTTGAAACCTTATGCTGGCCACCTAACCGTTCTCCTCTTTGTCCTTTGTCGCTGTCAACAATTGTTTCGACCCCGTATCATACAACCTACCGTTGCTGTCTCGAATCCCTCTATCTCATCTCGACTTCGCTTCCTGGTTCCTGCCGTCGCATACTGGCTGGCTGGCCTGCGCGTGACTTGAACGCCTCATATTCACTCCCTTCGGTTCTGGCGTCGGCTTCTTTATCCCGCCAAAGCTACCAGATGAGGCTGAACACTAAGGATCTCGAGACTTTGCGTTAATCATGGGGTCTTTTCTGAGGAGTTTCCGGAGAGATGTGGTGAGTTTTGAAATTGTCGGCTTGGTCGTGCCTTTTTTTCCCTTCCGCGGCGTTCTCTGGAATCCTCTGTCTTTCTGTCCTGCCTTCGGTGTATCCTATGACCCTGTCCATCCCGACAACGCACACAGACAAACAGAGGCGCGCCCCAGAACACGAATGAATAACCCCCCGCACCCTGATCATGAGCCGTCACAACCAACAGAATGCTAATCGCCTTCTAAATAGGGATCCGCCACTCCTTCGGTCGGGGCGACTCCCGCGAAGAAAGAACCCCAGGCGCTTCCGATGACCCCGCTGGAGAAAATGCTGCAAGATATGGGTTCGGTCCGCGAGGATGGTAGTGACAAGTTTTTTGGCATGGAAAATGTTAGTTTGTCCACTCTGCGGCTTGTCCCCCGGCTTTTCTGTGACTAACATCTGCTTGCGCTTTCTAGTATGGTAATACTTGGTGAGTTGCTGATCGATAACCCTCCCGAGTCCTGACGGGGGGCAAGGGCGTCCTCGGACACGGATCACTAATGGCCATTCGGACAGTTACTGCAACTCGATCCTGCAGTGTCTTTACTATTCAGTTCCTTTCAGAGAAGCAGTCATCAATTATCCCACACGGACGCCGATAGAAAGCCTAGAAGCTGCGTTAGCGAAAAACCTCCGTTATCAGAATGCCGCCGCGAACCTGGAAGCTGAGGCACAAGCGGAGAAGCAGAAAGCCGCCAATGCTCAGCGTCCGGGGGCACCTCCTAGTCAACCGCAGAAACCCGAGGACAAAGAGTCGCCGGAATACAAGAAGAAAATGGCGCTGCAGACACTACCACTACTAGAAACGAAAAATAATGCGGCCAGTTATGGAATGTCGGAATCGCTATTCACTTCACTCAAGGACATCTTCGAGTCTATCGTGGGGAGCCAGTCCAGGATAGGTATCATCCGACCGCAGCATTTTTTGGACGTCCTTCGCCGTGAGCATGAAATGTTTCGGTCGGCTATGCATCAGGATGCTCACGAATTTTTGAACCTCCTGCTCAACGAAGTAGTTGCAAATGTAGAGGCAGAAGCAATGAAGCAGCCGGTACCGAGCTTACCACCGCCGGAAACCGCGGAGTCATCCGAACAATCGATCAGTTCAGGGTCCAAAACCCCCAACACCACGCGATGGGTACACGAGCTCTTTGAGGGTACCTTAACGTCGGAGACCCAGTGCCTTACCTGCGAGAAAGTTTCCCAGCGTGACGAAATCTTTTTGGACTTGTCGGTGGATTTGGAGCAGCACTCGTCGGTGACATCGTGTCTCAGGAAGTTTTCGGCCGAGGAGATGCTCTGTGAAAGAAACAAGTTTCACTGCGATAACTGTGGGGGGCTTCAGGAGGCGGAGAAGAGGATGAAGATCAAGCGCCTTCCTCGAATCTTGGCCCTGCATCTCAAGCGTTTCAAGTATACCGAGGACCTCCAACGGCTTCAAAAGCTTTTCCATCGGGTCGTCTATCCTTACCACCTTCGTCTCTTCAACACGACGGATGACGCAGAGGATCCGGATCGCCTATACGAGTTGTATGCAGTGGTGGTACACATCGGGGGCGGCCCTTACCACGGACACTATGTCGCCATTATCAAGACGCAGGATCGCGGATGGCTGCTCTTCGACGATGAGATGGTGGAGCCTGTCGATAAGAACTACGTACGCAACTTCTTTGGCGACAAGCCAGGTCTGGCATGTGCCTACGTCCTGTTCTACCAGGAGACGACCTTGGAAGCTGTGTTGAAGGAACAGGAGCTGGAGAACATGAACTCAAACGTGGCCGATTCGAACGAGGCTGCGGTGAAACAAAACGGCTCCGTTCATCCCCCGGGATTGGCTCATGTCCATAGTGCCTCGCAGATCCCTACGCATGATGAACCCCAACGACACACGGGCCTCCGACGAGCCCCCACTGCGCCTCAACTACCCACACATACAGAGCATATAGGTCCAGAGAGTGATTCTTCGACTCCCCCAGTGGCCATCCCACCTCCGGTCCCGCCGATACCTGAAACTCAGAGCCGGCCGTTGAGCCCGAAAAAGAGTGACATCCAGTCCAAAAAGGAGCGGGCCAAAGAAGAAAAGGAGCGCAAGGCGGCCGAAAAGGAGTTAGAGAAGCAGCGCCGGAAGGAACAAGAAACACGAGCCAAGGAAAATCAGCGACGCGAGGAAGCTGAATTGAAGGCTGCCCTCGAGGCCAGCAAGGCGTCCAAGGCAGATGAAGATCGACGCCACCCCCCAGATAACGGAAAGGATAGCGACTCGAAAAGGTCTGGCAACGGTCTCAGTCGTTTGAAACGGGGCAGCAAGAGCTTCAGCCAGCGCTTGGGCAAAGACAAAGAAAGCCGTGCTTCATCGTCCGGTCTATCTTCCGTTCCTAGTGCCGAGCCCCTAACTCCAAACCACGTGCCATCTGAACACGCGCAGCCACTTTCACCTCGTAAAGCTTCTCCGAAGGAATCGCACATCGTCCACAAGTCTCTCGCGCACGATGACGAGCAAGATGCTCTCAAGAGTCCGAAGGGCGATCGAGCCGGGCATGGCAAATGGCGGAGTTTCAGCATCCGGAAGAAATCGTTCAGCATCCTTTCCTAAGATGTGCTTTTCACCGATTGCTCCAACCGCATGCACACACATACCATACATGTTCTTCTCGTACATATTTTCTGATGTATCATCACCTTTCTCTTCACCACCGGATCCATCCTATGTATGGCGATATTGCTTGATGCGCGTGTCTGTCGGCATTGGATGCTCTGTTTGATGTTGGTCCGGTTCCTGTCTTATTGCCCCCACCTTTGGCCCTGGCCTACATTGTGATGTCTTCCAATCCAATTCCGCTTCTGCATGTCGTTTAGCCAATCATTGCTTCTTTTCTGTTTGCTATCTCCTTGGACTGTTCAATCATGTGATACCCGTGCCTGGGTCACACCGCTGGGCAAGTGAGGCGTTGGGCGAGTTTACTTTCTGAATCTGCCGTTATCTGTGGTTGTCGAATCTACCTTCAAATGTGTCATGGGGAATGGGGTTACAGGTCTGTTTCGGGATTATGAAGGGGATTTCTAGCTGATGCAAAAGCACCCGGGCGGGCGCAGTTGTGGGAGGAACTTGATTGGATCCCGGTACGAACACCTCCTGTCTTGTTGCGTTGAGCATCTCATCCTTCGATTTCGATGGGATAGACCATATGTATCAACATTACACGGTATATAGACTCTGATGCGAATACATCCGCATAAGAAGAGCGTTCCTACCTAGCCGGGGAAGTGTAGAACCAGGACATGTCCACTTCAGCTCACTGCACCAGACGGACGACCCGCAAAGGTTTATTCATATCAATGCAAAACTCATATCATTTCAACCCAGTCATTTTCGTACAAAGCGGAATATATCCCCTCAATCCCCGGAAGCAAGAAGAGCAATGCTGTATGTATCCGAAACCCCCAACCCATAGAAAAGATCTTACACCGTCCGTCAACCCAGGATAAGCTCGTAAACGATGACTATCGTGTTGATTACAATGAGGGGTACTAGAACCACCAGAGTTGTTAGCGCCTGTTTATCTCTGATCCAGCTCGATAGTCACAGAGGACAAAAACAAAAGGATGTAAAGTATATGTAGTGAGAGGTAGAACATACTTCGCATAACGGTCCGCACACTCGCGATCAGATTAATGGTTTTGGCTTTGACGCTGGTGGTATCGTAGGATGCGCCGAAGGCCGGGTCACCTTGTGTGCGACCCCATCCGACTATAATTGATTGAGTTAATTGAGCTTTGGTTCCTTTTTACCAGGAAGGAAATGGTAGGAGCGCACGTACTTCTGGCTAGGAATCGGTCTTCGGAGAGGACAGCGAGCGAGTTGATGAGGAGGATGATGACTGCATGGGTTAGTGAGTGAGTTGCGGTGCGGGTCGATGGAGTGGTTATCGGCCGGAGAGGAGAAGGAGTGGCGCACCATAGACGAGCTTCCCAAGGCCGAAGAAGAACATCTTGGGTGGTGGGTGAAGAGCGGACCAGAGCGTGGATTGTTCGTGTTGTTGCAGCCTGGACGGAGATGGTGATGGCGGAGAGGCGGAGGAGAGGCGGAGAGCCGCGGCGGCAGTATCGCTGCATACGTAATTTTACCGGGGCGGGTTGTTGTCCTTTTCGAGCAGCTGTCTGTCCTTCTGGACTGACCTGAACTGAATTTCTACGAAGCACAGAAAGTGTTCATGGTGCCATCATGGGGAGAGATGTCGGTAGGTTTGCATCAGATCTGTGTTGTTGGATAGAATCGCTGACCCCCGCCAGTCTTCCTGCTGCTTCTCGGCGCAATCCCGGCCCTCGTCCTCCTCCATCTCGCCGCCGCTCCTTATACTAAGGTAGAGGAGTCGTTCCACATTCAGGCTATCCATGATATTTTGACCTCCGGAATACCTACTCGCAATGTCTCCGAGACGCTCCGCGCGGAATATGACCATTTCGCGTTTCCGGGTGCCGTGCCCAGGACGTTTGTCGGTGCCGTGATGCTGTCCGGGCTGTCGCAACCGTTCATCTGGTTGAAGGCCAGTATCGATAGACAGTTCCTCGGTAGGTGCTCTAGTCTGATCTTGTCTTCGCGTTGGCTCTGACAAATTGGACCCAAAATCAGCACGAGCTATTCTGGGCCTTTTCAATGCCGTCTCGTTGCTGTCATTTGCTTCCGGTTTGCGACGCACGGCGGGCAAGACCACCGCAATCTGGTACTTGCTCTTCCAAGCCAGTCAGTTCCACGTTCTCTACTACGCATCGCGAACACTATCCAACATGTTCGCTTTTGGCCTCACAACCCTGGCCCTGCGATATATCCTCCCGGAACCAGTCAGCCCGAAAACCTACAAGAAACGGTCCCGACTCTCGCTATACCTCTTGACCATCGCCGGCATCATCTTCCGCTCCGAACTGGCCATCTTCCTCGCAACCAACACCATCTTTCTCTTCGCAACCCGTCGGATCAGCATCCAGCGCGAGATCATCCCCGCCGGCATCCTCGGCCTCCTCGTCGGTCTCACCTCCACCGTCCTCGTGGACTCCTTCTTCTGGCAACAGTTCCCCCTATGGCCCGAACTCGCGGCCTTCAAATTCAACGTCATCTCCGGCCAAGCCTCCGCATGGGGCACACATCCCTGGCACTTCTACTTCACCAACGCCGTCCCCCGTCTCCTCCTCAACCCGCTCACCTACACCGTGGGAATCCCCCTCGCGCTCTTCCAACCCTCCACCCGCTCCCTCGCAACCTACACCCTCCTCCCCTCCCTCCTCTTCCTCGCCATCTACAGCGCCCAACCCCACAAAGAATGGCGCTTCATCGTCTACACCATCCCCCCACTCACCGCCGCCTCCGCCCTCGGCGCATCCTACATCTGGACCCATCGCACCAAATCCCTTCTCTACCGTCTCCTCTCCCTCCTCCTACTCGCCTCCACCCTCGCCTCCTTCCTCCTCTCCACCTTCATCCTCCTCCCCGCCTCCTCGGCAAACTACCCCGGCGCGCACGCCCTCAACGCCCTCCACACCTACGCCTACGCCAACACCGAGACCAACCCCCCCTCTTCCATCTCCGTCTACCTCGACAACCTCGCCTGCCAAACCGGCGTCACCCGCTTCCTTCAACACCCTTCCTCATCCCCCTCCAATCCCAACAACACCAACAGCAACCCAATCTGGCACTACGACAAAACCGAAACCGAAACCACCAAATCCCACCCCTCCTTCTGGTTCCAATTCGACTACGTACTCATCGAACCGGGCGAAGAGACCGAGAAGCTCTTCGCCGCGTCTGCCTCCGGTGCTAAGCAATGGGAGGTGGTGGACACGGTGGATGGGTTCGCGGGGTTGCGGATCATAAGGCCTGGGGATGAGGCTGTGGGGAAGGTGGAGGAGAGGGTTGTTGGGATGGTGTTTGGGAATGAGGGGGCCAGGGGGTGGGAATTGGGGAGGGAGCTGGCGAGGAGGGTGGTTACGAGGGGGTGGTGGGTGGAGGTGAGGATGGAGCCGAAGATTAGGGTTTTGAGGAGGGTGAAATAAATGAAGGTAGTAGGTAGGTGGATGTGTGGATGGATGTATATACCCTGGTTGATTGTTGAGGTTGGAGTAGATTATCTGAAGAAGATAAATGATTGGGAGAGAAAAAGATATTGTTAGTGAGCTTGTACAGTATCGTGTAATGCAGTATTCCAGCCTGTTCATATGGTAGCAGAACTATGTACAATGATTTGCAATGGTAATGGTATTGGTATTATCCGCTTCAACGATTGGGAATCGGTATCGATTATTTCAACATAGAATGAATTTTCATACACCGGCACCTGCATCAGGCGCCAGTTCCTTCCAACCGGTCCAGTCGGTCCTCCAAGTCTCGGACCCAGGGTTCGACGAGTTCGATGTTGTTCTTCATCGCTGTTTCTCCCTGGTTCATCTTCTCCTCGACCACCCGTAGCCCCTCGCGCCACTGCTCAATCTCCCGAGCCATGTCTGCTTGTCGCTTCTCCAACGTATCCAGCGACTCGGAGGCTTGTGCGGCGCCGGCATGGATGGCACGGAGCGAACGGAGACGTTCCAGCACGCTGGGAAGAATCGGGTGGAGAGACTGGATGGTGGGGAGAGTGGCGTAGAGGGCTTGGATCTTGGTGGCTTGTTCATCGCGCTGCGTGGCAGCCGGGTCGACCTCTGTGGCGGATGACGACGACACGGACATGTCAGAGGGCTCGATGGCGGCGGCTGCGATGCGCGCATTCTGTGCAGCCTTGGCAGCATCCACAGCGCGCTTGCGCGCAGATGCAAGGGCTTCCGTGTCTGCCGTGAGCTTTCGGACTCGGGAGGATAGCGTCTCAAGCTGGGGAGTTGTGACGGTGGTGGAAGGGGGTGCGGAGCCCATCGTTGGCACGGCCGAGACGGGGTTCGGGCCGACGAGGATGTTCATGAGGGTGGAAAGGCGGGATGTGAGATGGTCAAGGGCTGGAAGTACGGGCTGAAGTGCAGGCTCTGAGATTCCGTCACTGACGAAGGGGTTCGATGAGTTAGAGATCCCCATGGCGGCTTCAATGAGCGCCAGGCGGCCGTCAAATGCTGCCGCGTGGGCCAGAACACCGGCAGAGGAAGACGCAGGAGTGTCGGCTTGTGTGGATTCCTGGTTGCTGGGGACGGTTGTTGAGGTCTCGGGCGTAGATTTGGATGCTATTCTCTGTGATAGCATCGCAGCCGCTGAGTGTGACCCCGTATCACTTCGGGAAGTATAAAGGTTGTCCAATGCTCGGCTCAGTTCAAGGACGCCGTCGCCCATTGTCTCCTTTCCATCGATAGGTGCTTCGGTGGTTTCCGTTTCCGACTCTCGAGCAGCCATCTCATCTTTCAGTTCTTCCACTTCCCGACGAAGGCGGGCGAGCTTCCTCTCCAAGCTCTCTTCTTCGCTATCGCTAAAGTCTTCTGCCTCCTCTAGACCATTTTCTTGTCGGCGCCGTCGGCGGTTTTTGTTTTTGTATGCCTTCCGCTTTGTCGCGAGACTGTCTGAGAAATTGACATCACGGGCGTCGACTGTGGCTCCTAAGAAGTGAGCGCGTGCCTCATCGGCATTGATCCCCTGCCGATCGATATCGGAACTGGAGCCGGCGTCATCGTCTGCGTTGGATGCGGTGCGGATAGTAGTCGTCTGTAGACATAGTCAGGAACGAGCTATCAGAAGCAATGGAACCCGGCTGGGGCTCCAGGCGGGGTAGCTGACCGGGACGGTGGACGCCTCGTCGGTCAGATCGGGGGTCTCGTAGATATCGGGCGCGAGATCCTAGCCCAAACAACAATGTTAGTCGGTTGGTCGAGATAAACCAGGGAGGAGAGCGTATAGACATACCAGGTCGGGAAGACCAGCATACTTCCTATTGAAGGACATGGCAGACCCTCACAATGGCAATGCAATGGCCGATTAACAACAGGGACTGAATGTTTGTTGCCGACATGCTGGAAGGTCCGCCCGGAGTTGTGTTGGCCTCCGCGGGGGCACGTGAAAGGGGCCTCGCCCGCTGGCGGCCTGAGGCAGGCAGCGGAGGCCTAAAGTTACTGGCAAAGTTACTGGCACGTTGCAACAGGAACCTCAATCCAATCCCAGCTTCCTCTTGGGAAACCAGGATTGCTCGGACTTTCCCCTGAATCTAACCACCTATTACAGTTCAGTGAAGAACTAAGGCTAGGCTGGAAGAATGAACTGAAAGTGTCAGTCGGTCAGGAAATACTCCGCACACCGACTCAATCGAATCTCAGGAAATAAATACTCCGGTCTTGAGCATGTTCAACTATGATCCATCACCTTGAGAATCATGGCGCCTTAGGAAAAGCCAGACTGCAGGGGCACGTGTCAGATGCCTCGGCGGAAGCGGCGATCTGGCGATGAGCGCATGCTGGAGAGACTAACGGGGAAGGAGCACATCACATGAACTGCGATGTATATATAGTTGGTCGCTGCTGCTGCTCTCCCACAGCCCGCCTTTGTACCACCACCGAGATTTTCACCTTCTCCCACTACTTGCCCATCATTACCTATTACCCCCCCTAGTGTCTGGTGAAGCCATCTCTTATCGATCCTACCCCTCATCCAATCTGCACCATGGCTGCCCCCGCAGACATCACCCTAAAGAACTTGAACGGCGAGTGGGTAATGGTACTTAGATATCCTCCTTGAACCCTCTCTACTCCTTGACTGACATTGCGTGTTCAGGACAAAACCCTGTCCAATCCCACAGAACCGATTCTCGAGCTGGTAAGTTTCGCACGCACCTCCCGTGCTCTCGGCGAACCAAGATTGCTTGTGGGCCAATACAACAACCCCCACTAATATACAGCCATGAGCGGATAGCAAGGAATGGGTTGGCTCATGCGTAAAGCACTCAGCGTCGCAACAGTCACCCTCTCCATCCATGAGTACCCCGACCCCGCAGACCCCACCGTTCTGCACATCGACATCGACCAGACTGTCACCGGTGGTATCAAAGGTACAACCGAGAAGCGTATCAGCGACTCCGAGCCGCGAGAGCACCAAGATCACATCTTTGGCCACGTCCGAGGCCATTCCAAGTTTAGCCGTGGATCCAAGGGTGAGGACGGAAAGGTCCGCCCTTATCTGGACTTCAACACCAAAAGCGACGAGCCCCTGGTCTTCAAGTTCCTGAGGGGACAGGTGCTAGCTGACGGGAGCGAGAGCGAAGGGTTTCTTGTGGAAGACATTGGCGAAGAGTATGGCGAGGGCGAGGGCCTCTGGTACCAAAGCTTTGTGGAGAACCTGGATAGCGGGTGGACTGCGGAACAGGTATGTATCTCACCATTTCCTGTTGACGAGGGCTAACATGGAGGACACGTAGATCTGGGGATTTGAAGAGATTGGTGGCAAGCGCTACTACACTCGCCGTGTTGCCGTGGTCAAGGGCAAGACCTACAAGTTGGCCCGATTTGTCTACACCTTCATCAAGCCTCGGGCTGAGTAAGGGCTTTCACATGGGATTCTCGTGATTAGAAGCCGTTCTGTCTAATAGAATGAGGTGCTACCTCGGCACGGAGACCAGGACCCGCTCAAGATCAGGTGCAGTCAGACGTGCTGTCCTACTAGAACTGATTTGGGAGGACTAAACATTATTACTCCGTACATTCGTTCAACCTGTCCCTCGTAAAGCGCTTAAAGACCAACATGTACGGTATGTTCCCAACTAGCGCTCTGCATCAGCATCGGAGTTCCATTGAAATACCGGGTGCGCTTGCAAATTACAGTGAGTCAGAGCGGTATAATCATATCACTCGGCAGTCATTAAAACATTTTTCTCATCCGGAATGGTCGGGCACTTCTGAATATGAGAAGTCAGACGTATGGCAGGTTTAGTTACTCCGATCGCCTGGGAGAATTGATAGGCCTATGCATCGGCTGGACTAGTCAAAAAACAATCCGCATTGGAATGCCGTTTCTCATCAACTATATCCTTGTATCCTTGCGTATATCTGATATCAATTATACGGGCAGGCAGCCGTTCAGATCGAGTATCTTCAATAGTGATGGTTGGCCCCGTGCGCATAGCCCGTCTGCAGCCCTAATGCATGACATTCAGCACATCACTCAGGAAGCGCATCGACATCCGGTCGCCGACTATCATCAATATATTGGCCTTGTGCATGCGCTCTGAGGTGTCGGAGTGATTTCTCATGCGTCTTTTGACATGTCCACCCATAAATGAAGCCTAGCGTGATGACCCCTACCTGAAGGGATTGAGTTGCCACGGATGAAAACACCAAGTTGTAGTATGAAAAAGGAAACGATATAAGTGAGAAAATTTGTTTGGTTCATTACTATGCAAGATGTTTATTGCTATGTCGACTCTATGTATATACTGTGATGGTGATTGTGATGGAATTGGAAAATGGGCCAGATAATCGACGGGCGATGTAATTCCGGCTCGGGCACTCTTTTCGGTTTCACTTTTCGCGGCTACTACAATACCCAATACCCCCGCCAACGGCATATTCATCATGCTGGCTCCGTTGTTTCTCGGGGCATTGAAGTATATCGGCTCGGAGGTCTGACCGATGCCCGGTCTTAGGTATAATGTTCAAATCCGATATGACATCATTTTTTTCTGCATAAATCCGGTGCTGGGCCATTGTCGGTGTGCAGGAAGGATCAGTTTACGATCTACATATCCCACGATGCAGAGGATCGGCATAAACGCGCAGGAGCTCACAGAAGGGCACATCATAGAAAGACAGATCAAATGTTATTCCCATATCGAGTCGATTATGGAGGTGTCACAACTTCCTCTGCCGCATGGTGAAGGAGGAACAGCATTGGCTGAATACATTGCATACTTGACTTTTCTGTGCCAATAGATGGGAAATCTATACGGAATGAACTTCAATACCTGCAAATAACGATCTTGGCTGCTTTGCCTCACTGCTCTTTGATTGGTATATCTGTGTATCTTGACCTGTCCGCTTGACCCCTCATGATATTGCTTTTTCATATGGACTTGACCGGCTTCAGATCTGCCTGCCTAAGGGGCGGTGTGGAGGGTTCATCTCCTTCCTTTTCTTGGGGGATTTCTTTTCCCTCATCTCCGCATGTTGATCATGTCGCAGAACTACAATGAGTCGTGGCCAATATTGAATATCACTTCTTCTAAAGAAAATCGTCAACTGGCAGCCAGTCACTTAGCGCAAGATCAATTCAATAAAGGTGAAATAATCTATTCATCACCCCATCATCAACCACTTCACGCAGCGATAGCAACTCTTAATCCCATCGTAATCTTCAGACATTGTCCTCGACACCACCCCCTCCAAATCGAAGATACCGACATACAAAGACTGCCCATTGTCCAACTAAGATCACTAGCCCATTCGACAAATCCCTAACCTGCCTCAAGTGGTATTCTCAACCAAGCTGCTCCCATCTCTTTGGCATCTCAACAAACTAGTTCGTGGTATACCACGGTATTTGAAACGATACCCTGACATTCGGGAAAGTCAAACATGATGACACTTGTATATGGGATAGCAACTCTCCTCACTGTCCCCACTGCCACACTCGGTCGTCTCTTCCCTCGGGATCGTATCTACATCCGACCAGTCTGATGAGAATAGTACTAATCCGGCAAGAACAGCCCCATATCTATACCACATTAACACTTCGGACTTCAAAGTCCAAGAATGACAATCGTGGTTTACAATGACATGCTTCCACTGTGTCATACCAACTAGGTTTCGTGAATCCAATATCAAAATAACCCACCCGGTCCGGCTTGCGCTAGATACATGACTGTATTTCAACCCGGGAATAGATGTACTATGGCATCCGATGCCTTTTTCAACTTTGGCGAGATCGCGAATATATCTATCTGGAGTCTGTTCTCCCGTCTTTATTATGTCAATAAAAGAAATTCAAAGTTCACACCCAAACACGTTTCTTCCGTGTCAACTCCCGCCGATACTGGATGTAATCGACGTCCGTCACGCGCATACCAGTCAGTAGGTCTGAAGTTCAAGGTCCCCTTGGTGCATCAGACACACTAGCTCCTCTTAAGGCGCAGCGAGTATGGGAGGATATACAGTTGTCGTTGCAAGGATGTATTTATGAGGGAGGCAGATCTAACATCATCTCGTCTCATCTCGTCGGGATCATTCCATGTGGGAAAGTGGATTGTGAGTTGCGAACATACACATGAGACGAGACGAGACTGGTGTGTATGGACGATACTAGGATCGGGTCAACAGATCAACCAGATGTCGGCAATGTTTCGGTCGCAGGATATAGATCTTATGATTGGGGGGACTTTCAGATAAGCACATTGATGGCGTATAAGGAGTGATTGCAGCTGCAGGCAGATGACGATGGAGTCGACCGGGCCAGCCACTCGGCTGATTACTCGAGCTTGCTTGAAGTGGTGGTCACAGGGACTGGACGCTGAATGTACTATGTTGGAAGAAGAAGAATAAGGGAACTAAAAGTAGCGACATATGGCTGATGCGCAGGGGGTTACCACTGCAGAGTGGTTCTGGAGGGTCTGTTGTTCTATTTCTGTATTTAACAGGATGACTTTGCTGAAATAAAGTCCGCATGGATTAGTCTAGAGGTCCAGGCTGGTTTTAGATGTCTACAAGAAGCATAGGGCTAGGATGGAAGGGGAACCGTGATGAATGGCATTTCGCAGTTCAGATGCTTGCAGCAGAATCAATGCATATCATACGTACAATTGCTGAGGCCCAACACCACCTTTTGCATTTGAGTAAAGCGGCCTCTGAATATTGAATAAAGGCAATAACAATCTGAGGTATGCACGTGAATAAATCATTCCAAAATCCCAACTCAACTAAATGGTATAAAACTCATATTTGGTAATCATTTTCTTCGTCTGATAACTCTTACGAGTGAGTAGGCATCACCACGTGGGCCTTGGTGCTGACGGCATCCTCACTCCGCCACAGACTGGTCACCGTCTTCTGCTGGGTGTAGAACTGCAATCCAGGCTTGCCGTAAAAGGTGTTGGCACCACCTCCAGCAATACTCTTCTTGTTGCCGGTGAAGGAGAACATGGGCAACGGGACAGGGATGGGCACATTGACGCCGACCTGGCCGGCTTCAATGTCCTTCTGGAACCGGGATGCAGTAGAGCCGGAGCGAGTGAAGATGGCAGCACCGTTACCATATTCGTTCTTGTTGATGAGCTCAATCGCATCATCCAAAGTGGGCACCGAGAGGCAGACCAGGACGGGGCCAAAGATCTCCTCCTTGTAGCACTTCATCTCGGGGGTAACGTTGGTGATGATGGTAGGGCCGACCTAGGAGCCCGTGATTAGGATACTACCATATGAAACATATGGGAGAAACTTACAAAGTTGCCGTTAGGGTACTTCTCCGGCTTGTAACCCCTACCATCTAGGAGAATGGTCGCACCCTCCTCTTCGGCGCTGGCGATAAGGTCTTCGATACGCTTCTTGCTTTCGGGGCTAATGACGGGGCCGAGATCAGCACCCTCCTCGAAGCCTCCATTGACATTCAGAGCCTTGGCCCGTTCAGCCATCTCAGGAAGCCAATCCTTAGTCTCACCGACCATGACCACGGTGCTCAGGGCCATACAACGTTGGCCGGCAGCACCAAACGCCGCGCCGACGATGGCGTTTAGGGTCTGGTTCTTGTTGCAGTCCCGAACCACAGCAGCATGGTTCTTGGCTCCCAGATTGGCCTGGACACGCTTGCCATTGGCAGAACCCCGGGTGTAGATGTACTCTCCTGCACGGTTGCTGCCAACGAAGCTGATGGCCTTGATGGCGGGCTCGTCGAGGATAAAGTCGACTGTCTTTGCGGCACCGTGGACAATGTTAATGACACCGGGAGGGAAACCTGCTTCCCTGGCCAGCTCGGCCAGGATCATTGCAGCTCCGGGATCCCGCTCCGATGGCTTGAGGATAAGACAGTTGCCGGTCACGGTGGCGACGGGAATGCACCAGAGGGGAATCATTGCGGGGAAGTCTGCCGGGGCGGTTAGCGTCGGCGAAGACACCGTGGACTTGCATGACACTGCATGATCACTTACTGAAAGGACAGATGGCCGCAACCACACCCAGAGGTTCCCGGTAGCTCCTGGTTTCCATGTCTTTGGCGACTTCCAACACCTCACCCGTTAGCTGGGTGGTGATACCACAGGCTGTTTCCGCAACCTGAAGACCGCGGAGAACATCACCCCGGGCATCGGCAAAGGTCTTGCCCTGCTCGAGCGTGATGGATGCGGCAAGTCGGTCCCAGTTCTCACGGATCAGGCTAACAAACTTGAACATGATTTGCTGTTTGGCGATGACGCTTGTTGCGCGCCACGCCGGGAAGGCCTTCTGGGCGGACTCGACGGCGGCCCGTAGTTCCTCATCAGTGCTTTGCGGCACCCGAGTAACAAGGTTGTTGGTGGCAGGATCGTGCAGGTCAATCCATGTTGAAGCCTTGGAAGAAACAAACTGGTTGTCCAGGAAGTTGGCGGTGTCGATGGGGTTGGCGATTGGAGTGTGGTCCGTCGGGTATTCGGTGGCGGTAGTAGCCGCGGAGGTGGTTGCGGGGGTGAGCTGCTGAGCAGTGGCGTGGAGTCTGCGTGTGGCGGCCATGGAAGCTGATGAGGAGGTAGAAAGCTTGGAAGATGTAGAAGATGAAGAGGATGAGAAAGACATGATAGCAGTCGAAAGACAGCGTGAGGCCGAAGCTGCAGCGACTGACCTGGCAGTGGCCACGGCCGTGCGGGGAGATGCAGCGCGGAGAGCGGGGATGGACCGGGCAAGTGACCGACGGGCGGCCATGATGAATGACTGAATGAAAGAGATTGGAAGTAGAAAACACCAAGTAGTACAACGTACGGAGATTCGGTTCAACTGGAAGAACAGGGGAGCATTCCAGGTGGGAAGCAGGGAGGCAAGAGGATAAATAGAGGAGGCCGGGGGAGCTGGAGTAAGGTACATCCACTCTTTCTCTGGGGCTCCGTAAGGTACGGTCCTTTACATTCCGCCGAGGTTATGATAACGCTCGGCGCCACCGGCCAATCATGCGACCAACCGGAACTGCCTGCCTGATTGGGCCAGTTCTACTCTGTTGCTTCACCTTCATCAGCGGAGCTTGGGCCAAGTCTCCAGAATAGTTCCAGATCCAGGGCTCTTACGGGAGGTGCCTCCGTAGGGAATAGATCAGAGTTGGTGGTGAGTAAGGACAACCCTACGGAGCATCACTATACAACTACGCTCTGGGGTCGGTCCGATGTCGCCGCAGGGGACTGAGACCAGACGATCCGTCACAAAATTGTGATTCCGCTTGAAATCGGAGATCCTACCGAATCATGACTAAGGAAACCAACGGTACTTTCTGCAGTTTGGCTACTTTACACGTCTCACTCGATTAACCTCCTCAAAACGCCACCAACTAGAGGTCTGGTTCCCTTCTCGGCAGCTGATACAACCCCGGCCGGTCTTCACCATAAAATCAGAATGAATCATTGATTGAACGCTGCAACAGAGGTATAAAATTGAAACACAATGAGGTTGAGGATATCCCTGGTTTGTTTGTTTTTGCTCTTTTTCGCTTTTGCTGTCTTCCTCTCGTTCTTTCCCCGCGTGGAGGTTCACTCATGGCTGCGCCAGTTTACTCAGCAGAGGAACGGGTGGTGCGCTTGGTAGCTCCACCCTTGCCAGTATCCGCGGAGGAACTGGAGGCCTCGGTCTTCTCCTTGGTAGATCCGGCGGCCTCCTTGCCCTTCTTGGCAGGAGCGGGAGCCGGGCTGCTGGCGCCAACGGCCCCGACAATGACCAGGACCATCGTGACCAGCAGAGCAGCCAGACCACCAGCCACATCGGGAACCTGCTTCACGGCGTTGATGGGGTTCTCCTTGGAGAGGCGGACGAAGTTGTCAACCTTCTCCTTGATGTGGCCCAAGGGGTTCTCCTGGAAGCTCACGCTGGGCTCGACAACCTTCTCCTCCGGCTTAGGCTTGTTGGCCTCCTCCTCGGCCAGCTCAACGGGGTGCTTGACATCAAAAGTCTCCTTGCGCAGCTGCTCAGCATCCTCAGCGGAGTGACCAACGTAGATGTTGTCGAACAGGATGTCGTTCTGCATAGTCCAGATCTCAAAACCAATCTGCGTGGTCGTTAGTCGCGAATCCAGGAAATTGGTGGAGACAGAAACTTACAGCGCCCATGGCCTCAAAGTTAGAGGGAGTCTTGTCCTCAAAGTAGGCAGGGTTGGCGATCTTGCGGGGAGCCCAAGGACCCTTGTAGGCCGGGTTGTCAATCAGAGGAGCAGACCACTTGCCCTTGTAGTCGGGGTTCTTCTTCAGAGGGGCGGTCCAGGGGCCACATCCAGAGGCCTCCTGGCACTTGGGGTTGGGAACGGTAGGGGGAACCCAGTCACCATCCTCCTCGTCATCCCAGTCCTCGGGCTTCTCGGCCTCGGGGTCGGGAATGCTGGAGGGCTCATCTTCAAGCCAGTCTTCGGGGATGGTAGCCTCCTCGTCAACAATCTCGAAGGGGGCCTCCTCGTCCCAGTCCTCGGGCTTCGTGGCCTCGGGGTCAGCGATCTTGGCCTCATCAACCCAGTCGGCAGGCTTCTTGTCCTTAGGGTCGTCAATCTCCTTCTCGGGGTTGACGGCAGGGGTGAAGTCCTCAAGCAAGCTACCCTCCTTGACGGACTCGCCATCAATCAGGATCTGGAAGGTCTGGTCGGGGTTGACGACCAGAGTGTAGACAGAGGTGACCTTGGAGGTACGGGCAGCAGGGGGGGACTTGAGGTGCTTCTCCTCGTACTCGCCGGTCTTGGGGTTCTTGTGGCGGAAGATGAAGTGAACCTAAGAAATAAGATTGTCAGCTTCTGTTGTAGGTTGCAGCGATCGGCAATGCATCGTACCTTGTTGGTGGCACCGCACTTGTCGGGACCGAACATGATCACGTAAGGAGACGAGTTCGAGAATTCGTCAAGGTGGAGCTTCTTGTTGTCCTGGAGAAGCTTCAGGTAGGCACCACCGCAAACGAGGGAGTCTGGACCACTGTTAGCGCCCTGCGCGCACTACCGACTCGTCTCACTTACTCTGCGGCTTCACCTCATACTGGACGACAAGAGACTTGTCCTTGTTGTCGATCTTCTTGGGGAACTTGGCCGAAATGGCGTGGTGGGCAGCGACGTTCTTGACAACGAGACCCTTGTCACCCTCGATACCCTTGAGGACAGTGGGCTCCTCGACAGACCATTCACCAACATAGGCCCAGTCTTCCTCCGACTTGGAGTCCTCCTTCTTCGCGTGAGAGGGAGTCCACCGGGAATCCCAGTCATCGGTGAACTGTTCCAAGAAAGGAGCCTCGATGGTGGTGGGCTGATAGCGCGCGGTTAGCAAGGCGCGGCGACACCAGATACCCGCCAGAGATTACTCACGGTGAAAGTAGGCTTCTCCGCCACGGAGGTGGTCTCGGGCTTCTTCTCAGTCTCCTCAGCATGGGCATAGCCCATGATGGAGGCCGAGGAGACCAAGGCAGAAGTCAAAGCCGCGTTAAAGCGCATGGTGGATGGCGATCGGCGCTCTTAACCAGAACGTCCGGGAGGGCTTTCAAAGGAAGGAAAGAGGAAAACAAACAAGGCGAGCAAGCGCACCAGCAATTGAACCTCCGGGGAGGAGATGGTAGGGAGGAGAGATAAAAGGCAAGCTCAACAATCAAGTAGCTGCACGGGGAATGGGAAGGGAGAGGAGAAGAGAGAGAAAGGAACCGCTGGTGCGATGGTTATATAAGAAGACGCAAGGCGATGCATGAAGCTGGGAAGTTCAAGGTGGCCTCTTCCGCTGCCGCTGCTCCTTGGGGTAAAGTCCCGCCTGCCCGATCTGGTTAGTCGCGCTTCTCCAATGTTCTGCGGATGCAAATCAATGCAAACCGCGGCCTCTGATTAGGTATTTGTCCGTCTCGGTATTATTCTACATGGTACTCCGTCTTATGGTCGGCATTACAATGGATCGAGATTAATTCTCATCCACTCCCAAGGTCCTTGCATGCGAGTGCAACCAAAAGATAAAAGATCCGGTCCTGTCATCCTGCTTCCCCTTCATCCAGCAACGGTGCTGGCTTTCCATCCGAGGCACTAGATTCTTCTCTACCGTCAGTGTCTACTAGTGTCCACCAATGACCGGCGATGGCGCGAGCACTCCCCGCTACCTTAATGCGTTAGTGAGGTGATTGCTGCTTCCCCTCCCCGCCGCCTGACATTTTTTCCTCTTTTCGTCATACATCCACTGCCTCGCCCGTACGACTTCAGGCACGGTCTTTGCATTACCGGTATATAGGACTCTTTCTCCCATTCGAAGGAGAGAAAGGCGCTCTGCAGGTATTGCTTGATATCCGCGACAGCACCTGGGCCGATCGTCCGAGCTATTCGATCTAATCGACAAAACTTGCGGGGATCTCACAGCCGCTTAAAAGATCTATCATCATGGCCGAGGAAATCCAGAAAGACAACAATGACCATTTGGTCCAGTCGTCTGACCCCGAGCACCCTGCCAACAAGATCCCTGACCTTTGTCGCCGGTTCTACAACTGGGGTTGGGTCACCGGCACCGGTGGTGGGGTAAGAATCGTCGCACATCGATGGCGACCATGTTTCATCGCTAATTGATCGCAATAACTGCATGTAGACCTCCATCCGCCATGGCAACCACATCTTCATTGCTCCTTCTGGTGTGCAGAAGGAGATGATGCAGCCCGACAACATCTTCGTCCTGGAATTCCCCACGCCCAAGTACCCTCCCTCGGAGCGCAAGTATATCCGCAAGCCGCTTAAGCTGAACCCCTCAGCCTGCACACCACTGTTCCTTACTGCTTTTGAGCAGGGAGCTGGCTGCTGTATCCATACTCATTCCCAATGGGCGGTCCTGGTGACCCTCCTGGTGGAGCGCGAGAAGGGCCCGAACGCCTGCTTCGAGATCAGCAACATTGAACAGATTAAGGGCATCCCCCGCGGCAAGGGCAAGGGCATGCTGGGCTTCTTCGATACGCTTAGCATCCCGATCATTGAGAACACCGCATTCGAGGAAGACCTTACTGGAAGCTTGGAGAAGGCCATGCAGCAATACCCTGACACTTATGCTGTCCTGGTGAGGAGACATGGAATGTAAGTGTCATCTCTCTTGACCTGCCGGTGATGGTAGGCTTACGATTGTGAATAGTTACGTCTGGGGAGATGATGTCGCCAAGGCCAAGACCCAGTGCGAGAGTCTGGACTATATTTTCCAGCTTGCTGTGGAGATGCACAAGCTTGGTCTCCCGTGGGTGAAATAGACGGACATCCTTTAAGACCTGCACATTCTAGTTTTCATACCACGTACCCGCCTGTGCTGTATGACGCTCGCAGTTTGAGGTCTCTTCTTCGAAGACAACCCAGTATGATGACGATACATATGAAATATATGCACGAATGAAATACATGCACGAATGACTCCGTACTCGCAGTTACGATCTTTTTGTAGAGTGCCGGGGCTGGGAAACCCAAGTAATTATGCATTAGGGGAATGCGCTGGTTAGGATTAGAATCTATACAGCGGACCAATTTGCTTTTCCGTCATTTCAATTCTTCGAGTCTACGAAATTGTAAGCGTCCGTGCATCATCCTCATGCCTGGGGGATGGGACTCCTGTCATAGTTGGATTCCCCCAAGGAGCCATTGATCTTGGCGGGGGAACCCTAATCCGTAGTTGGACGGCGGCGCGGATCATCGGGCTACGGCAACCTGGTCGCTCGCTCCAACTCCCCGACTGCGGTCTCTCACCAACACTTCACCCGGTTCCTCGTTGCTTTAGCTAATTTCTATCCTTACTTGACCCACTTTGTCTCTCGATCTACCGCAGTCCAATTTCGGCATTTCCTATGGATCTCGACGCTGGCGACTCCCCGTGGGGCGGTAAGCAAGCAGGCAGTCACGGATACAATCGCATCGTGCCTCCTCTAACCCAAGCTTGCAGACGTGCCTTCGCAATCAACCACCAGCCATAATGTGCCACAATCCGAAGCGGAAGAAGCTTGTACGATCCCTACTTAGGTTTCTGTCATCCAACGACTTCTCTACACATGCTAACCTGGTGACGGTTTACAGCTCCGGAACAACCGACACAACAAGCTAGCTCCAATGCCCCCCGTTCTCCCGTACGACGAGGCCCACGAGGCACCCGAAGAATCAATGCGCAGGCGACAAAGCTAGAAGCGGTGGATGACTCGTTTGATCCGCTTGGTCCACTCGGGGACAAGGCCGAGAGCAGTCCCCATGAACAGGCACCTACCCCGCCCCAGAAGGAGGCTTTCGCAGGGCGCAATGTTCGGCCTACATCATCTGCATCCCAGGTGTCTGCTGGAGCCACACTGTCGGATTCTGTGAACTTGGAAGAGGACGGGGCGGGATTCAGAGGGCCTCCGCCAGTACAACCCCCGAGTGATGCGGAAGGGTCGAAACGCCAATCCCAGCCCAGCATCAGTGTTGAGAAAGCTGCGAACCCGACTTTTGAGATCACCGTCGGCGATCCGCACAAAGTCGGCGACCTCACGAGTAGTCATATTGTGTATCAAGTGAGAACCAAGGTAGGTTGACCCTGGCCCTGGGATGCTGTTGGCTCCGCTCACACTGCACATAGACAACTTCCAAGGCATACCGACAGTCAGAATTTACTGTCAGCCGCAGATACCGTGATTTTCTTTGGCTGTATAATTCGATGCATAACAACAACCCCGGTGTTGTGGTTCCCCCTCCTCCAGAGAAGCAGGCGGTGGGCCGCTTTGATACGAACTTTGTCGAGTCCAGACGAGCTGCCCTCGAGCGGATGCTGAACAAGATTGCGGCGCACCCTATTCTCCAGCATGACGGTGACCTGAAGATCTTCTTGGAGAGCGAGACCTTCAACATGGACGTAAAGAACAAGGAAAACAGAGAGCCGGATCTCGGCCAAAACAAGGGCATGTTCAGTTCGTTTGGAATTAACGTCGGCGGTGGTGGGAAGTTTGTCGAGCATGATGATGTAAGTTCATCAAGTCTATGCGGACGGATCGATGTACTGATGGCACGCTAGTGGTTCCATGACCGGAAGATCTACCTTGACGCCCTGGAGAATCAACTCAAGGCATTGATGAAATCTGTGGACACGGTGGTGGCGCAGCGCAAGGGACTGGCCGAGGCTGCTGGTGACTTTTCGGCATCCCTCCATGCGTTGGCAGCTGTCGAGCTGTCGCCTACACTTTCTACCCCTCTGGAGGGCCTTTCCGACCTTCAGCTACGCATAAGAGAGCTGTACGAACGCCAGGCTCAGCAGGATGTTCTCACTCTGGGAATCACAATCGACGAGTACCTACGCTTGATTGGCAGTGTCAAGACTGCTTTCACTCAACGCCAGAAGGCCTTCCATAGCTGGCACGCGGCGGAGGCGGAAATGCAGAAGCGCAAACATACCCAGGAGAAGCTTCTCCGACAGGGCAAGACGCAACAGGACCGTCTGACTCAGATCAATGCCGACGTGGCCGATGCGGAAAGGAAAAGTCACCAGGCGCGGCTGCTGTTCGAGGATATGGGTCGGCTGATGAGAAATGAGCTACAGCGATTCGAGAAGGAGAAGGTTGAGGACTTCAAGTCTGGCGTTGAGACCTTCTTGGAGAGTGCGGTTGAAGCTCAGAAGGAGGTAAGCAGCTACATGCCCGTACACCAGCTGTCGTGGTCGATGCTAACATGTCTCAGTTGATCGAGCTCTGGGAGACGTTCCTCTTGCAACTCGATGCGGGTGAAGAAGGCAATCCCCTTTACGGCAACGCGGGCGATGCTGCGCCTGCGGTCCAGGGGGCTGCCGAAGCTACTCCAACAGAAGAGGCATAGGCATCTGTACAAAAGCAGCCACGACTCATTGATGTCCCATCCATTTCCCTTGTGTCTCATCACGTAAATTGTCACTCCGTCTACTTACTGTGAAATGCGGCCCACACTTGTTTTCTCTTCTGGCGAGTCTTTCACGTATGCAATCGGAACACTATCTACCAGCGTCCTGATATCAACGGTCCCCAATGTAGCATTAATTGTACCACCTCGTTTGTTCACATCAATCCAACGCATCTTTAAAGGCCCTATCCTGAAGCTGGAACCACCGATGCTGAAACTCCATTTGAATGGTATGGTGTACTGTACATAAAGCCGAACAAGATCTGTATCGTATAACAACATGGAGCGAAAATCAATGAAACCCCCTAGCTCCCATCCCCATCCTAGCGCAATCGGATTAGTTCTTCTTCCCCGGCTGCTGCTCCTCCTGCCCAAACGAACTAATCAGGTCCAGCAAGTTGTCATCCTCTTCTTCAGCGGCAGCGGCCTCCGCAGCAGCAGCCTCTTTGCTCTTTGCCGGTTGATCCGTCTTCGCATCCTCTCCCTCCACGACCGTGTTCACATCCCAGCTGCGACCGAACTTGGCTCGGAAGGCCGCCAATCGACCAGCCTCATCATCCTCGACGCTCTTCAGCTTGCTTGAAGTCGGGTTCCAGAGCAGAGTGTTGCGCGTATCACGGGTCGAGCGGTAGACAGGGACGGGGGAGGAAGTGCGATGAGTGAAGGTGCTACCATCGGTCATGGTGATCAGCTGGGTGAACTGGTAAGGGCGCTTGGGACGGCGGAGGAGAGTAGCATGTCGGCATTGCGAACAGATGAAGGTGGTGGAGGTCTGGACGCGGGCGGTGGTGGCCGCGCTGCGGCGGAGGGGGGTGCTGAGGGACATGGTTGTAGGCCGGGAGGAATTGAGAGGACGCCGGAGGAGAATATGGATTGGCCTGGGAGGTGGAATTGGCTGGCTCGAGACCGGAGATGCGAAGCAACGGTTCTCTCCCTCTGGTCTTTGGCCGACAAATTTGGGCGGACCCCCGGGATTATGTCAGCATCCCGTGCCTGCTTTTTCTCGTCGCGCGGACTGGCAATCGGCTTGCAATGAACCAACGTCTCTCTTCTCCGGTCTGTGGCTAGCATGATTGCCCATTGATCTGCTGCTGGAGTTCGTGTGGATGTTCATGATGAATTTGGAGGGCTCCGAGGGTCTTTTCTCTGCTTTCCTTCCTGTTCTCTTGCCCCTCTTGCCGTGAGCTTGAGCTCCGTCCGCGGCGGGATAATGCTTCCATACTCTCAAGCTATGCTTGCGGCCAGTCGGACGAGCCATTGCATAGGTTTGTGCATTTATAGTTCTTTCATGTGTAGCAATGAATCTAATACTTTTCATTCAAAGGCCGAACTGCAACTCTTGTGCAAACGGCTCTCCGATCCGGACTACTGCAATCCCGCAGAACGGTCACCAACGTCGCCCCGAATGCTAAGACCCTCTCCCAATCCGATTCAGAGGCTCGGTATACAAAGAACGATGCCTCTTCCCTATGCGACCAGGTCCGTCTCTTGATGAGGCGAGTCCCATACCCTGTCGCCATCATAACAGCCACGGATCCCCACGGCCCGGCAGGTAAGGCCTTCCGCGGAATGACCGTCTCCTCCTTCAACACCGTCACCCTCAGTCCGGAACCCGTCATCTCCTTCAATGTGCGCCGGCCTTCCGAGACACTTAGCGCACTTCAATCGTCGAAGCGCTTCCTCGTCCACCTCCTCGCCCCCAGACAAAGAACCGCAACTCTCGCTCGGGACTTTTCCAAGGGCAACCATAACCTGTCCCTCTTGGCCGGCAAGAGTGAATACGAGTTTGTTTCGCATGAGCATACCCTTCGTGGCGATGAGGTTCCCTCTAGACCACTTCCGTTGTTGCGGAGGAAACAGGATACTGGATCAATGGACTCGGAGGACTTTCCCTTCGTGTTGGAGTGTCAACTTCATCCACAGGGGATTCAGGTCCATGATCATACTATTGTCGTGGGGACTGTCGTTCGAGCGCTGTCAGGACAGCTACCGAGACTTGACTCGGAAACTAAGGCGACAGACCTTTGTCTGACCTATGCCAATACCCATTTTTGGAAAATGGGCCATGAAATATGACGTCCATTGGCCATCCACTGGATGCTGGGGCTCTGACATGGACATCTTGGATGATCTCTAGATATCGGTAACTGAAGTAGGTCAGTTCCTTTGTATAATACACTACACGTGCATCCTCTCCGGATCTTATTGGCGTTTCATCACATGTACATAGAATTAGATAGATCCACTTTATCTCAACAACTTCAGTATTATGGTATCATGAATAGCAGCGACTAACATGAAACCCCCAGTATAGCTTTCAACAGCCCTATTCCTCAGTACAAGGCACGGGATATCAAGAATCCTCCCTGAGACTTCTCCAAGCCAGCTCGAAACACCTGACAACATAGACACATACATCTACCAGACCTTACTCCAGCACATCTAATACCAACCCACAATCATACTACATCCAATAGTACTAGTATAGTGTTAGCTCAACCTACAATCCAACCACAATATACACTTTCCCATATACACCATCTCGATACACATCGCCCCCACCCCTTCCACATCCCACCTACATCCTACCCCCAAGCCTGAAAAAACTACTTCCTCAGCAGGAATATACATCACCCCAGTCACACATTATTCCCTCCTCTGTTTATATCGACCTACACCTACACCTACACCAAGAAAGAATATACACCGTTGACAAGAGATATATGTATTCATTAGAAGCATACTCATCCAAACGCAGACCCGATACCAGCAAGTCCAATTAACCCTAGTACTATACTAATATCCTATAGGAAACGGGCTTATGAGCGAAATCACCCGACAAATAATCGGAATCCTCCCCGAAAGCGAGGAAGGACCCTTAAATTGATTGATAAAGAAAAGATAAAGATAAATCAGGTGGCTGTATTCACTACCGCTTACGTGGGATTGCATGTTAGCCCTAAGTTGGTGTCTATGCTTTTTTTATGCTTGTTGGGGAGGGGTTTGGGGAGGGATTTCTCGGGGTTAGGGGTTGGTTGGTTGGTTTCTGGGTTTGGTTTGCTGGAGTAGTTGATTGAGGAAGGGGTTTGGTGTGAGTCTGGAATATCTGGTTGTATTATGTGCTTCGATTGGGAGGGTATCTATGCTTGGGATATTGGTGGTCAGTTGGGGGTAATCTTCTGTGTTGGCTTTTGTTGGCTTGGATTGGGATGTATATAGTTAACTGGGATTATATGTATTTGAGGGTTAATGTGTTTCATTGGCAGGATTTCATGGCCGAGTAATGGCGGGATATAGGTGTCTTATATGAACATATGTGGTGCAGATATTTGGGATCCGGAGGAGATCGAGCTTACCTACTATATATATCTATCTACTAGCATATGCCATAAGAGAACGCTGCTCATGATTGAATCCGTAATATGCCAATACAGGCAGCAAAAACGGACAAGAAAAGGAAACTGATATCCCGCTCTTCCGACTCGAGGATCATTCCATATCAACCCCTACCTACTCCCATATTGTGAAACATCCAGTGCTACACGAATCTGACCATGAAGCATTCAGAACCAAACCAGTATTCCTCAGCCCTATTCAACCAGCAAAAAGAGAATGCGCGACACCTCTGGGACTCGAACCCAGGCGGGCGAACCCACAGGCTAAACAGCTAGTACGATAAGGTAGTAGCAGGCCTGCGCCTTAACCACTCGGCCAAAGTGTCTACATTGATTTGTATAGAAAAAGGCAAGACTCATCAGCCACGTGGAAAGAGATATCCCCCAACCTAGGGTGACCCTACCTTATAGATAGTTAGTGATGGCCATGCTAGCTGACATAGGCGAACCCCAAACAAGGAACAAAGTTTATCCTCAACATCCGGAATAACATAATCTTTTCTACGGAGGGAGTACTTGGGCCTTAGACAGCCAAACGGGCTTTCTTCGCTTTATTGTTAAGCTTCCAAGACCTGTGCGGCGGTACAAAGACCGTTACTTTGACTAATTGGCCATTTCAAAGTGTTCAATCTGCGCTGGCTGATAACACCCGAACTTAGTCAAGGACTTAAAGTTAGAATAAGCATAATCATCTACCAATCAGACACTTTGGCCGAGTGGTTAAGGCGCAGGCCTGCTACTACCTTATCGTACTAGCTGTTTAGCCTGTGGGTTCGCCCGCCTGGGTTCGAGTCCCAGAGGTGTCGCATATATACATGTCTTTTTGCACTTTGAATTTATCAACCTTTTTGGTTGATGTGTATATATATATATAGTACATGCTATTTATTGTATCGCGAGTGTCAGAGTAGCGTGGTGGGGGGATTATATATCCACGCTAGATAGGGGCTTGCCGGATTCCTTAGAATTTCTGTAGAACGACCGTCCCGCCTGCAATGGCACAAACGCTACATTACGAATGAAAAAAGTCCGGCAAATTATGAATAGGCTCTACATATTACACAAGATTTCTTTGTTCACAGGCGATGGAATACCAGGACAAAGCCGCACGGCTGCGTGGACTCGTCAAGACGATCCGTCTCGGGCCCGAGAACCCGAGGCAGGTAAACCACCATACAACCTTGAGCATCGATGAACACTACCTAGCAGTAACCGGAACCACACGCACCAGGAACACGCCCGCTAGATCCCCGAAAGATCCACCAAGACTTGCCCTCTACCTAGCCTAGTTGCCCTTACCACCGGCCGAGCTGGGACTGCCACTGCCACTTCCACTTGCACCGCTACTCCCACTGCCACTGCCACTACCACTGCCACGGCTGTCGGCCCGCTGAAACGGGGTGGAGATGGGTCTCATGATGGGGTTCGGAGTCACCCCCTCAGAGCCCGAATCCATCCGCTTCTCGGCAACGGTGTCGGACAGATCGAGCTGGAAGGGACCCCGACGGTTGGAGTCCAAGAAGTCAGCACCGTAGAGACTGCTCCGCGCAGATCGATTGGAGAAAGACCGGTCACGGTAGGTAAAGTCCGTGTCAAAGTACGTGCCGGTGTTGCCGAGCGGAGAAGTCGGGAAGTGTTGCAGGTACGAAGGCGGCTGGATTGGACTGGTCGGGCGGGACGAAGTGGCACCTACGGGAGACGACGCGTGCTGCAGCGGACTAGATTTCAGCGCCGGGAAGCTGAGTCCCAGCAGAGATCGGGTGCTAGGCGCAGTCGTCGTCAAGGATCCCAAGGAGATGCCGGGCGCCTCGGTCAGAGGGTTCGTGCCCGGCAGATTCCCTTCCGGAGTAAGCGGGGCAGAATCCAGGAGCATCTGCTGCTGTTGTTGAATGGCTTGCTCAATCGCGGCAGCTTGCTGCCACAACTGATTGGTGCGCAGTTGGTACTCCTGCACAGATTGGCTGATGCTCGCAAATTGCTCGTTGAAGTTGGCCTCCAACTTGGCTTGATCCTGCTCCCTAGCAAACTGCTCCGCGGCACGACGTTCCCGCTCGTTGAGACCTTGCGCATTGGCAGAGACGATCCGCTCGTATTGCTCATTGACCCGGGTACGGCGGCCCTGGAGACGTTCCTTTCTCTGAATGGTAGAGTTCAGCTCCGACTCCAACGAGGACACCTCACGAGCAACAGCGGACCGCGCAGCAACGAGCTCTTCCTTGGCCAGGTTCAGCTGTTCCAACTCGTGATCGAACTTGGCCTTCTGACTTGTCCATTCCTCGAGTTCCTCCTCGGGGATATTCTCCAGATTGTCGAGTTGGCTTTCGAGAGCGGCCGTGGCTTCTTCGGTTTGCTTGATGTTTCTCTCAAGTTGCAACGAGCGCTGTTTCTGTCGGTTCTCATCGGTGCCACTCTGAAGACGATGGTTGTAGTTGTCCAGCTCTTTCTTGATCTTGGATATGATGAGTTTGTGGTCGTTTTTGGCCTTTCTTAACCGAGCACGTTTCTCATTCAGCTTAACCTCGGCGTTGACGATCGAGTTCTTGAGTGTGGTGGTCGGCGAGGACGGACGATAGGACGGTTGCGGCGGAGTGGGGATTGAAGAGACTGTGGGTGGCCAAAATGAGACAACTGTTTTAGACAAACTGAAGGCCAAACGAGGTAGTCCCTTACCTTGTTCCGCGTCAGTTGCAGCAGGAGTCTTGACGCTCATGACACAGATCTCTTCATCAGTATCGCTCCGCATAAAGGAGCAAGTGTAGGCGCAGTTCGGGGCGAGTCCTGAGACCTCACCCCGCCAGTGCACCGTGTTCGATCCTTTGGGGGCATCCTGCACTTTGGTAATGGTGGCGGTTGCCCACAATGCGCCGTTGACACAAACATAGAATGGTTCCGATTCTTCATTTCCCAGACGGCCAGCTTCACAGACTCCAGAGACTGCGGGATCGTCCAGTGAGGCAAAATCCCCCGCGGCAAACTTGATAGTAGAACTATCGACTTCGGTTATCCAAACAAGCCCATCGTCCAACGAAATGCCCTGAAGATCTTCTTCTGTCATCGTAAGCCCCCTACCAGTTTTGTTGAGAACCCTAGAATGCTCATATTCCCTCATCACCGTCACCTTCGTGCTCGCGAGCGCAGCCCAAAAAGGTTGACGGTTCCGGACCTGGTTGGCCTGCCTTCTGCGTTTCTTTGCCGAGATTAGTCGATCTCTGCCGTCCTTATGAGTTGCTGGCGTGACAATTTGACCATCGGCGCCGATATAAGAGGAGACGCTAGCCCCGGACTCAAACGCGGAATCGATTTGTGTCTGCGATCCGGCAGATGCTTCGGTATCCGCACGCTTGCCATTCCGAGGTGGAGCCGGCGACCGGTTTTTGGCCATCGATCTTCTCGCCATGGCGGTGCCTGCCTGAGCCAGGATATGAACCGCAAGGAGGCTGCGGATCCAGCTTGGAGAGCTTTGCGGTTCCGTGCGCCGAAACTCGGGCGGCATGAGATGCGAATATTGCGACAAGAGATCGGGCGAAACGATCTTTGCGGAGAGCAGGTGACCTATAACAAAATCCTGTATACCTTTACTGCGAATAAGATGTAATACGAGAACGATGCCAACGCAGAGGGCATTGACCCCTCCATTCTTTCCCGACCCTCCTCCGCCTAGCGTGATGGCGACTTGCACGTGAGCGAGATCGAGCGCAAAGTTCTGCGCCCAAGTCCACATGAACAGACCCCAGAAAAGCAAGCAGAACCCATCCATGGCGATCATTGTACCGAGAGACGGCGTTCCGGCAGGACCCTGGAAGATGTCGAAGTTGGAAGTCAAGGAGCCAGACGATGCACCACTGGGAGGCATGAAGGTGAGGGAGGCGAACAGGAACTGAACCAAAGTGAGAACCATAGGCGGCAGCTGCAGAAGAAAGATGAGAATGGCGATGGTGTCGTACATCGGGCAAGACTTGAGGATGGTCGACGCTAGCTGGAGTGGATTGATAGAACTCGACCTCTTCGAACCGGTCGCCGGCTTCTCCGTCCGACGCGACGCCTGGCCGGCAAGTCCGCCATTCTGGGCCACGGCGCCATTCGTCTGCCCATAAGACATGTCCGCGTTACCCTTAGCATAACCGTTTAGCAAGCCACGCCCGTTGCCATCCGCCTTCGAGGTTTCCGCCGTGCCGTTGACCTTGTTTGCCGTCGTGGTCGATGAAGCTAAAGCCGAGTCGCTGGAAGAGCGAGAGGCGGGCCAGTCGACCTGAGTGGAGGTACCAGTGTTCGGGGTAGAGGCGCCGTTCGAGTTTCCATTCAAATTTCCATTGGACTTTTGCTTGTTCACTTTCTTTCCGGGACCGACGAGACCATTCTCATGCCGATTGCTATGACTCTTCCTAGCCGTGGCCGATGAACGTGGCATGGACGAGGGAGCCTTACACCCAGGTCCGAGTCAGCTTGGCAGGGAGGAGCCAAGGACTTGGACCAGGCGAGAATTGAGGACGAAGACAGCGTCGAAAAGCAAGAAATTGGGGAGAAGAAGGGGTGGGTGAGTGGAAAGGAAAGGGAGGGGAAGTAGCACCCAGGAAGCGTGCGGGAAAAGGAATGACAAGAGGGGATCAAAAGTCGGTAGGGTAAGGACTAGGATGAGAAAAGGAAAGTCAGAATGATTCGGATTGGATATGGGGGAGGGTGAGTAAGAGAGGGTGGCGGGGGAGGAAAGAGAAGGGAAAAATGAATGAGGTTTGGTAGACTTTTGGGTCTGGATAGACGAGGCGGGAAAAAGACGAAACGATGGAAAGGTTGGAAACGGATCGTCAGAGAGAAACGCTAAGGCAGCAAGGCGGCGACCGCCGGCCAATACTGCGCACGCTGCATGCCTCAGGCATTAACACATCCCGTCACGTATGGTATGACTGGTTACTTTCCCCGTACGGTACATGACGTACCTCTCACAGCGCCGCCTTCCGGTTGGCTGGTGACTATCCAAATCCATTCCTCGACCGATTTTTGAGGCGATCAGGATAGAGGTTGAGACCAGCCACGGGGATCGTTGAAGCCAAAACATCAATGGGGCTCTTGCTTACTTCTTCCTTTGATGAGGCCCTGGCGGAGTGTCTAATTGCCCGGAACTTCAACGACCGTGTCCATAATACCGTCAATTACAGGGGAGATTGACACCTGGCTCTTCAGCCACATCACTTCAAGAGTAAGCTCGCTTCATAACATTGGCACCGGCTCGAGGCATCGGGATGGGGGCCGGATACTAGCAGCTGCTTGGGTTGAGTGATTGCTCTGACAGCTCCACCGCCTAGGATCTAAGCCTCCTGTTAATCTCAGTCTTACATGAGGCCACTTACACCCACCCGTCTTCAGCTGGCTTCCTAACATACTCGACGAGGAACATTTTGTTGACCTCGCTCGATCAATGGGAATCTCCATGCCAACCATTTTACCCATGTGATCGGGCAGTGCGGATATTCCCGCATCGATTTACAATCATCGTGAGTGGTTGTTGAGCTAGCTCCCCGGCCTAAGCATTTGTGGACTGATGGTTGCTGAAGACGGCCTCGTAAGTTGGATGGACTACGTGTTCAATCTGGCCCTACCTGCAAAGCTGCTGCCATTGATAGGCCCGCGGATCTCAGCGCCAGTTAATGTCCGTTTACCCCTCCTTCACACGCAGTCACCCTACATATCACGTCTTACCCGCTAACCACTAACAAGACCCGGGGTTGCGCTTTATCGGGTAAACCAGGCCTAGGACCTAACTAGATAGGACGATCTGGCGATCCCATCCTTCATGGGATATCCTCGTTGTTTGTTGTTCACGCATGCGATTCCCCGTACAAAGCCGTCAAAAGAATTATCCATTGGCAGTTGGCAGTACTCCGTAGAGAGCTATGGCATATCGTATACTCTGTTATCTCTCTATCAGCTAGCTTGCGTGTGATATCATGCAGAAGCACGGAGTACTCCATATGTCCTCTGGCTCGTGACTTGCAAGTCGAGATAAGCATATCCTAGCTCCTTAGTTAGACGGGTGGTTTGGCTCGTCAGTTGACACTGCGTGGGAGGTTGTACAGCTGATAGTTCGTAAAGATTGTTACTCCGTACACATGCCAACTCCGGAACAGCAACCTGTAAGGAGATCATTGTCATGCCATTGGCTTCCCGCGCAAAAGAAAGTAGGAAAAAGAGGGCCAGGGAGGGATGGTATTTAATGGTAAGCCTTCCAGTGACACCGTCAATCTGGGGGATTGTCCATCTCCCTCGAGAAATTGTCATCACAGACTGACATCTTGTGGAAGGTCCAAGGCAATGAGATTAGATAAGCCCGTAAGCGTAATTTTACTCGCTATATATAGGTAGTACCGTATCATACCACGATGCGGTATTTCACCGAACGATCTCCACCCAGGTAACATCATGACTTCCTCGCTTTTCTTCCGGCAAAGCCGTCTATACTATGTCGGGATGTCACGGTCCGGATAATCTGCCTGTCACAGGGTAATTGGGATGTTCGTCATCTGCTTCTGCTGGGTTGGATGCAGGATGATAGGCAAAGCATCCTAATCCGATTGCGTTGTTCACGGACAAGAAAGATCGACTAGCCTTGGAATCGGATGGGTGATCGACCGTTTCTACCCTAAAGTGGACAGTCGCGTCGACTAAATTGAAGGGTTTGCCGGTCGTGCCCCGCCAGCCTTGTCAGATGATACCAGGATTATCCCGTCCGTTGTCGTTGAGCTGTAACGACAAGGTATTGGACCCTTGATGCTAGTAGTAATACGGAGTAAAACCAGATGCAAATACCAGGTGGTGAATGTGCAGGTGTGCCCATATTGCACCTCCTCATCCAGCACCATCATGAAATCTCTACTGGAATCGAGGCCATCAGCTCGGGCACTGGCCCCGATACCGATCTGGAAAAGCTTCCGATCAGAGACACTAGATAGGGTCTAGAAGAGACTCTGTGGCGCAGAGAAGCGGGTCAAGCCGTGACGAACCAACAAATTGCAATCCGATTCCACGGCAACCATGATCTTGTGTTACTGCACAGAATAGGTGCCAGACTTGTCGAGGTCGTCATCAAATTCATCCATTCTGCCTGTGACCTGAGATGGAACGAAAAGATTATCTGCTGAGCCCTTATCTTCTCTTGTGTATTATCACCACTGAAAGACCAGCATTGGGGTAGACATCACATGGCGGCTGCGGGCCTGAGCTTCGGTAGGTTATCGTTCTCAGCTGCCGACAACCGAGCCGAGCCAGCGGCTTCAACTTGACTTCCCGATTTCCAGAACACCGATGTTCTGCCGTGGCCTCAAGTCTCGGTCGGATGATTACAGGATGTATGCAACAGAGCTTTCTTGTAGCCAATATGAGTTGCGTCGATGCAATTTGCTCCAGCGATGCTGGCGGTAGGTTGACTGCACAGCAAGTCCGCTTTGCAGGAACCTGAATCGAATGGCAAGTCATTTATTGATATACTGTTTGAATATACAGTGATATCACCCATTGTCCGCCCATGGCTTTAAAGTTAATGGAGAGATCCAACGAATCCTCCCTAGCTCTCATCAACTTTTCGTCTATCAGATTCAGCTGGCCAGACAGACCTGTTGGCAGATGTCCTTCCTATGTAAGATTCGGCAGAGCTGGAGTGTTGATGATAATAGCCAGCTTGGCAATTGACGCACCGATGACCTCGGGCAGCTGGGATAGCCATGTTTTCGGAGCGGTTCCTTACCTTAGAAGGCTTGTACTGGATATGGGCCTCTTATCAAAGCTTCCGTATCAGTATTTGTCATTGCGGTGTGACAGAAACTATCAGCTACTCAAAGGAAAAGTTAAGAATGCTCAATGGCATTGCATCAGGCAAACATCCAGTTAGCAAAACAGCTTGTTTCCTAAGACTGGCTTTAATAGCTAATGGCAATGTAATATCCCATGAGCAGCAGGCATACGACGTTTCAAACATCTTGGTTATGCCACAATGGTTGTGCTTGGAAATTTAATGCTATCATCTCCTTCTGCTGACAGCCTTGTAATGTCATAATGGCAGGTTTCGACCAACACCTATGAGACACCTGAAACCCCCAGGTCCTTGATTAATTTTATATGATGTGCTTGGGGTACGGAGTACCCCAAAGCTACCTAAAACAGATCACCCTGGAAGATCCCAAGCGATCCATCAATAACAAACAAGACCGATCACCATCGTCGATTAATCCGAGAGATTGAATGGAGAACAGCGATCTTTACTCCCCACACTTAATATATATAATTAGTTACAAATACTCACACCTTTCTGAGGTAGAAGTCTAGGCAATCGAACGATTCGGGAAACGCCTAGGGTTACGTTACATCCACCACATACCGCAAAGCAAGGGGGAAAGGGGGTTGACATTAGTGCAAGCATTCCCATCTAGGCCTGGCTCTTCAGCCATCAGTTCAATATTAGCTCAGACTCATAGGGAGATGATTCGGGTGTCTCAGAATGACGGTAGCCCCGCATATCCAGGGGCTGTTAGAATTAGCCTCATTCAAGGTATGATGCCCTTGACGTTTTTGTAGAGATACATGTTCAAAACAATGAGGTTAGCCATGTTCTTAAGGTTTCAACTATATTATAATTCGTTCAGAAGTCCCCTATACGTGTGACTTCATACTAATACAGCTATCATGGTAACTATATAAAGAATCGATTTCTCTGCGGAGTAGATGATCCGTAAATATCCAGGCCTTGCTTCCAAAATCATTGAATGTGTAAGCAATTAACCGAAGCAGTTCAACCCCTAACATACACAGCAATGAATGAACAAAATCTAGATGTATTTTTACAAAGCGCTCTGCGAATGCTATATATACAGTGTTTACAGAGTACAGGATTTCGGATGGGACTACCAGGGACAATTCTAAATATTCAAGTTAGAGGATAGAAGCCAATCATATAAGTAGCGTAAGGAATACCACCAGAGACAAGACTTGGATATGCACGCCGCTGTTGTGATTTTACATCTAAATCCCAGTTGCTATAGCATACTATCAAATTGAGATCAAGATCAGAATCATCCACAACACTTAACTTTAGCTCAAGTATCAGCTCTAACCTTGTATATAAAACATCTACCTGCTATGACCACATGTAATGCGTGGCGTACTTTGGTTCATCAACATAAAAATAGGACAGATGCCCGCAATACTGCCTCTAAACCATGGGTTGGCAGTAATAGAACCATAGGTTTCTGAAGTTAAAGACCGTGGCTTCTATCCAGAAGCAAGTAATCCGAAAACCAAACAAGCTCTGGGTTAGAATCAGATACCAGCCACCTGTTTTCATTTACGGTTGTTTTGTAGTCGAGCGATAGCCTCTTGTTCTGCTCTTATGCATGATAAGACACCGACTCCTTTCCAGGCCAGGGTAGTGCCGAGGCTGTGCCGGGCCCCCGCCGGGTGAGGCAAGCTTTGCTTGGCCTCGGAAGGGCCCCCGCCACCTCTGAGTGAAGAGTACAATTTGTAAAATTACTGTACGGTATGCAGTTCAGGTTCGTACATTACCAGTAAGCTTCATACGTTACAGCTCATACGGTGCTTACAGGACGTGCGTTGTAGCTGATCTATACGAATGCTCTACGATCGACCATCTACATACACTGCTGATCTGGGTTCTGTCGGCATGCGAAGTTGCCTGAAAGCGGGAACAAGCTGCGGTGCCATTACTTCGCGGATCCGGTATCCTCGACCGCGTCCTCCCGGTCCCAGCTCTCCGTCTCCAATGTGCGAACCCTCGTTTCGATATCGAGAATTCGCTGCTGCCAGAATTTCTTGGCCTGCTCCTGGAGCTTCCAGGTAGACATGAATTGCTCGAAGACGAACGGCGGGAGTTCCGTCTTCTTATTCGCCTTGTAGTCATACATGGTAATGTCCTCGTAAACACGGGCAGCAGGTCGTTGGCGAGCCTCGGAGATTATCATGGCTTGAAGATGGAACCCATGATGAGGTGCTTTAGGGGAGCTCGGGTCATGGACTAACTTGTGGTACACCGTAACTTTATCGGGGTACGTCATGGGCTGTGAAGAGAGACGTAATGTTAGCCAGTAACCCCATTTCTCTTAGCAGAAGCACCATACAAATTTGTAGTCGATTGTGATGCTTCGGAGAATGAGGCCGATGCCCTTCGAGCTGACAAGATTAGTCCACTCTTTCTTATGAGCCGGGTCTATATGCATGGCGAAGTTGCGGGTATAGTACACCCGTGCTGTCTCCGCATATCGGGGGTATGTCACGTTGTTGACATGTCCTAGAGAGGTGCTCATGAATGTTAGGAACTGTGCTGATCTAGTAGTCTGGGATAGCGCATACCCTTGTCTCATGAGTTAGTCGAATCCAGTCAACGCTTATGTAGTATTTGATGTCTTACCATGCTATCCTGTTCGATGCAAGTCCATACATTAGCATTTATGCACGATACCATAAGTAAGCCTCCATATGACAAGTGTGTATCATACCATCTCTCCCCACGCGACGCTTTGCTGGAATAGACCCCTTCTCGTCTCATCGGTCAGATAGCCTTCGCTGCCAGCGACCAATTCCCGCCAGTCATTTGCAATTTGCTGCAATACATCCCCGGCTTCTTGAATCTGCGGCGGTTTCAAGCCAAACATCATGCATCTGCCGATTCTTCGCTTGGTCATAGTCAGCCATCGGGGGTCTATGCCGTGGGGTTTCTTTGGTGTTGTTCCGGGGTCAGACGCAGGGGCATCTTGCAATGCGGTCGAGACGGAGAAGAGGCGGGCGCTGAGTGGTGAGTTCCGAGCGGACAATACCGCGAGCGATCGTTTCCTGAATGTTTGTAGGGGTATCATGCTTCGAAATTAGGTGTAGATGGTGAGTGTAGTCTGAAGGAAGGTGGTTGCTCCCGACCCATGAGCTCTCACCTCGGCTAGTTGTCCGGCGGTTGGAGCTTCGGCTAGCCCCGCGCATTCCTTCCTCCGCGCTGTCACAATACCCCCGAATTAGCTGGTGACGGCTTCCAAATCATGGCTGCGGTTCCTCATGATTATATGCCTCGATGTTCTCTTCTTTACCCTTGGTCCCTGAGGTCGGCATATTGCTCAATGACCTTTGCTTAGTCATTGGAGCAAGAACGCCCTAGAGCATCATACTGATTGTCATTGTTGCCTGCGAATATTGCGCGAACACGATAGCCAATACTCAGAGGCGAGAAGCTGAGGTTAAAATCCTAGGCGCTTGCCAGTAACATCATGGTACGGGTATGTTCAATGATATATGCAAGATTCATTCGTTGCATATGCATTGTCCCTGCCCACGAAGTGCGCCATAAGCGAGAGTTCGCTGTCATTTGGCTGTATGTTTAGCATTTGCTTGCCATACGTTGGACGAGTGGATCTCTGGGTGCAGTAAACCCGAGCACTCCCACCTTAAGCCTGGAATAATTTGTCCCATCAGATACATGGATGGTTACAACATTCCAAGCCGAAGCACCCCGTCAATTTCTCCTCTCAGTCAAGGACACCCCCATAATTCTTAATTTAGGACTTGGTGTTGTAGATCTCACTGGAGGCGCCGTAGTGATCACCTTTGGCTCAGTCAAAGAATATCATGTTTTGAAACCCCTGATATTCAATAGTAAATCGCCCCCTAATCAGCCCTGCCTATAAAGATACAACCCTGGAAGGACCTATCAAGACTCCGCCATAAACAACTACCCTTACCCCTCCGGAAAATCAATCCAAACAGCCATATCAAGTCATAGAAGTATATCCTACATGATATCGGAAAGCCCCGATGTATCAACAAGTATCCGAGCTTACCCGGTCCGGCAGCCCCTCCGAAACATCGAAATCGAGATTCCGTCCGTGCGACGTCACCGATAACGTTCCAGCCGGCTAACTAAAGCTGGGGGACAAACAACTTCCTCGATCTTCCCAATTCCCACCTACCGTTCTTCAGAGATCCCAACCCCTGCTTCATTAATTGACCGCACCACTCATGATGACGAATCTACAACTCCGCTCGCAGGTAATCAATATCTACAAGGGTATGTACATAGCCTTTCTCAAACTCCTGCTTCGACTGCATGTGAGATCTCAAGAGTTTCTTCAAACTAACACCCCACCGATGACAGAACTCCTCTTTCTTGGCCGCGAGTACCCACTGGGCTATGAGTACTATCGGAATAGGTTACACAAAGCTTTCTCTAGCCAGGCACATCTGGAAAATGAGGAACAGATCCGGAAAGGTATTGCGAGAGCGGAGTTTGTTAAGAAGGGTAGGTTGGATCCCCTTCTCCAATTGTTTGCGCGGAATGAACAGAGAGCTGATTGTTGGATAATTGGCACAGAAATTGAAGCCTTGTGAGCTACCCCATGCTTTCCCTCTGCCCTGGAATCTCCCTCAGCTTGAACAACTGTCGAGGACCGTCGGATCCTACGATGCCTTGCCTACAGGCGGACGATCAAGTGCATACTATCCGAAGGGCTTGATAATGTTCATTGTTATTAAGTTCCGCATATTATCCAAGTACATCCGAATATTCATCATGTCATGATTCTCGAGATTATACACGCTCGACAATGTCAACGTCAATAACTGACGAAAACGCCCAGGTACTATCTAAAGCGATACCGCACCTTGAAACAGCGCTATGATAATAAATGATGCCGGCCGTCCAACTTGTCGTGGGCCTAATCAACACGTTCTCAAGAAGATTACACAGAAAAAGTAAATGCGAAATTGAAAGGAGAAAAGTGGGGGTATCACCAATATGAGAGAGCAATGGTCACGACGATTTTCGTGTCTTTTTCTTTCCCGCGTTCGCCAGAACACCAACAGTTGAGTTCGTATCCTCTCCGCCGAAGTCTGTTCATTTCTTCCGACCCCACCAAGCACTTACTTCTAAGCACTCTCCGTTCGCGAGGCCTCCCTTCTGGAACAGATCGGCGATCATGGCAGCCCACCATCTGTCCCATTCATCTCTGCTCTTGCCACTGGCTTCCATGAGGATAGGCTCCATGCCTTCAATCATCTGAATTACTGTCAAGAGGGCCGTGCGCCGAATGGACAGCTGGTCTGCGGTCAATTGCCTGCGCGACCCCACTGGATCCTTCCCTTGTCCTTCACGTTCCCACCGTAGTTCTCCTAGCGGGATAGCGATGCGACGACTATCCACGCCCTCTAGAACATCTACCTCTGAGTTGAAAGACAAACCGATTGTGGCACACGGCAACGCCGTCAATTTGCGACGGTCAAAAGCCTTTTCAACCCAAGAGTTATAGTCCTGGAAGAACTTGTTCTGCACTCTTGTGAACGGGGTCGCGGCGGAGAACGTGTAAGTTGCGGTCGCATCGGCCGTCTCCTGTTCCCTGGACGCTAATTTGCGGGCGGGCGCAGGGTTGGGAAGCAAGGATCGGAATACCCAGTCGGAATCCCAAACTTCCAGAATCCCGCCGGATTTGAGGACCCTCAGTGGCTCGCTTAGTCCGGACGCTTGCTGGGCCGGGCTGGATGGACACATTCCTGCGTCCTTAATGAAGACAAAGTCGAAATAGTCGTCCGGGAAAGGGAGGCGGGGCTTTCGGAGGTCGTGTCGTCGGAACTGCCAATGCACACCCTTTTTGCGCAGGTCGGGGGCGACAGAGACAACGTCGATACCATGGAAGACCACGTTACGGTGGCCGCGGCGGACGAAGTATTCATGGCTCATGCTGGACCAGAGGCCTGAACCACATGCGATTTCTAGAACCCGCTTGGGGGGTCGGTCGGCCATTTGCGGGTTGCAGAAGGGACCCCCGAAGACGCGCATGAGCATAAGCGAGCGCAGGGTCTGACGATGTATCTCCTGAAGATCGCAGGGGAGGGGATAGAGATTTTCGGGGTCTCTGAGGTATGTGCGATCCCCCTGGCGGACTAGGGGAAAGTTGGAGTAGTCATTGAGGGAGGTTAGGGAAGAGGTCGACGTCGCGGCGAGGGTTGGACCGGTCGAGCTGGTAGTCGAATGAAGATCGGAGCCCGAAGCTGCGGCGGGCGTAAAAGTCGCGGGCCCATTTGACATCATATCCATTTTGACAGCGAAGATTGGGTTGTCATCGATCTGGTTCTGCTAGCAACCACAGTTTGCATTCTCGCATACAACAATGGCAGCGCAAATCGATCACGGACGGGGGAGGGACTCGAGTATTATGCACATGGTACTGTAATTGAAAGGAAAAGCGTAGGAGGCGAAGTGAAACAAGCGCGAGTCGGAGGGGCGGGGGAGCGAGGATGAGAAAGTGAGGCAGTCCGGATACAGTTCCAGGCGGCCTCGACCCATGGGAAGAGAGACCGAGAAGGAGAGGAGAGAGCAGAAAGATGGAGGGGGGGCAAAAACCATGAAATCGCCCCGGCTCGATTAAATGAACCCCCCCTTAGGGCCACTCCACTATGACTGCGACTGCCTTTTGCTACGACTAATCATCTGGCGGGATTCCGGACAGGCCCCCCAGACCTCTTTTGGGTAGTACTGCTGGGAAGTCAACGGGCCATTTTGGTTTTGATTTTGATTTTTCTGTTTTCTTTTTCTGTTGCCCTCGTTTCCTACTAGTCGGTGCACGGTACGAATGTCTCTGTCGAACGACTCCGACGAGGGAGACGAACGATGCACCTGCTGCTGCTGCTGCTGCTGCTGGTGGCGGACAAGCTGCATCCACCGCAGCCGTCGTAGGTAGTATAGGCCTACGGAGTACACCAAAGTCCCTACTAACTAACCGCCTGCATAAGCCCTGCTGATCTGATAGACACCAGTCAGAGTTCTTTTGACTACTGTTTTCTCCTGCAGCAGGATCCAAGATCAGCAGCCCGAGGGACGGATTATTGGCTCGATTATTTGCTTTGACTGCTTGGAAGGGTGGCATCTGATCGCTCTCATGCAGAATCAGTACTCCGTACGGAGTACATACGAGGGACTCCGTATGGCGTATCCCCAAGACGGTGGAGTGGTCTCGGCTACCCACCGGCCAAATCCGGGCCATTGCCTGAAACTGATTGAATGGTCAGAAAGGATCAAGGTTGCAGCGAGCAAAACGCCATCCATGGATCTAGTTGCAAACTTGCAACCCAAAGTACGGCCGATCCAGCTGCTAACGAACTGATAACGATAACCGCCGCGACGAAACCGGGCACGTCCACCTTCAGTACCCTGCTTCATCCCTTCCAAGTTCACGGGTCGCCCTTTCAATTTCTAACGCCCGTTTCCACCCTCCAGCCCACATTGAGCCCTGCGCGGACATACCGGCAGCTCGGGAGAACCGCGGCAGGTTTTGACGAGCTTCAGATTGGCCCGTCTCCTGAAGACGGAATCCGCCCGTTAGACCCGGGGGGCCGAAGGGAAAAAATGCATCGGGAAACTAAATGAAGAATAATAAGAAACCCAAATAAGAGCTTGGGAGACGGAAAGATCCTGGAAACCGCCTAGCTCAGTCTCAGGCTTTTTAGGCTACAAAGGTAACGGAGAAGGCAAAAGGGTACGGAGTAGCGACCGGCTGTTTGACATCATGAGTGTGTTGGTGTTGGCGACTTGCGATTATTTTGGGTGGCTGTGTGGATCTGAAGAATAATCCTCAACGACGGCGTAGCCGACGCGACCACTCAATCGCTGACTAGAATACAACTATCCAGATTCCAGACCAACCCTAATTAATTCGCCGAGGGCTTCGGAGGAAGACAACAAATGGGTCAATAATAAGGGATGACAAGGATGAGTCCAGATCCTGGTCCATCAACTAGTCTCCATCTCACAAATTTACAACCGTTTGTTGGCTTGAAATATATTGACCTGGAAGGGACAACTATACTCAGTCTTAAATTCAGGAGAAAAAATCATAAGAATCATAATGGAGAACATAAAAAATCAAATCCATTGTTCTCGCCTCCATCCTGCAAGTGTGCAACGCTCCGCCATCATCCAGGATTATTATGCATGCCGGGACCACTCTTGGCCTGAAAAGACACGTGCTGGCACGGGTCACTTGTTGCCCTGTCAGGGATTGCCTCGAATATCATTAGTCCGACAACACTACTATTCTCACTAGTCGATTCGCGGTAGTTGGATTGTTCCCGAGCTCTGGGATTTTTCCGTGGTCCTTCTGGCGTCTTTTACTCCGTATTCTGGGCCCCTTTTTCCCTTTTCTTGTGGATGCCGCTGACACTGTGGTTTCTTTCGCGTTGTTGTTTTGTCAGTTACTCCGTAAGCTGTCAGCACATCGGAGGTAACCAGATGCAGAATTCTTCATACCGATGTCATGTCGGGGTGTCAGATCTTGCAATCTCACTACTGTTACTTCCCAACTCCGGAGGAGGATTTGACATGAATAAGCTGATTCCGAACGGAACGTTGTAGAGTCGTACACCCACACCTGTCAGCAAGAATTATTCTGCTTGGAAAATTCTTATTTGTCCGACTGGTCAGATCTGATTCTGTGTTGCCTTCCATGTGTAAGTATGGGGTATATTACAAGCTTTGCAACGCCGATACGGCATTCTATTCGTCTTACTGAACTGTGATACATGGAGCTTTGATTATTTGATTGCTGTTGTATTACCATGAGACACTTACCATGTGTTTCTATGTCACTACCTGCTGTTCTGGAACCTTACATTTGATAGTTATCTACATCTAGTCTGAATCAATCCTAATGAAATGAGCTTACTTTACGGAACTCGCAAGCTGAGTAGTAGGTGACTGCTTTCAGAAACTAAATCCTCACACTCATATAGTCAACCCCATAAGCCAAACCAAGATCATACCCCAGCTGGATATGTAGCGGAGCCTATCGATAGATCTTTTGGTGATTTTCAAAGCTAGCGATCACCACCCGAGCTGGATTCGGAAGAAGCGATGTTTAATCTAGATTTTAGATAGTGCTTGGTCTGATATCGTTTGCAGAATATGGGTTGGGAGAGTGTTGTATTTGGGGATGATGTACTAGATCATAGATAGCATTGCGTAGAAGTGGTCTGTTCTTGGGGTTGGAGAAAGTGGTGGTCTCGAATCATTGAGTGATTCTAGATTGTTTGCACATGTCATGTGTGAGAGTTGGAGAGAGCGATAGATCTTGGTGAGCTTTCACCTCCTGTGGGTGTTTTGTAGGTTTTGCTTGGAGTTGAGCTTGTTGTGAGACTACCTGCACGGCATCCGCTTAGAGGGCTTGTGTGGGAGAATTTCAATGACTAGGATACTTCATTTAGAAATCAACTTGTTGTGCCTTTGTTTGTCTGATGTACTCAAACGAGCTGAAAATGTTACGGGGTATAAAAGGGTGGATGTAGTAAGTACATGCCGTATGACACTGGGCAGCCACTATCTACTACTCAGCTGGAAGGATTCCAGACGACTCAATCAGTACTTGTCTATTTCAGTGTACTTTTTATGAACATGGGTATATTTACTATCTCGAGCTGAGATGAGCTTGCTTTATCACTGTAATTGTTTGTTCATCATTGTAGCTTTATGACCTCGTATTTCTCGTGGATCTTATCACCTCCGCATCGGTTTGGGTTTGCAAGGGGAATAGTACTACAACGAAATGGGAAGAATGTCTTGGACACTTCTGGAAATATGGGCCCCTTAAGCCCACATAACGAATCGCTACAATCTGTCCAGACCTTGCTCGATAGCGCCTCCAAGTGTCAGTGTCAGTGATCGCAAGCAATAAAGGGATGCCATATAACAGAATACTATTATATAGCAAGGGATCGGAACCAACCGAGTGAGCCACCGTGCTGCGATGTGGCTTCGATACGGACTCCGTCATAGGGTCGCGGGAGCCTTGGTTGGCCCAGGGGGCGGGCGATATGGCCAATTAATCTAGATAAGATAGGGAGCCAGTCCCTCCATGGTCAGTGGGATTGATCATGGAATCAGTGGCAAGGACCGAGCAAAGTTGAATATCAGAAGAAGTAGACGTTATTAGGAATGTCCCCGCATGCAGAAGTCAACAGATCGCATGTTTTGAGTATCTCGATGCCAGTGCTGGAGTGCTTAAGCAGACACCTCCTTACTGGTGCAGTGACCCCCGCGGATCGCCTAGTAGTCCCCTCAATAATTGGAATATGGGGCAGTGAAGGCTACCCAGATCCTGTCCGGTTGCCATTCCCTGAGGGTTAAGACGAGGCCATTCTTCACTTGAGATGGTAGATAATCTGAAGAAAATTTCGGTCTATTCATCTGCAGCCACAAGCCGACCCCTGGGTGTTGCTGTTGTAGCCAGTGGTCGAAGCTGGAGGTGTCCTTGTCGCGAGGTGGTCTTGGCTTGCCATTGGCGGCGAATCACGCCCGCCGGATGTGACTTCACGTGACTCGAGCGACCTCCCGCCTTGGATGCAAACCAACTTCGCAGCGTCAAGGCAAGACTGTCTCATCCCAACAAGTTGCTGGCGCCTTTGCTACATCTCTCGATTCGAATATACGTGCGCATTGTCCGTTCTGCTCCAGCTCACTTGCGTCTGTGAGCCCCGTCTGACTTTGATCCAGTTGCTCGTCAGACCATTGCCTCTCGGTCCTCTCTGACTCGGTCGCCCGACGCCCGCCCCATCGTTCGATCTCCCATCGCCCTCCCGATCCCCGACTCCCAGAACTGCAACTGAAGTCGTATACAACGAACTTTGGTGAAATTGCTGAGGTCTTGATTCCAGCGCGTCATCCGATTGGGGTGGTTCCGCTTCAGGACCCCATGTTGAAGAGAAGGAGAGAACGCATCCGATCCCCGACTCCTCCTCTCTCTCCTGCCACCGCCGCCCTCCAGAGCCCAGCCCTGCTAGCCTCAACCTCTCTCAGAGACTCTCAGCCAATCGACTCACGGTCTCGTCTGCCACGTTAAATGGCAGATGGTACCTACAGGTTCCAGCAGCCTGGGGCCGGGCAGTTCTTCTTTCAAACTCAATCACAGCATACTCACCAGCGTCATCTCGTTCGAAACGGAACCAACTCCCCCACTGGAAGACTAAAATTTAGTCACGACACTCCCTCTCCCTCACGCTCCCCTCCGATCAGTCAAGCAGCTGCGCTCAACCCTTTCACTATGTACACTCAAACCCACCAAGGGCAACATGTCATGATGAATGGCGGCCAGGCCCATCAGCGGTTTGGCATGCAGATCCCTAAGTTTCAATCGCAAAACCATCATCCGCACCCTGCACAGCAGCCTCATCATCACGCCCACCACAATCAAGCGTCCCACACTATTAATCATCAACACAACTTCTCCAGTGGGGCGTTGGCCGCCGCTACTCCGCATTTCACCCCCGGTCCTCTTCAGAATGGTGCTCATGTCAACGTGGATGAAGATATAGATGAGTCTATGAACGAACATTGGCAGCAGCAGCTTCAGCTGGCTGCAGAGTCACGGCAAGCAAATTCCCCCCATTACCATGCCCGCACCGTCGCACAGCAAACCAAGGGCCTCCAGATTAGCCAGTCCGAGCCACAAGAGAATGGGAGTGGTGATCGCAATGGTCTTGTCAAGACCAAAGCTGCTCCGAAGCAGGGCTGGTATGCTCTTGATTTTGGTGGGCAGGGCCTACGTGCACTTTCAACCTCTTTGTTTAGCTATACTTTCCTTGAGAAGTTATACCTGAACCACAACAAGTTGAAGACACTGCCTCCGTCGATTGGACAACTGCGGAAACTCACGCACCTGGATCTGTCAAGCAATGATCTTACAGAGCTCCCCGAAGAAATTGGCATGCTCACCAGTCTCAAGCAGCTTCTTCTCTTCGACAACAATATCCGCACGCTTCCTTTCGAGATGGGCTATCTTTACAGATTAGAGATGCTGGGAATAGAGGGGAATCCTTTAAATGATATCTTAAAGTCACAGATTATCAAGGAGGGAACAAAGGCCTTAGTCCGGTATTTGAGAGAAGAAATGCCAGGTTCGTGCTTGTTGTTGGAACGTGTCCCATCACTTCGTACTAACTATAGCTTTAAGTTCATCTTCCACCCCCCGATAGAGATTGGATTATCCTGGACGAGACCGCAAGCTCCGGCAACAATCCCTCCGAGAAGATCACCGTTCTTTCCCATAACGCTCTATGCGAAGCTTCTGCAACGCCGACTCACTTTGGATATACTCCGTCCCGGGTTCTTTCATGGGAATTCCGGCGTGAGCTTATCCTGAGCGAGTTGAGATCACACGACTCGGACATTATCTGCCTGCAGGAAGTCGACCAAGGCAGTTACAATGGATTTTTCCGGGAACAGCTCGCTTACAACGATTACAAAGGTGTATACTGGCCTAGAGGAAGAGCCATGGGTATGCAGGAGGAGGAAGCCAAGTTGGTCGATGGCTGTGCCACGTTCTTCAAGGGAAGCAAGTTTATTCTTCTCGACAAGCAAATGATCAATTTCGGTCAAACAGCTGTGCGGCGACCGGATGCAAAGGGTCAAGATGACATCTACAACCGACTGTGGCAGAAGGATCACATCGCCGTGGTCGTATTCCTGGAGAACCGGCTGACAGGCTCCCGCTTTATCGTTGTGAACGCACATCTCTACTGGGACCCGGCTTTCAAGGACGTGAAGTTGATCCAAACTGCCATCTTGATGGAGGAGATCACCAAGCTTTCTGAGCAATATGCCAAGTGGCCCGCATGTACTGACAAGACTGCCTTCCGCTTCTCAGAAGCAGAAGGTGAATCGGAGACTCCGCCGCCCGAACCTGCGCCATCTATGCAGTACTCCAGCGGCGATCAGATTCCGCTCTTCATGTGCGGAGATTTCAACTCATCGCCTGGGTCTGCAGCATACAACCTGGTCGCACATGGAGGGCTCACGGAGGCGCATCCGGACCTCGAGAAGCGGCTGTACGGTAACCTCAGCCGGGTCGGCATGACGCACCCGTTCAAGCTGAAGTCGGCGTACAGTTCAATTGGCGAGTTGAGCTTCACAAACTACACCCCGGATTTCAAGGATATCCTGGACTATGTCTGGTTTTCTTCGAATTCGCTGCATGTCTCGGCGTTACTTGGGGAGGTGGACAAGGAGTATCTACAGAAGGTGCCCGGATTCCCCAATTTTCATTTTCCAAGTGACCATATCGCATTATTTGCGGAGTTTACAGTTAAAGGGAAAAAGGGCAAGGTTGTGGAAGCGGATTTTGGACCGCAACGGAATTGAGGGAACGGAGCATGTCGAATCTTACGAGACTGGTGTTTGTGTAGCCGGTTTATCTTGTTATCTCGGAATCTTTGGGGGCCTTTCGCGTGTCTGTGGTGTTCTCTTACGTTGTCATGCTTCTACTGCATTTGCTTCTTTTCTCTTCATTCTTCTTGCGCCTTTTCTTCCATTCTTGTGAGTTTACTTCTTGTGTACTGCTGTCGCCAGCCGACTCTCGTTCAATCGAACCTGCGTATCCATGTTCTTGGTAGGTAGTCACGGACGCAGCAGTTTCATCCTCTCACTCACATCATCATCTCCATCATCTTCCAGCTTTGGTATGTGTTAGGATCTGATATGCCTTCTTAACGACGCTCTGCTTCTTCTTCATCGTCTTCCTCTTCTTCGAGATTCTGCTTCCCCCACTCACATCTCCATCATCTATTGTAGATTGGATCCCCAACACCGGATTCTCTCTTTCTTTACTTCCTTTCCTCCATCCTGTCATCTGCTCTTTCCCTCTTTCTTTCCGCATCTGAATTTGCACTTAGGCGGGCGAATCGGTCTCATGTATGCGTGTATGCTTGTATCCTTAAGCGGTGCTGGTTGCGTCGTCTCATGGGGGTTCTTCACTTATAAAGTCCCCCGGGGGTTGGTTGATTGTTTGGCTGTTGTTGTTTTTGGTTCCGGTTGGATCCAAAACTCCGGGCTTTGACGGTCTATAGCTTAGTAGGTAGCTGTGATTGGGTTCATGGCTTGATGTAGAAAGAGAGGGGTTGAAGTTACGTTTGTTGTTTGCTGTTTGCTGTTTGCCGTTCGTTGTTGATGATGATGATGGTGGTGTTTTTTAGGTTGTGTGGTGAGGGTGTATGTATTTGGTGGGGGTGTGGTTTGTATGGAGTTGGTGGGTGGTTGTGGTTGTGGTTGTGGTTGTGTAGAATGTGCTGATCGTCCTATTATACGGAGTAGGGTGGGAGATGACATGAAAGAATTAAGAATGAATGGGCTTATTAGTTATTTTGTTGGTGTATGTGGGATGTAGATTGGTAGTGGTAGTAATAGTACAGTCTACGAGTAGTGTCTATGCTAGCATGTATGTATAGTACAAATGGGTATCCAATATATGGGAATCAGGTAGAAAGATTGTAGGAAAAAGCAAGTTTCCACTCAGCTCTTCCGCGTATCCTCGATCTTTCTCCAAATGCCGACGAAGCCGCCGCCCACGATTCGCGATCCAACCTTGGGGCGACACACAAGCACACTGTCTTCTTCCTTGGGAGATTCTTCGGGCGAGACAGGCACAGAAACAGTGCTGTCCGAGGACTCGCCCTCAGCAGCGCCGTCCTCAACGGAATCAGAACCTTCCTCGGCGGATTCAGATGCAGAAGCCACCGACACATTCTCCCGGGACTTCTTCACCGCGTGACGAATATCCCATGTCCGACCACCGCTGATCCCGTTTCCAAGCTCAACGACCTTATCCTGCACGAGAGGGAGTCTCTGTCGACGGATAAGATCCACGCAGTCGCCGATCTGCGTCACGCTAGGCATGAAGACAGCCAGGAGGCCGTCTCGCTTCAGAATCGAAGCGACGTGGGGAATCCGCAGATGCGCAGACGGCATATCCAGAATCGCGTAGGACAGGAACGGTTCAACCTCGTTTTTGAAGGAAAGTAGACCTGTTGGCGCGCGCTGTCTCTTCTGCTCTGCAATCCAGTCCTCCACGTGGCCGGCGTAGAAGTCCACGTTCCCTGTGTAGATGCCGCGACGGAAGCCCCGGACGACGCTTTCGGCGTGGACGGAGGTCTTGGGTGTGACGTCGACGCTGTGGATGATTGCTTTGCGTTGAGAGCGCCAGGCGTCCCAGTTTTCTTGGTCGGGGTTGACGGTGTCTGTCGCTCCATCTTTGGGGGATTGGATCTTGCGTGTTGCTACCTCTCCGGGCTTTGTTGGTAGGTAGGTGACTTGGGAGCTGCGGGGGAGTGGTGGAGGAGTTGAATTGGCGCCTTGGATTGCGCGCGCCAGGTGGAGAGTTAGGGAGCCATGGCCGGTGCCGGATTCGAGGATTTCTAGGGGTGGTTGGGGGTGGTCTGTTTCTTCGGCTGGGGGCGTGATGTGAATGTCGAGGAGGGAGACGATGAGATTGGCGTCTTGTGAGTAGATCTATTGGCATTCGTTAATGAGGGCTGGTGGTGCTACTTGGTGTGATCGGGTCCGTACCGGCGTGACTAGACGGGGTGTCAAGGCAACGTATTCTTCGAGCGTGGGGAGGGAGAGTCGGTATTCAGGGCCTGTGAGCGTAGTGGGTTGTTAAATTCATTCTGTTCTTTTGAAATCTTAGAAACGAGCATGCTGACCTTTCCGCGCCTGAACCAGATCCCGTACCCTCTGGCCGATGATATTGTCATGCTCCAATTGTCCCCGACGAGTGTCCGATTTCTGTCCCTTTCGCAGAGGCTTGCTTAACAGCGGTGTCTTGCCATTGATGACGACTCTGTCTCCCTCTGTGAGGAAAATCCAATCGATTAGTATGCGATGGCGCAATCGAGAACGGGTGAGCCGCTCTCTGCGAGAAGGTTGAGACGTACCTTGGAAGTAGGAAAAATTGGTGTCGATTGAACGGCCATAACGAGGGACCGGAGCCGAAGATGTCAGTCCTAAGACGCGACGCAATGACTGCAGCAGACGAGCCATTGCTGAGATTCTGGAGGGAGGAATGCCCTCGAGCTGCAAATCGGATCAAAAATCGGGACTGATCAACCCGCCGGGAAGAGACTCGGTTCGGCTAGACCCAGAAAAGAAAACCCAAATGAGATGAAAATCAAGGGCAGGATTGGCTCCACCGCCAAAGACATCTTCTGTTTAGTGTCGCGGTGGAATTATGGGGAACTCCGCATGGGTCCATTCAGGGCGATTATCCCTCTGGCTGAGGATTGCGACTATCCACTGATCGAGTTTAGTCTCTCGTCGCGGGGTCTTTGCTCTACTCCCAGCATCCCCTCGTCGCTTTCTGACATCTTCAAGCCTCAGCCAGCATCTTCCTCATTTCGCACCCGCAGTCTCTCGAGTCTGTCTCTCTTCGGATTTTGATTAGGTTTGTCTCTCTGTTCCTTTCCCAGGCTCCGAATTATCCCCGCCGTTTACGTCCGATCATCACCCAAGACCTCGCAATCTATTTATTCCCTTGATTTGCATGTCAAACTCTGGTTGCGAAAGTGACATTGTTGCAGCGACACTGACTCGGCTAGAATAACCCCACCAAATCCTTCACCATGACCGTTTCTCCGCTACCATACTTGAAAACCAACCCCAAGATCATCTTCTTCACGGATTTCGATGGAACCATCACTCTCGAAGACAGTAAGTACGGTTGAAGTCTGTCAACAGCGTGGAGTCAAGCAAGTGCAACCGCTAAATTTCATCACAGGCAATGATGCTATGGTATTTCCCCTCTCGCATGCGCACTCGCATCTAGAAATGCTTCGCACTACTAACATTTGGTCGCAAGATTGATAACCTTGGCTACGGGCAACCAAAGCGCCGGCAAGGAAACCTGGCTGTTCTCGAAGGCACCATGAGCTTTCGGTATGTGAAAGACAACATGCGCAGGACCCGGTTAATCCCTATTACGCAGTGACGCTTTCCGCGATATGCTCGACAGCATCAAGACTCCTTACAACGAGTGCATCGAGTACCTCAAAAAGCACATGAAGTTGGATCCTCATTTTGTGGAATTCTACAAGTGGTCGAAGGAGAACAACGTACCGATCGTGGTGTTGTCTTCCGGGATGGTGCCCGTCATCAGCGCCCTGTTTGAGGAATTCCTGGGTGGCAAACCGGATGACCACCTCTACATCGTCGCCAACGAGGTGGAGGGCCGTGATGGAAAGGATATCAACACCGAAGGTGGCTGGCAGATCAAGTACCATGACGATAGGTAAGGACCCCTGAACCGTTCGATGGGGTCGAATCTGACGTCATATTCTAGCCACTTCGGCCACGACAAGTCCTTGGAAATCAAGCCGTATGCCGCACTGCCGGACAGTGTGCGCCCGACCTTGTTGTATGCAGGAGATGGCGTGTCCGATTTGTCTGCCGCCGCAGAGACTGATCTTCTGTTTGCCAAAAAGGGCAAGGGTGGGTTCCAGATCCTATCTGGGCTTTGGATTTGTCTTGGCTGACTTCAGTAGACTTGGTGACATTCTGTGAGCGCGAGAAAATTCCGTTCACCCTCTTTGAGAGCTGGGAGACTATTCTGGCCACGACCCAGGATATCCTGAGTGGCAAGGTTTCTGTCAAGACCGTGGCTCAGGATGGATTGGAGGCCGTTCACCAGGGAGCAAACAAGGTTTAATGCGTTGCTGCGGAGTCGAGACTCAGTTCTCCGTGCTGTTAGATATAGAGCGCTTGGATATACACACAGAGACACAGTTTAGATATCATGTTGGATAGAGGAATGAATATAATAGAGTCCGGATACTCCGTAAACCGGTGCATTCGTATTCGTAACGGGACTAGTGTAGGGTTCGAGGGGCCATACCTGAACTGGTTAGGGGCCGCCAATCCCGACCCGACTGGCCGCTGACATGTGACCGACCGCCTTCCCAATGGGATTGGCTCCGAGCCGAATGGATGAATAGGAAGGATATCCTCCGGACAGCTGAACACCTTCTTTCCCCTCCAAACGAATTAATGGCCCCTTGAGATGACCTAGTATCAGGTCTTCTCTGTGGTGAGCCCCTAGATTTCTCTTGTGGCTTTGTGTTTCAACATGCTCCTGCGCTCGGCCACTTCTCATCCGATTAGAACTGGCCAGGGGTACCAACTATTTCTAGCATGACACGCCGACTTGTATGTCCCTTTACGTCTAGTGAGGCTTCGCCGCTAATATGATTTCGCTCTAGGTTCGCGCGGGCGTGCAGCTCGCCATCTTTGCGTCTTTTGTCGCTCTCCTCGTTGTAACCTTGGACAACCGATTCCGTGTCCTTCCTGCCTCCATCCATGGCCACCTTCCATCCCACTACGATGGCTATGCCATCACCGATGTCACTGTTGTGACCTGCTCCTCCATGAACGTATTTTCCAACTGCCAACCGAATCAGGAGTCGTGGTCGCAAGTCGACAAAGACCTTTACCTTCGCACCGGCTGGACCTCAAGCGCATTCATTCGATTTGAACGAAAGAAGGAGGAAGAACTTCTCCCTACCGACAAGGTCGTCATCGATCTCAAGATCAGTCGACTTGTTCCCGAATATATAGAAGACCCCGAGTCCCAAGGAGAGACATGGGAACAGAGACCGGGTGGCATCTGGCTGCGGCGATCCGCGAAGCGCCATGCGAGCGACTCCCAGAAGGCCATCACAGCGATCGATGTCCTCTTCGGCGCCGACGCAGTTGACCCGCGGATTGGCTGGGAAGTTAAAGATACCCCGCTGTTACTGGATAGTCGGACGGAGGGATTGGAAACGCGTATTAGCGTTCGGCGAGGAAACCCACCTAGACCCAAGAAACCAGTGCCCAGAATCAATGAAAACGGGCGGTTCAAGATCATGCAGCTGGCAGACTTGCACTTGAGCACGGGCTTAGGAGCCTGTCGTGACCCCGTCCCGGCGGAGCCTGTTCCGGGGCAAAAGTGCGAGGCTGATCCTCGGACATTAGAATTCGTGGAAAGACTCTTAGATGAGGAGCAACCTGACTTTGTTGTCCTGAGCGGTGACCAGGTGAACGGCGAGACGTCGCCGGATGCTCAGAGTCCTCTTTTCAAGTCCGTTAAACTGCTTGTTGATCGCAAGATTCCCTACGCGGCCATTTTCGGCAACCATGACGATGAGGGAGATCTCAAGCGACCGGAGCTCATGACCATCCTGGAGGATCTGCCATACTCCCTATCTGCGGCAGGGCCTGAGGAGATTGACGGAGTTGGGAACTACTATGTCGAGGTCCTTGGCCGCGGAAGCACGGCCCACTCCGCGCTGACTCTCTACCTTCTGGACTCCCATTCCTACTCTCCCGACGAACGGCAGTTCCGTGGGTACGACTGGATTAAGCCGAGTCAAATCCGGTGGTTCAAGAATACCGCTCAGGGGTTGAAGGCCAAGCACCATGAGTACACGCACATGCACATGAACATGGCGTTTATCCATATTCCGGTGCCCGAGTATCGCGACACTGGCAATTACTACCGAGGGAACTGGAGCGAGGTTCCAACGGCTCCGGGGTTCAACTCGGGTTTTAAGGATGCCCTTGAAGAAGAGGGCATCCTATTTGTTAGCTGTGGACAGTGAGTGATGTCTTTCCTCATCTACTACCTTTCGCTAAACTACTTCAGTGATCATGTCAATGATTATTGCATGCTTAACAGGGATAACGAGGAGAAGCCCTCCCTTTGGATGTGCTATGGAGGAGGTGCTGGCTTTGGAGGCTACGGAGGGTACGGGGGCTATGTGCGACGTGTGCGGTTCTATGACTTTGACATGAATGCCGGTCGTGTGATGACGTACAAGCGGCTCGAGTATGGTGAGACGGAGGCGAAGATCGATGAGATGATGATCATCGATGGGGGGACAGTGAAGGGGCCTGAGCCCGACAATTAAGCTTAATTGTCGGGCTCTCATCTCCCTCTTCGAGCTGGGTTTCTCGAAGCGCTTGTGATGCAGTATCCACGAGATTTCGCATCTGCTATTAGGTGGCGTTTCCATTCGATTCCGAACCGGCGGACACTTTGATTCTTGTATTATAGTATTGATTCGACATTTGCAGGGTTCTTCTTCGGCCGTGGTATTCCTTCCAAAAATTGATCTATTTTTTCCCCATCACCACCACTTTTCATAGAATACACGCTCCCCTTTCCCCAGGAACCCCTCAAGGCTCTCCACCACTTCATCCGTCATCTCCGGCGGCCCACACACATAACACACCGTCTCCTCCGGCCTGACCCTCCCATCCGGCCCACTAACCACCTTTTCCAAATCCCCCCGATTAATCCTCCGCGCATGCAGCGTCAAATCCTCACTCGACCCACCCAGCAAAGACCCCAACTCCGTCCCCGGATCCAAATCCGTAATAAACAGATCTAAACTAATCTGCAACCGATGAAACTGTGACTGCGACGCAATGATCTGTCGAAGACGCGACAGAAACAGGACCTGGTCGAGACTCGTCCCGTTGGCCTCGCCCTCTCCGCGGGGGAGTTTCGTCGAATATAAGAATCGGATGTTGAGGTGTGGATGTTGGAGGGCGGTTGCTTCGTCGTCGCCGTTGTTGAGGTGTGAGAGCATGGAGATTAGTGGGCTGGTTACTGTTAGTAACTTTCATCCTATCATCATTCTCTTCCCGTTGCGCAGTCGATGTACTACACTACTCAAAAGACAAACAAGCAACATAGAAATGAGGGAAAGGGTATCAACATACTTAATCCCCACCCCACCCGCTACAAAAACCACCGTGCGAATCCTCGTCAACTCCACCACCCCACTACTACTAGGCGGCCAAACGAAACTCCCTCCCACACGAATACTGAGTTCCGTGCCTAGGATCTCATCCGCGGGACGCCACAGCCACGCACTAGCGGGGTTGGAGGGCGCATGGCGAACGGCTAATTCCACGTAGGGAGGTCTGCCGTGGGGATCGATGGGGGGGATGTCTGTTTCTTCGATGGGAATGGCGGTGGGGGGTTCCAGGGAGGGGAGGATTTGGGCGTCGGCGGGGGTGGAGGTGATGCTGAAGCCGCCGGCGTGGGAGATGGTCGGGATGTGGACGTCGAGCCATTGGCCCGGGAGGAAGGTTAGGGGTTGGGGGGGTGTGGTCTGGTTTGGTGTTATTGTATTAGTATGGGTGTGGATTGGGGGGTGCTATGGTGTGTGTGCTTATGGGGTATAGAGTATATTGGTGATGTTACAGTTGTGTTGGTGAATCATACTTGGTCCAGTTCTGGCCCCTCGGCCTCATCCTGGACCTCCGGGGGAATGGTCAGTTGCAGGAGCCGCACGGAGGGATTGACCTGCTCGATGTGCGAGAGCCGGACGTTGTACAGACGGTTTTGTCGGGGTTCGGCGGCGGTACGGAGTTGATGGGGCTGGGAGCCCTTCCGGCTGGTCGGGGAGCTCATGTGGTGTGCTGGTTGGGATGGTAGCTGGCGCTTAGAGAGGTTGGTTGGCGGGGGAAGATGAGGGCGAGGTGAGAGGAGGTGATGGTGCTGCTGCAGTAGGGCGAGTCTCCGCATCCGGAGGTCCAATGGTTGCGGTGGGTTTGGAGTTGGTTTGGTGATGGGAAGTTTGATGGGCTTAGTGACGGGTAATTGTTTAGTCTTTACGGAGTAGATTGAGATTGTACAGTAGAGTGAGGTGGAAATGAATGTTTAATGAAGGAAGGGGATGGATGACGTCGGGCTGTCATGTGCTTTTTCCCTTGATGGGTTGTATTTCGCTTTCTACTTCTTCTTCTCTTCTTGTGATTTGACCTCGACACCACTATAAGAAACATCAAGTCATGCTACAGACAACATAAATCGATGGTATTGTTGCTACTGCTAACCGCTAGCACACCAACAACCCCCTCTCGTGCATTCATGCAGGCGCAATCACAACCAGCACACGGTCCGTCTCCACCCGGGCGCTTTGCACTCTGACAGGGCAGCGCTGACATCCTCTCAGGGTCGCATTCACCAACCGGCAGGCAGATCCTTGATCCAGTCCCGTTGCTCGGATGGCCGCTCGGAGCATGCAGATCGCCCTGCTCCATCACACGTCTAGTGTGTGACGGCCGGCAGCCAAACGGCAATTCTGCCGCCTCATTGGTGATGGGCCCCCGACCTGGCGCCGATGCTGGCGCTTCCTAGACGACAAGCATTGGCCAGATGCAACCCGTGGGAAACATCAACTGCTTTCCCGCTTTCTGGCCTGCAATCGCATTGCTGTGATAGTGCCCCTCTCCTCACCTTGGCCATGGACCGCAGAGCTGGCGCTTCCGCGGCGCTCGACTTCTTATGTTCGCCGTCACCCCAGGATCGCCCGGAGCTTCTCTGATAGCCCATCTCGTCTCATCTCTCTTGTCCGTGTTTCATCGTTGGCGTTCGATGCCAGTGAGCTGAACGTACGCCAGCCGGCCTGGCCATCAGTCGTGATCACGAATTCAGCCCATTCAGAAAACCCTAGCCTTTGTCATTTACTTGCTGGCTTGCATGACCTACGGTGCATCAGCATCAGCATCAGCATCAGCATCGCCATCATGCGTATCCCACGTATCCCACCGTTTCGTGAATTCTTCCCGACAAAATGGCGTAACCACAACACGATGTACATATTCATGGCCGTCGAGTTGCCGCTTACGATCATCATTCTCACGCTGACCGGTATCGCCTCTCATGATCTCTACCGGACGAAGCTATGGCAAGATGGCGCAGACAATGGATTCAATAGTTCGCCAACGGATAGACTTTACGCCGCGGCCAATCATCGATCCTACACGACTCCCATTGTCTGGAGCTCATTGTACGTGAAGCATTGCGGTTCATCTCGTATATCATGGCTGACCTGAAATAGCATCACGGAGTACAACCTTGTCCTGGGGATTCTGAGCGTCTTCATGTGGATCACCAAGATTCCCGTCCATATCCTCCACATGCTCACTCCACCATTGTCCGCCTTCGTCCACGCTGGCATGATCGCCGTGTGGTGCTATTCCGCTCGGTATCAGGCCGGCCCCGATATGTCGGACCCCGAGCATCCTCAGCCGGGTGCACCCTGGTACATCGCGAAGAAGTGCTCCGTGGCTGCACACAAAGAAGACGTTCATTATTGCAACCAAGCCAAGGCTTTGTTCGTGTTCTCAATCATCATCATGTAGGATCCCTACCTCGAGATGAAGTACCACTCAGCCAACTGACAAATTCTAGCTTCTACTACTTCGCCGTTCTCTGCCTCAGCTTGCGAAACTGCATCATGACCAAAGAAGAGCGGGAAGAACAAGCCGAGCGCGACGAGGAGCGCAAGACCATGAAAGAATTCGAAGAATTCGTTCTCCAGTCGCCTGGCCTTCCCCGGACCGCATCCCTAAGACAACCCGGGACCATGCCTATGCCTGGCAAACCCCCATTCCACAAGACAGTCACCCGAGACACCGACGCATCGTCGTCAGACCTCCCCCTCCGCCAACACTTCAGCTCACCAAATCCTCGTCGCTCGATGCACCAAGAATCAGCCGAGTCCCTTTCCGGCCATATGGCGCAGTCTCAAACCTCCTTCGTGCAGACCTCCAAGGCGCGTGCCAACTAAGCCATGGGATCGTCCCACCGAGGCTGGACTAAAACGGCTCCTCGGGACAAGACCAGGTGCACGTGTCGGGGTCCCCGTGGCTCTAGTTTAGTTTGGTCCTCGTAACCCCTCCAGAGGGATCAGCGTTAAGCCTAATGTGTCGGCCCGCATTGACTAAAACTGTCGCTAAGCGATCGAATCCATGGTGTTTCACCTGCCTCCACTTTCAGATTCCCTTTTCCACCTTACATTATTCCCCCAATCTTTGTTTTCTATACCATCGTGCGTCGTCGTATCTTACCAGAATCCATTATAGTTAATGTTACCACCCAAGTCTAGACTAGTAAACAAGCATAAGTCATGAGATCAGATCAGATCACCGCAACGGATAAGAGATGAACAGATATGTAGATCGATAAATCGATAGGTCACGAGTCCAGTGCTCAGCTATGACAGCGCAGCCGCTAAAATGTTCTGACCTGTCTGTCGGTCACTGTCACCGGCACCGGCACCAGCACCGGCAAACCCACCACAAGAACAACGCACGAGAAAGAGATAGATACATAAGCAAAGCAGGGGTATCCTCGCAGGGCTAACCGCCCCTTCTGGCAAATGCAAATGCAGTTAGTAATGACAATTCATACAAACGCTAGTCCCACCCTTTTCTCCCCTCCCTGTATTCCACCGCTACGACCCCGAGTCCTGGCGCTTTTTCTCTTTTTTGGCCCATCGTACTGTTTGCTGTTAGGTTACGTCGTGATACCGGGGGGAGGTGAGTTAGGTGGTGGTTCGGGGGAAACTTACACCCGCAAGCGTTACAGAGGGTCTTTGGACCTTCTGGGCCCTTTCTCCATTCCGGAGAATCGGAGGTCCCGCAATCTGTGCACATGTACTCGCCCTTCATGCGCTTCTTTCTGTCGGCGTCGGTGGGGTTCTTGGTGGCCGGTTGTGTTGGCTGTTGCTGTGGTTGTTGCTGTTGCTGCTGTAATTGCTGGTCGCTCGGAGTATTTGACTCCATGTTACAATGGACCAACCGACCATGACGAACACCCGTACTCAAACCCTGTGACCGCTCTCCCTCTCCGTAATACAAGCCCGTCATGACCTCGATCCCATCGATATGCGACATATCTTCACCCTGCGGTAACCGATCCCCCACCTGTTCCAGGAACGACCGCGAGTCGGTATCGTCCGCGACGGTGATCGTATCCGACGATTCATTCTCCTCGCCCGACACGGACGTATCCCGTACATTTGACTGCGTAACCGTGGACTGCATCGTCGAGACATACGTCTGACGCGTTGTCGTGGTGGTAGTGGTCGTCGTGGTCGTCGTCTGACCACTAGGAGCGACTGGTCTCGCATTCAACTCCTCCTCTTCCTCCTCCTTCAATTGCGCGATGCGCTGGCTCAGTCGGATATTTTCGATCTTATGTTCCAGGAACGAATCCAGTAATTGTGACCCCCGCGTGGGGTATGGTCGACAGACGAGGAAAATCCCCTTACAGACCGTCTTCTGCTGTCGGGGTTCGGCGGTCGCAGGAGCAGCCCCCGCTGCTGCTGTTGCTGCCGCGGTCGTCAAGTGCGGGTGCCCATACGCTTCCAGTAAGCAGAAGCTATTGTCCGGTCTACAAAACCGGAAGTGACATCGGATTTCACGCCCCGTTTTCATGCATTCGTCCAATTCGTGCCCGAGGATGGGCTTATCATCCTCGTGGATGAACCGGGTGAAATCGCTTTTGACCAGGATGGCCGTATCAACGCCCGTGACGTCGGTACAGGAGGATGATGCGTACAGCACCCGTCCATCGGGACTGAGTAGCAGCAGGAGGTCTTTCAGTTCGCCCAGGACCCGCCCCGACCAGCCCTCATTGTTGGCTCCGGCGGGGGCAATTTCGGGGGAGCGGCGTGGGTTGGGCCCCGCCGGTGCGGCCAACGTCGCAGTAGTAGGGGCAGTAATAGGGGTAGCAGTAGCAGAAGTAGTAGTAGTAGCAGCAGAGGAGAGTTGGAGGAGATTGGCGGCGCCGAGGCTCATCGAGCGAGGAATACTCCGCGCGTCCATGCTATACGGCCCCGGTGGTTTTGAGTTCGGGACTGGGGCTCGGAGACCGTATGCTTGGGACGGAGTCTGGTTCTGCGCCACTCTTCCTCCTCGATGGAGCTCGAGTTCCATCGCTGGGCGGAGTGAGATCAATCGATCGATCAATCACTCACTCACTCACTCGACCACCTGGGGTTCTCCTCTTCCCGGGGCACTCCGTGGGTTGAGCGAAGGGGGGGAGGAGGATGAACCAGGGAGGGGGAGGGGGGAGGGGAGAACAGCGAGGGTGGTTGAACGAGCTCTTAACCGTGGACGTTCATGTCTTGGGCGACATGGAAGTCGGGACAGGAGGTACAAGGATCAAGGGTCGCGGTGGTGAACCCGACAACCAGTAGAGCTGTCAATTCCTGTACTTTTGGCCGGGCCCTTCGTCATTGGTATCGCGGCATTACGGAGGCTCCACCACGGCTGCCAATGAAATCCGCCGATCGGGCTGACATGACGGCGCTTGCCGGCCAATCCCTGCGATCAGGGGTTTCCGTGGAATGCCCGTCTTTGATTGGTTGTCCCCGGGGCCGGCCGGAGCTTTCCCGTCCTGTATGTATCTTCATGTCGGCGGGGATCCAGTCCCTTCATGCAGGGGGGAACCTGGTCGGTACTGCGCGGCTTGGGTACTCTTGCTGTTCACTTGCGTTGCTGGTGTCCGACGGTGAGATCTCCAGTTGTCCTGACTGGCTCTTGACTCTTGACTATCTACTGTCGAGGCCCATCGTGTCGTCCACGGGAAATTATCTGGCTTCCGTTAGATCCGCTGGGGACGTGCATCGCGTAGCGTCGTCTAATTTTATCTCGTGCGCTGAGATCAGGCACCAATGATGATTGTCTCATGGCATGGAGTCTGGTCGACTGGGATGTACACCCTCACCGGAACACCCCAAGGAGAATGATGCAATTCCTTCGTTGCGATTGCCCATGCCGCTAAAGTGACGGTCCTGCAATGCAGCCGGAGCACCACGCCACAAGGACAGCCCTATGCTGGCATTGACATCTTCCGGCGGATGCAATTTTCCGGTTAGGGGGTGATGGCGAGCCATCAGAGACGGGTGACCCTGGACGGACGAATCCAGGAGCTACACATCGATGATTATGGGCTACAGTTGCGTTGAGGTTCAAATCCAACCAATTTAACTTTCTTAGTCGGAGTCACTGCATCAAAGCAGGAACTAGTATTGATCCAATAGAATCAAAGCCAAGATACCATCGCCGTTCAATGCAAAACCCAAGATCTCACTACTACTAGCCAACCCTCACCATCCATTTCTCCGGGACATCAAAGAACCACGAGATTGAAAGGAGGTAGTCAGCGTTCACTACCAACATATCATCAGTTCAGATTACACCTCGCATCCCTCATAGGCATCAACTTACGGTATCACGGGTTGCACTGGCACTTCAGTTCACTTTGCACTTGCAGCGATATCCGGGGTGCACACAGCGGCAATGCACGCGTGAACCGTCGGTACAGAAGCAGTTTCTGTTATTATCGCATTTGCCACGGCACATTTTCTGTTGGGTTGACTTTCTGTTAGCATGATTTCTGGAACAATTTGATAAAGGAGGAGGGAGGAGCGATGCTTACAGGCTTCAAGGCCTCCTCGAGAGAGTCAGTGATAGGCGAGGACACGTCATTGTCGTCGAGATCGTCAACACCGTCGTCAACAGTCTCGTCAAAAGCCTCGTTGGAGGCGTCGACAGGAGCAGTGGCAACGTTGTCAGGAACGGTGTTGTCGACGTTGGCGACTGCGGTAGGGGCGTCAAGGGGAGTAGCCAGTCCAGCCTGGATGAACAGACCGAACAGGGCAAAGAGCATGAAGATGTTCTTGAAGGTGAACATTTTGAGTAACCAAAAAAAGGAGATTGGATAATTGTATTGGTTTCAAGGCGGTGGATCTGAGAAATGAAGAGCTATGAGGTGGAAGAGGATGAGGAAGAAAGAGGATGATGATGATGGTGGGTAAAGGATGTCCTTTTATACAGATGCGCAGGACCGTCGACGTGAATCTGATATAGCCATGAGTGACGGCTGCGAGTGACGGCTATTATATGAGTTATTTGCAGTGACGGGATATACCATTCTTTTGGATTATATGTGAGTCTCTACTCTCGATATACGTGAATTGTAGATATAGCGTCATGTTATAGTGAAGAGATTACTATCTGCTTCACGGAGTTATAGAGACTTGATGACTGCCAGAGCCCTGATATTGATAGAATTTTGACTGAGCAGATACAATGATCAAGTTATGATATATGAGGTTAACCCTATGCTTATGCGTAGAATGCGTCGATTCACACGCCATAGCATCCGAAGTATAGTATATGATAAACATACCCCGTATACCAAACACAATCGTACCTTCCCATAACATACACAGTAAAAAAATCCCAGAATATCCCCTCTAAAACACCAAACCTCCTATACAAAACACCCCTCCCCAGAATCCAGTCTCCCTCTACATCAACCCCCTCCCCCACCCTCTCCTCCAGCGATACAGTACACGAAGCCAGGAATGACCATATCGCATCCCAATCCATTCTACGCCCAGAACCAAAACGTCTCAGTAGTCAATAACTCATTCATTTCCTCTGCATATTTGTTTAAACAACCAAAAATAGCCACCAAAAATATATCCTAGATATTGATCCCACCAGCACGTGACCTCGCGCCGCCTCCCCGCGTCATCCGACGCGCGCATCCCGACCCGGCTCCAGGCACCGGGCAGTGGATCACGCATCGGGGAGTGTGATTGTGATTGTGATTGTGATTCGACTTTCATATCGCCATTTGTTTTTATTATCCGGACAAACCCCTCTCAGAGGGAAAAAATCTAAAATGTGAGCTTAGTTTATTCTACACCCCACCCCACCCACTGGTTAGTTAAACTAATGAGGTATCAGGTGTAAGTTCTTTCCGCAGAGATGAGGAAATAGGAAATTCATATTGATGCCGGGTTAGCGAAGATTGATAAGTTGTCGATTCTGGGGTGAGATTTAACTATATTTCCTTTCTTCTTCTCATTTCGACGGTAGATGAAGGGAATGATTTGTTTGCTGATTGGCATGTGTGATGTGTGCTGGGTGATAGGGTCCGGTCATTCGATAATACGCGCAGCGAGACGATCCAGTTCCATACGCCGCTGACTTTGATTGTGGGGTATAATGGGTCGGGGAAGACGGTATGTTTGAACTGGATAATTGGGATGGATGGGGTGGGTGGTGTGTTAATGATGAGGTAGACTATCATCGAATGTCTCAAATATGCTACCACCGGCGATTTACCTCCCAACAGCAAGGGCGGGGCGTTTATTCATGATCCGAAGGTATGATTACATTGCATGATAGGGATGGGATTGATGCTGAGACTTGGTAGCTATGTGGCGAGAAGGAGGTTCTAGCGCAGGTGAAACTGTCGTTTAAAGGCACGTCCGGGGCGAAGATGGTTGCGACGAGGAGTTTACAGCTTACGGTGAAGAAGACGACGCGGCAGCAAAAGACATTGGAAGGACAGTTGTTGATGGTGAAGGATGGCGAGAGGACGTCGATTTCGTCTCGTGTGGCGGAACTGGATCAGATCATGCCGCAGTATCTGGGTGTGTCGAAGGCGATTCTGGATTCGGTGATCTTCTGTCATCAGGATGAGAGTCTGTGGCCGATGAGTGAGCCGTCGGTGTTGAAGAAGAAGTTTGATGAGATCTTCGAGGCCATGAAGTATACCAAGGCCATTGATAATATCAAGGCGCTGCGGAAGAAGCAGAACGAGGAGCTGGGGAAGTATAAGATTATGGAGCAGCATGCCAAGGAGGATAAGGAAAAGGCGGATCGTGCGGAGAAGAGGTCGATCAAGCTCCAGGATGAAATCGAAGCGCTGCGGGACGAGACACACCAGCTTTCTCAGGAGATGCGTCGCGTGGCAGATCTGGCTGACAAAGCGTGGAAGGAGTCGGAAAGTTATTCTCAGATTCTGGGGGCTCTTGAAGGAAAGCGCATTGAGGCGAAGAGTATCCAGACGACGATTGATAATCTGAAGAGACATCTGGTTGAGCTCGACGACTCGGATGAATGGCTACAGTCGAACTTGGAGCAGTTTGAATCAAAGCAGCTTCAATATCAGCAGCAAGAAGAGGCCAGAAAGGAGAACTACATGGAGCTCAAGGAGCAGATAGAGCAATTTCGGCAGAGACTGGGTGCCAAGCAGGCGGAGTATGGCAAGTTTGAGAACGACAAAGCCAACTTTGAGCGCCAGGTGGAGAGGCGACAACGGATGACGAAGGAGATTGCCCGGAATCACAATATTCGTGGCTTCGACAATGTTGTAGACCAGGCGGACGTCGACGAGTTCATGAGGAGAGCGCGGAAGATCCTCAAAGACCAGAACCAAGCGCTGGACCGGGTCAAGAGGGAGGCGCAAAGCGAACTGCGCGAAGTCCAGGCAACTCTCAACCAGATTGGACAGCAGAAGTCTGCACTTCAAGAAAGTAAAAACGCAGCGAAGCGACAGATAGCCGCGAATGACAAGGAGGCGGCCACTTACCAAGGCAGGCTCAACGAGATCAACGCGGATGAAGGCGTCCAGGCTGCGCTGGAGTCGAATATCGAAGATATCGGCTCTCGCTTGGAGCAAGCCAAGGAGCGCGCACGATCTGCCTCTTGGGACAAGGAGATACAGAATGTGAACTCGCAGATCCGCGACCTCGAAGACGAGAGTTCGCGTTTGAATGCCGAGCTCATTGAGGCGACAAAAAAGGCCGGGGACCTGGTCCGGTTAGACCACCTGAAGAAAGAGCTGAAGGAACGTGAGCGCAGTTTGGAGACTATGACAGGAGCCCACGGCGAACGTCTGTCAAAGTTCGTTAGCTCGAACTGGAACTCTGAATCTCTGGAGCAGCAATTCCAGAATGTGCTAGAGGAAGAATCCAGACACGTCTCAAGGGCTGAGCGCGAGCGGGACGGGGTCAGCAGAGAACTGGAACAAGTGGAGTTCAAGCTGAAAGGCGTCAAGAAGACACTGAGCCAGCGTCAAAAAGAACTCAAAGAGTGCGTCGAGGAAATCCGTGAAGCAGTCAGTGACGAGCCTGAAGAATATCCCGAGATTGTCAAGGAACGTCAAGCCCAGCTCGACCTTGCCAGAAAGGACGCCGAACAATATGCTGGAATTGGCGAGTACATGGCTACTTGTCTCGAGACCGCAAAGTCGGCGAAGCTCTGCAGACTGTGCACGCGTTCATTCAAATCCGACGCCGAATTGCAGTCCTTCAGGAATAAACTGGAGAACCTAGTCAAGAAGGCAAAGCGGGATGCCGAAGATGAAGATGTCCGCCGTCTCGAGGAGGACCTCAACGCAGCCCGCGAAGCCAGCACTGCCTACGATACCTGGTGTCGTCTGAAGCAAACTGAGATCCCGGACCTGGAGAAAGAAGAAGAGCAGTATGTTGCCCAGCAAGATAAGCTCCTGGGTCAATTGGAAGAGCACGACAAGATCGTCAGCGAGAAGGCTGACAAAAAGAAAGATGTCGAATCGCTCTCCAAGACAGTCAACACAATTGTCAGGTACGATAGCGAGATCAAGGCCATTCGCTCCCAGATACAGGAACTCTCTTCGAAACAGCAGGATGCCAATGCCTCACGCACCCTGGAAGATATCCAGGAAGAAATAGCTGGCATTGGCGAAAAGTCGAGAGCTTTGAAGAAGACTTTGACGAAACTCACCCACGACAAAGAGCAAACACTGTCTGAGATGAACAAGTTGGAGCTACAACTGAGAGACGTCAAGAGCAACCTGGACAACGTGAAATTCCAGCTTGAGCGAAAGGCAGACCTCCTTGCTCGCATCGAGGAATACAGAAACCTCAACAACCAGCAACGCGAAGCGATTGCAAAGGCGGACCAAGACATCGAAAGCCTAACCCCCGAGTTCCTCAAGGTGCAAGCCAAATACGAAGATATCGGCCAGCGTGCCGAGGCACGCGAGAGGGACATGCAGCAGGAAATCTCTCACCTCTACGAGAATGTCCACCAACTCGAACTAGCCAACGAGGAAATCGATGCATACAACGAGCGCGGCGGCCCTACCCAACTCGAGCGCAGCAAGCGCGAACTCCAAAGCATCGAGAACGAGATCAGCGATCTCGAAACGGAGCAGGCCAACATCACCAAAGAAATCAACAAGATCTCCGCGCAGCTCAAAGACAGCGAAAACACCAAGCGCCAGTACGCAGACAATCTAACCTACCGCCAGGCCACCCGCTCCCTCGACCAAGTCACCGAGGAGATCGAGCAGCTCACGGCGCAAAACGCCGAAGTCGACCGCAGCCGCTTCCAAGAAGAATCCGAGCGCCGCGCACGCGAACACAACGCCCTCGCCGCCAAACAAGCGAGCAAAATGGGCGAAATGAAATCCAAAGACGACCAACTCATGCAACTCCTCGCGGACTGGAACACAGACTACAAGGACGCGGCCGGCAAATACAAAGAAGCGCACATCAAAGTCGAAACCACCAAAGCCGCCGTCGACGACCTCGCGCGCTACGGCGGCGCCCTCGACAAAGCCATCATGAAATACCACGGCCTCAAAATGGAAGAGATCAACGCCATCATCAGCGAACTCTGGCAAAAGACCTACCGCGGCACCGACGTCGACGCCATCCTCATCCGCTCCGACAACGAAAACGCCAAGGGCAACAGCTCCTACAACTACCGCGTCTGCATGGTCAAACAGGGCGCCGAAATGGACATGCGCGGCCGGTGCAGTGCGGGGCAAAAAGTACTCGCGAGTATCATTATCCGTCTGGCGTTGGCTGAATGCTTCGGGGTGAATTGCGGTCTGATTGCTCTGGATGAACCCACGACTAACCTCGACCGGGATAATATTCGCTCGCTGGCGGAATCGCTCCATGATATTATTCGTACGAGACAGCAGCAGGCGAATTTTCAGCTGATTGTCATTACCCATGATGAGGAGTTCTTGCGGCATATGCAGTGTGGCGACTTTAGTGATTACTATTATCGGGTTTCGCGGAATGAGAGGCAGAAGTCCATTATTGAGAGGCAGTCTATTGCTGAGGTATGTTCTCCCCTACCCTAACCTCTCTTGGGTTCTGGATCTAGGGTGTAGTACTGACGGCTCCCAGGTTATGTGATAGGTTCTCTTGGCGAGGCACAAATGGGTTTGACTATGAGTCAGTTGCTGCAAAGATGGGATGGTAGGAGCAGGTTGCTTATAACCCACAGGCGGTCTTAGTTACGTTTCATGTAAATTAGCTGGTCAGGATGCACGATAGTCACTGAGTATGATGTGGCGTTAGGGATGAAATATAATGCTACTTCAACATGTCCCATGTCTGCTATATAACCAGACCTATCTAGGACACAGATCGTGACGGTGAATCACACAAGATCTTCACCTTCCCCCTCGTCATCATCAAGCAACGGCACGAACCGGAAATCCACAAACGTCACAACAGGCGCTGGACCCCCCTTTAGAGCTCGTACACTGTTCCCCCCATTGGCATCAAACTCAATCATGAACTGCAGACTCAATACACCTTGCCGATCACCACGGATGCTTACTTTATTCGCCACCGCCATCGCGCGAGCCGCTTTCTGGATCAGCGAGAACTTGTAGTTCTGCTTGATGCGAGAGCCCATCGATGACGGCGGACTCACAAGGAACGTTTCCGTGACGGTCGGGGCAAGTCTGGCTTTCTTCGCGCGTGACCCCTCTTCGGTGGAGGCTCGCGCATCACCCCCCTGTCCGTTTTCGACGGAAAATTCTACAGACGACTCGCTGAATGACCCGCCCGTGCCGGTCAGTGCGAAGTATGGTTCGCGAATTGCGGATGCGGAGATCTTGAGCACCGTCGGGTTTGTGGCTGCTAGTTCGGTGATGGCGTTGTGGAGCCAGGTGGAGCGCATGATGATCTTCATGATGATGGCATCTCGTTGGAGTGGAATGTCGATTTCGCTGCCTTCGGTTTCGTACGTTGTTAGTTCGCAGGTGGTTTTGATGCCGGTCTCGGAAAGAGTGATGCTGAGGGGGCAGCCGTGGCCTGTGTATCGGATGGTACAGGAACGATCCAGGAGTAATGAAGGTGCTGAGAAGGCGTTGGCTCCGGAGGGGTGTGTTGGTTGGACGCTGGATGCTCGATTGACGTTGGTACTGGAGGATGAGTCGTTGATGCCGAAGATTTTCAGTGTCTCCAGCAGAGCGGATAGTGAGACCACGAAGGAGGGGTAGTAGGTGGAATCTGAAGCGGAGTCGCCGTCTGTTGTCCCTTCATTTGGCACGGCTGGTGGGTTGAAGGTGTAACTGGTGAAGAGGGCCTTGTCGAGAAATGCGAGACCTTGTAAGACCCGCAGCTCTTCCGCGGAGAAGCGGATTCCATCTGGTGTTATTTGCACGGTAGCGCGTGGTGCAAAGCTAATGCATTGTAGTAGAGTATAGAGTTGGTGGGCGTTGCTGGAGACAGCAGTGAAAATGGGTTCCGCGTCCGCCATGATGTTGGATAGATTTGGCTAAGCACGACAGCGTGCTGTCGAGGGCTATGTTATGGTAGAGGGTTGTAATGAGAGATTTGGTGATTATAAGGTAACCCTTTGTTTTGTTTCAACTCTCCAGTGTATGGTACATGGGTATCTGGGAAACAACTGGAATTTAAACGTAGACCCCAACGGCACAGATCATGAACACGGCTCCGAAGCTAGGCGCGAGAGTTAGCGATCGGTGGTAGAGTGTATTAGGGCCTGGCTTACCCAAACGCCAACGATGCCGGGACGCCAAAGGAAGCGATGCTGAGAAAGGACCGATCTGCGCAAGTCGTAAGTATATCTTTGTAAGATGATGGTTATCTGATTGCTTTTCGGTCATGGAGTACTGACTCAGTCCAAAGAGACCCGTGAGGATGAAAGCTGCTACAAGTCAGTGGCTGTTTCTGCCTAAAGGACCGGAGCGGACTCACCAGCAAGTAGTAGCGAGAAGCCGACAAAGAACTGGCTCTCTTTAGGCACCGGAGGAGTATAAGGGCTTGCAGAAGCTGCCACCCAGACTTCGTTCAGAGACATGAGGAAACGAGAGAGATATGCGACTTCAATGGCTTGTGTATAAAGGAGAGCAGACAATCAGGAAGCTGAAATGAGGAGAAACCAGAAAGAGGGAGCTCCCTCGAGCTGTCGTCGTAATGCCACTGGCCCCGACTAGTAATTGGTTATCTGGCTTGACGGCCCCGGATCAACGTCTTCCCGCTCCGCTCCCCGTATCGGCAGCCGCAAGACATGGAGAGAGGTCCAGACGCTCTCCTCCCTGCGTCATTCATCATAATCCTTTGCGCATCATGCCTGCAATCGCTTCAGAGAGTAAGTGTTCCGTCGCGCGTTTCTGGCTTTTGCGGCCAGTCCGATACAAATACTGAGCTCGAGACAGCTACCAAGCGGAAAGCATCGGAGGAGGTACTCTCCCCAGATTCCCAGCAGCGGAGCAAGAAGGCGCGCACTGACTCCCCGGACAAGGAATCCAAGGTATGCCAAAGAACTTATTCGCATATAGAGCTCACCCCTGACATACTTACTTTAGTCCGACGATGAACTTTTGGATAAGCCGCCGAGAATCGTTCCCTTCCCGGAGAAGGTAAACCCCCGCACACCCGCCCGAGCGTCGATGGCGCTGACTCCGTGATAGCCTGCAGTTCTCGAAGAACGTCACGGCGAGATTGAATTCCGCGTGGTCAACAATGATGGTTCTCGCGATAGCTTCGTCGTTCTCACCGGCCTGAAATGCATCTTCCAGAAACAGCTCCCGAAAATGCCGAAAGACTATATTGCGCGACTGGTCTACGATAGGTCGCATCTGTCCTTGGCCATCGTCAAGCATCCTCTGGAAGTTGTAGGGTGTGTATAATTATGAAATTGGGTGATTCTCGGGCAATGCTGATGGAGTATGTAGCGGAATCACGTACCGGCCGTTCAACAGTCGCCGATTTGCCGAAATCGTCTTTTGCGCCATCTCTTCCGACCAACAAGTCAAGGGATACGGTGCGCATCTGATGTCTCATCTTAAGGTAAATTTGGAAGACTGGAATGAGGGATTTGGCGCTCATATTTTGCGTACAGGATTACGTCAAGGCAACATCGGACATCATGCACTTTCTGACCTACGCCGACAACTACGCCATTGGTTACTTCAAGAAGCAGGGATTTACAAAAGAGATAACACTTGACAAGTCTGTATGGATGGGCTATATCAAAGATTATGAGGGCGGTACTATCATGCAGTGCACCATGCTACCAAAAATACGGTACCTCGAGGTCGGCCGCATGCTTCTGAAGCAGAAAGAAGCCGTCCACGCGAAGATCCGCGCCTTCAGTCGCTCGCATATCATCCATGTGCCGCCGAAGGAGTGGAAGAATGGGCCGTGCAAGATCGATCCACTGAGCATCCCAGCCATCAAAGAGTCGGGGTGGTCACCGGACATGGATGAATTGGCACGTCAGCCACGCCACGGACCAAACTACAACCAGCTACTGCATCTCCTCAACGATATGCAGAATCACAGCGCGGCGTGGCCATTCACCCAACCGGTCAATCGGGACGAAGTTCCGGACTACTACGAAGTCATCAAGGAGCCCATGGACTTGTCGACAATGGAAGAAAAACACGAGAAGGACATGTACCCGACGCCGCAAGATTTCATCAAGGACGCCATGTTGATATTCGATAACTGCCGGAAGTATAATAACGAGAATACGCCCTATGCAAAGAGTGCCAATAAACTTGAAAAGTTCATGTGGCAGCAGATACGAAATATCCCCGAGTGGTCGGTGAGTAATCCATCCCGTGCTATATCAGTCTCTATCAATTCCTTGATTGCTAACATGCCACAGCACTTGGCCGATGGCCATTGATAGGCTGGTGATGTACTCTGCGGGCTTGGAGTTTTGGATGGCTTTTCTTTTCTGTGACATGAGCAAATACCCCGGTGTTGAGAACTTGATGCATTTTAGCTTTAGCCTTGCTCATCTGTCCGTTTGGTCTTGTGATAATTGTCGACAATAATATTTTTGTTGATCGGCTGCAGCTATGTTCAGAGATGCAAACTACTCGTTGTCTGTTCCTCCGCGGCCTCACCATCCAAGGCTCCAGCTCTCGTCAGCAATGTACGTGCCACTCAGCTTCTCTGGGTCACCCTCTGTGGCAGCGCGCACAACGACCTTGGCGCCATCGCTTGCCTCCTTGACTCCCTGGCCACCGTTGAGATTTGTGCGGCAGTAGCCCGGGGCAGCCGCCACGACGGCGATCTTTTCGTCGGCCAGATTTACCGAGTATGCGACCGTGATCATATTGACTGCTGCTTTGCTGCTGCGGTAGTCGGGAATGAAGTAGGTCTTGGCGCTAGCGGGGTGATCCTTCTTGCCCGCCCTGCTGATTAGACCCTGCCCGGACGTGACATTGACGATGCGGCGGTCGGGATACGTCGACGCACGAAGCAGTGGGAGGAAAGTATCCATGACAACCGCCATACCGAATACGTTGACCTCGAAGATTTGGCGGTACTGCTCACGCAGGGTTGTGTCAGACGCCTGTGCGATACCTGCATTGTTGATCAGGATGTCCAGCCGTCCGAACGCTTCTGACACGGTTTGGGCGGCAGCGGCGATGGATGCATCGTCGGTCACATCGATGGTGATAGGGGTGAGAGCTGATTTGTCTGTGGCAACTGATTCCAGCTCCTTCACTGCAGCCTCAGCCTTCTGTGCCGAGCGCGCCCCGACGAGCACGTGGAATCCATCTGAACTGGCGAGCTGCCGTGCGGTGGCGAAGCCGATGCCCTGATTGGCGCCGGTGATGAGAGCGAGGACCTTGGGAGCCATCGTTTTGATGTTGTATAGATGTAACCAAGGTTAGTGTGAGAGAGGATTTATACCTAGAGCAATGGAATCTATTGCCATTAATATAGTTCTGCGTTTGCGGACTTCCGGCTTGAATCCTTTAACTCCGGGAAGGGGTGTCTATTATCACCGATATCCCGATATACCGACTGCCCGAATGCCTCCCGACCGCAGTGATTCCAAGTGGTAAAGATCGGTGTAGTTATTTTCCGGAAATATGAGACGAGCCTTATATCGGGTTCATTGACGGATGCACAGGTAAGCCCGTTACTCTTGGACAGGGTCTGTTGGACAGGCAAATTTCTTCCTTTGGTACGATGATTGTCGACCTCGATGAGCCCTTCTAGGAGCTTAAAGATGCAGAGTTCAGCTGACCTATGGGATTACCTCTCTGAATCCGAAGGGTTGACATGTAAAAAGTCGGTACTGCAACCAGCCGTCCAGAACCAGAAATGGCAACCAGCCTTGGCGTCTAGTAGATTCATACATATTTGCGCGATGTGGGAGAGCCTGTAGAAGATGGCGGTCAAGAAAGCCCGCTGAATCCAGCTACGTGTTCTGATCAGTTTGACCTAGGGGTGCTTTTCTGCGTGTTGACTCCATGACTGCTTCTCCGTATAGCAGAGCGCTCTGTAGATAGATAGACATCTAGATAGTGGTTACTATGGATAAACAATGATATCATCGAGAACCTTAACAAAGCTAATGCCGTAACGGATCGCCGGATTATCGTCGGCATGATTTCGTTCCACTCCCTCCCATGCCGTGCCATTTGATTAATTATTGCCAGTGCACCGGGACTCGTTTTTGGGTGGCTACGAATTGAAACGGGCGTGACCCGCCCCCAGCGATGGACATCGTCTAAAAATCTGCCTAGCCTACCAGCCACGGCCCTGCAATAATAAATTGATGGACCGACCGAGAACCAACGGTGCGGATCCGCCGTGGGTTGCTTTTTTTGGTGGAGGACGATCGAACCTGTCGGTTGATGGGGGGGGGGGGGAACATGCGGGATGCAGAGGAGGTGCATTGGTGCATTCCACCTCCTGAAGGGGACTCCTTTCCCGTGTCACAGCTGCAAGAGTACCAAGGCCCTGATACAGTCGACGCAGGAGGGCATCGCACATGCTCAACAGCGGCTTAGCGAGCAGGTGTTGCCCCCTTGGCGAGTGTCAAAAGATCGGCCGCAAGTGGGGGCGGTCATTTCGGAACAACATTGATGCGGGGAACCATTACTCGAGTAGGACTAAGGCACCCGCGGGCCCTCAGGCACTCGCTCCTCAGCTGCGTTGGACTCTCAGGCCCGAGTGAGGCATTGGCCGTGTGTCTGTCTGTCTGTCTGTCTGTCTTCTCGTCGCGGGCTGGCCATCCACACCTTTCCTCGCTCCTCCTTGGCCTCGTCAATTTCTTCCCCTCCTCCTGTTGCTGCCTGTGCATCCACTTCCCGAGCTTCTGGATGGCTTGCGTCGCAACTCCCTGACCTCTCCTGCAGTCGGTCGGCTGTTTTGTTTACTGCCTCGGAAAACCTTACGACCCTCTGCAGGGCCTCCTGGCTTGCACAACGCTCTAATCTTGTATCGCTGCAAATTCCATGCCCTACTACTAACTCCAACTGTTGACCGTCCTTCTTTTATCGTCGCCGCTCGCCAGCCTTTCGATCAATTGTGACCAAACACGTCGGATCCCACCCCGATTACTTCTCTAATCTTCTTCCCCCCCATTCCAACCCTATTCCGACGTTCGCTCGTTCCCCTTTTCGGCCCCTCATTGCGGCGCAATACCTTTTAAGTTCGGCTCAGAAAGCCAACACCAGCGCCCGCCCAGCGATAGAGGTTCTCGACACTCGTTCCATTATGGTGTCGCCCTCCCTTTCGAGCTTGGAGCAGCGAAATCGCCTCCCTACGCTCTTCGAAGTCCTCAGTCGCCGGACTCTTGCCCCCGTCGATCTGTTTTCTTTCTATATTTACATGCGGGACCAACAGCGTTCGGTCGATTATCTGGATTTCTGGTATGCTTAGGAAGCTTATGCTGTTGTTCTGCACGTGTCGCGTGCTGAAGGACTCTTAATAATCGTTATCTTTAGGCTCGATGTCTCGCAACACATGTCCCTCTGCCGTCATTACGTTCGAGAGTTACGGCGATCAGTCTTGGTGGCTACGCCTGATCTCGAAAAGGCCGACAGCAAAGGCTCTTCCGCCGCCTTGGAGAATTTCGAACATTTCAACGATATCCCGCTTGTTGAAGCGGGTCCTTCCTCTTCGCGGCATGCCCTACATGACGTCGAAGATCGGGATGCCGATCAAAGGCTGTCGGCATTCCTCCGCTCTGAAGGCCACACTTCCGGACACTCCCCTCAAAGCAGCCTCGGGTCGCAGAATGCTGCTGCTGCTGCTGCTGCTCGCACCACATCTTTTGAGCAGCCGCCTCGTGACAGCTCGGGAACACGGAATGACTCGCCGTCGCCAGGTCACACCGTGGCACGTGCCGATATTCGCGCCAGCGCAGAGAAGATCCTTTATACGTACCTTCTCCCCGGTGCAGAGAGAGAAATTGTTCTGCCGGAGGAGATGGTGTCCTCCATCATCAATCTGATTGAAGACGACGGCAGAGACGACCCCGAAGTGTTTGATCCGGCCAAAGACTATGTTTTCCAAGCAATGGAGCGCGACGCTTTCCCAGGGTTTTTGCAGGCCAAGGCCTTGGGAAATCTGGTTCCGTTGACGATCATCGCTCGGTTGGCATTCGCCTTGATTAGCTTTGGTGGCGGCTTTTGGGGTGCGTTCTACGTGGTTCTCCGCGATAAGCCAAGGCACATTCGTTGCTGGGTATGTACGAATCCTCTGATAGGCTGAATGTGATGCTAACATCCAACCAGTTAATACTGCCTTTTGCCGTGGCCTCCTACTTCATCGTGTCATACCAGTACAAGATCGATCCGGTCATGGCATTCCTCGGCTACAGCGAGTACACCTTCATGAATTGGTCGCCCATCCGCGAACCATATGTGCGCAAGCTGCTGAACAAACGATCCACCGCCACCGCTCTCATCGCCTTTTTCGTTGCCGCCGCTCTGAGTATCTTGTTCATCTTCGTGCCCGGTACTATGCTCTAATCTCAGCAATATTGCGTATACCCCACCGGTTTCGTCTTGAAATCCATTTCGATTTTCACGGCCGCGTGACCCCGCTTTTGGGTAGCATATATGTGCATTTATCTCTTTCTGAGCGTTAGTCAGCGGTCTTGCTTCTTGGGTCCAAGTTCAGCGCATGGATGCAAATATTATTCTTACGCCTCGAGCGCACTCGAGGGACTCTCTAATGTGGGAAGCAGCAGATGCCCACCGTTTGGCGGAGCCAGAGATTATCTCTAGCCCTAGCGGGAGGGCAACCACCCAAGGACTGGCGGAACCCGCCAGGTCCCTCGGGTCACGACGTTCTTTTTTTCCTCACCCTGTGTATATTGGGTTTTTTTTCTTTCGTTGTTTATTTACCTCTACATAATACCCCTCGTCTGCTGGACTTGCATGTACGTTTAAACGATTTCTACTGAGGCTTTCTTCGGTGTTGTGGTTCTTCCACGGTAATTAGATTCTACTTTATGATATATTGATGTCTATTACCCTGCTGGAGTGCAAGTTTGCGGATATACCGTCCATGAGACGAGCCGTTTCTGATATTCGTAAACAAGATAGCATCTCAAAAGGAATGCTATGAGGCTATTCGATATAATATGATATGACAAACCCCAGCTCCTTCTAGGTATGATGGCTTCAGGTCATTACGACTTCTTCCCCAAGACCCTCTTGGGATGTCTCGCCGCAGCTCCAGGCCCAGTCCCAGCCCCCAATCTCGACGATCCCACCCCATCATCAATATCCATTCTGGATCCCAACGCCTGTACATCCCCATCAAGCCCATGCTCCCAATATCCATCATCATCGAATTCATCCGCACTGAACTCCCGCTTATTCCCACCTCCGAGTCCAACCCCACCACCACTACCACCCCGAACATCCCGTCCCTGCCATCCCCCACCACCACCACCCGCAGCCTTCTTCACCCCCTCACCACCCATCTCATTCCCCCACGCATTCAACGCCTTCTCAAACAACACATTCCGCTCATGTTCCTCCGCCTTCCGTCGCGCCGACTCCGTCTTAATCCGCTTAATCTCCGTCTCAATATCCCCGATGACATCCCCGCACCGCGTCTCCCACTGCGTTAAAATCCGGATCATCTTGTCCAGCGATTCGGGCTTTACGTCCCGGAGGGGCGCCACGGCCGTGACGTTTACGGTGGGGGGGTTAGAGGCGGGGGAGAGACGGGCGGTGATCAGCGAGGCGTAGATGGCTTTTGTGACGAGGGATTCGAGGTCCGAGGGGGCGGTGATGGAGAGGGAGGTCATGAGGGAGGTGTAGGTGAGGGGTTTGGTGGTTGTGGAGAGGGTGAGGAGGGATAGGAGGCGGAGTTTCAGCGTTTGGGATTCGTTGAGGGGGGGGAGGTTGGGGGTTGCTGGGGAGGTTCGGTTAGCCTTGTGTGGAGGTTTTATGGGGGAGGGGGTTTGGAAGGGGGTTTGGGAGGGGGGGAAGTACATTGATAGTCTTGCCATGTGCCCCAGGCGAAGATCTCAAGTAGAGTCAGGTAGCCGGCGTATTCGGCGGGAGTATCCGGGGACCGGAGAGATTGGATGGTTGGGGTCGTGAGGAGCTCGGCGAATACGTAGGTGTTGGGGTTGGAGGTCGCGTTGGTGATGATGTTGGCGACGAAGCGGGGGGAGGTCGCGCTGTTGGAGTTGGCGAGGTGGATGAATGGTTGGAGGGCTTCCAGGGCCCGGGTGTGTATTTGGTCCATTGTGGTTGTGAGGGGGATGTGGAAGTGATTGGTTGGTGGGTTGTTTGGGAGTGTTTAGGTTGGTTTGGTGGCTTGCGATAGAGATAGAGTTAATGTATCACTGCGCGGATCGTGGTGATAGGAGCTCCATCTGGTTGTGGTATAGAGTGGGGGAGGATGGAGGATGGAGGTGGTGTTGATGGTGATGATGGTATGGGAGCGATGTGCCTCGGGTGTTTGCATTAGGTGCAAACAGGGACATCCACATCAACTGGATATGGTTCATGGTTGGCTTCTTTGGGAACTATGATATTGTCTACAACCGTTCATGGCCATTTGGGGGATATGTTTGATTACAGCCAGATGGTGACCGTAACGGATTTGATTTACTAGAGGTCGAACCAATCCATTCAGGTCAATTCTCCGATTACTTTCTATCTAATCGAAACAAAGCCGGAGCACTGCCAAGTGTTTCACCCCAGGACCCTTCAGTCCTTGTTTAACTTTGATAGCTATGACAGCTGGTACTAGGACCAGGGATATAATATCAATGAGGCTTCTCATGTCGCAGCATGTCTGAAGGCTCAGCGGTGGTCCTTTCCTCGGGTTACACTAACCTCGTGTGATGAGAGATAAGCGTCGAGGATGGTAATACGACCTGGACTGGAGGCCTAATTGTGTTTAGTGCATGTGTGGTGGCTTATATGACTGTCCTGTGACCGCTTTATTCATGGAACAATAGCAGAACCGACCGCTTGGAGCCGCACATAGCAGAATCCACTCCTACAAGCTAGATACAAGACTTATACTATGGTAGGACGGAGCAATCTGTTCACCAAGAACTGAAGAATTGTCCGAGTTCGACGAGTGGTCCCTGCCCATCTGATGCCTGGAATGGGCAAAACCCGCCGACTTGGCCAGGCTGGGTTCGGGCGAGGACAAGCGGTGGGAGACGGTAAGTTACCGGTATCTTACGTAACCGCGCGGGGCGGCGGAGCTGGCCTGACGCCATGCCGTACGTATTTTTCTCTAGCGCCATCGCCTCGGTGGATTTGGACGAGCCTTCCATCATTCCACGATCTAATCTTAAGTCGGCTGGGATGGTTGGATCCGGCCTGGAATGTCTTGCTCCTAGTGTTATTGTCTTATTGACCCTTCTGATTAGCCATGGTCCCTGGTGTCTTAGCCTAGGCTCTTCCGTGTACGCCAGTCATGCCCGGGTTCTCCTCCGTAGTTAGCTTGAGACTGGCCTTTCTCCTCATTTAATTTGTCGCTGCAGCTTATAAAGGCTCGGCTTATCCTTCCGTCGCATCCGGTCCGACTGTTCCTTTATCGAACGACCCTTGCGTGTGCTGTCCTTGTTCTTCCCCTCCCTTTATAATCCCTTTATCACCCCCGGCCTCCGCCCAGACGAACGTATGCGATAACGGTCCGGACTCCGACGTGCGTGTCCGGCCTCTTCAGCGAAACGGCGCAACATGGCGGCCTCATCCTCCGCTTTGTTAAGCGCCGGGGACGGTGCCTCTTCTGCAGACCGATCAGCCGCCCACATGGCTACTACAACCGTCAACGTGGAGGGCATGACGTGTGGTGCTTGCACGTCCGCCGTTGAGGGCGCCTTCAAGGGAGTGGAGGGTGCCGGTGAGGTCACCGTCAGCTTGATGATGGGCCGGGCTGTGGTACATCACGACCCAACACTGCTTCCTGCGGAAAAAGTCGCCGAAATAATCGAGGACTCGGGCTTCGATGCAACGATCGTCTCTACGGATAGTGCGTCCCTGCCAGCAAATGGTTCCCGCGGGACCAGGGATAAAGTGTTTCAGCTGTCAACCACGACTTTGGCGGTCGAGGGCATGACGTGCGGTGCCTGCACCTCCGCGGTGGAAGGAGGGTTGAAGGATACACCTGGTGTGAATTCAGTCAATGTCTCCTTGCTTTCAGAACGAGCTGTTGTGGAGCACGATGCGTCTCTTATTACGCCGGACCAGATCGCGGATATTATAGAGGATCGTGGCTTTGGCGCTAAGGTGCTGGAAACTTCAACGGCTGAGAGCGCTATCCGCACCTCGCTGGAGTCGCCAGGATCTACGTCGTGTTTAATGGTCACGACGGTGTCTATAGATGGTATGACGTGCGGTGCTTGTACATCGAGTGTACAGAATGCCTTCAACGGGGTGGATGGTTTAGTGCAATTCAACATTAGCTTGCTTGCGGAGCGTGCGATCATTACTCACGACCCTACTACACTTACGTCAAAAAATATTGTCAGCATAATTGACGATGCCGGTTTCGACGCAGCGATCATTTCATCGGAAGCGCAGGCGCCCTCGTCAAAGGGCATCAGCCGTGTCACCCTTAGCCTTCACGGCATGCGTGACGCTGCCTCGGCCTCGGCCTTGGAAGACACTCTGCTCCAAAGACCCGGCATCTCATCAGCTTCTGTAAACATGGCCAACTCTCAGATCACATTGTCATACGATTCCTCTTCGACTGGTATTCGTTCGATTGTCGAAGCTATTGAAGCAGCCGGATACAATGCGTTGCTGTCGGAGTCCGATGACACCAATGCACAGCTGGCATCGCTGTCCAAAACCAAGGAAGTCCGGGAATGGAAGCGCTCGTTTCTCTTTTCCGCCTCTTTTGCAGTCCCCGTGTTCCTGATCAACATGGTGCTGCCGATGTACCTTCCGGCCCTGGACTTCGGCCGTATCCAACTGTGTTCCGGACTCTACCTTGGCGACATCGCCTGTCTGTTACTCACTATTCCAGTACAATTTGGTATTGGAAAGCGGTTCTATGTAGCCAGCTATAAGTCCTTGAAACATCGCTCTCCAACCATGGACGTCCTTGTTATGCTGGGCACCTCTGCTGCCTTCTTTTACAGCGTGTTCACCATGGCTGTTTCCCTCTTCTTCAAGACTGATATGCGGCCAAGTACGGTGTTCGACACGAGTACGATGCTTATAACCTTTATTACTCTCGGAAGATGGCTGGAAAATCGGGCCAAGGGCCAAACATCGGCTGCTCTTTCCCGGCTTATGTCTCTTGCGCCGTCGATGACAACAATCTACGACGACCCGATCGCAGCGGAGAAATTCGCAGAGGAATGGGACTCTGCTAATGCCAACTCGAAGGAGCAGAAGTCGTCCTCCACTAATGAGCGATCAGGACCTGGACACAAGATCATTCCAACTGAACTCATCGAAGTAGGGGATGTTGTGCTCCTTCATCCCGGTGACAAGGTCTCGGCCGATGGCATTGTCATTCGAGGAGAGAGCTACGTCGATGAGAGTATGATTACTGGTGAAGCTCTGCCGATCCACAAGGCCAAGGGCGGTGTTGTTAGTGCTGGTACGGTGAACGGCACGAGTTCTCTGGACTTCAAGGTTACTCGAGCTGGCAAGGACACTCAACTAAGCCAGATCGTCAAGTTGGTCCAAGATGCCCAGACCAGCCGGGCTCCTATTCAACGGATGGCTGATGTTGTTGCCGGCTATTTTGTTCCAGCAATTATCAGCCTTGGTCTGGTTACCTTCTTTGGCTGGATGTTCATGAGCCATATCTTGCCTCATCCTCCCAAGGTCTTCTTGGCTGAAAGCAATGGAGGAAAGTTCATGGTCTGTCTCAAGCTTTGCATTTCGGTCATCGTCTTTGCTTGTCCCTGTGCTCTGGGTCTCAGCACCCCTACGGCTGTCATGGTCGGCACTGGAGTTGGTGCCCAGCAGGGTATCCTGGTCAAGGGTGGCGCTGTCCTGGAGGCCGCGACAAAGATCAACCACGTGGTGTTCGATAAGACCGGAACTTTGACCACCGGGAAAATGAGTGTGGCTGAAGCCAAAATTGCGCCGCATTGGACAACAAACGACTGGCGCCGTAGACTCTGGTGGCTGATCGTTGGTCTTGCAGAAATGAGCAGCGAACATCCCATTGGGAGAGCCATCTTCTCTGCAGCCCAGACCGAATCCGGCCATCCAGGAGAATGTGGTCTGCCGGGCAGCTTGGGCGACCTCGAAGCTTGCGTTGGAAAGGGAATCTCCGCCCTAGTCGAGCCCACGTCCAGTGCTGAGCGCGTACGTTACCGTGTCTTGGTTGGAAACCTTCCCTTTCTGCGGTCGAGGGATGTTGCTATCCCCGAATCGGCCCAGGCAGAGAACTCCGATGACCTTACCTCCAAGTCCAAGGTCCCTGCCGGTATCACGCAGATCCACGTCGCCATCGATAACCAATACGCTGGCTCTATCTTGCTTCGGGATACCGTGAAATTGACTGCACCCGCAGCAGTCGCAGCTCTGCATCGTATGGGAATTACCACCTCACTTATCACCGGTGATACCCATGCCACTGCCGTGTCCATTGCCTCGGCCGTGGGGATCCCAGTTGAGGCCGTCCACGCCTCTGTCTCTCCCTCCGATAAGCAGTCTATCATCGCGTCGATGCAAGACTCCGGTGACCGGGTAGCCATGGTCGGCGACGGCATTAACGACTCGCCTGCCCTCGCCACCGCATCCGTCGGTATCGCTCTTGCCTCAGGCACCGACGTGGCCGTCGAAGCAGCCGACATCGTCCTTATGCGCCCCGACGATCTTCTCTCCGTGCCAGCCAGTCTTTCTCTATCCCGCTCCGTCTTCAACCGCATCAAGTTGAACCTCATGTGGGCCTGCCTATACAACGTCATCGGCCTCCCCTTCGCAATGGGTCTCTTCCTCCCATTCGGATTCATGCTACCCCCCATGGCAGCAGGTGCCGCGATGGCCGCGTCCAGCGTCTCCGTCGTCGTGAGCAGCCTGCTCCTCAAATTCTGGCAACGACCCGGCTGGATGGACGCCGAGAAGCTACAAAAGGACCTCGACACCGCCAACGCCAGTTTCCAAGGCTCCCAGAAGAGCTGGTGGGAAGCCACACTCTCCGTCACCGGATCCACCGGCGGCAGACAATCCTCCCAATGGGTCCGGGATCTCGCCACAGACGCCTGGTCATACATGACCGGCAGGAGGACAAGAGGCTCCAACGTGGACGAGGGTCATTATGTTCCCCTCCAGACGGTAGAACCGGTCTGATCTATCTATCTCCCGGTTAAGCATCTTGTCAGTTTCGGATCAGTATTTATTTATACACATGATGGGTGTTCGGATGTTATGACTTACCTAATGATCAATCTAAGCCCTTTTTTGTTTGCATCTTGCGTCTTTTTTCTTTTCTTACTTTTACTTGTGGTATATGTTATTCTCGCGTGTCCACGACTCTTGCATCGATACCTCTTTTGCATGCCTACATGGCGCCCCTGTTATATGGCTTGATGGACATGACTTGTGTTCCTGGTGTGAAGTTGGATATAAGCTTTATCGTGAACATGACTCGCAATATATGATATTGGAACGTATCAGGTGATACAAATCGTAGGTACACACGCGTAAAGCGATCATGATCCCCGACGCCAGGGACAAACCCAATGACGCCACGGTCAATTCGTATCTAATCATTCATTCATTCATGAATCAACTATGCAAGCTAGAAAGATACACTAAGGAGAGGGAGGCTATGAACCAAGAATACGCACTATTGACAAAGCACGCTAATAGGCTATCATACTACTCTGTACTCCCGAGAACTACGCCTGCTGCTGATCTTGATTCGCCGTCTCCGAACCGGAAGGTCCCTCCTCCGGGGCTTTAGCATCTTCTAAAGCAATGTCTCCATCGCCGTCGGCCGACGGTTTGGCCGCTTCTTCGGACGGTTGACCGTCGCCCTGAGTCGGGCCAGTTTGCTGCTGTTGCTGCTGCAGCTGACCTTCTTGGCTAGGAGTCTGTAGCTCAGATGCGCTACCTTCTGCGCTTGTAAGATCCATTTCAACTCCCTTGCCATCCTGCAGGCCTAGGTCCTCCACTCCGATTACAGATGGGCCTCGCGCATGGGGAATATCCTCCAAGGTATCAGGCGGCGGAGACCCGCCCGCGCCTTCGTTCCCATTCGTTTCCGTCATCTCTGCAGTCGGGAGATCCAGTCCTGTCTCGGTTTGATCCTGGCTAATGCCCTCTACGGTCTGCGCAGGGAAGGGAGTATCCGTCATGACTGCACCGCTTTCATCCTCGCGCTCCGGCGACGCGGCAGCGTTACTCAGCCATGGAATCAGAGTCAGGCGTGCTCCGCCTAGGGACTCATCGTTGCCAAGCGCATTGTCTGTCGAGAACATGAACCCGGATTCTGTGCCGTTGAGGACTGCGCCGTTTGGCTGGGAAGCGGCGCTCGTCTGGGTCTGAAGTGGGAAGATATCCGCGCCGCTGGTGACGCAGACGACGCGATCGACAGCGCGAATATACGCGGGAAGAGTGCGATAGAGTGCGGTTGGGCGAATGATCAGCTCTGCGAGGCGTTGGATAGTGTGTGGTGGTTTTGTGGCGAAGAGGGATCGCAGGGTGGATTTAATGGAGGCTAGGTGGAGTTCGAGTGGTTCGGGAAGAGAAGGGCCTTGTGAGGACTGGGGTTGGGAGTCTGGAATGCGCTCGCTTGCGGGGGTTTGATGCGGTGAGGTTGCGGTTGGTCTGGGGGGGGTCTGGAGGGTTGTGGATGATGCAGCGGTGTTCAAGTCCTGCGTGTAGGGGACGGTGATGTTGGAGGACTGTTGTTGAAGCTCAGGAGGAACCCGGGGCATGGGGAAGACGTTGTATATGATCTATCCACGTGAGTTATGTTAGTCGGTGCTAAGAGGTGCGTGGGGGAGTGGGTTGCGCACATGGTCTAGCCGTTCAAGCAGGGGTTCGACCATGCTGGGCCATTTCTCACTGGAAGGGAGTGTCAGCTCCGATTGCAACGTTGATGTTGGTTTGGGGCGCAAGCCGGCATACTAGTCCATCGAGCCGCCATTGGCGACCACCTCGAGGATTTCTTCGTCTGCGATCGCGCCATCTGTTAGCTGGTTGGAGCTTGGAACGGTGCCTGAGGAGCTGGTCATGAAGGAAAGCAAATAGCGAAGGTCGAGCTATGGGGGGAAAGCAGCATTGTCGTTGCATTCCGACCGTGGCCGTAGGTTCAGACTCACCCAGCGACATGATCCAGCACTTCTGGGCCCAGCGATCTCAGATGCGACAAGGAAATGGGGAGAAAGGAAGAGGAAGAGCAGACATGACGGGCGGAATTCACATCGGCTCGATCTGGACACGCGGGGACGGCGGCTCCCCCGGCAACGGCAGGCTCTGATTGGGCCCGGCTGCCGCTTATCATAGGCGCACGTGACGGTTATCGGGCGGATTTTTTGCTCCGCCGTGGAGGGGCTCCTTTTCTCTTCCCCAGATCTCTTGCTTGGTGCGTGCTGAGTGCCTGTCCCTCCCCCCTTCTCTTTTTCTTCAACCTCATCCCATTTACTCAACATGTGGAACTCCCGCAAGGTGGGAATTCTCGGTGGAGGCCAATTGGGCCGGATGATGGTCGAATCGGCCAATCGCCTCAACATCCAGTGCAACGTCCTTGATGCGGAGAACTCCCCGGCCAAGCAGATTAGCGCCCACGATGACCATGTCACCGGCTCCTTCAAGGAGCGCGAAGCCGTCCGCGAACTGGCCAAGTCTTGCGACGTCGTGACCGCCGAGATCGAGCACGTCGATACCTATGCCCTGGAGGAGATTTCCTCCCAGGTCCGAATTGAGCCCAGTTGGCAGGCGATCCGGACCATCCAGAACAAGTTCAACCAGAAGGAACACCTGCGGAACTATGGCATCCCCATGGCCGAGCACCGCGAGCTCGTCGAGAACACCCCTGAGGAATTGGCCAAGGTTGGCGAGCAGCTCGGCTACCCCATGATGCTGAAGTCCAAGACCATGGCCTACGATGGACGCGGTGAGTCACCACTCCCTTCTCCCCCATTTCCGCAATCGTCCCGTCCCCACCAGCACATATCACTGACAGGGTCCTCCTTCAGGAAACTTCCGCGTGCAAACGAAAGATGATATCCCCGAAGCCCTTGAGGCCCTCAAGGACCGCCCTCTGTACGCCGAGAAATGGGCCTACTTCAAGATGGTATACCCACCTTCCCTCGGCCCCACCTCCACACTCTATACCCGCCATCTCTAACACCCAACCCCAGGAGCTCGCTGTGATGGTCGTGAAGACCAAGGATGAAGTCCTCTCATACCCCACTGTCGAGACCGTCCAAGAGGACTCCATCTGCAAGCTCGTCTACGCCCCCGCCCGCAATGTCTCCGATGCCATCAACCGCAAGGCCCAAGAACTCGCCCGCAAGGCCGTCTCCGCCTTCGAAGGCAAGGGTGTCTTCGGAGTGGAGATGTTCCTTCTGGACGACGACAGCCTTCTCCTGTGCGAAATTGCCAGCCGCATCCACAACTCTGGCCACTACACCATCGAAGGCTGCGCCATGTCTCAATTCGAAGCACACCTCCGCGCCATCCTCGACCTCCCCATCCCCGCCCAGAGCCTCGAGATCCGCCAACCCTCCATCATGCTCAACATCATCGGTGGATCCGCCCCCGACACCCACCTCAAGGCCGCTGAGAGCGCCCTCTCCATCCCCAACGCCAGCATCCACCTCTACAGCAAGGGCGCCGCCAAACCCGGCCGCAAGATGGGTCACATCACCGTTACCGCCGCCACCATGCACGAAGCCGAAACCCACATCCAACCTCTCATCGACGTCGTCGACGAGATCCGCTCCCAGCGCAGCGATGTCAAGACCAAGCCCCAGAAGTCCGGAGTCTCTAAGCCCGCCCCCTCCGTCGCGGTCATCATGGGCTCCGACAGTGACCTCAAGACCCTGGTGCCCGGTCTCAAGCTCCTGAGGGATTACTTCGGCATTGAGCCCGCCGTCGAAATCACCTCCGCTCACCGCACCCCCACCTACATGGCCGACTACTCTGCTAGTGCCGCGGCCCGCGGCATCAAGGTCATCATTGCTGCCGCCGGAGGTGCTGCTCACCTCCCCGGTATGTCTGCCGCTCATACCGCGCTCCCTGTGATCGGTGTGCCCGTGAAGGGTAGCTCTTTGGACGGTGTCGACAGTCTGTACAGCATTGTGCAGATGCCTAGGGGTAAGTCATTCCAATCTCCCCGTATACCTATTTACTATCGTTGCGTGCATGCATGCACTCCCCATCATGCATATCACATATAACGTCCTGTTCTTGACATTATATATCCGTTCTAACGCACATTTTCATCGACAGGTGTCCCCGTCGCCACGGTCGGCATCAACAACAGCATTAACGCTGCCCTCCTCGCTGCCCGTATCATCGGCTCCTTTGACCCAGCCATCCAGCGGAAGGTCGAGGCGTATGCCGAGAGCGCTCGGGCCGAGAACATGGAACTGAAGGGCACCAAGCTGCGCGAGCTCGGCTGGGAAAAGTACTTTGAGCAAATGTAATGGATGTTATGAATGAATGGGACAAATTGTTGAAGTTACATAGAGTATAGAAGCGATACAAGGGGTAATGATCTGGCCATATGTTTTCTGGGACCGATTTCTTCTGGATGCGATGTCAAGGGCTGCGCCTGTTGTCCTTACAAAAGCCAGGCTTGTGTAGCAAAGGATATCAACATGAAAAAATTAATCATTACCTACTAGTGCACTCATACTAATGACAGGATTAGGGTAAGATAATTGAAATCGACAAGGTCATAAACAAGGTATCAAGAAAACAATACAGGCAAGATGACAGACGAATAACAAAAGAGATAGTTGAGTATCTTATACAAGAATAAGGAAGGTGTGAATAGTTTGACCATCTGCTCAACTGGTTTTACCTGCCACAAACCTATGCAGTCTGGGGATTGAAGGCGGTTTCGGCCCCTGGGACCGTGGTGCGAGCACCACCACCGGCATTTCCGTTGCTAAACGCTTGACTGACTTCATCAGAGAACTTCTGGGATGCTGCTGCGTGGTCATATGCCTTGGTATGTCCGTTGGACTCGGCAACAGCATGTCTGCCATTCGTTGCTCGACCATCCAGGGTTGTTGCGTGTCCGTTCGTCACTGTTGGAGCTCCAGTGACAGCTGTGGTACCGTTGGTCGCTCCTCCATTGGTGTGTCTACCGTTTGTGACACCACCGCCGTTGGTCACTCCATCTTGTGTTGCTCTGTTAACCCCGCCTTTCTCAGCGGGTGAACTTCGCTTGCGAGAAATATCGCCTGCCTTGGGGATATCGGTGGACTCCGAGGCGCTCCCGATGCTGAATATGGGAGATTCCCAGCGTTCTCCCTTCATCGCAAGCTCCTTGTACTCGGTGGCCTTGCTGGTGATGCCACCAGGGAGCTTGATCTCCGGGAAAAGAGACTCATGGAGGGTAGTAGCCGTCTGCACCTTGGTGTCACGCTGGGCAATGTCCTGCGCCTTCCGTTTCTTATCCTCGTTTCGAGCACGGAAGGCATCCAGGTAGCGTGAATAGATGTTTGGCGCGTTTGCCGGATCCTGACTACTAGCTTCTTGTGCCTTCTTCGCCTCACTGTGGATGTCGTATGCAAAGGCGTCTCCCTTGGCGAAAGCATCCCGAATCTGCTTCTCGAGTACCTTTTGTAGGGTTGGGCGGACAACACGGAACAACAATGGCTTGAAAATGGTGAAAAGTGTCTTGTGCTTTGATTGTTTCAACTTGATGTTGAAGGAATCAATCTTTACGGTCACCTTGTCTACCTTGATGTAGTTCTGCCGATCTTCCTTTTGAGCGGTAGAGGCTGCGATTTTGAACCCGAAGCCTTCACCACCCAGGAAGATGTCCATGACTCCAGTGTCTGTGATAGCAGGGAATCCCTGTTTTCTGTTGACATAGTAACTCACATCTAAGGGCCAACGTCAGCAAAAATGCACAAGAACTGGTTCTTGAAAGTTCAAAAGATGCTTACCTCTGAGGTCAGCTTGGATACCAGAGACCGAAATCATGATCTTCAGAAGTTTTTGTCAGTCAGCTTCACTCAGGACGACTAGAACAAGAGGCTTAGAACAAACCTTGTTATCTCTCTTGTTGCTGATCTTCTTGCGTCCCCATCGGAAGTAGTTGTCGCTGCCAAATTCCACAATGTTGGGCATTAGGTTGTCACTTTCGATGACAAGGTTTTCCACGACCTTTACCAGTCAGTCAATAACCCAGGGCCAAAGTTGTTGAATCGACTTACCACATCGGCTGAGGGATCGGACACTTCGATGCGTGGAACAGGGACATATCGAACATCCTCAAGGATTGCTGGCAGAATAACATCTCTAATGTCTCTGAGGAGATGCTTTTTGAAAGCAACATTACCGCTCGTGTCGCGGCCAAGGTCATCGAAGAGCTTCTGCACCGAGTCTCCGAAGGCCTTGTTTTGAGGGTCTTTATTGAACTGGTCGCCAATGAACTTCATCTCATCGAGAATGCGATCGGTATGGTCTCTGTAACGGTCACGCAACAGGTAACGACCATGATCCGTCAATTGCTCCCACTGGCGAGTGCAATCATCGTCCATGATATAGCCTTGCTCTGTCAGGGTTTTTCTGCGGAATGTCAAAACCATGCCCGTATCCGTTTTCTCATCATATACGCACCTAATGAATGTGTCCATGTTTTTGAACCAGCCCTTGAGCTCGGGATCCCTGTCCGCATCCCGATAGATATTGTCTAGCGAGTCAAATAGGTTATCCAGGGATGTGTTGTTAGCGAAGCGCTCGAGCAAGGTCTGGTCAAATACTGTTAGTCACTGCATGGGTCAGAAGGACTGGCTGACATACTCGTAGATTGGTCTCCATCCTCTGAATCTTATCTCCACTTCTGAAGCCCTGAACTGAGCCAGCACCCTGTTGAGACAAATTCCGTGTATGGCCGCCATACTTTTCAGCCATAGACAAAAGGGTTCGGATCGCCTGTTGGTCTGTCCCGTTCAAGTCAGCCACCTGCAGCTGCCCAAACGCTGGATGATAACTTACAATCCGAATGGCCCTGAATTTCGATGACCATCTTCTTCAAGCGCCAAATGGTTTGCTCTCGGCGCTCCTGAGGCACCTTTTCTGACAAGTAGCTTTTGGTCCTGTCTCTGTATTCACGAGTACGGCCCTTTGCCTCTTCGGGGACATTCTCCGAGACCTTTTGCTGAGCCCTCTCGGTTCCCGCAGCGACACCAGCACGCGCGTCAACATCTGACACTGACGTGGGTTCTCGGCCACCAGTGGCAGCCTGGGCCGTGGTATCGGCAACTTCCTGTTTACCCTCCTGGCTATGTGTAAGTACGTGAGTGCCGCATTATTCAGAGCAGAGACTCACGTCTTTGTTTCTCTTGAAACGAGCTCTGAATTGCTCCTTGTGCTTTGAGAAATCAGGCTGCTCATGCCATACATTCTCCTCGGCTGGTTCGTCAATCTGAGCAAGCTGGTCCGCCGATGGCCTAACCCGGTCCGCAGCCTTTTGGGAAACATCGCCAGCCATATCACGTGCAAGGGTCATAGCATCGTTTACTGGAGCGTGTTGTTAGTGTTTGGCTCTTTACGTAGTTCAAATAAACTCACGCAGCTTTCGGAATTCCCCATTGGTGATCAGAAGCCTTCCAAGAGTCTTTAGACCCTCCAAGGTTTCCTGCGCATCTTGCTGGGCCGAGTCCTTGGATACAGGCACACCTGGCTTCTCGGTATCCCCAGAGGAGATGGTCTGTGCCTCCCAAATAAATTCCTGCAAGAGCTGGCCTTCGTTCTTGCTTAGCATAAGCCTCTTTGCTTGTTCAATAACATCTCGGAGATCTTTGACCAGAGCCTGGCCTTCACCGGAAAGTTCCTGGGACGGCGATGTGAGGGCTTTGGAGGTGAGAGCACTGTTCAAAGCAACGTCACATTGTTTGTTCTGTAATAGAGAACGAATATGGTCAGCAGGCCTCATATGAAGTTAATGATCAGAAGGCTATGCATACCGATGGAAGCTTGCCATTTTTGAAGGCTGCATAGTTGTATTAGCATTCCAATTGCTCGAGAGGAAAGTTGCATCGATATACCTTGATAGATCCCATAAAGCTGGAGCTTTTGGTTGATGTCCTAGAGACAGTACGCGGTCAGGGGCGGCTTCTAACTTTTTAGGAGGGCAACCATGCGTACCTGCTCCTTTTGCTGGGTGTTCAAAGGATAATTGACCGCTTTGGAAGGCATTGCGGCGAGAACAGTTCAATTACTCGGATGTAGAGAGGTGGGATGTCGCAAAGGACCACTAGCCACTTGGATAGGGCGTCTGGCCAAGATCCGGGGTGAGAATTCGGCAAGGCAGACCGAAATTCAAACAAAGCAAGATAGAGTACACAATGTGAAGATGATAAGCAGACAAAAGCGACGGTCTTGGGGCCGACAAGTGACAACAAGGGATGGACAATCGCGTCGCTGGGTATCTCCGGAATGAAGGATGCAGAGGACGGATTAGTATTATTACGTAGCAGAGGTTGGTTGAGAACGGGAAATGTGAACAGAGGGGGTATCGGATTGTTCAAAAGCTGCGTGGAGCGTAGATGGCAGGGTGGTCGAAATCTGAAGTTCTACGGATTAAATACTACGACGCAAGCAGCGAAGAAAGGGCAGGAGCGCCCATGGGCAGCAGGTGCTTGCCCCTTCGGGCCAACCCACCTGCTTGACGTCATGGTGTCGTGGTGACGAGAGGGGAGAGGGACGAGGTACAAACCAGCCATCAATCAGTCCATTCTCAGAGAGGCTACAGAGAGAGACTGTCGCCGGCATTGAGTTGGTACGACCATGAATGAGGTCATCACCGGGCAGGGTTGCGCGCAGGTGAAGTCAAGGCCAGCCCGCGCCAACTCAGAAGATCTAGGCCACTATCCCGCGACGATCGGCGCGACGCGACAGCATTGGATGCGCGGATCCTCCCTGACCGTCAAATTAGGTACCTACCTACGAGGGCAAAAAAAAGTGCTTCCCACTACGGTGTACATGCGAGATGAGCATGGTCGGAGGAGGGGCCCGATCCCTGTCGAGAGCCCACCGAGCGATCGCCCTACTCCGTACATGTGATCCATCCACGTCAGGGGAGTTGCGACGGTGGATGAAATTACTCCCATCTGGGCTGGAACTTGCTGGGAGCCATTCACTTCTCGACCAACCACATCAACTACGGACTCGAGAAGCGGCAAGGCAGAACCTACTTATACTTCACAATCAAGACCGGTCAGGTCATGACGCCCTCATGCAGAAGCTGAGATCAGTGGCCCCCTGAAGGATGCCAGATTAACGTTCTGCCTTACGGAGGGTGACAGTGGCTCCACTGTTTGCTTTCCGCGACGCATCACCCTGACGTCACGAACAGTCCACTGGGGCTGCCCTACCATCATCGACTATTCACTGGGTAACCGTAGTACCCGGATGGTACACTATCCCCCAGCCGGATTTACGAACTTATAGAGATAGAGAAGGAAAAACACGCGGTCAATCTCAAGCCTATCCGGGTATCCCTTTTCTCCGGGATTTTCAACCAAGTCAGTTGCTCTGAGTTTTCATCTCTTTCCAGTGATCTGAAAAGAAAGCCATTACGATGTATAGCTGAACCTACAAGGCGCAGGTTTGCTCCTCAGTCCCCTCCCTGGTGGATGATGTATAGATCACTTAAGAACATCAATACGGTTCACAAGCAAGAGATGCAGGTTTCTTAGGCATTTTTCTCATATTGGCTTGTGCAAGCCCACATGGCCCAATGCGATCGGCCCAAGGGGTCGTTGTTCGCAGCCCTTGCAGCACAAATCTTCGTCTCGTCTCCCGCATTCGGAGGGCATCCCTCTGGCGCCCGCCCAAGCTGCGATTTCATGGCTCGCCACTATATAGTTATCCCTCGAGGCAACATGCCATTGGAGATAATAAAGTAAAGGATAGATGGATAAGGAGAGGGGGAAGAAAGATGCAGTATACACAGAGGAAAGACAGCCTTCCTGAAAAAACAAAGCTAACCAACCTTACGTGGTAGATGACAACATAAGCAGACAATCGTGCGGCAAACCAAAAAGTCACTGGCAAATTGCAGGCATTACGGGTATTTATGGGACGGTACACCCTCCGTGGACCCTCTCGGAGGGCCAGATTATCCAATATCAAACCCTAGGTATCCTGTTCCTGCAGGCACCAACGTAGAGTAGCCAGTCATGTAAGCTGCAGAACCCGTGAGATAAGGAGCGGGAGAATGTATCAGGCGTCTCTGCGCCAATTCCGACATTTGCTGGAACTCTGCAAATATGGTGGTGGCCTCCCACTTCCTTACGCCGTATTGCAGGAGATTGTGGCTCTGAGAAAGACACTCCGTTGCGCGCGCGTAGAAACTCATGCAATCTTCCCCATCCAATATAAGTGGTTCGGGCACCTCGGGAGGGATGGTTGGTAATGCAGGTATTGACGGGTTCAATAAAATGTCAGGGCTGTCCGTCATCTCTCCAATGAATCGTTGAGCAACCTGGTAAGCCCTCTGAATATCCAGGAATGTCATATAGGGTAACCAGGTAGGGTTCCTCAGCACCTCATGAAGTTGGCTGATGTACCGCATACAGCAATCAAACAAGGCAATCTTGCCGTAGTCACATAAGTCGGGATTCCCGTCACCAGGCGAGAGAATCATGACCACTGTGTATAACAATTCCAGTCGGTATAAGACAGGGAAATAGTTTGGTGTATTGCTTGGAATCTTATCAAACCATTGATATGCTCTCGAGCAGAGAGCCCAGGTCGACACCGGTGGTTGAAGAGACGTTTCATGTTCATGGAACCACTTCCTCTGGTAAGCCTCCGACAATATCTGTCGGACTCTCACTATGTGCCATGCAGGCTCCGAGCTGCGTAGAAAGATATGGCTTTTCTCGGTTAACGAAGCGCCTAGGGATGTGGCAGAAGACGGCAGAGCAACATTGACGGAGTCGTCCGAGAATGAGAAAGTCTTTTCTGTGGCAGCGCTTACTCCCCTTAGACGAAGTAGCAATTACACGTATCAGCTCAAGTACACAGCAAAGGTGGGTAGAACATGACCAACCTATCCAAGCAATAGACACATTGAAAGACACGACGGCGGAGATCCAACTGCTCTGAGGCTGATTGGACGTCTAAAGGTGGGTCCTGGTGCAGGCCTAAATCAACCATGACTCTAGCGGCCATCCCTACCAGGTACCAGCCGCGGAAGTGCTTGGGATCAAACAAGGAATACTGGGCGAGAAGGAGAATTGATTGGATACCGACGATAGTGCCAGGGCGGATGACATCCTCTGCCTGCTTCATCGCTGCCGAAATATGAGACAACGCTCGCTGGTGGTTTCTATCGCCATTCTCGAGGGAAATAGAGGCAGACGCGGTGGCCAGTACCATATGCAAGATCCACTTGTCGAAAGGTTTGGCGAATCGGCCCCCAGCTTGATAAACAGCATCAACAGAAGCCCAAAAGCCTGTCTCGAGGAAAAAAGGAAGTTGTATATAGAGATTGTCAAAGTAGTGCTGTAGTAAGGGCGTTATTTCATGACGGGGCGGTAATGGTTGTGCTGATAGTTTTGGGATCGGCTCGGCTTGGGACAGGGACAGAAGCAGATTGGCGAAAGAAGTGTTGGATGTAATCCCATGGAAGTCTCTCGAAGTAGCATTGACGGACCTGGCAAGCGTGAGTTCCTAGAGCATATTCCGGGCCTAATACGAGGTGACATACAGAAAGCCAAAGTCTCCAACGAGGTCATCAATGTCGGTCACTTCCTTGCCACCTTCCTGTGCAGCTGAACCCGTCGATGAGATAGAGGTAATTGAACTCTGATGAGCGACACCCTTTTCATCAACAGATAATGATGCTTTGAGGCGGCGCAGATCTGCTATCTTCTTCTCAAGTCTCTCGCAATAGCCCTCCAGGGAGGCGACATAGCTTCTCTCTTTTCCCCTGGCAAACTCATCACTTGCGCCAGAGCAGGTGCTCGCTTTGCCCACTCTCTCGCACGCGGAGCAAGCCGGAAGCTTCCCGTCACACTTGATCTTAGCTGTTCGACATCTTGAGCAGGCAGCCACTGGCCGACTGACTTTGAGGAGCGGTTTGTCCAAAAACGAAGTGGCCGACATGCTAATTATACATATTCTCTGTTCCGTGCTTGTATTAAAACAAAGTTTAGCAGCGAAAGAGAAGGCCAGTGTGACCCTATGTCTTGCCTTATCAACCACGCCGTGAGTAATGTGGTTACGCAAGAGCAATAGATTGTAACACCTACCGAGAGAATATGAGCACGGGTGGGAAGCCCAAGAGCCCGTATGTACAAGCGGCTCTTTCACAGAAAAGAGACCTCAGATGTAGACCTGTTCAAATCTGGTCGCACGCGGCCAAACACGGGTCAGTGAGGTCTGCTTCGAAGAAGTCGAAAGGAACGTTCTGTAGTTTTTCAATAGGAAAGATTGAGAAAGGAAGAGATGCCTTCAAAGTCGTAGATTTATTTCACCTTATTCTTGGTACGTATATGGGTCAAGGACGAGAACTCAAGGCCAGATTACTCACCAGGCACTAGCGCTATTTAGCTAGCCCCGAAGTTGGCGGGGAGGCTGGCTGAACGGGCACAGTAACGAGAGGGGTTCAACTGCCCCGAGCACAGATGACTTGCGGGTGATGAAAATCCCTGGGCAAGGTATCGGCCATGAACCTGAGACCGGAAAAGACAAACGCCTTGGGATCGACCGGTGGAAGACCTTCAAGCGAATGGCATCAGCAGTCAGGTCTTAGCGGCTAGCAGGACTTGGAGCAGAAGATGAGCCAGTTGCAGCGGGTGGAAGGGGGGAAAGGACAAGTCCCGCGAGCCCTACGCAATTAGGGTCACGAGCTAGCGCAAAAGCAGGGGGTTTGTACCGTACCCGTTAGCCTCCTTTAGATAGTACCTGAGCTGGACCTTCACCGTTGGCTTCCTTTCTCGTGCTGGCAAGTCGCACTTTAGCGGGGCATGAGGGACTAACGATACTGGGTGGCCTCACAATACGGAGTACTCCCGACATCCGACCGTACCAGAGAGGAAGGATGGGGTGGGAACTTGAGAGATTCTTATCAGGGTATTATTGGTAAGGTAAGCTTGGGTTGCGAACTTGCGGCCACCCGCCCGGGCGCCAGCACCACCACGGACATCTGGCCCGAGCGGTTCTGCTTTTAGGTGGTTGCTTTCATTGGGTGCCACACACCAATCTCCGGCCAAGGCTGGCTCTTGCTCGCACCCCTCCTTTCATCGCCCCAGTGGACCCCACCTCCCCCACGCGCAATGGGGGCTGGATGCCTGCGCGCCTCTCGGCTTGGAACGCGGTTGTGCCTACATAGGTAGTAAGTCAGTCCCTACTCAAGAAGGTAAATTGATTTGTACATTTCTGGCCGATGGATCCGTCCATACCAAACCTATTCTAAATGAATGTCTTGGGCTTTCCGATTGATTATTATGCATAATCTTGCCGAAAAAGCTTCGGTCACCAAAGAAGGTGCTAGTACCGTGTCCGTATTACTAGTGACCCTCGTGCTGCAACACTCGGCACTTGGCCGGTTTTGAACAGGCAGTAATGCCCCTCTCCGAGCAATATTGATCCGACGGGATGGATGTCCAGGCTCCAGACTGACATGCTGGAATTTCTGAGAATGAACGGCTCGAATCGGATGAGCTCGTCCGCACCAACATGTTTCTGCACCGGCACATACCTGCCTATGTCGCAGTGGCTGGGATTATGCAACTGAGATCCTTGCATCGAAACTGCTTACTCGAGGCGCTAATCTATTTATGAAAATATCACGTCAATCCCTCTGAGCCATTTTGTTCTCGCAAGAAGTCGCCATAAGACGTGGAGTGGCTCGTGGCTCTATTGCAGGTTATAGGCCAGTTGGTTATTCCATGCCTGGCTTGGTTCGGTCATGCTTCTTCGGTATGATTTCCTAGTTGGCATGAAGGCAATACTATGTAGGTATAGGACTCCGTAGATCAATCACTAGTCGATCAAGTTAATTAACCAAGATTCTAACTTTTTTGAAGAAAGTTGCAGATACCCGCCCGTGATTACCCAAATACCCTTTCTGGGCAGCTGTCCGAAGCTTGGATAAAAGAGGCCACTATTCGGGTCAGTACCATGGTAGTCTAACTCCCTTTCAACATGTTGGCCTTGCAACTCTGTCCCTTTTCGATACAACTACTTGGCCGTGACAATTTTCTAATACTGCAAAAGTTTGACACAATCCAGCATACGAGACTGCCAGGTCTTATCGCATTTTTAACGATGCCATATAAATTATTAGACTCACTTTTCAACACACGTAACTACTTAAAACCTTCCTGTCTGAACATTTCTCTTCGAAGGCCTTATTGAGAGTCTTGGACTGACAGACTGAGGGTGCCGTGAAGTACATATGTCATACCGACGTACAACTGCAGCTTTGAGACTAGTCGTCTTAACATTGCGGCTTCAAGCCCCGCTGGAAGGTCATCGATCCTGTTCCTTTGTACTCTCTCGTCCAAAGCACTTTTCTAGACTTCGGTTTACTTCAAAGCTCAAAGTACAATGATTCAAGGTTGTTCTGAGGCTCGGGGAGTAAGCTAGGCTAGTGGTTAAATAATGCGCTTCGCTCATTAATCAATATTAGATCACCCGCCACCGCAGATCTTAGGGAAAGGTTATGCGTAGAGATGTGCTACACCGTAGGCTCCTAGTGTATAAATCCTCGTGTCCCTGAGGTTCTGAGCTAAGCTCTCTCGCTTGACTTCTTAAATTTCTCGCAGCAAGCCCACCGACTGGATCTCGAAGGCAACCCACCCACCGAAGTATTTGGTACCGGGCCCACCGCATAGTAGGACATCCACCCGTCAATTTCAAGGCCAGTCTTCGCAGCCGGGTGCTGTCGGTGCCCGTAGTCCCGGTACGTGCGACGTCGGTCATCGGGGCGCTCTTTAGCGTGCCGTCGATCCAGGCGGGAGGTGGACCGAGGCCTGCTTCACTTCAGTTTCCACCTCACCCCCTCCTTTGCGCCCCATTTCAAATTCGCAGCAACGAGCGTTGTGTTCCTTTCCAGCGACCGAATGAGTATCTTCCGCCGGAATCCGCGATAGGAGCATTTCAAACCTGTTCAAGCCCCTTGCTTTGAGCGGGTATTGCCGCCTACTCCTAGCAGCTGGTGCATGTTAGAGCCAACCCTGAACATGTCGAACGTGCTGTCTTGCCAGGTGCCCTATCATTATTCCCCAGTCGCGTGTGTCTGACGCTCATATCTGGGTCTACTCGAGTCGTGAAAACCTTGGAATAAATGCGATACCTAGAATGCGGAGTTGATGACACCTTCAGTTAAACCCGAAACTCATCAGTCGACCTAATATAGGGGTGCTTCTGCACGACTTATCATCATGGCCACGCACTTGAACTCTTCAAGCTCACGTCCACAATTTACGAATCCCTGGACAGATTCGCCCACAAAAATAATAGAACAATCCGATCATACTCCCGATAGTCGGATTGCGCATACCTTGACTGCTTGTACGCGGTGCAGACAGGTACTGACCCCTCTGCACTACCGCCCTTTCCTACCAAACCTTATGGCTTTTCTATTTGATGCCCTTGCACCACTTCCCTGTGTTTCTCATAGCCCAAGAAAGCGGTCTCTAATTCGTATACAGCGCAAGTCTAGGTGCGATCCAGGAATCCCACGATGCTCTCCATGCGAACGCAGTAACGCCAAGTGTGTCTACTACGACTCAGCTCGTAAAAGCACGATCTCGAGGAACTACATCGTCTTGCTTCGAGAGAGAGCCCGCATGCTAGAGAAGGAGCTTGCTGAGGTGGAGAATGAGTTCCAACACGCAGCGGATGCCGAACTCATGGTGCGTGGGGCGGGCCGCATTCGGTTCAAAGAGAACGACGAGTCGAGATACCTGGGACCATCTAGTGGTATTGCAATCACGCGCCTCGTCATGGAAATGGCCAAGCAAAACACGGACTCGAAAAGCATCAAAGACGTCGTTCCTGAATTGACAGCGCAGGAGATCAAAGATGCCTTTGCACAAGAAAGCTCTAAGCCAACATCTAAAGTGTACCCCATGATCAGCTCCACACCTCAGCCCAACCTGCCTCCCAACCACATGACTTACAGACTTATTGATGTATTTGTCGTCAAGGGTACGTATGCCTTTTATTTGATGCGCAACCCATCCACACGGCTTGTTGACTTGCTATTTAGCCCAGGCCATGCTGCCGACATTGCATGAACCCACGTTCCGCGAGGAAGCCGAAGAGGTGCTTAATGGGTCCGACGATCCCTGTCATAACTTCCAGCTACGGATGGTCATAGCCATCAGCATGCAGAAGATGAGTACTGTTTACGCAGGCCTGGCGGACAGCTATTATCTGGCAGCACTACCGTTCCTGGAAGCGTCTTTAAAACGAATGGATCTCAGATCTCTACAATGCCTTGCGCTGATAGCTCAATACTCAATGCTGACTCCCACGAGAACAGCTGCATATTGGGTTGTCGGAATGGCAGTCAAGTTATGTCAAGATCTTGGGCTTACTGATGAATCGACTATCACTCGATCTCCCACCGGTCAGCTTTTAGATCCCTTGGAGATCGATATGCGGAGGCGGCTATTCTGGATTGTCATATCCATGGAATACGGCCTTTCTCATAGTCTCGGTCGTCCGAATTGTTATTCCGTCTGCCACGACCACATTAACGTCAAGTTCTTTGAGCCAGTGGAAGACAGATTCATCACCCGGGATGGATTTCTCCCGGGAGCGAAGATAATACTACCTAAGTGCATAGCAATCCATTTTTTGAAAATGCGACTCCTCCAGGCAGAGATCCGTCGGACGCTTTATCTGAATAAGCGCGATGTACCGGTGGATGACCACGACCCCTGGTTTTCGCAGATGCTTGAGAAAATCGACAACTGGGTAGCCTCTTGCCCCAAAAACGATGGCGGCAGTGGTTTAAGCGAGAAATGGTAAGAATCATCTGCATTTATCTCCATGTTTGGCTGCTAATATGTATATGATCGTCATAGGTTCCATGGAAGACGCAACACGATGATTGTGTTTATGTTCCGACCTTCTCCCCAGGTGCCCGAGCCCTCTGTCGATGCTGCACGAAAATGCTACAGCGCGTCCGTCTTCAACGTAGCAATGCAAAGGGAACAAATCGCGACTGGATCCGTTGACCTGACCTGGATCTTCACGCAGAGTCTTTTCATGGCCTTGAACACTATTCTTTGGTCTCTCTCTTATCCTGATATCCGAAGGGAACATCCTATTGACGAAGTCAAACGCCATCTTAGCGTGGCACTGGAAGCTATTGTGCTTGCCGCAGAGAGATGGCCCGGTGTTGAATCGGCCTTGGTTCTTTACAGGAGTCTAGTTGCTGCTTGCCTCCGAGCTTATGCTACTGAGGAATCCTTCGTCGTCCATTCGCCGTCCAATCATGCGACTCCATCGTCGTCTCAAGATGTTACCACTCCACTGTCCGTCGCTAGCCCTGCAAGTACTTCAGCATCGTTCCATTCCCAAAGTGCCCGGGCTGCCAATTCTTCAATTCCCGATAGTAGCACATCGGGTGGCACATTCTCGAGGGGACCTTCTGCGGACCCCTCGTTCTCTTTCTCCCAAGGATCAACCTCGTCAGCCGGTGCAACTGAACCACTGAAGGCCGCGCAGCACTCATCGTGGGATGCTCAGCTCACTCCGCAATCCGTGTCGGCCACCACGCAGCCTTCTTTTAGCTCCCCACCTTACGATATACAGCCACCACCCTCTTACACAGATTTGCCGTTTGACCCGACAACCCCATACAACCAATTTCCTTCCGTCGTCCCTGGCTTGCCGGGCTGGGACCCAAACTTTAGCCCGACCTCCACCATGGCTAGTCACCTGGCGTATGTCGGTGCGGCTGTTGACCCCATGGGCTGGATAGACACGATAGGGGATCAATATTCCCAATATACCAACGGCGCATACCCGATGCCGCCGTGGCGGGGAAGAACGCTCAGCCACCAAGAGCAGATGGAGTTGATGGAGACCTTGGAAGACAATATTCCCGATGTCTCCGCACAGCTTCTCGTACAAGAGTCCGCGACATTTTACCAGTCGTGATAGGTTCACCGCGAAGCTCCTTATGGTTTGGTAAGATTCAGCGTGTTTGTTGCGTGCTATTTGCGCGGATTATTGTCGTTTGGGGGTGCTTTTGTAATTTGTGTTGTCATATTTCTTCTGGGTGCATGGATCTCAATATACCCAAGGGTCATTGTGCGGGGAAGTTGACGAGCTTCGTCTGGGTGTTTGGAGCAAGTCATTTTCCAATTGCTAGGTCAGGATAAAAGGGACAGTGGAATCGGTAGGAGGCTAAATTAAATCAGTTTCTTCAGGTATTGGGCGCACAGTGGCGACCCGAGAGCCGCCACGTCCGCCAGCCGGTCTATTGTATTCTATAGATGGGATAATTCCAGAAGCAAGCAAGGAAACTTCCGGGAGGGAAATGCAGCGACCCCAGCTAAAACTCCCGGATGGCTCTGCCGCCGCTTGTCTTCGGTTCAGGCGAGCGCCGACCGGGGGCATCCACGAGAGCACCGATTGAGCGCCATACCTGCCGACATTGTCGTAGATGAGTATCCATAGGGCACGCTTCATGTGTGGACCACGAAAACTGTGTACAATTGCAAGGATGGCCTCCGGTCTGCTATCATGGGTGGTCGAAGCGATTACCGATGCATACAATACCCGAGCGTAATTCCGGGTACCCGTATTGTGCACACGTATCGAAACCGAATTACGGGCGCGGAGGCCGAAAGAGGGAAAATCGCAGAAATGAGGGCGCGTCACGTGCCCTGCTCGGGGCTCTTGCCGTCATCCAACATCTCGCCGTCCGTTTCTCCTCCAGTTGCGGACCACAGGGTTTCCCTTCCAGCGCCTTTTTCCACCTCTACCCACCCCCGCCGATAATCTATACGCCAGCGTGCCACCCCTTTCACTCTTTCGCCGGCCTCTGTCTTGGAATCTGCTATTGTCCGAAATTCAAGCCGGATTCTGCGTCGACTCATTGGAATGTGTGGCTTTTGAGACGGTCGTGGAACGTCTTGCTCGCCCGCCTGAGCGCACCTCGACCGGCGTGTTCCTATTCCATCGCCCTTCACCCTAGCCTGAATCTGCCGTGATCTGCCCTTGTGTTGAAGATCTTCGATCCAGGTCTTCCTTTCGTGGGGCTCGGGCTGCTCAGGCTGAGGCCAACCTCTTCATTCACCCTGCCCTCGGGACTCCATGTCTGATCGCGCCTCCTCGGCATCCTTTCGAGTAGGACCTCCATCGCCATCGTCTCCCGCCGCAGGGTCTCTCAAGCCGATCCAGCCTCTGGCGCCCTTATCCGATCGATTTCCACAGACTCCGACATCACCTCCGTTGATGTCGGTAAGCGCTCAGAACTATGCCACCCATCTCGTATCCTCGCAGTCATCACCTAACCAGGCGACCCCACAACCCGCAAATCTTTCATCCCCACCATCCTCTGCCCCGATGTCTACCCAAGCCTCCCAACAGCCCACGGTAGGTACAGCAAACTCGTTTCCGACGCCGGCCAGCAGCGTGAGTGGGCACATGCCCGGTGCGACTTCACTAGATGAATCTGAGAACGCCGACAAGCCAATGGGGCCGGGAAGCGGCGATACTGGATCTACCAGTGCGACTATGAATGCTGCGGCAATGCAACAGGCGGAACACAGACGGACCGACCATGACCGGCAACCAGGAGGGGCGGAAGTTGGAGTTCGCGATTTCGCCGTGAGTGGCGGCGGCGACGCTATGGAGATTGATAGCGAGGAGCCCGCTTCATCTAACCGCAGTGGGCCAAGTCTAGAATCTCTGCAGAAGGACTTTACGTCGGCCTTTCATCTTTGCAAAAGCTGTAAGAGCTCCCCAGTCCTTGGCGTGGCTGTTGCCGTCCTTTGCAATGCACTCTTTCCCATGTGGCATTTGGATTGAGTTTTGTTAACACGGCCCTTGAACTTTACAGCCTATGTTGCGACTGGTCCAGACCCGTCGCTAGATCTGATCTCACTGTACGGGTTAGGTTCAGTGGCAAAGTCTGTTGCTCGAATGGATCCTGTGACAGGCGAGAAGATCAACAGGCTCCGAAAGTCCTATGAGGGCAAGCTGAAAGGCCTGGGTCTCGCAGGGAGGAACAAACCTGTCAAGACCGAGCCTGGTGCGCCCGGCGGGCTCAGACACATGACCATGTGGCCCGAAGAGGAATGGCAGAACCAAAAGGTGTTCGGAAAGGAGATCAAGATGGCGGACATGGACTCTGCACTGCACAATCTCCAGATGAGAGCCATGAAGATGGAGCCGGGAACAGTACCGAACAACGAGTATTGGGAGGATGTCTTGGGTCACGAAAAACCGTCGAAACATGCAACTAGCGGCGACGTCAATAAGAAATCCGTCGCCCCGCCGCCCAATGGCATCCGAATCCCGCAGCCCAACGGAACTCCCGCGCCTGTCTCGGAACCAGATCGATCCCGACCCAGCCGAGGACGGAAACGGCATTATGATGACAACAGCTTTGTTGGCTATGGCGAAGGTTATGCAGACGACGATGACGACGGCGCATTCTATTCGAACAGCGAAGGAATTGGAAAGAAAAAACGGAAGAAGGTAGGACGTTCGGATGGTGATCTGGCTCATTTGACATACTGATCACACTTGCTTTTCTCTCAAAAGGACCATGTTTCGAAGATATCTACCCCTCTGCCTGACCGCGGTGGAAGTTACGGGGTTGGTATGTTTGGGATCGGGGCCAGATGAACGAACAGGACGGGAACTTGACGGGATGAAAAGCAGTGTGGCTTGTTCATTTCTTTTTTCTGCCTTCTTGGCTTGGCTTCATGCATAGGTTCGTTCTAAAATGAGGGCTAGACTTGCGGACCTGGCTGGTACGCGAATGGCTGGACAGGTCCCGCAGAACCGTGGTCATGTCCTCGACCAACTGTTAATTCTCCGTACAAATTTTGCATCACGGTGCTGGATATACCCGGCTTTCACAATGGGACGGCGTTGGGGAGCCATGATTGTTGCGGCACGGTTTTCCTGTTTTGATTCTTGCGCACTTTCTGTGTTTGTGCTCTCAGATGGAGAGCTGGAGTTGTAATGACAATCTTTGTGTTTGCTCTGGCCATATGACCGGTCGTGCTACTGATTTTCTTCATCCTGCTGCCACAGGTTGAGCATGTATTTCTTTTAGTTGTGGGGATGAGAGATCTTTTTGGCGTGCAGTACAGGACGCTGTTGGCATCGACGATGCTTTGATACAATATTAGATGGATAGGAATGAATCTGCGTTTAACGTGGACTAGGGTTACCTCGCCGATCTTACACCATGTACACTCTTAATCTATCAATGTATCCTACCATTCATCCCACCAGATCCCCCCAACCAATACCCACTCAGTTCCTCCGGCCTCTTCTCCCCAACCTCCTGATGTCGATTCTCCTCCCACACAGTTCCCCCCTCCCCAAACCGATTCGCCATATGTCCCAGAAAGAAATCCAAATTCTCCCGACACTGCGGAAACGCATCACGAAAGAACTCATACAACTCCTGCACCCCGAGCTTCTTATCCGCATAGGTGACTTTCTCCCCGAACAGTTGCAGATATCGTCTGGTATGCGCCAGATCCGCCTCGGCATCCAACTCCCACCCGGCTTCCATATGCCCGGGGATGATCTTCACGGGATGCAATTGTTCAATCATGTCGAGGGTCTTGAGCCATGCTTCGAGTAGAGCGGGGGAATCGAGTTCTTCGACCCTATACTTCATTAATACAGATACCCATAGTATACACATACACAAACTTCCCCCTCGAACTCAGAAGTAAATAGGAAAGGAAAGGAAGGATAGGAAAGTAAAAAACATACCATACATGCCCACTCCTCCCAAAGACCACATCCCCCGCAACAACCGTTCTCTCCCCGGGGATCCAAAAAATCGTCTGATCAACACAATCGCCCTGCACGGGGCCCAACAACACCACCACCTCCTCCCCCTCTCCCTTCTCCCCCTCCTCCCCCACCTTCTCCCCACCCAGCACAAAAAAACTCCACGGATACGGCTCCGGCCGTCTCGGCACCTCCGGCACAAGACCATCCTCTAGAACCTCATTCCAATACTTAATTTTCTGATCATATTCGTTATTAATGCGGGCGAGGACGTAGGGCGCGGCGTAGAGTTTTGCGTTGGGAAAGGCGGAGAGGATGGGATTTGCGGAGAAGAAGTGGTCGGGGTGGTGGTGGGTGAGGAAGATGGCAGATGGGGGGTGCGGGGTGAGCGAGGAGATCCAGGAGAGGGTGGAGAGGGCGTCGGGGAGGAGGAAAGGGGGGTCGATGAGGAGGGAGGTGGTGGGGGTGGTGAGGAGGGTGGTGAGGGAGGAGAGACCTTTTGTGGAGGAGGGGTGGTGGTGGGTTTGGATCATCATGGGGTCCTGTTTTTTTCTTCTTTTGGTAGTTGGGTTGGCTGGAGGTGGTGGATGGGGTTGAGGGGAGGGGGTAGGTAAGGGTGGTTAGGGATGATGTGGTGGCTGGGGGTATGGAGGGGGGTTGGGTGGGGTTTATAGTTTGGTGGTTGAGAGGCGTTGGAGGTTGTTTGGATTTAGGGTTGGATGGAGCAGGATTTGGACCGCGTGGATGTGCGTCATGCTGACTGGGATAGTATTTATACTATCTATGGATGGGTTGATGTTTAGGGTGGTGTGATGGTGAGGACTGAGTTGATGTGAGGGATTAATGGGTTGGGGTGTGTGTATGGTTCTGGTTGATGCTCATCGTGTTTGAGCTAATGTTGATAAGACAGCGGACTCGAACCAAGTATGGCGGTATACCTGCTTGTCAGAATATAAACTAAATGAAAGCGTGGTCCGTGTGACAATGTCTCAGCCCCAACCGTGTTACTTATCTGGGGAATCAAACTCAATGCCAACCATGTGCCCTGTCATGTCCCAAAGAGGGTCGATGAAATGTATCCCCAGATTCAGACGCACACCACCGCCGTACAAGCAATCTCAGTGCCTCCACATTTTCAGTCCATAGGTCGTAGAACTGGCTCTTCCGGATGACCAAATCAGTCCCATCAAAGTGGGCGAGGAGAATACGAACTTGCCTCGGCCCCATGTAAGACAGGATCATAACCTGTAGGATCCATCAGCACTAGCCAATAGCATGAATCTATATTGAGGGAAACGTACCGGAGTAACCAAGTGCTTAGCATGAACTCGACGGTTGAGAAGCTTCTCCATGCTTTTACAGATACATTCCAGTTCCCAGCGCGTGGGCCTGCCGTCCCCGTCAATGTTGCTCGCCATCATGCACTTGAAAGAAGGCTGATTGGGGATATGACTGATCGCTGTGCTGAACCAGCGGATATCAGCACCAACCACGTTCCAGAGCTCCTCGCTACTAGGACTATAAGCGGACGGTCAGCATCAAAGTCCCTCCTCGCAGGTCCATTGAGGAGATACGAACTCTGACGGCAAATCACGATCGTCAGTGAGCCCGATAACAATGATACCATGAATATATTCTTCGACGTATCTTGAAACGCCTTCCGCCCAGTATACTGTCTCCTCGGGGAAATCATCTTGCGGGTCATACGGTGGGAACTCTATTTCCAGCAACTCGGGGTCTGGGTCAGGGATGTTGTTCTCCATGGGCTGGAAGGTAACATGGCTCGAAGCATGGCAGTCCGTCCATATCTAGCGTCATTGGTAGCACCTGGATATGAATGCGCGCCAGGTCTAGATCCTCACATTGGACTGACTTTAGACCTAGGACGCTCTTCCAGATATTGCGGACAGCGGTGCGACGTGCTGCATGCTCAGGTGATTCCTGAAATTGGTCCATGGTTCGGTGACCTGTATTGTAGAGTAGAGTAGATGCAGAAACGCAGAGCGGGTCGCTCAATAAAGTCCCATGGTCCCATTAGACCACCGGCGACGCCCACATCACTACTCAGCCTAGCCAACTCCAGTAAACAACCAATATTTGACCAATCATAGGGTTCAGTTCATGTTCACTTCGCTACGTGACCGCCCATGCCATGCTTTGCTCACGATTTCCTGTCACTCTAATGGCTCTGATGCTTCACCTTTTCAGTATCTGGCTATTCCACTGCAAGCTCATACCAAACAGGAACAGGATCGAGTGATAACCCTGCGTAACGGCAATAGCCTTCACCAGACTGTATACACTAGCCATATGCAAGAGTAAGAACAGCTTCAAGCAAGCAATACACACAGCATACCCACCTAGACCTAAGCAGAACAGCTATCTCCGCGGATCTCTCCTAACACATTAATACTCATTATCAACCAAACCTCCCCAATTGAACAACGATCTACAAGATGATGTGGGGTATACATTCCCAATCCCCTGCTTATCGCTTATCAGTTCCCCTCCCACCAGATGCCGAGCCGAGTCAACCAATCCCGTTACCGGTATTTGTTGCAATCCCGAACCTCATAACTTCTACCAACACCCTACATACAACAACCTATATATAACCACCTAATCCCCTCCACAATCAACATACCCTTCAACCTACCCACCCTCACCAAGAAGACATTAAAATGGACCCCCTCACCACAGCCCTCCACAAAATCGACACCCTCCACTCCCTCGACCCCACCAAAACCCCCATCACCAACACCCCCTACGAACTGCACTACGCCCAAAAAATGACCACCTACCTCTACAAACACACGCCCACGCCCTCGCCCGTCCTCCAACTCGCCATCCGCGCCCAACACCTCAAACGCTGGGAAGTGCCGCGCGCGTCCTACCCAGCCGGCAAAGCCGGGTACTACGCCTGGCGAAGCGGGCTCGGGCGCCGCCAGGCCGAAATCGCAGTGCAAGTGTGTTTGGAGAGTGGGATTGGGGCGGCGGAGGCGGAGCGCGTGGGCGCGTTGATTCGGAAAGAGGGGTTGAGGGGAGGCGAGGATGCAGAGGCGCAGGTGTTGGAGGATGTGGCGTGTTTGGTGTTTTTGGATGATCAGTTGGAGGGGTTTGAGGGGGCGTGGGAGGAGGAGAAGGTCGTGGGGATTTTGAGGAAGACGTGGGGGAAGATGTCGGAGCGGGGGAGGGAGTTGGCGTTGGGGATGGAGATGGGGGGGAGGGCGAGGGAGTTGGTTGGGTTGGCGTTGGGGAATTGATTTATTTATTGGGATGTGTGGGTTGCTCTAGATGGGAAGGAAGTATGTGGATAGTTCTTTAGATTAGATAAATTGTATTGAATGGATGAATGAAAAGCCGCTCTATGATGGTATCTATGGTACAGTCGTCAAGGCATGAGATGGGAACTTTTGAGGGGGTATTAGGCGTGGGTATGTGGTGGTGGGAGGTTATGCGTCAATCAGCCGCACCAGAGCAATGGCTGCCCCCGCAGCCACTCCGCCCACGAAACACATCTCCAGGCCTCCCTTGATGCCCGCAACGATATTGTCGCGCCCGGTCCAGCCGCGCACAACACACGTTTTGATGTACCCGAAGGCGAGCAGCGTGACCGCCATGACTCCGATACTCATGTACAATGCCGTAACCACCTGGTTCACGATAAAGTATGGGATGAGCGGGATGAAGCCGCCCACGAAGTAGCCGAGTGCGAGTGTGATAGCGGAGATCCATGCCTGGTTGCAGTCAGGCTGGGATTCCTTGTGGTGGAAGCTAACCAGGAAGTCGAGGAGGTGTTCTTCGGAGGCGTGGAGGGAGGTGTTGATCTGAGCGATGGTATCTTCGGGGAGACGGTAGGAGGCGAAGATGGATTGGACGATGGAGCTGGTTTCGGAGGGGGATGTGTGGATGAGTTCTTTGGCTTCGCGGACGGTGGTTTCATAGGATTCTCTGCTTATTGTTAAAACTGGGCTCTGCCGATGGAATAAGGTGGAGGGCATACGCTTCACTCTTTGCACCGACGTATCCTCCCAGGCCCATGGAAATGGCACCTGCGGTCAATTCGGCCAATCCTCCAAGCACAACGACCTTGGTGTTTCCCAGCGCAGAGAGACCAGCGCTCAGCGCGAACGGCACCGTCAAGCCATCCGAAAGACCTAAGATAGCATCGGAAACGATACGCGGGTTGATGCGTGATCGCGAACTGCTGGTACTGGCGGCGGTGCTGTCGGTGTCGGAAACAGGAGATGAGGCGCGGAAGGTATCGTAGGATCGTTGAGCTTCGAGGTCTTGGTCGCCCGGTAGCGTATCGGTATCGTCATTGGAAAGTAATGGTTTTCCTGGCCATGTCAGTCAGATTCGTAAAGATTGAACATCGGCAAACACACCATAAGGAATAGCCTGTTTTTGCTTTTCGCTGGGAAAGAATTTCTGCTTCAGAAATAAAAGCGCCATTGCGGAGTAAATTGGCTGGGTTGCCTGAGGCCTGACGTCAGAAGCCGGATCGATGGCCGAATCTAGACCCTCTCAACAAATCCCCGTAAGGCTGAAGGATTATTTCTGGAACCGAAGCTGGACGAGGCAGAGCAGATATGATAGAGGAGGACTTGAAGAGAATCAAAAGCTTGATGAGCGACTATCGAGCAAAAAACCTTCTGGAAGCACAGATATTTATAAGAGGCCCCCCTCTTATGCCAGCCAGAATCTACTTTTCTGATTGTTCTTCAGACCCTTCCAGGCTACCTTGGAGCCGACCAATCACAAAGTGGGTAATGGTCAGCTCCCGCAGATCTCGGCGCAAAGCACAGCAATCCTTCGGGGTTAAGCCAATACCCCGAGCTTGATTGGTGCACACACAACATCGCTGACTTTTATCAGCTCCATGACTGGCCAGCTGCTGCCAGCTTGCTGCTCGATTACGCACTCGGACGCAGTTCAGTCGGTCTCCGATGCGGATTGGGGCAATCCGAGAGGGGGAATACACCGAGACACCAGCTAAGGATGCGTGGCGATGCAGGTAATATCCAGGAGAGGTCAGTGCTTGAGAGGAGTGATTCAGTGATTCAGTGATTTCAGCGTGAGACCGGTATGGGGGTCTGTCGCCTCGTCGCTTCACTGTCTCCAGTTGACGTAAAGGGTGAAGCTGTCGACTGATGCCCTCATTATGATAGTTATGGCGTGCGCTCATGACATCAATACCTGATTAGAATTGGCCATTGATGGTGTATACCTATTGAAAACTAAAATGCAGGAAATCTCTGGCTGCTGTTCTTTGAAAGGATACTAGCTGATTTTCTAGTTGTTGATTCGACAGCAGGCAGCAGGCCCAACCTATCACCCGTTGGTTTGAATATTTTCATCAGTACAACAGCCTCAAATGGATGCTGAGACATTCCAAAATTTGAAATCCCGCCTGAATCGTGGGATCCACCCAACACTATTATCAAGCGCCTAGCCCGCATCATCTAGAAGTCTGATCTTTACTAAGGGCATTCGTATACCAAGGCAAGTGGGCCCACGACAACGATCAGCAATATAAGCAAGGCTATCTATCATATTGAGTTTACTATTAAGTGAAGGTACACTCTGCGACAGCTAGCTGTAACCCTGGGGCAAACTCCATCCCTCCGCACATTTCCATGTTTCAAATCTATCTCCACTGTCAACCGCCCCATGAAACAACCAGTGATCGGAAGGTGTCTATTTATAATTACGAGAAGGCAGTTGATGGCAAGAGTGACTATTTCGAGGTCTTAAGGCAGTGAATTTGATGGTAAAAGCGTAGTCATTCTCATAATGGCACTTGTCGTGAGTACTCATAGTGAGTGATCATGCCATCTGCGATCCTTCCTGGAATAGGTATGTTTTCAATAACCTGGGGTAATATTGTGTGGCTGACATTGCCGATAGCTAAGGATCAATAGTTGGCGTACGGAGTACCATCTCTAATCAATTCCTCCATGTAATATCACCCATTTTATATAGTACTTATCTTACACTTATCGATATACCCTGCCTATATTTAACGCTAACACAACGCATCTTGTCCGGCCCAGTGCTATGCCACATAAGTGTCAACCTTTTTATCTATTCTTGCCATCGCATAACAACCTCTTACTAACATGTTCATGCAGAACACTCTAAATCCCATATCAATCCACCGAATACCTCATCCTCCCCATCATCCAAATCCATAACACAAAGTCTAGACCAGCATAACATCTATATCATATCAACCATACCACATCATACACCTCCCCAACAACCCCCACTCACCACATACTATACACAACACCCTCCCCAACACCTACAACGCAATCGCCAACCCCAAAATCCCCGCCGCACCCATCACACCCGCCGCCATCCCCGTCGGCGCAGACGCCCCACCATGTGAGGTCGACGTCGACGGGGAGGCATGATCAAACCTCGTAGAAAGATACGACTTCACATCGCTATTGAGGCTACTATACCAGGAAGGAAAGTGTCCGTCCCTCCACTCACTAGTGACGGACGACCAGGCTGTCGGGTTGGAGATCTCAGAGAGGAAGGATGTCGGGACGGCTGTGATGAGCACGGACTCGATGGAGGCGGGCATTGTGGGGATGTAGGTGGGTAGGGAGAAGGTTTGGGTTGCTCTGTGGGTGGGAGTGAGCTGTTAGGTTTGGGTACAGGGGGTGGTTGGGATGGGGTTGGGACGTACAGGTCGCTTAGGGGTTCGAAGAGGTCGGGTTCATTGGAGTCGTCTGGGGATGGATCAGGGGATGCGAGGGATAGGGTGGAGAGGATGATGATGGAGAAGAGTCTGAAGTGCATTTTGGTTGGGATGGTATTCTGGTTGTTGTTGTTTGATGCGATTGAAGAGATGGGCTTGACGTTCAGGATGGCAGGTAGTATGGTAGAAAGGGAACCGGCTAGGGGACAATGGTTAAATATTCGAGCTGCTGTCCATCATACTCATCTCTAGTCAACCTACTTAGGCAGGCAGCCTCAGCTACCTGCAAGTGTACGTTACTACAAAAACTCCGAATCGAAGGCAGCGATCTGCATCATATTCAGACACCGAAGGATCGATTGAGATAGGTATCATATCTCCAAACGCGGAAGATGATAACACCTAGAGTTCAATTGAGGATGATCCCCTCGAAAGCAGACATCCTCATATAACGTCTCGTATCGACGCGTCGATGTTAGAGAAGGCAGATGCCATCCCGCGAGGTAGATCCTGAGTCCGTAGATCCGCCGTTGGGGCTGTTGACTGAACCACGATCACGTTAGAGCCCTTCCTTCGGAAATGACGTATACTCAACATTTAATAGAAACTCCGTGATATTCATATACTTAGTCACGAGGGGCTAGAACCGACCAAGCCATGCTAAGCAATTGAGCGGTAGAGTAAGCCGAAGTGTTGTTGAGGCCGGCGGGCAGCCGATCTCGCCCGAAGTGGGATACGGGGGGCCACTGGAACCAACTTTCGACTGCGACTAGGAGTATCTATTCTCCATTTGTTCTTTTCTTCTTCCCTTTCTTCCTTCTTTGTCTTTTGAACTGGATCTCATTGCTAAATATAACGCCAATAGTGGCGTTCATTCAACGTTTCTTTTGTTGTCGTTGCTTTGTTGCTGCGCCATACTTGGTTGTTGCCTATCTGGATCGCAGAGGAATATATCGTGCACGTACCAAATTGAGTCCAGACGAAACGTGTATATTCATCGCCATCAACGAAGAGAATGCGAACGGATCATACTCTAGCCCTCTATCTATCACCTTTCCTCAAAACCGACCTACAAATGCCACCACAACCACCACAACCCCCGATACCACCTGGACCCCAGCACCAAGGCGGGGTGAGAACAGACGAGTTGGTGTTCTCGGCTCTCGCTTACCGCCCAATCAGAACGTATAATTCTACCCGCTCTTCCTATATATTCCATTGTAAAGAGAACCTAGTGCCTTCGGGCATTTGGTCAATTTGAAACGATACAGAGAAGATTAGCATGGCCCCTGCACTAAGGATGACACGCTCAATCAAAGAGAAGCTACCAGTTTTTTTTGTAACTTTTACCGGGTCTATATTGAGGTAAAACATGTTTTTGGGTACTATACCGGTGCTCTCGGGCAGCAGGGGTTCGAATCGGGGCGTTGGCGTTCTTTTCGTCCTTTCTAGTGAACAGCTGGTTTTAGCTACTCCGTACGCAGGCTACACCACGATCAAATCAATAAACATATCCTCCGTACTTCAAAGCATGTGCAATCAATTTGGTATATCACACAAATTATATACAAAGCAACGTCACAAAAACGCATCAAGCACCTCCCTCCCGCTTGGCATATTCCTCCTCGATCCTCTCCTCATACAATCTGTCCGCTTCCTCCTTACTCAAGGGCCTGTCTTCCTCCGCGCCCGTAGCTAGATATTCCGGGACAGAGCCAGTGGCTTCGTCCATGCCAGAGCCGAAGACTGAGGATCCGCTGAGGGTGTTTCCTGTTGCGCTGAGGCGGTTCACGGATCCGGATCCGCGGTCGGCGCCGGTGTTGGATGAGGTATCGTCTTTGTGTGGCATTTTGAGAGCAGGGTGTTTTATGTGTTTTTATTCTTTGATAGATAGAGATAGATGGGACGAAGTAAAGAAGAGACTTGGGTGGTACGTTGGTAGTAAATAGGTGGTGGATTAGATGTTGTTATAGGATCCGTTCGGTGGCGAAAACGACAACGTCATATGTGGGTAGCTTACCAGCCGAGACGTAGCTACGGAGTACCTCGTACAGGAACCGAGCTACGAACTTGCGTTGACTGGGTGTCAACCAAGAACAAGGACGCTTGTGCCAATTTCTACAGTCCGAAGGACCAAATTTACAGTACCTCTTCCCCATCCTCGAGCCACTGGCCCAAGAAATGATGAAAAGGAAAGGTCTCCGAAGAGAGAAGTGCCAAAGAATACGCCTGTCAATGACCCGTAGGCCGTTGAACAGACTGTTCCGCCGCGCTGTGCAATGCAGGGACCAATCTGTGGTGAACCGCCTTCTTGATCGCAGTCACCCAAACAAGGTAAGTATGAAGAAAAGAAAGAAGAAAAAGGTCAAAAGGGGCGAGGGGGAAAGAAGCTTATATAGCCCTGGGTGGGGTGGCTGGGTGACGCTAGCGGTAAGCGAGGTTGGAAGAGTCAGGTGATGTACGGACTATTCCGTACTATTAGACGCCCTTGCATCGCTAGTTATGGATGGAACGATATAGATAAGCTAGTGGGAGAATCGGGTAAATAGAACTGGCTCTTGTCATTTAAGATGCTACTTTGGATAATCTGTGCCTATGAGGTTACCTCATGCGCGTACAATGTCTTAAGGGTCAATTATATATGGCTACCATCCAGCAGCACTATTATATGCAGTAGCCCAGGCAATAAGTACATAGACGGCTACGATAAGAGCTTAACCCCGAATGCTAACCCCTTCGAATTATATGCCTGTCCTGGCCTACTTCATCCTGTTCACTCGGCACTAAGAGCGAGACACGCATCCACCGCTAACCCAACCCTGGATACTAATGTTAGCTACTCGCCTTTATACCTGGGGCAGGGACGGCTTACCTTCCCTCCTTCATCTTGACAACATCGTCAATTACATCACGGTCAAGGTTGGGGAACATGTTACACAGCGTCTCTACGACATTGTTGTGCTCGACACGATGAATTCTCCGCGCCTCTGCATCCTCAGCACTGGCTTGACGGACAGCGGCATCTTGAGAACCCGCCCTAGCCACCTGCGGAGGGGCTGCACCACGGGCTCTCTCGGCCGATCGCCGGCCTTCGCTGCTATTGCGTGGTGGCTGGTATACATTCGGTGTCAGCCGCGGAGATGCCCCAGACTGCGTGGGCCGATCTTGGGGCGATTCTGGCTCGTCAGAAAAGATCCTTCCTATGGTCGACAATGGCTTTTGGATGGTCCGCAGAAGTCCTGCCACTGGCGCCGTGTCTTCGTCGCTAGACTGCGTTGCTTCTCTGCGCACCGCCGTACGTTGTGTCTCGACAGAACTTCGTGGTGCGGATTGGGAGCCTTCAGCGGGACGTCCTGACGATTTTCGCTCCAGCGTCTCAGACTCGCGATTTTGCTGGGCAATGGCAGAGACGGCCGCTTCAACGCTTCGCTCGAACTCTTCGTCAGTCACAGTCAGGCTGGTCCGGTCTAGGGTCTCGATGAACTGGATCGCTCCAGACTAAAGAGTGTCAGAACATGCCATGGACTAAAATGGGTTCGGCGTACCAAGGACGACAGGTAATAACCAGCTTCCCCTCCAAGCTTATCCTGGTTGCGGAACCGCAGGATGTATTGAATGTTAGATACCAGATGATCAGGGTTGGCCTGCAGCACCACGTAGATCAAAAGCGGCACAAATGAATCGGCAGACGTATCCGATCGCTTCGAATTCCTCAGCAAACCTTGACAGACATTAGCAATCATATCCTCCGGTTCTAGCATTAGCACTGATGCTCACCGAAAATGACCTTGCAGCAGTTCAGGATACAGATAACCTTGTCGCGGGGAGCCCGATAACCGTTGATCTTCAACAGTTCTGCATCCGGTTAGAGGGAGAACCACATGCAGAAGAGGATCATCACTCACCCTGCTGGGCTAGATTCAAGAAGCGACGGCCATGACCGCTCACTGGTGGTATGTCCAAATGCTCCTCTTTTACCCAGCTGTATATTCGCATCTTCTGAGCCAGCACTTCATCACGCTCCATATCCTCCTGGTGCTGTCCGCGTCTCCATGGGCCGTGCATCCTCTCCATCTCGCGTCGTTTGCTTCTACTTGCGCTCCTTGGGATTGTGGGCGGACCCGGAATAGCCGGGGAAAAGGTTTGGGAATATAGTCTATTCATTACAAGTTTCTCCATCCCTTCTTTGGCGTTGTCGAATTCGCTGTCGGACACATCGCGCCAGACTTCACACTGGGCCATTTTGTTCGTGATGAATACCAAGAAATCGCTGATGATTTTCACTTGTTCATGGACCATCCACTGTCGCTTCCCAAACTCGTGGAGAAATGAGCGTAGGAACTTGGCAACTGGGTCCGCAGTGCGATGACGCAGTTGCTCTAGGAAACGATGGAAATCAAAGGGCTGGTCGGGCTCGGGCTCTGGGGGTGGAGGAATGGTTGATGTCGACGAACGCCGGCTCAATTTAGCCTCATCGACCGCAGAATTCTTGGGGAGTCTTGCCGGTTGTTTCTCAGCCGAGATCGAAGATACCCCTGTCGCAGACTTGGGTGCCCGCGATTCATCAAGTGCGGCTTTACTGTGATCCAGGCTGGACTGGCGAGGTGGAAAGTGAGTTTGTCCACCAAGAAACTGCTCGGCCAGTTCCAGCCGGGGGGACATGATCTGGTCCTGGCCATCGCCGCGGGTAGAGTCTTGGAATTGATCCATGATGCTCTGGATTTCCGACTGGGAGTCACCATCTCCGCCAGTTGTATTCTGGTTTCCATCTTGGTCATTCTCAGGAACGTTCGGCAATTCCTTGTCGGTCAACTCGATCGCGGGCGAGTGTGTAATTGCAGAGTGGGGATTCGGGGTCAGGTAGGCTTCGTCCTTTGCTGGAGGCGTAGGGGGTATCTCCGCGGTAGGCGACAAAACAGGCTCCGGTGTTGTCGTCAATATGGAGAGCCCCTTCATCCGCTCGGGAAGCGACTCTCGGGGGGGCGGTATGGGGTTCGAGGAATCTATCGCAGATGGCATCGGAGCCGCCTTTGGAAATTCCCCGGTGGTCTGCACTTCGGTCTGGACGGTTCCCTCCATCTTGTCTTGTTGCGCGTCTTGGTTGGCTTCCGACACTTTGGGGGGTTCATCCTGTAGCTGCACCGCAGGTTCGAGGCCAGTGGAATTCACTAGTTCAGTTGTACTCCCCTCGTTGAGAGCGGCCGGCTGAACCTCCCCATGACCACTAGGAGCCGGGGATTCCGAGGGTTCTGTCGCAGACATAAGCAACCTGCATGCACGCCAGAATCAATCTAAATATTTAAAAAGAGCCTCGTTAGGTAGAAACACGGGTCATCATGAGGGGGTATCCGGAGATGTGGTTTCCGGGGCTGTCACGTAACAGACCACCAAAGTCTGGACAGCTAAGGCCGGCAATAAATTGGAAGGTCCCTAGCTCAAGCGGAGTAGGACTCTGGGAGAAATGCCCGAAGGAATGGCCCAACAGGGGGAAGTGAGCTCCATCAGCGCCGAAGATGTCAGCCCGCAATCAGCGGCGGGGGATCATCATTCCCCCGACCTCCGGCTCTTCTTGTTTCTCTTTCCTCTCCCCCTCTTCTACCTCCACGACGCCCCGCTAGCATCTGCTACCATGTGTGGGATTTTCTTCTCTCTAAGCGCTTCACGAGCTGTGCTTCCGAACGAGGAAACTTCTCGCTTATTGCGGCAACGAGGCCCGGACAACTACCATGTTCATAATGTTGAACGAAAGGTGACCAATGCACGGTCTAGCAATGAGGAGCCCATTGCTATTCACCTAACCTTTGTTTCCACAGTCCTGTCGATGAGGGGTGATGTCCTTGTTCCTCAGCCGCTAGTGGATCCTGCAACCCAGTCCGTGTTATGCTTCAATGGAGACGCCTGGAAGATAGCAGGTGAACCGATCCAGGGCAACGATGCGGAGCTGATCTTCAAGCTGTTACTGCAGGCTGTAAACCCCAATTCGAATACAAGTTTGTCAGCGGACACTTGTACGAATGCTGTCCAGGGTGTCCTGGACGTTATCAGTAGCATATCCGGCCCCTTTGCCTTTGTGTTCTATGATGCGGTCAATTCGAAGCTTTTCTTCACCAGGGACTCTCTTGGAAGACGCTCTCTACTCCAAGGTGTCGATGAGGCCGGGACTCTCAAGATATGCAGTCTCTGCGATGGCACGTCTTCTACCCACTTCAGTGAGGTCGAGACCGATGGAGTATATATGGTTGACTTAGAAAATGCTATTTTCCAGGACGACTCGGCTTCGACCAGTGCCGGCACTCCCTCGTTTACTCCGAATTGCATACAAACACTATTCTGGGATCAGAAACGATCGGATTCTTCTCTTCTCCTTGTACGCAAGCCGCCCTCAACTTTTTTTTAACTCAAGCTCACAAGCAGCCTAGAAAACCCCGATCCTCCCCATGAATAGGTCTACACCAGAAGGTGCACCTCCTTCGCTGAATATCGAAACCGTTGCCGTCAAAGACCTCGAACAGAAGCTGCGTCAATCATTGGCACTACGTATCCAGAACGTGCGCGAGCCACCCACTACATCTTCGGGGAGCAATGTGAAAGTTGCTGTACTGTTTTCAGGAGGTCTTGATTGCACCTTACTTGCTAGGCTCTCCCATGAGATCCTCCCAGAGAGTGAGGTCATCGACTTACTCAACGTTGCGTTCGAAAACCCGCGTGTTGCGGCCGCCGCGGCAAGTAAAGGAGAGACAGCTGTTTCCGTGTATGAGAACTGCCCCGATCGTGTCACCGGCCGGGCAGCGTTTGCCGAATTGCAACGAGTATGTCCCGGTCGCAACTGGCGGTTCGTTGCAATAGATATTCCATACGTGGAAACTGTTGCGCATCGCGATACTGTCAAACGGTTGATGCGACCCCACAATACGGAGATGGATTTATCCATTGCCTGCGCACTATATTTCGCTTCTCGTGGACAAGGTCTGGCGTATGACAGTCGACAGGGCGCCCAGCCCGCACAATATACGACCTCTGCCCGTGTACTCCTGTCTGGCCTTGGTGCCGATGAGTTGTTTGCAGGATACTCAAGGCATGGGATAGCATTCTCTCGAAATGGATTCGCGGGCCTCATTGACGAAATCAATCTCGATGTCAGTCGCCTTGGCAAGCGCAACCTCGGTCGTGACAACCGCGTCATTGCACACTGGGGCCGCGAAGCAAGGTTTCCCTTCCTGGACGAAGAGTTCGTATCCTGGGTGGTGCAGCTCCCTGTCTGGGAGAAGTGTGGTTTTGGGACCCCTTCGCCGGCAGAAGACTCACCAGAGGCAGGGCTTGAGTCGGAGAAGAAGGCCCTCCGTCTAGTTGCTCTGAGGCTCGGCATGACGAACGTGGCTCGGGAAAAGAAGCGCGCAATCCAGTTCGGATCCCGAACGGCCAAGATGGAGAAAAGCAAAGTAAAAGGGACCGACGCACTCACCTGAATAGACATTTTTTCAACCCAATTCCCCCACCCCCAGTTCGTCTTTTGACGCACAAGAATATCCCCTACCACCACCAGCGATGATGACAACTCTGGATCAGATACTTCTGAGACCGCCTCTTCGATCTAGCCTCCATTCACCACTCTTCCACTTGACCCTCAGACAGACATGACACACTCTGTACTCCTCATAACACACTCATCGCCACATCTGTTCTTATCCCTGTGGGATTGCAACCGCCTTTCCATTACCCTAGGAACTCCCTGCGCCGTGAACGGAGCGGGATTCCAGGCCATGGTGGAACAGGACCGGTACTTCCCCCGCGCAAGTTGGCATTTCGACGAAAGCCTAATGAGTGTGTTGGATGTGGAATGTCATCCTGTTGGTAGGTTGGGCGTGAGGGTATGGATGGTCCGAGCAGAGAAGGGGTTGTTGTCGGTGAAGTACGTAGAAAGGCAAGTCTGAGCTGAGTCTTATAGACATACATGTGCCGATGCATATACATTCAAGGCATGGGTTGATTACAGTCGCGGGCTTGATCAGTGGCCTTGTCTACGATGGTATATAGATGCTAGACTCGAAATTACAACATCTATCAATGCGTGCGACTACTTGTTTTACATACTTTGCGGCTACTAAGAGACTTCTTCGAGAGTGAAACATCAAGTCAATGTGTACAGAGGCGATTGAATTTAATGATATCATAGTCACAGTCTGGTGCGCAAGCGCGGTAATAACAACACTCGGATCAGTCAAGTACACGAAGTAGATTATTAATGGCCACGAGTCAATCCCGGTAGCTGGGAGACATCAGAACCGGCCTGAGCAGAATGCAGAATAACCATCAAACAAGCCCTCAGCATGAACTGGGGAAGAATAGATCGCAGCAGCAGATGCAGGCAAGCTGATCCACTGGTAAGTACAATGAATGGGCTCGGTAGCAGCCGAGCGAAGAGAAAGGAAACTTTTCAGCTGTCGGAAGCATCAGCTACCACTCTGGAGAGCATGACGCTTCCGACAGCTATTGACGAGAGGCTCAACGCCCCCGTCCACAGGACCCGCTAGAGATGGAATAGCACAATGAGCACAATACAGAAACCAGAATCGCATATCCAACCCAAGAAAAAGAAAACCCAAGAACTTTTATATCAATTCGAGCCCTTCTCGGCCACGCTTCGCCAGTATTCCTCGCGCTGCTGGGACTCTTCCAGCAACTTCTCGAGCTCCTCAATACGGCGCTCCATCTCGCCTTGACGCTCGAGCTTGCGAGCGCGAGACTTACGAGCAGCCTCGGTATTGCGAGCCCGTTTCATTGCAGCGGGGTCCGCAGAATCGAACTTGATGGGCGGCAACGGCTTTCGCTGACGAGCATTGACACCTGCCACCGTAGAATGCTTAACACCTTGGCGGGACGGGGCAGGGGACATGGTCGGCGCTGGAGACGCGCTGGCACGGATCACAGGAGACGGAGGTGGCCCGGTCGCCTTGGGCTGCTGAAGCTGTGCAGCGAGTTCAAGAGTGGCCGAATCCAAATCCAGGGAGAATCCATCTTGCGGGAAGAGAGACTCCCACTCCTCGGGTGCTGCATTCAGATCCATCTCAGTGTTGATCATGGGAGATGTGTTCTGACTGAAGTAACCAGGCGTATCCAATGGAGGAGTGCTGAGGTCAGTGAAAGTAGCTGATGGAGGAGCCGAGGCATCGATGAACAGATCCCTGGGAGACACGGTTCCTGGTGGAGCGACGTCCCCCATCTGGCTAAAGAACGAGTTCTGTGGCGAAAGCATATTGGACTCTGGGGAGCTGAAATCGTCCCCAAAGCGGTTGGACTGAAGATCAAAAAGTTCGGGAAAATCTGAGGCTGCATTAGCACTGGTAATCCAAGCCAGCACTTCCATATTAATCGGCTTACCTTGGGCAATGTTCGGAGTAGACATGATGCGGCGACGTTTCAAGTATAAAGCGTATTTATTTTTCAAATGTTGATTGTGCTGATTCACGGAAGCAGAGTAGTTTACCGTCCTGTCGTTGAATAAAGGGACGGGTGGACGGTCGGAGGGTGCAGGGTTGTTGACTGCGGGACTAAAATTGGAGACAGCAGACGTTGCGTACCGACGCGCGAACTGCTTTCGCAGAGAGTTATTTGACCAAGAGGATGTTGACAATGGATACCCGGTAGATTGTGACGCTAATCTGGCCGAAAAAGGAACCTGCGCAGGCGAGCCTGAGAGCTGCTGATGCAAAACTGAGGGTTGTCGTCTAACAGGATGTCCTGGCTGGACTAGAGTAGGCTGATAAGCCGATGATCTAGGGGCGGTGTTGAGATGTGCTGGAGCACACGAGTCCCTGGGTTGCGGCTGGGGACACGGGGGTGGAAAGAGCACAAAGTCCTCGGGCAAATGACTGGGGTTGCTGTTGTTGTTGTTGTCGCGTGTGTTGGGATTCACTGGAGCCGAAGGCTGCTGGGGCGGGGGCGTGGGGAGCCATGTTTGCTGGGGATAATCCGTGGTGAACGACGTAAAGTCGAACGGGAGAATGCTGTGGGAGGAAGAACTTGAGCTACGCAAAGCGATGCTGAAGTTCAGAGGTCCTGGGACAGGAGACTCTGAAGGGGGGGAGGAGAGATTGGGAAAAGACGAGGTCCGAAGAGGATCTATGATGTCTGTCTCGTACGAGAAAGACGTAGCTGGTGCGGGGGGTGCGTTTAGCAGGCCATTTTGGAAGGCACACGGAGAATGAGACGCTGTATAGATATGATGCTGTATGGTGACGGGTGGAATAAACAATAGGGATGGATGTGAAGAGGAGGAAAGGATGAAGAGGAAGAAAGGAAAAAGGAGGGAGGAAAAGGGAAGCGCCAGGCAGCGACGGGAAGCCAGGCACTTCTTAACTGTGTGTGTGCGGGCTTCGCCGGATCCCACAGCCAATCACCGGCCCCTCGACCCCCGCCCAGCGCCCTAGCCCCATCAGGCATGGTCTATCTGACGCGGTCAGCAGGTGTGAGTCATAGGGCCGGTCGGTCTGGTGATTGGCTGTCCGGCTCAGCAAGTGGAGCCCGCAGGAGCCCCAGGCATTCCCGTGCCTGGAGCAGGCAAGTCTCAGACTCTTCCGTCGTACCAGGCAGGTACGTGGGCTACCCTCCATCCAGCCCGCGATAGGGATGTCACTCGCAGGTCACTGGTCCAGTGTCTTGACTTTGGATTCCTGGACTGGACACAGTCTGCCTCGGAACTCCACCGCCCAAAGGAAGTCACGAAGGCCGCGCGACGCTCTCGATGATGAAACCGGTTCGCACCCGTGCCGCCGACCGGACCCATTGACCAACCAGGGCCCCTCATCGCAGGCTCACAGGCTCACAGCCCGTCGGGGTCTGCATTGGTGCAGCGCCCGGGGTTGCCTTTGGGGGCTGAGCCTGAGCCTCATGTCTCACCGTCTACGAATGGGACAGTCCTTTGCGCATGGCTTTTGTCCCGTGCGACTTGTCAGTCTTTGTGCTGTCCGAAGCAGGTTCTAACTCCTATGAACTACTGGCCAGCCTTTGCACAGAAAAAGACCCCGACCGGAAGCCAGCCGGGATTAATCAGCCGGGCGGTCGGAGAAGCCTTTCCCAATTCTCTCCCCGCTCTGCCTGCCAGCCCCTCGCCAAAGTCGCTCGAAGGGCGTGGAATTCCACTTGGGTCAAACTCTATCAAGACACCGGGACGTTCCGGCCTTCATCTGACCATGAATGGTTTAATTACCACGCGTTAGCGGCTTGGGACCCTATAAAAAATTTGCTGGCGTCAAGAAGCTAGATTGAGGGGGCATCAAAAGCAGGGAAATCTCCCTCTGTCGGGCTGATTATCTCCGGGGATGTACTTCGTATCTTCCGAGCGGAGATTCAAGTCAGGAGGAAACGAGGATTAGTAATGGACGGGACCAACCGGCCCATGTGAAACTTTAAAGTCAATTGCAAGAATCATCACTCTGGCTTTTCCACCCTGAGGTCGGATTCCTGTTTAGGGTCTAGAGAGGCATGGATGGTACGGTGGACGCAGCAGATAGGCAACAACTCCGATCATCTCAGAGCCTAGAATGCCCATACCAGGCCCACCCCAGTTGACCAGAAGGAATCACTATCTTCAGCTACCATACCTATGTGGTTAGTAGGCATGTAGGATGTCCAGTCCCTTACCGGTGCAACCTGCTGGAGTGGAGATGCCAATCAGCGTGCATACATCTGCCGCGCCTCCGTATGCAGACCAGGTATCTATCACAATTCCCAAATTCCCAACCCCAGGCAGCCGTCGATGACGACGTCTGCTCAGTTCTGCCTCGGGTCGATGATGCATGATCAGCACTAGGTGGTATTGAGAAAAATCCGTCGTCTCGACCAAGCTTTTCCGTGCCTACCTGCCTGCGGATTTGAGTCCTTCGTACTGCAGGATACACCGCCGCAGTACAACTAGTCCCTTCCGTTTGAGCTAGGAAATCCATGCGTGTAGGCAATTTACTCCGTAACGGCGCAGTGATAGTCGGAATCCCTTTACATGCCCCCTTGAACTTCTTCCTCCCTGAAATTGATGTTCTGGCGCTAGATGGACAGCGTCAGGGTTGCGTGGGTACTGGGTAAATGCCCGGTGTGGACTCGATATCCACAGGCCACGAGGATCTTCTGCCTACCATCTACGGAGTAGTAAATATAGCAATAGTACCAAATTGGTGCAGTCCCTTTCGGGGTTCCGCACAGGATGCGGAATCCGTTGGACACTCGGGTGGAAGCCAGAATAGGACGCATGGCAACTGCGCAGTGCCTCTTATCAGTGGAGTTTACATATATGTTGAGTTTCGAGAGGGGTACCAGCCAGAACATGACACCACTGCAACCAATGATTATTTTCAACTCAACCGAGCAATACTACTACGTATACCAGACATGACACTTGTCTTTATGTTCTGCCATTCAACCAATGATATTATTACCCTCTGTACGGAGTAGTATTCTTTAGTCCAATCAGGCCGACCACCACACATCACTCCGTCATTCTCTTGCACACACACCCATACCAAATCACCAACGAATACTCCCAATCCCCAAGTGGCTATCCTAACCTAAGAGATCTATACACCCAACCAACCAACCAATAACACCCGCACCCATAAACAAGCTCTACCAGGCACCCATATATACAACCCATCACAACCAGCCAAGTAAGCCACAACTTAGTACTCCTAATTACCTATCTACCTACATATATCTATCTGCCTACCAGGCAACCAAATCAATTCCGTCTCGCCAAGAGAACCTTCGTGTCCTACTAGGCATACATTATACACGCACGTCCAAACTGACCAAGCCCATCATCGAGGTAGGGAACCCGAACACCAGGCACCAGCAAACCCAGAACCTAAATACATGCATTCGACTCCCTCTCACGAACCAAAACCCGGTAGGCAACATCCTTACCCCAAACCAACCTATATCCTAAATCTGGATCTCGTCAGAGACACCTTGCACCCCTTGCACCCCTTGCACACCTTGCACACCTTGCACACATTGCACACATTATATTGCAAAAGACATCATCTCACATGAGAAGGTGTGTCGTCTGCCCACATGCAACATATGTCCGCATGCAAAGCAATCCGCTATGTATGGTCTAGATACGTAAATATGTCAAGTAATCAGAGATAGTTGGCTGCCCAGTGTACACCTTACAAAATCTATCCCATGCTACCAGACATAACCACCAATGTTGTTCTTGACGAGAATCGGTTCCCCCTTCATTGTGCATGTCATTGGCATTGTCTGGATGGCATTTGACTACCCTTCTTACGGTTCTTACTGCGACGAATTATATAAAACGGATCGCTAGTCCAATCAAGACACATATATATATATTCCATTCCTTTGTCCACGTAATCTAATTGCCAACAAACATGAATCTATGGAGCAATCGGGAATGACTATGGTGCTCAACTTACAGGCAAATTGCCACGTTGGATATCCTTCTACTCGCGGCTAGTATTGGGGGCCAAAAAATAACCGTAGGCAATGCAACTGAGGGGTTACAGTGCAAGGCACACTGCTAAAAAGCAAAAAGAGAATTGAGCTCCGATAGGGGGAATCGAACCCCCGGCTGCCGTGTGAGAGACGGCGATGTTAGCCACTACACCATATCGGATGGTTGTTGAAGATAGCCTCCCGTTATGCGCTTATAAGCGACTTCACGCCACAACAACTCAATGCAAGGTCCCTGCATCCGTACCTTAAAGCTTACACTGAAGAATCTCCACCCGGTAGACCAAGTGGACCTCCAGGTCAGACATACTATAGTGCGAGTACGATCACGAACCAGTGGGATGCGCTACGACCAAGTCACCTGAAACAGGCCAAAAAAGGTACTAACAATGCGTGGATTCTATTAATTATTACCTCATGATGCTGTGCCATGTATACACGGCGCTATCAGCACGCTGTCACACCATGTAGCCACGGTAGTTGACGGTTCGGGGCAATTTGTATGGAGGGAGGTTCCAACGATCAGACATCGGCCCCGCGCCCATCCAACTGGCAAAAAGCACCCTTCCTCCCAATAGGGGTATCAAGACAAAATGCATCGAACGGCAACATGAGAATATCACAGAAACAAACGAACAATAAACAGCGACAAGTGGTATCAATCTAGTTTGGACGGCGCACAACATGAACACACAAGGCCAGTTGGGTATCCTTGCGGAACGCATATCATAACGAATGGAACGCAGCACCAGACGCGCCATAGACATCAGGGCTCGGAAATGACCGCCAAAGCAGCAGAGGGTATCATTGACACTCAATCTGGTCGATCTTGCTTGGCACAAGAAAACCAAAACGGTGGCAGTGGAGACATCAATTAAGCGCAAAAATAACAATCATGGGGTTTGTTTCCTGGATATATTTTTTCTTTTCCAATTTTTCCATTTTTTAAAACGACTGATCATCGAGGTGTTGAAGGGTTAGGATACGAATACCGTCGGTCCCACCATTTCTCGTACTCCACATCTCTGCGGGAAGCGCTTCATGCGGCAGCCTGGACAGGAGTGGAAGTCGAGGCGACGTTGACGGGCTTGGACTCCTCCTCCGCAGCCTCAGCGGGCTGAGCGGCCTCCTCGGCGGGCGACTCGGGGACGGTGGCCTCCTTGGGAGCCTCAGCCTTGGCCTCGGCCTCGGTATCCTTGACCTCCGGCTTCACGGCCTTGCTGGGCTTGCGGAAGATACCACCGAGCTTGTTGCCCTTGGGCTTGGGCTCGCCATCGGCACCCTCGTTGTCAGAGTCACCCTTCTTCTTGCCGAAGTTGCCGAAGAAAGAGGTGCGGCGCTTGTCCTTGGGAGTCTCCGCAACAGGGGACTGAGCGGGAGTGGCGTCCTTGGCAGCCTCAGCCTCAGCGGGAGCGGTCACGCTCTCGGGCTCGATGGGCTTGACAGCAGCCTCCTCAACGGGGTTGTCCAACTGAGGGGCAGTGCTAGCAACAGGGGTCTCAGCGGGAGCAGTGGCCTCCTTCTCCGACTTCTCGTGAGAGGGGCTGGTAACCTTCTGGAAAAAGTTGCCGAAGAGAGATGCGCGCTTGGACTTGTGCTCAGCCTTCTTCTCTTCCTTGTCTTCCTTCTTCTCCTCCTTTTCTTCCTTCTTGTCGCTAGCCTCAGCAGGGACGGCGGCGGCGGCTATGATGATATTAGCATCGAATACATCCCAGTGATTCAGAGTGACGTACGCTCAGCGCTCTCGGCAGCGGCAGAAGCCTCGGCGGGGGCCTCAGCGGCAGCCTCAGCGGGCTTGGCCTCCTCGGCCTTGTCTTCCTTGTCCTCAGCGGGAGCAGCCTCCTCCTTAGCCTCCTCCTTCTTGCCGAGCAGGGTTCCGAAGATGCTGGCCCTCTTGCGAGACTGAGAGCGGCTCTTGGAAGTAGCCTTCTCCTCCTTCTTGTCCTCGGCGGGGGCAGCCTCCTCCTTGGGCTCAGCCTTCTTAGCGGGCTCAGCGGCAGCGGGGCCTGCTGATGGTTAGCCTTGGATTCTGCTTGTTTATACATAAATGCGACTTACTCAGCTTCTCAAGCTCAGCCTTGTAACCCTCGCTGGAGGTGACGGCCTCCTTCTCAGCCTTAGCCTCAGCAGACTTGGCCTCGAGGGCGGCGATCCAGCTGTCACGCTCGGTAGCGTTAGCGGCCTGGAAGGTGTGCTTCTGGCCGTTAACCTTGAAGTGCAGCTCAACGGAGCCCTCCTTAGCAATGTCGGAAACCTCAGCCTGTCCATCGTGTCAGTAACTGGCGCATCGCAATCCGTGGCTTCAGGTACTGACCAGGTTGAAGATACCGGTGGGAGTGGCCTTGTCTTCGGCGCGCTTGGTGAAGAACAGAAGGCCCTTGCCGGTCTGGCTAGCCCAGGCGGCAATGGGGTTGGCGACGGCAGCCTTCTCATTCTGGTGGAAGGCAGAGAGCTGCTTAGCCTCGACGGCATCATCGCTGAAGTAGAAGAAGCGCTTGGCAAAACGAAGTCCCCTGTTGTGTCACACATGATTAGTCACTGCATGTCGTATTTGCTGTCGCGACAAGTGGCGCCTTACTTGACGAGACCGGGGGCCTTGTAACCCAGAACGCCCTCCGATGCGGGGGTCACCTCCTCCTGCTTAGCCTCCTCCTTAGGCTCCTCGGCGGGGGCATCGGCCTTGGACTCCTCAGCGGCGGCGGGAGCAGCCTCAGTGGTCTCAGCGGGAGTCTCCTGGGGGGCCTCAACGGCAGCCGTCTCGGTGGCCGGGGTCTCGGTGGCAGCGGGCGCTTCAGTAACAGGAGCCACGGCGGGGGCGGCCGCGGGAGTCTCCTCGACGGGCTTGGGGGCTTCAGACATGGTGTCGGATGATGATTAGGCGGGTAATTATAATCAGTAGAGATGGATTAAATGAGAGCTAGGGAAGCTGGCGAAGCTCCGGAAATAAAGGCGCAGGTCGAGTAGGGTATCTCTTAAGGGGTATCTCAACAGAAGGAAACAAAAGCTCTCTCAGCGCAAAGCTAGAAGAGCTCGGGTATCACAATGAAGGGGAAAAGTTGGGTGGGAAAGAAACGAACCCGGACGGTCAGTCACGATTAGAATGAATATGGGAAGAGAGAAGAAAAGAGCAGAAGAGGAAGAGGAAGGAAGCGACAAGAAAAGAGGGGAGAAAAAGAAGGAGAAGGGGCGAAAGGAGGGCCACGGCGAGGGCGAAAATGAAAGGGTGTGGGCGACCAGGCCTGGTCATTGGCGCATCGTCCCAAACAGGCAGGGAGCTGCAGGGCGGCACTAGAGCCTAGACTGAAAGAGGGTGGGCCTGATGCTGGGATGGCTGCTCCCGCGCTAATCTGCCCTGGGTTTAGCGGGGCTTGGGTGGGTGGGCGGGTGGTGTGTGTGTCTGTTTCTTTTTTTTCTCTTTTTTCCATTTTCTTTTAGTTCTTTTACCTAAGAATCAGGGGTTGCCCCATTACATTGATTGACCCATCCTCATCAGACCACAATCACCACCACACCATGGACCACCACCACGGTCGCCTTTACACCGAATTTGCATTGTTTTTATTGCGAAATGTACGGATGTGATGATCCTGCAGATACCTGCTGGAAGTCGTCTCCGAAGAGGTCAGCTATGGCAGGGAATCCCGGAGTAACTCCGTCACCATGATAGCCGTTCGAAAGGTGTCCATAGATGGGGAAGAGGACCGGTTCTTGGGTCCAAACTATAAATCAGGCCGCCGGCAGGTAATCCTCTAGACGAAAAATTTTCTGGACGATGGCTCCTGCGTCGCGCGAGCTGGCCATCGCCCAATAATAGGTAATAACTCCTCACCCTTGGCCCCTATGAAGTCAAAGGGCGGTTGAAACCATGGTGAATCGTTCCCCAAGACAGTCACTCCTGGGAGAAGCTCTCCTGGTGACAGGTCAGCTCTCCATCCTGAGTAGCTGGTTACCCGCCGTGCAGATATAACGGCTCCAGCTGGACTTCACCCGCTGCTGACATGATCACTTCATCACGGGGGTTCCCACAACAATGAGGAATCATATCATACAGATGAAAAAAAGAAAGTAAGAATTATATGTAAAATCTGAACGACGTTGTTAGACCACTTTTGAAGAAGCGATGTTTGCTCGTATCACCTGGTCACCGTGTTTGTGGGACCCAGCCACCCATCCGGTTCTGATCCATGGTCTCCTATTCAGATCATCCTGGTGGGTTTAGCTTGAAGCTGGGCCGTTACACAACCATGGTTGAGTCAGTTCTGTTCCAATATCCAGCCAAGTGGCATCTTCAGCGCTCTCCTATGTGCTATCCTTCACCTTCATGCCATGGTAGGGAGGAGTAAGACACGCGGGCATGGCTGCTGTATCAAATCCATCGCAAATATTCTTGTTTCACATATACAGCGCGAGAGCAGGACCTTTCCTGCCCAACTGATCCACAAGATCTCGAGGCTTCTCGATTAGTTCCGACTATGGCATGTTAGTCAGGTGTTAAGCGCCGGGCTATGGAGGGCCACTACTGCTGGGATTCCGTGTTTTAGTCTAGTCGAGGTATCTCGCCCATAGGGAGCAATTAATTAGACGCTCGGTTACCGACCAGTCGTCTTTTCGGTTAACGATGTGCAGGATCTGTCGAGAGAAATCAATTATCGTCGTCATCCTTCCCGATGGCGAACCTGTTTCTCATGGATAGAGAAAGAGGCACTTATCCCAGCGGCAATCATGGGAAATCCCCATCCATGCGACTGGCAGCCCCTCGTGACAGCCCGGCATTGTTGCGAATTCGGGGGCCAACCAGGGGCCGGCCACACCCTCCATCTCAGCCTGCCTTGCCTTATCCGTGGGATCTGGCGGCCAGTAGCAGTTGGCTCGCGTGACAATACCTTGATGATGTCTTCAATTCGACACCTTCATAGGTCCCCTTCCTTAGTTCCTAGCGGTGGCTTTGCGACCCATCGCAGCGCATCTCCCCGACGCCGATGTTTTTCAAAGGTTATGGAATAAGCATCATTTTCGAGTAGATAGACTACGGAGGGCAAGCGAAAATTAAAAAAGAAAAGCTCGAAAAATTCCACACCAACCCGACAAGGTCCATCAGTTCATTCGTTCGTACTTCTTACTTACCTTAGCAGGGGTTACTAATGACTGGATAGCGCCATTGGCGGGCGGACGAGCGCCCCACACCCACCAACACTATCATCATCCCCTGTCTCAAGTTCACCTCACTGACTGGTTCTGAAGGTCTGAACGGTGTGCAAAATGCAAATAACCACCTCCTATCTGTCTTCTCCTAGATAACCACCCTAGGATCAAACGCCTAGTTCTACCTCAAAATCAAGCATGAAGCAACCCCTCCCTCCCCTCCTCCACCTAACCTAGGTGAACCCCCTCGTACCTTGGACCTACGCACCTAAAACCATACCCAATGAATCATGCGTACCTCGCGACTCCGAAACCACAGCACGCAGTGATCCCTACCACGGAACCAGCACCAATCTCTCCCTCCCTCCATAACATCATATGTCAAAACACCGTCACCATCAGCGTTAGCACACATCGCCAACCAGCGATCGTTTTCCGCGGCATGGCTACTATCTATTCATTTCCGTCCCATCAAATCGCGATGATCTCTCGCCTATCATATCATACCCGAAATAAGAAATCCAGTCAACGCCCGTGACTCGGGCAGAGACGACTAAGAAATCAACTTTCCACTGGCCTTCCCGTCCAACGGACCATTCCAAGCAGCGGTAGGTCTCTGCGGCGGTAAGAAGTGGACCTGGCCCGGGTCTAAGTACTTACTAGCACCACCCCCTTTTCGCCGTTTCGACAATCATCCAACGACTGCTTGTCCCGGTCATCGTGAACCAATCAGACCACCGTCGATCTGATGATCAGGCTTGGCCCGTGTTGCAATCATGCCTGTCCAGTGTGCTCCTTAGAGTTGGGTTTCTTCCCCTCAGGAAGAATCTACCGTGTAATGACGGGGAAGGGGAGGGGAAGGCAATCAACTTGACCCGATTCCCTACGTTCCATCATCCCATCCCCGTGATATCATGCATATCCTCCATTCAGACTACCCAGATCAAAAGTACGAAGTACCTACATACATACACACGTACATACTAGTTAAGCAAGCAAACACCCGAAGCACACAAATCCCGCCCCCATACTCCGTCCTCCCGTACATACATACATACGGAGTACATATTCCCGTCGATGATTGCGCCATCTTGCATCTCGCCCACCCGAAAGTAATCCAACCCAACCCAACCCAACCCCGAGAATTCCGGCCCCCAAACCTACCACACATCCGTCTATCGGCTATTCGCCTATTAGAGGATAGGGGACCCGGGAAGGAATTTCCTGAAGAATGAGGAGTACAGAATACCTAGGTACTTTCATATGAGGGATGTTCATGCGACTGCGGTGTCATAGAATAACACAGTAGAAGCTATTCACCATACCATAAACTTCGTACTGTATACAGAAGAGGACACAGATATTCTATAGATCAGACTTCAACCCTTATCTCGATAGATAACGATGGAGAATGTGATCTGAGAATTTACACAGTAGGTAGGTAGGTACTCTACTCCCGTACGAAGTACTTATCCGCTGCATGACCTCCCTCAGCACTAACCCATACCCGCTCAACCACATGACTCGATGCATCCTACCTACTCTTAGTTAGCAACTGCCATGCGATAACGTGACCCCTCACCACCACCACAACCACCCCTCATCCACACACTCACACCCACTACCTCATCCCCGGATAATTAAGTACAGTACACCATACAAAATACCAAACTGATTTTTCATCCTACCCACTTAACTCTTCATGACGAACCGACAATAGGTACCCGATAAGCGATACCACCCGGGAAGGTAGAGGAGGGGCAAGCAAAGCCGGTCGGGTGACATGATCCGGCCTGTCACGCCATTATTCGATCGATCATTGTGAGCACCGAGTTCTAGGGGATCCTTTTCGATTGGTGGGCCGGGGATCGTTTCCATCCATTGAGGGAGGGGATTTGGTGTTACTTCAAGTAACGACCTAAGTATTATCTAGTACTAGTACTATGTAGGTGGGAGTGGCGGAGGAGGAGGTTGTCTGACCCGAGTACGAGGGCTAAGGCTTAGGCTACCGGAGGCTATGTTATGCTAGTGGTTCGGGTCATTCTCGTTCTCATTCTCATGCTCATTCCTTTGGCGGTCATGCGCGGATGTGTCGGTTGGGATGACTCTTTTCGTTTGTTGAGCTGGTGGTTGCGTGAGCGCTTACTTTTCTGGTACAAGGCTTAGTTTCAGATATTGGTGGGAAGCACTACGTTCTGTGCTCGTGTATGTAATCAAGTGTGAATATTGGTAGCTCCATATTAGGTCATTACTATGCACTAAATTTCACAAGATGCGATGCAAACATATACTGATTCCGATTACATGACGCATAATTATGTCAGGCGGCTGTCGTAAGAACATATCTAAGGAAGTCAGTACCGATCAGTTTCAGTCATAGGTGCTACTTACGAAGTAATACTGTCCATCCGCTCCGTCGTCAGTTTGAGACTGACTGTCAGCAGCTCTTGCGCAATCTCTGGCTCCCGCTGGCGCAATGTCTGCCATTTCTCAGCCGTCAGGCACCAGCTCACGCAGTCCTGTTCGGCTTTGACGGTTGCGGTCCGTCGCGTCTCGCTGAAGAATGGTAACTCGCCGCAGGGTCGTCCGGCCACGATGATTTCAGAGTAGCGCCCCTGGGGCAGCTCATATTCCGCGCGTAGCATTCCCGACTCCAGCAGGTAGAAGCCCTTGGGGACGTCGCCTTCGTGGAACAGCACGGTGCCGGCCGCGTAGCTTTCGCGGACGAAATGCCTACATGCCTTGAACCAGAAGTCTTCGTTGCGAGAAGTCAGGCCCTGGAAGGTCTGTAGGAGAAGCGGAAGGGGTTGTCGCATTGCCGACCATGCAGCCGGCTGAACGACCGCCATTTCGTTCTCGTGGAGAGTCGTTCTAGCGGCTTGCTGCAAGTATCGCTGACGGGGTGAACTCACCACCGCGTCGCTAAGATGAGACTGACCCTGCGACGTAGGAACTTCGAGGAAGGCCGACGATTTGTTCTTCCCATTCAACAAGGCTTCCCGGTGGCTATAGAAGACCTTCAGGTAGTCATTCTCACAGAACTCAAGCGCTGAGTTCAGATCTTCAAATATCTCGACGTCGTTCACAGGCTCGAAAAGGCCCACATTCTGGAGGCTTCTGCCGACGTCTCCTTCCACATCGAGGCCTGAGATAGTCATCTGCACATTTCGTTTCCTGAGAATACGGTTGATGCGAGTAAACGCTTCTGCTGCAGAGAAGTCGATACCATAAACACGGGAGAAGTCCAGAATCAAAAATCTGATAGGGCGCTTGTTAAACGCTTCCTCTTCGATGAGGCCCCGCATGGTATTCTCCACGCTCACGATGGTCCCGAAGAACAGATATCCACCAAGCTTGATGATGAGTGTCTGGTGTCCTGCTTCCTTCAGAAACCGTTGCTGAATAGGCGGGCGTCTGACGGTCGAGCCGGTGATTTTGCCCGAGAAGGTGGCACGAATGGCGGATTTGCGCGAAGTCTGAACCACGAAACTTAGACATGCGAGGATGATACCAACGAAGATACCGACAACGAAGTCCCAAGCACCCATAGTAGCGACAATGATGAAAACCTGCAAGGTCAGCTGACATGCACATTAGAGTATGAGAATCAGGCTCACCGTTAGGTACTCGTGCCGATGCAATTTGCCCCAAGTGTCGACCAAGGCCTCTTGCATCAGCTCGATGCCAAGCAGAAATATGAGGGCTCCAACCACCATGACTGGGATAAATCCAACAATGACCGGGCCAACTACAAGAATTCCTGCGGTAGCAGCTGCAAGCATGACCCCTGCCAATCTCGAATTGCCACCACTGTCGATGAACAGCAGGCTGTTCGTATATACGAGGTAATTCTGATACATGTCAGCACTTCAGGCTTGAATGGGGGCAGAACATAGCTACCTGGATACTCCCGGCAAAGCCAGACAGGGCATTGGTAACACCATGAGCAATAAGTTCACGGTCAACATTGAGGTTGTCTTCACCGGTCGAGATGCCCAATGCTGGGACATTGATGGGAACGTGAAGTACTCCAAAGAAGGTGAGTGCAAACATTGCTGGGACTGTGTCAAGGAATGCAGACCAATCGACAGCCGAGAAATCTGAGACTGTCAGTGAGGCATGCCCGGAATAGTGCGCGGTTATCACTCACCATAGAGGGTATAGAAGTGGTACCATGGGTTTGACGAAGAAGGAGCATCAAAGACCCATCCTCTGCTGCGCAAAGAATCCATAGATACCGCGGCGCTGAATTTTACAATATAGAATACAACTGCCACCACGATGAAATATCCACCAACCAAGAAGTTGGAACGCAAGAAACGCTTCAAAACAAGAAGACCAACCGCAAGCAACAAAGGCACGGTCCATAGGAATACCGTGTCCAGCTGCATAAGCTTTTCCAGCGTCTTCAAACTGAACTCGAACGAACCCGGTAGTCGAGCGGACACTTCAACACCCGTAAGGAGCAGAAAGAAGCCCACGCCACCGATGCATCCAATCAGAATGTGCCGAGGAAAGAACCCGATCAGCGCACCGAGTTTACAAGTTCCCATCAAGAAGAACACCAAGCCGGTGAGGACTGAGCTGACCGAGAAGGACAGAATCGTCGTTGCCAGGACAGCTTGTGGGTTGTCCTGGCCAACCCGATTTAGGATCGTGAAGGCCATCTGGTGAAAGAATGGAACAACCTCGATCATTTCACTCCCAATCCCTCCCTTGAAAATGGAGCCTCCACAAGAGAAGACGAGCTGTGAGATAACTGTGCTGACATAGAACATAGAGATTCCGTCGGAGCCGAGATCAGAAAAGACTGGCTCACTCAGTGGGAAAAGGATCATTCCGTACGAAAGGGCGTCAAGGATATTGAGCAAAAGGCCGAGAAATACCGGCGGCAGAAGGGTAAGCGGATAGACAATCCCTTCTCGCCAGACGGTCTGTCCGTCCCACGACTTCGGATTCGCTAGCACTCGGACTCCCATCTTGAGTTTATAAAGAGCGCTAGGAACGATGTCCGTCTCATTCTTCCTTGCATGGCCCTGATTCTCAATGTCACCAATCGCTCCATAGCCCTGAAAGGGTCCCGCTTGTGTCGCCTTGGGCAACAGTGATGCCTGTTCGGTAGCCGGCGCTCCCCCGGTTGCAACAATCACAGAATGATGGTCAGACGCTTCACTTTCGCTCAACTCATCCCAGTCGGAAGTTCTGTTTCGGTGGTCTTGATCAGTTTCGGGGGCGTCGGGGCTACGGATCAGCTGTGTCAGCACCGACGAACCGGTGGTGATGATTGAGGAAGGACCCGGCTCCTGGTTTGTTCTCCCCGGTACTGCGAAGCTTAGAGCCGGGGACGACGGGCGATTTGGGCTCTGCGAGGGTTGGAAAATATCCAAGGACGGGGGAAGAGTGCTCGATTCATGAGACAAGGCGAAGGAAGCTAGTTCGGCTGTTTGCTCCCTAAGACCATGGGATGAATAATGTGCCGGATCTGGATTGCAGAGTCAGAAAAGGTCACCAAGCAATTGTAAGAGAAGCAAACGAAAGACAAAGCCGTAGCTCCGTACCCGCTGGACTATGGAATGACCGGTGATAAAAGGACCGGCTTGGAGTTCGAAAGCTGGTGCCGCCAGACACCATTGACTCCAGGCCCGATGATCGCGGCGGGCTGCCATTGTTGGCATGCTCGACAGGAATCTCTGTCCCGTCCGGGTCTACCTCGTCTTCCAGAGGAGAGCGATGCGGGGACAACCCGGATATGCGAAAGTCACCGCTGTCGCGGGAGCGAATGACACCCATCGTGAACCGCAAACGGAAGGTAGACCGTTGTGAGGAATCGCCTCACACAAACACTCTGCGCGTGTCGGTCGCAGAATTCCACCGAAAAAGAGGAGATCAAGGCCGTCGGCCGTAAGGCTCGTGACTGTTTGGCGACAAGAAAAGGGAGAGGAGGGGAGATGATATCAAATGACGCAAGAATTTGATATATGCAGAGCTCGTTGGCATTGCTTCGCGATTGGAGGACAGGGAGAGGGGTAGAGAATAAATTGTGAAGCCAGGAAGGAGGAGAAGGACCGAAGTCCGACGATGGAGGCCAGAAGGGTCCGGAAGGGACTCAATGAGGCCCAGACATGGGCTCGCAGGTCGTTATCGGACCTGGCGGGCGGAAGTGACTAAAAAAGCCTTATCACGGACGGGCACGGCGCGACTGTCACCGGCCCACCATTCTGATGGGGCCGATCTCAACCGGAGGACCTTCGAGGCCTTGGGCGGTCACTAGCTGGGCGACAGGAAAGTAACCCTGGGTTAGTCCGGTCTTCTAAGGACGCTGAGAGGGGAATTGTTGTAAGTGTCACCATTGACTGCAGGCAAGGACGAAGGAGCTCGGGCGCATGAGGCCGATGATAGGCTCAGAAGCATCGCACTAGTTATTCATGCTCGTTAGGTAAGCACCCGGCCGCCGTCAACGGTGCTGCAGCTGCGAGAACTGATTGGTGATGTTCGAATTACTCTACGCAATTTGATAATTCTTTAGTAATGATAGATCATAGCGCTCGCTAGTACGTACGCAGGAGGGGAGTACGCATGCAGCTAACTGCTGGGGCTACGAGAGATGGTGGAATCAGGCGACCGCTACTGTGCTCATTCTCAGGCATCAATAATCCATGGGTATCATAAGACATAACTTGCATGATCTGAAACTCCTCCCCTCTTTCACCCCAGACGCTCCAAAAACCCCTGGGCAATTAATCGTTCAACGTCCCCTTGCCGCACGTAGAGTTGACTGTTCTTCGTCAAATTGATCACCCTGTGAGATGTCAGCATTCCGGCCCGCCGATCAACCACAAGCGCGAGGGGCGCCATAAATGCCTCACATACCCATATTCGGTCTGAATCTCCCCCGCATCCTTCAAGACCCTCACGTCTATGAATAGATCCTTCGGGGGTTCCAGGTTCCCCGTAAGATCAATATCCGTCCACTGCCCCTTGTACGCCGCAAGCAGGTCACTATACTGGCGGAAATACTCTTCCTCCTCGGGACTTAACGAACTGTGGTTCCCACTGGCAGAGCCCATCGCTGCATGTCCCCCCGTCCCCTGGCCTGATGTGCCTACTGCCCCTTCCTCTGCTGTTGGCAGCTGCTGTTCGAGCAAATCCACACCCTTCCAACAAAGCTCCTCGAGCTTCTCAGCGCGGACGCGGTGGTATGCGAGGAGACACCGCTTGTTGCGGCGCATGCAGAGGTGGTCGACGAGGAGTGCACAGGCAATGGCTGGTTCTTGGGAGGGATTGAAACTGCCTTCGAATGGACTGAGGAGGTGTGCGACGTCACGATCGAGGTCGCGTACTTCGCGAGCTACGGCACGGACTAGTTCGGTTTGGTAGGGAGGGAGATGGGTGAGGGCTTGAGTGCGTTTGGCATGTTGGACCTGTTGGTAAAGTTTGTTGGCAAGAGGTATCTATTGAGAATAGTTTGAGAAGTACGTACGAGTTTATTTCCATGTTCGCCGTACATGACGGAGGTGACTATCCGCCTCGGATGTAGATGACCCTAGAAGCGTTTGTGACTGTAGTAGAATGTGATGGAGACTGCCTAGACGCGATTAGTGTGCTAGGCCGATTAGATAGGATTTGATTGATATCAAGATGAGATCCAGGTTCAACTAAGGTCAAAGATAAGTCTTGCCAGGGAAGCGTCGCGCGGATCGCTTGGCCGCGCCCGATCGAAGATCTACACGTGACGTCCGGATCGCGTGCCTGCCAAGCCTCCTGTCGGGGTGCGATGGTGAACCCAAACTAGACTTCAGCCAAGTGCTACAGCCGCTCGTCATGCAGTGACTGTTCTGCTCCTTCGAAACTATGACAGTTTCAGGAAGGAGTATGTCTTGATCAAAGCTATATCGTGGGCTGAGGTTGGGCCTGAGGCCGCAAACTCGGCTGGGTTTCAGTCCCATCCCATCCTGAACTATCCTTGAGATAGGCATCTATCGCAAGACTTCGCCCGATAATCCAGCCAAGGAGATGGCTTCCGCTTCCCCAGAACCGACAAGAGCAAGCCAGACATCGCCACAAATCGAACGGGCACCGCATCAGCTTGCATTTGCCGAAGAAGCCAATGCTGCAGTACCGGCATTTCTCACCGAGGCTAATTATGCAGCGTCGATTAAGGGGGACTCGGCGCAACGTAGTTCGATGTTGCTTATTTCAACATGCTGTATCACGATGGACAATGAAAGATTGCAAAAGTTAAGGTAGGATAGCGCCTGATAGATTGTGATTATAGGTTATATCACCTAAATCACTCGACGACTCCCCAAAACAACAGAGTAGCGGGTGAAGCTGATAAAGCGAGATCAGAGAGGGCTATCAGCCAAGAAGTCAGGTGTACGGCCAGTCTGATCCCTTATCGGAGTCCTTCGACCTATCCTTTCCAGGTGAGTCGTTGTAGAGTTCTGTACCCAACAACTCCCTGGAGAGAGACGAAGAAAAGAAACACACAGCCGTGTTGGATCAAAACCGGCAAATCGCGCGAGGAGGAGTTCATGGACGAACTGCCAACAATGCCCAGCAATGTCCTTTGCTCGCTGGGCAATATCTGAACAATATAACATCATGTCACAGCCGATACGTCAGGCGAGGGCATCGATTCCCCAAGCTGGACGCGCTGGAAAAACGGGTCGAAAAGTTACTGGGAAAGATACGTAACAGACCGCAAATGCGACTGCCAACCTGAGCGCGTATCCATTCAAGGTCCCAACAATCATGAAGGCAAAATAAAACCTGATCCTCTTGCGATGCCGAGACAAGGACTCTCATGAGCATCGTGACTGACTAAGCTCCAGTGTTAGAACATATCCGCGTCGTGGTCGCGATCTGTGCATAAATGAAGATTGGCAGGTTGGAAAAGGTTTCGAGAAGATATGGGAGGATACAGGCGTATTGGATCCCCGCTTGACCCAGAGGAAAGGCGCAAAGGATACTTTTGGTGGACGATCTGAGGGAGAGAGCCTTCCGGCGCCTTTGCCAAATGGTAACCGCGGGTGCCGTCTTCAGTTGAAGGAGAAAACTTCCTCATTCACCTTGGCCTTCTTTGCTTAAATTGACTCTCCCATGTCGTTTGACTCGATGATTAGATCTACCTACATACCCACACTCATTTCTTGCTTAATGACTCATAGACTGCTGGATCATCCACTCGTTGCCTCTCTTATTTCATTGCGTAGTATCTACACCTGACGAAGAACATCATGACTGCAACTAGTCTTCAGATGACAGCCGTATTCTAGTCCCTAATGCGACTTGATAGCTCGAGACAACAACTGCCCAAGTTACCGGCCGCGAATCATTAGACCTATTTGCCAAAGCCATATTTCTATGCAAAATCACATCTCGATTCTATGTCAGACAACGTCCCCTAAAGCACCCACATAGTCCTCAGTTCGGAATACAACTCCACACCACATGCCATTCCAACTGTCCAGTTCAACCCGTTAGCACTTAGCCAGACTTCACCTGGATATCATCCAGACATCCGAGTTCACAAATGCATTATCAAGTTCCCAGAACCACCCTTCCACACCCCACATCAAACACCATTCTTCCATCCATACGCCTGCCTCTCATAGTTTTTGACTCCCATAGACCACACCCCCAAACCCAGCCCCATCCCAACCACCCAATAAAAAACCCACAGAGTGTATACATCCCAACTTAAACCGAGTCACGTAAGCAAAGAACAATTAAAACTACACACACGGAGATCATACCCCTCCCCCATGCATCGTTTCAAGAAATTTCGATAACCAAAATAGTGTCAAGATCATTTCACTTCAGTCAGAATAAACGATTTTTCCCTCTTTTTTTTTTTTTTTTTGTTTTTGGTGTATAGAGGAATAGCAACGGGTTGTATGGGAAAAGGAGGCTATATTTAAGAGAAGGTTAGTGTCACGGGCTTTGTGACCTGGGTGGGCTGGGATTGGGAGTGGGTATGCATGATAGGTTGGAGTGGAGGTGGAATGGAATGATAATGTTTAGGGTTTCGAGTAGATGGGATTATGGGAAACTGGGTGGGGATTGTATATGCACTGAGGGGCAGTAGATTGTAGAGGAGGAAGAAGGAGGGAGGAGGGAGGAGGAGGCCTGTGAGTTGTGTTATGCAGTGGCTTCTGAGTGAAGGGGCGGAGAAGAATTGGTGGGTATTCACTGCCTATAGTATCATTATCATGGTAGTAACACAATAACATCAAGGTAAATAGCTCTGCCATGAAATCCAACTCAATGAACCTAGAACACGCAGCTACCGAAAGCACATGGTAAAAGAGAAAAATAAATTGACTGTGATGGTATCCTCCTGTGATCATGCAATGTCCAAATGATCTAATGCATCAAAGCCGTAACTACCATGAGAGAATCACAATAGTTCCAACAGAACTGCCACCCACAAAACAAAAGGCCATATCCATACCATAACCGTCCGTGTCATGCCATAACCCAAAGTCCCGAAAGAAGATCCCAGTCAACAGACAAGATGGGGTGGAATCAAGACTAGGGTAAATAATAAATAAAGCGCCAGGTCACCTTTTAGAGTGACAACCCCATGCCTTGGAAACTCCGTCCTGAGAAATTGCAAATAAACAAGTGTCCACCTCAAGAACTAATATTAGATAGCAAGTACACCCTAGAGGGGCTTTCATCACCGTCGTCACTATTTTCAATTAATCCCTAGTATGCTGTGCCCTGATTGATCCAGGTGTCAAACTCGCCATTGGGACCATCCAGAGTTGGATCGGTCTCCAGAGAGTGCAACCCAGGTGGATAGGTTCCCGCCGGATATTGAACTGAATTAGGGGCCAGCGACGATGTGGCAGGGGGGTAGCAGTTGGTCGGCGACTCTTGCCACAGGTAGTGTGAGCCGCCAAACAGCTGACTCGGGCTTTGGAGCTCGGTCTGCAGTGTCAACAGTTGGGGGTCCAGCTGTCCATCACTCGGCATGGAGGTGGACGGCTGAAGAAGATCATGATGCGAAGCACCAGGAAGGGCGGCCAACGGTGTAGACGATGTAGCATATTGGATTCCATGCAGGCTAGATTTCTTGAACCGGACATCTTCCACGTGTGGCATGAGGGCCGCATGGATCGTCTGTTGTAGGTAATGTGACGGTTCGGAGGAAGGTATCATGCCAGGGTGCGATCGTCCATGGTTGGCTGCATGCCAGGCGGATGAAGTGAGATAGCCATCTGAAGGCAAAAGGCCATGGTCGGCAAAGTCGAAAGGTGTTATTTCGCGGCTCTCCCAGCCACTGCTGCCGACTTCCGACGAGCTCATGGCACGGGTTTGGAGCAAAGCAGGACTGGAGCCAGGCGTGTTGGCTAATGGACGTTCATCTTCGCTCCCAGGTCGCTTCTTCTTGTCTTTCGATGGTGAGAATTTGTACCCGGGGTGCGCCTTCAGGTGGTTGCTCTTCTCGATACTGGCCAGAAGCTCGTATTTCTCGCGAATTTCCCGGGGTTCCATCCGCCAGCTGTTACCCGCTGCTTCGGACACCACTTGATGGTTGTTCTGTCCAAACAAATGCTTGATCCGGGCCGCGTATGCCGATCGATAGAGCATGAATGAGTTCATCGGCCTGGCGACCTTTCCATTCTTCTCGAGCACAGCCTTGTGTCGCTCTTCCATGGGCCGATTTACCAAAGATTCCATGTCTCCAATCGGGATATGGGTAAGATGCTTTGTGATCTCGCTCAGAGGGCCATTGAGTTGGATCTTCGTTTCCTTCTTGTTCTTTCTGCGACGCACTCTCGGTGACCGGGCAACCCTTGCTCTTGTCACCTGCTTATGGGTCGGAGGAGAGCTCCAGCGTGACACTGAGTCTGCTACCAGAGCCTCATCTGCAGCTGGAGGTGGCGTGTTAACCTGAAGGCCATTGGGTGCCATCTGAGTTGCAATCAGTCAAACATCTTTCCCTGCGGACCTGCGATATGACTAGCTAGACTTACCGGGTTCTGCATCGACAAAGTTCGAGGATATTCACCGGAAGACACATACTGTGATGAGGAAGAAATGTAGTCCTGGAGTACGATTAGTCTCGAGCGGATGGGGGTACATGCGGTGCTAAGTGCTTGCCTGGGAGTGTGATCTGTGTTCGTATGTCACCTCACCAGGTGCATGGTGGTTTCCATGTAACGCAGAAGCTGCATAGGCGTCATGGTGACCGTAGACTGACTGGAGCATGCCACAGGCGTTCCGATGAGCGTCGGAGGTGGGATCGCCGTCAGTCGACTGGGGTGGGGAAGGTGGCGGTCCGCGAATGAACCTCGCCGTCGCAGCGGTGGTCATGTTGCCGGATTCAAGGAAGAGTAGCAAAGAAAGGATGCAGAGAGGTAGCAGAAAGTAGCGAAAGGTAGCGTAGCAGAGGAAGAGGGGGGTACAAGAGATCTCTTCTCCCCGGAAGCGAAAGACTGGAGGTCAAGGAATGCGACAGGAAGTTGGTGGTGGGTCGGGCAGAACTAGGCGAACAAGGAGCCCAGAGGAGCGCAAAGAGCTGCTGAAGAGTCGCACACCGCAGGGAGGGAGCTCATTTGAGGGCTCTCGGCAGGGTTACAGTCCAACAGGGATCTCAACCAGCCAGACGTCAGAGATGAGGGGAGCTGGAATGGAAGAAGGGGCCAGCAAGGCAGGCGAGGCGGGCAAAACAGGCGGGCAGCCAATTGAGCAATCTCAATGAACAGGGGAGCAGATGCGACGGCGGAAACAACCGTCAAAGGGTGACAATGAAGGGCAGCACGGGAGAAGCAGGTTGAGAGGGCGGGGGACACGAAGCAAACGCTACAGGCGAGGATCTGGGGAAATCAGGAAGAAAATGGGTAGGCCAAAGAGGGGAGGTGGAGGGTGAAAGTGGAGGTGGAGCTTGAAGGAAGTGGAGGGAGATGGAGGAAGAGGAGGAGGAGGAGCAGTTCGCCCTGAGCAAGAATCCAAGAGGTTGAACTTGAAGACGGATGGTTCAGAGTGAATGGGAAAAAGGAAGGACAAGGAAACCGGTGCAGATTTGGGGCGGATATCAAGCAGTTTAAGGCGGGATGGATATTGCAGCGCGAAGTTCTAGATGGGCACGCCAACCATGGGATCTACCCAGCGGCTGAAACCCTGACGGCGGCCTCTGCTGGCCGGCGGCGGTGATTCCTTCGATGTTGGCACGGGGCTGCTGGATGCCATCCTCTTTGTTCCACTATTCTGGGACCAGAGCCAAACATGGATGCGTATCCTTTGGCATCTCTGCGCCCATTGATGTGATTTGATTTCCATGTTATTTTAGTATCCGTTCGCTTGTCTACCACGCCCTTTTCTCCTGGGGCAACCCATACGTTTATTTTCGGATCCTCCCATTCACGCGTGTTTCCCCTGTGGATGCTTCGACGGCGTCTGCTTCTAGATTTCTCTTTGTGCCAAATCTAGGTTCCTGCTCGTTTCCAGAAGCCGGAGGGGGAGGGGAAGAAGAGGGGGAGGGAGGGGGGGGAAAAACCGCGGGTTTGAGGCTGTTCAGATCCTGAGTCAGGGAGGTTACTAAATGCGGACATGCATCGACCCAGGCACGGATTGGGTTTACGACCTCTTATCATGTCTCTGATTATTGAGGTTGGATTGCTGAGCCCATCCGCCAGTCATTAGGGAGGGTCGCTAAGGGAAGAAAATCGCATGGGTAGCGTCGGTATTTTCATTACATGGAGAGTGAATTAGGATCGTGGATCAAATCAGATGTTCTCATTAAAAGAAATAATCAAAATCGGAATTTCGGCGAGTGGGAACCCAATTAAAAGCCAAATTTAAGAAAAAGGAAAAAATAATTAACGACCAGACTGACAGTCTAACGTTCGGGCATTCGTCCCACTCTTTGCCCATCAGGTCATTAGTACGATCTACTATCTATCCGGGGACAGGCACTAAGGCAGGCAGTGTGCCAGTGACACTGGTCGGGTTTAGCCCAGTGCTCAGGGAGTGATAGCCGGCCCCAGGCGTGTCCACCTCTAGGAACGGTCTAGATAATGATGGACCTGTCATCTACTATTGTCGCAGAGACAGGTTTGTCCTATTCCCCCAAAGATATAGAAATACGAGAGGGAAGGGGGGGGGGGGGGAAGAAAAAGAAAAAAAAAATAAAGGAAAAAGGATAGTTGACTGAATAGATAATAAGATAGAAATTATAATCCAAAATGGAAGAAAGGCGCAAGTGACAAGCCATCAAAGCGATCATTAAGATTACCGACTCGCATGAATCAAAATGAGAGTCGGACAGCAGAACCCATCCGAGCTTAACTCCATGGGAAAGCCCACAGATATTGGGCCTCCCCGTCCGAACAGTCTGGAACTATGAATGTCTGCATGATAGCTCAACCATTGACCAACCGGATATTCCTATAATGAGCCCCATTAATATCCATCCATGAAGACTTGTAGATGAACCACTTGGAGGCCGAATGCGAGCTCGGACGAACCGACAGTTAAGAGGCTAGACGGCGAACGTCCATCAGCATCGTCACCACCCCATCTACCTGCTTCGGCTCCGATGGAAGGGACCCGATTCCATGGATCCGTATTCCCTCCAGCATCCGGGACGTCCACCTAGACACTGCTTTCTCCGCATCCGCTCAATGCCGAGGCAGCGTTGGCCCCTCTCCCCTTGGGGTCAGCCAGGCCAGGTGTTCGAGTACGTATGTAGGTATCTGGAAAAAGTAGGCACTTAGTGCAAATCAAGGCCATACTATTGCTTGGCCTATACCCCACAATTGAGTCAGTCGATCGTTCGTGCCTAGTACGCTTGCTTATTCCCGAGGAAAAGATAGCTAGCCAACGTTAGGCCTTCGGAGACATAGTCGGGGGGAACTGGGCCGGCGGCGTCTAAAATGGCTATTGGGCCACATACCGGTCCGAGGAAGACCGCTGGAAGATGCGCCGTGAGCGAGACATCCGTCATGTGTAGAACCAGTGGAAGGCGGTTTGCCATGTTGGTTCGGGTGCGAGCAGGTCCATGTTTAGAGAGAGCCAAGAACCAACCCCAACCGAGAGGCGCAGGTCATTTCGCGTGCATTTGCGATTTTTTGTTTCTTATTAGAAATCTGTCAATCTGTCAAGATGAATAGGAAGAACCAGGTGTGCCATTCCAGTCGCATTATCTCCTCAGCGATCGCATCCATCGTCCTCGAGAAATTAGGTTTGGCCGGGGGGTTCAGTTGCCCGACACCCGATCCGACTCCCCCCCTCAAAATTACCCTAACCCGTAAGAGCATGAGCATCGAGAACCAAGGATACAAAATTACGCCACGCGATTGCGATTGGTTTATCCATTGGCCTGGCTAAGGTAGCCGGCAGACTAGGACTGGCTCCAGCAGATCACCGAGTGACGCTAACGTCATGTATTGAAAGTCACTAAACCAAATGAGGTAGCTTAGGCTGGCGGGATTGGGCCCGTGAGGCCGCTGGGAAATATTATTACCGAATACGTCTTAGAGTGCGGGCTTCAGACGTCCAGCTAGGCCGGCACGGGCGACGCCGCGGCAGGAGAAATGGCTCCAGTGGAGTCATGGTGGGTAACTCGATAATTGAACCAGGCAGGTTGGTACCTGCGCTATTAGGATGCGACGTAATTGTGCCCTGAAGGGCATAGGCATGGTCCAGGAGGAAATCCAGATAGAGCACCAACTAAACGAGTATAGGGTGACATACCTCCTTACGTTCTAGTCTGTATCGGAGCTACGTAAGTCGTACCCTGCATGCTGATAGTTTGCTAGTGGCCATTCTGACAGGGGGTCTGCATGCAGTACTATACATTGCAGCTTAGCTTGGCTGGCTCGGCTGAGCTATGGCGACTGATTATTTCCGGCACACGGCTTATCCCCATCTTCGGGTATGGGCTATCCTGACAGTTGGATCCGTTTCGGTCACGTGTGACCGCCCTCCACTATGCCCGTAGAGTGCGGGGATCCCCAATCCCTATCATGGCCAGACGTTTGCTTCGATATCCGTATATCACCTCTGCATCAAGTTCGTTTTTGTGCAATCGGGGAATTGACGCTTCAGCCGCCATTGGGCTGCGATGTCGTACCAACAATGTACACTAATTGTCATCAGCCAGGGATTGGCATAGGACATGCAGCGGAGACGATACGTGTGGCTGCGACAATATCAAAAACGCAACCACCAGTGACAGCGCCCACCCCCCTACGTATCTCCGGGGGTTGGACTGGACGAGATCGCAAGAATCCACAGATCGCCGGCCTCCACCTATGGCTGATCCACTTCGCAAAGCCCTCTCGACCCATTCATTGTGTCAGATCCTCCCGTGCCAGCTGAAGGGACGGTCTGAGGGCCGCATAGCTAGCTAGTATGATCTGCGGCTGCAAGAGTGGGCTGCTAAACTCTGATGGACCCGCGAAGAGACCCCCGATGGCTTGCGCAGGAACCGAAGTTGCCCTGCGTAATCATTCTTTGTCCGGACTTTCTCGGCCATCCCTGAGTATTCTCGGGCGCAGGAACGTTGCTGAAGAAGAAACCTTAGTGGAAACGATTTCCTGCATTCCTTGTTCTCAGAAGGGGTCTGAGCGACGACTTACTCCTAGAGGCGTTTTATCTTATCGAGTTGGCCATTGGTCCCATGGGTCGCATGCACGATCACTTCGTGTCGTCCTTCTGACAGTCCGTCCCGCTTCCTCGAGGGGCCGTGGGAGCAGGAAAAGCGAGTAACCTTCTGTAACTGCTTGGCACCGCATCTGGATGGGAGGGTTATACAGATGGGGGTGGCTTGCTTGCGTCCAGAGACTCCCTTCAAACGTTATCATTGCGTTTCCGGAGGATTTACCCATTCGGTGTGGTTGGTACCACCCAAGAAACATCCTGCTTCCAGTTGCGAAAGGGATTGACACAGGGATCTGATTGGCCTTACCATGGCCCTTAGCCACTATCCACAGCGTCCCCGAGCGTTCGATGGTCTTCTAGAAGGTCACTAGATCCATGCCAAGCGGTGCACCTTCCCAAGTCCGGTACCACTAGATCCATGCCAAGCGGCGCACCTTCCCAAGTCCGGTACCCATCTTTCCCCCAAACCTCCTCGGTAAGGTGAATCTAATACATGGCGAAGATTCTGACGGTCTGCTGACTGGGAAGTTCCCTGACACGCCAAGCTCTCCGGCAGTCCTCGTTCACCCAACCTACATCGATGGGCCACCGCCTCGAGGGTCAGGCCATGGCGGACCCGAATCTATCGGGATCAAGCAGAGGCAGCTAAGAATAACCGTCGCCTTCCCGAATGCTTTGCTGTTTCAAATGGGCACCGCTGAGCCCCGTGC